AGAAGAGTACCAAAGTGAGAGATATAATGAAGGTGCCTGGGCTCCTGGCGCGTCCGGCGATGCCCTTTGTGCGAGTTGTGGCAAGTGCTTTTGTGGACGAGTTTTGATAGGTCTCCGAGAGTAGGGACACAGAATTAACATGATGAGTACTTGATCGATGCTACTACTTGTTCCATTGTACACCAGGCTGTTACACTGAAGCGGAAGCCCTGTGGGGAGGCATGCACAATGTAATCAGGGACTTAGACGATTTGATGACTTTGCCTGAGCCTGCCTTGGCCTGGGTCGGCCGAATTTCAAAAGTATGGTGCTAAGAAGCATTCTGAGGCCTTCTCATTAGCTAATAAGGCTAGGCTCTGGTCACACCTTGGCTTTTATTATACAGATAGCTGTTTTAAAGTACAGAGACACCTTTAAAGAGCGGTAAAGTATGGAGCAGAACGGACTTTTCACTGGGGTTAACAGCTTGACTCCTTCTAAGACTGTCTCAAGACCAGTCAAGACATTCACGAGCTCTATGCCATAGCCAGCTACGACGATGCACGACTGCCTTTTGGTCATCGAAATCTTTCGCGTTATCTGCGAGCAGCTAGCGTCATCCTCGACCGAGCATCGCGCAACGCTATCTGCAGTCGCGAGGACATGTCGCGTCTTCAAAGAACCTGCGCTTGATGCTCTGTGGGCTGAACTTGATAAGCTCGAGCCTTTGATCAGATGTCTTCCAGAGGCATTGTGGCGTTGGGACCTTCCGGACTCTCCCGATCGATGCCTTGTATGCCTTAGTTGCCTCTCAAAACGTTGCGTTTCTCATGATCAGGTTTTATGCAGGTCATCCGCCGTCCACTGCGGGCATCTGACTGGGACCTCTTCCGATATTACTCTCATCGAGTCCGAGTCCTTACTCATGAGCATGCCTCAGATCGCATTGCGCCAAGCGCTCTCGCACTGCTTGGCTTCCCTAATCGCACCGCCCCCTTGTTCCCCAACCTACACCGTGTACATTGGACAGACAATCGAAGTGAAGCATACCCTTTCCTAGATGTCGTCTGCAGCTCTCATCTGAAAGAGTTGTCTATAAACCTCCCGGAAATCGATAGTTACAGCGATGCTGATTCCATGATCGCACGATCTTTCTTGCATTCGATTGTCGGCCGCTGCGCAACGCTCAAAAGCCTAGAGATCCGGGAAGAGGATGTCAACCCCGACTATGAGGATGCCATCTCGGAAGTCGTTTCGAGCCTTCCTAAGCTGGAGGTCCTCAACTGCGGACTTCTCGAGTATGGCGCGATAGCTCACCTCGATCAGCTGGAGAGCCTGCGCGAACTGTCATTCACCGTCTCTCCGAAATACAGCTATCAGGATCTTCACCACCATTTCTTGTTCGGACGCCTCTCCTATCTCGGCCTCGCCTCGGCTGATAGCCTTGGAATCATTTTACCTCTGCTCCAGTACATCCCTCGTCTCCCGCCATTCTTCATCTTCTCCGCCCTCCGCTCCACCGTAAGCGAGATTCGCAACGTCATAGCCCACATCGTACGCGCCGGAAACGGTGACATTGACGATGTCAACATCGACGTGCAGCGTGGCATTCCCGAGTGGGACGATCCACCCGAGTGTCTCATCTTCGACGACATCCAGCCTCTTTCAAGGTTCAAGAACATCCGCACCTTGATATTATGCACGGGACAGCCGTTTTGTTTAGACGACGACGATGTCAAGATGCTCTCGTCGTACTGGCCGAAGATGGACACGTTCAACATCAGCGGAACGACAGGCTGGGGCGGCGTCACGAGGATCACGTTCAAAGGTATCCTTTCGATAGTGGAGAACTGCAGGTACTTGCGCAACCTCGGGATTGTGTTTGATGCACGCTCACGCCGAGGGTTGGCATCTGGACGGCCAGGTGGAGGGATATCGAGCTCTCTATCTATCTTGATGGTAGGTGATTCACTGATAGATAATCCCGCGGAGGTGGCGATGATATTGTCGGATTTGTTTCCCAATGTGGAAACGTTGCAGGCTTGGGAGGACACGACCTGGGGTCATGATGACGACGTAGTAGAGGAGCAGAGAGAGAAGTGGGAGGAGGCAACGAAGCTGTTGATGATGTTCACCAGCATCAGGAGGCAAGAGCGAGCATGGGTGCAGAGCACGATTTGATAAACGAACTGCAAGTCGATAATGTTTCTGAAAAGTCGGTACTGTACTACTATGCTTCCGAGTGTCGTACCAAGAATTGCCCACAACATAGTTGTAGGCATGATCATTCCAACCTTGATTCCAACTCTCATAAACAGTTCCCAACGTACTGTATCACTGAAGATACTAGCTTCCAGTTGTTGAAGGGACGTTCGGTGACATCCACGTGCGTATCACCCAACGGAGCGTTTGTAGCCTCATTGGATGGTGACGGTGGGACGGTCAGTCCTGGAGAAGACGACGACGAGTGACCTCGTATAGCAGGGACTCTGAGTGACTTACGAACATGCGCGAACACGTTATGTACTGGCTACGCTGGCCATGCTGGCCCTAAACTACGCATCGTGCCTTCCTCGAGGCTCTGTCCGACCCTCCCTATCCAACGGGGCTGCTTCTCGACAAGACGGATTGTATTGGCAAGTGGAGATGGCCTGAACGGAGTAGAGAAGGGAAATCTTTCGCGCTGGCCACCGAATACAAAGCTGCGGCTGACCGGGTTCAACGTGTCAAAGAATTTCAAGTGGTCTACGCATGAAGTAATTCAATTGTAAGAACATGACGATTATAGTATCGTTGCATCACCTAGGCCTTTCTTCTTTGTGCGAGAACTAGGGCCATGCCAGTGAGCGTGAGATCGAATTACTAAGCGACAGAAGATGCCTTCGCGACGTACCCCGCGTCTGCATGGGCTTGCCCTCTCCTCTTTATCTAACCTGCAAGAAGCGATGCACAAGTGCCTTTCCATCAACGAAATCTTCTGCATCGTCTGCGAACACCTGTCCTCGTCCGCTCCTTCGGCCGAAAGCGGCGCGTTAGCAGCACTTGCCGCTACATGTCGCAACTTCAGAGAGCCCGCATTGGACGTGCTCTGGGCCGAACTCGATCATCTGGGACCTCTGATCATGACGCTTCCGGAAGATTGGTGGGAGACGGAATGGGATCTTGACGACGAAGGAGATGAAGAAAGACTATTCGTACGTCATCTACCTTTCGGTTCGCGAGCTTATTGATTCAAGTAGGCCCTGCGATGATTCGATCGCTCAACCTATCAGATTATCCGTCGCCCTTTGGGCAGAAAACATTGGGATCGCATCCGGTGCTACTCTGCTCGAGTCCAGAGTCTCGAACATAACGACCAGATCCAGCACAAGTTTTTCAAGCGAATTTCATCGTCGGCCTTTACTTCGCTTAGCTTCCCTCCTCACTCTTCTTCACTGTTTCCTAACTTGGTTGGCCTGCAATGGAAGGACACTCGTGAAGAGGTGTATTCGTTTTTGCGTGTTATGCTCGGTCCTAGCCTGCGGGAGCTCCACATGGATCTTCCCCTCATCGACAACCCTAGTAGTTTCAAGGTCGCGCGGTCATTTTTGCACTCTATTGGAACTCTGTGTCCATCTCTCCGAATTCTCTGTATTAATGGGCCACACGACCACCCGGACTATGAGGATGCTGTATCTGACCTTGTCCTTAGTCTCGGCCAGTGGTGGCACACCAAAGAACGGATCCGTTTAAATTGTGAGATCATCATATCACCGGTACCCTCTTGCCTGCAGCACCTGAATTTACTTCACTTGTACAGCCAAGCCGACCTCACCGATGCCAATATTCTGAAGACAAACCTCGACCCGGTTTTGTTCCCTGGCGTTCCCAGTGACATCCTTGTACACGAGGGCTTTGCTCATGAACATGCCAAGACCGCCCAAATCATCCTTGCTGAGGTTCAAAACCTCATCTCAAAGCACTCTGCGACTGAGGTCATCCTCGTCGGCCACTCGCTCGGCACCGCGCTCGCGGAGCTGGAGTGCCTCTACATGACGCTCAACCTACCTTCAGATATTCACATCAAGGGCCAGACGTACGGTACTCCACGCGTCGGGAATCCAGGATATGCGTCGTTCTTCGACGGCAAGGTGAGAACACCGCCGCTAGCATCCCAGCAACATCAATTGCGTACTCTAACATCCAATCCACCTTTTTCTGTAGGTCACCGACTTCGTCCGCATCAACCATGCGCGAGACCCCATCCCTATCCTCCCGGGCGAATTCTTGGGGTTCTCCCACGTCCAAGGCGAAATCCACATAGTCTCGGAGTCTGCATCTGGGGTGGAGGATGTCGCCTACGAGTGTCCTGGAGATGACGACGCCACGGATGAGGAGTGCACAATTCGGACTGTCCCCAATGTGTCCGTCGGGAACTTGCTGGATCCCCTTGGGCCTTATCCGGGGAACCTCTATATGGGTACTTATTATTGCAGATGAGCTGCGGTGGATATTCACCTGGACGCCGGCGTTGGTTGATCAGGCTAGACTGGGGTGTGCTACAATATGTAGTCCGCGATAAGGCCTAATTACAGTTCGGACAAGTTGATCGGGTTGAATTCGAAGTCAGTTTCTCTGTAGCAGTTGAGCAATGCCTAGTGATTGCATTTCATTGGAAACGTCCACATTGATAATAAAAACACGTGTACATGTTTCGAGTCAGCAGCGTTGTCAACCGCTTTGAAAATGCTCGAGCCAGTATTGCCGAAGATGTCACTAATGTTTTCTGACTCGACACAGCCATGAAGTATGTGAAGAATCGACTCTCCCGCCCGTCTTGCTTCGAGTTCACTGTCCAGTGTACTGCCCTAGACTATGCCAGATACTGCGAGATCCATAAGCGCTGGCTTCATACACACACATCACGAACAAAACTCACTTGCACCGTTCAATGATACCCGGATAAACCACATCCGTTGTCGACGCGTAAATGTTCGCGTCGCCCGCCTCTGTCGTATTGAACACGACCTCCATCTCACTCGTAGGCCATGTAGTCCACTTGGGAGTGATCGAGACATTGGTGGGGTGATGATTCGGTGTCTCCGCAAGCGCGACTCCGGTGAACGCTCCAGAGAAGGACGCGATGAACGTCGCGTTGTCAACCGCTGGACCTGCGCTGCACCAGCCGTGAGCCAAGAAGATCCCCGTGTAGGTCGTCGCACCACTTACCTCACGAAGTAATACGGAATATCGGTTGCATGGAACCCATCCGGGATGGCGAACGTGCCCTTCCATGCGCTCTTGTTGGCTTTCGAGAACGCTTCAAGGAGATAGTATGACGGGCAATAGAAGATGGCTATTGTAAGCATCGGCACGTTCAGTCTCAGCACCATTAAAAGGGACCAGATTGTGATACGCACATTCACCCATTATCCCAATAGCTTGGCCCAGGACATCTCCAACAGCAGGGCCACCGCCGGGCCCGACCGTGTAATTCGCATACGCGTTCACGACCTGCTGCACGCCAGACTCTGGTAGCAGCGGGAAGAGATTCTTGACATAGGACGTAGTGTTGAGCGTCTCAGCGTAATTGACAAAGAAGTTTCCCTCATGTGTGTTCGTCATTGTTAACAGCACTTCCTGATCGCAATCACTCTCCGATAAACATTACGTCTTTTTGAAAGTTCAAGAGTACGCACCCCGTTCACGCTTCCGCGCTGGAGCGTCGTTATCGGACGCTCGACGATCATCTTGTAGTCGATGACAGGCACCGTCACATACGTGCGGTAGAATCCGTTCAGATTGGCTTGATTGTTCAAGCTCTCGAGGGTATCCACGGACGCGTTTCGGATGCACGCCAGCGGCGTCACAGACGTCGAGCATCTGTGTTTGATAGGGCCCTCTGTCAGTGTACACATTTCGAACGAGATAGAAAAGTTGACGAGGAAGGGAACTCACCCAGTTCCATTAGCGAAAAACGCAAATATGGTCTAAGAGATATCAACACGTTGCTTAGCGATTACACTATGCCCAGAGGGAAAGTCGCACCTCAGGAACAGTATCATTGTATGCAAACTGCGACGGCAAGAATGTTGAGCTTGTCATCGCCGCGCGGAACAATGGGGACTGGGTCTTTCCACCATTTGCGATGATATGCTGCAGCACCGATCCAGCACCTAGAAATAACACAATGAGTACACACAGGCAGCGACTTGAAAACGCGGCGAGCCGTGAAGAACACACCTGCCGACTCTCCCCAAATAGTCACCTTCGAAGGGTCACCGCCAAACTTGCTGATCTGCAACGTTTGTTAGCACCTTGTACAGTATGGCAAGGAGAAAAGGCTCACTTGGCTCTGTACCCACTGCAAAGCATAGGTCTGATCAACTGCAGAATCGAATGTAAGACCTCAAGACTTCACATTCGGGGAGCAACAAGTAAGGTGGATACGCACGCAACCCTGCATTGAGCGCCCCTCCACCATTGACGACCTCGTTGCCCGATAAAAACCCAAATACACCAAGTCGGTACTGGATGACGACAACGACTAGGCCATTCGCGGACTCTTGAACGATGTCCGCACCGTCGAAACCTGATGCACCGCCGGCTATATAACCGCCTCCGTGAATCCACACCAGCACAGGCAGACTTGCGCTCGTGGACGAGCTGACGTCCGCCGGCGTGTAGACGCTGAATACAAATTAAGCATAGGATTTGATGCAACCTGTGCTGAGGTTTCAATCGACGGCAATGGCTCACTTGAGATAAAGACAATCCTCAGACGGTTCTACGTCCCGCTTCCTTATTGATGCACCACCCGAAATTGAGTCGGCGTACCCGTAGGGAAATGAGCTTGTGGTCGCGTTTCCGAACGGAGCCTGATAGCACTCGTTTGGCTGTGCGGTCGCTTGCTGTACGCCACTGACAACGACAGGCGCTTGTGGTGCCTGGAATCTCAGGTCACCTGTGAGACATGAAGCAATTTCGTTAATACGCATACTACGTGACCAGGTCTGGAGATGGGTAGAGAGACTGACCGGTTGGGGGCGCAGCGTATGAGATTCCAAGGAATGAACTGATGCTCGTGCTACTGTTTGTTGCTCCTTGGTATGTCGCATAGCCGAGGTCGATCGTCGGCTCCGAACTTTGGGCTCTGACCACCGCCAGAGCGTGGAGTACCGATGCGAGTGGGATGACTCCCCTATACATACTGGTCTTGAACAGATGTGAGTGGAAGTGGGATGGGCGACAAATGCACTAAAAGTGGGAGATCAACGGGGATGAGTATGGACATCGAGAATTATATACAACTTGCGCAACATCGTGGACCCCGCATCCATAACCAGGCACCAGCGGCACAGAATCAAAGCAAGTCGATATAAACGGGATCTAGGGGTATGCGCAGGGTGGACCAACCAAAGGAGGCCGGGATAGGCTATGCAAAGATGCATTTTAACTGGCGGGTGATCCTCTTCGCGATGATCACGCTACAGCATCTCTGTCAGTCTGTGCGCGTGAGTCATCAGCGGTGCGCTGAATTCCTGTCCGTGAATAAGTGGGATGCAGGTTCTGCAAGAATGACGGGCGTAGAATGGTGGAATGAGAGCAAGTATGCATGGCCTTCCGTCATGAGGCCGAGAACCCGCACACTAGTCTAACAAACCTGGCCCTAGCCTAGGGTTAAGGTTGTTACCGCAACTCGGGCCGCTGGGACGGTCAGGGTGGAATCCTGGATTCGTAGTATATGTTGTGCGTTGGTTCCGCCACCTTTTGCAACTGTTCAGATTGTAGTCAATCGAACAGTCTGACAATAGCCAGTGCCGAGTGTCGTCGTAAGCATCCGAAGCACTAATGAAATCCGGATACGTGTGCATGCTGATGCGAGAACAACATTTTCGTCAGCCTATTTTGCATTGCGCAAGTCGTCGTCGCGAAGGTCGTCGCTGCCTGTAGGGTGTGCCTTGTTAGAAAAGGGAACTTACTGGAGCACTTGGTCGCGTATTGAAAAGCTTTGCGTAAGTGAGATGCAGTTGTGTGCTGCCGGAAGTCAAATATGGCGTGCCAAATTCCTCATCACGTCATCCGGCTGACATGAGAATTCGGACGTGATCTGCCACTTCGTGCTTAACCTTGACTTACAGTAATCAACTGTTCAGTGCACTTGATGGAAGGCCCTGAAGGTCAGTGAAGGCCCTAGCGCGAGGCTTATAAGAGGGCGTGATTTCTCCACTTGGTCACGTCTCAAGTTGAGATTCAAGCATCTCTCCCCCTGATCGTCACCAATGAGCAACACATTCAAGGTCTTTGCCGTCGTAGGCGCGGGCGGTGCTATCGGGAAGCCAGTGCTCAAGGTACGCTCATAGGTGGAACACTGCAAAACCTAACCATTGACCCAAGAACCACTTCATCCATACAGAGCCTTCTCTCGAGCAGCGCAACCAAGGTCGTCGTGTTGACGCGACCTGACTCCTCATCGACGTTCGAGCCGAATCCCAAGCTAGCTGTGGAGAAAGTGAAGGCGGACGACGAGAACGCAGTCGCTGCTGTTCTGCAGAAGCACGGAGTCGAAGTGCTCATCTCTACGATCGGTTTCACTGGCTTCGAGTCGCAGGTGGTGCTCGCAGATGCTGCGAAGCGTGCCGGCGTGCAGTTGTTTGTCCCGTCCGACTTCTGTGGCCCCACAGAGGGTCTAACGGAGGGCCTACTGATTGTCAAAGAGAAAGTAGTAGGTGAGTATCTAGGTTTACTCCGCTTCATGCGCGCTCACACCCGTGGAATTGCTAGGACATGCGAAGGAAATCGGGCTACCCACACTGCGTGTATATGTGAGTGTTCATAGCTGTATTCGTGGAGCTGCTTTGCCGGTCGGGCTTACCGGATTGAATACGAAAGAATGGGCTATTCACAGAGCATAGCCACGTTGTCGGCGCTGTGGAAGATACAGGAAAATTCCTCGTACCCAATCCAGGAGACAAGCCATTCTCTTTGACATCTCTTTCTGATATTGGCGGTAAGCTCAGCGTCCTCGAGCACTCACAGTGACTGAAACTCTGCTCTTGAAGCATTCTTGGCCTATACATTCACAACTCTCGCTCCGAGCCAACTCCTGAACACTGCTTTTCGTATCGAAGGCGAGCGCCTCACGTTCTCCGAGCTTGGCGCTATCTATGGAGAGCTCAAATCAGTTCCTGTCGAGCATGTCGACAAGGTCCCTGAAGGCCTACCCAGGGGTTTCATTCTCGAATACTTTTGGAAGGACCTTAACTCTGGACAATGTGTTTCCAGCTATGATCTTGTTCAGGATAAGGACCTAGGCACAAGTGCGCTTTCGAACAAACTGTGGGCGGAGTACAAATGGCGGTCAGTTAGGGATGTTTTGTCCAAATGATTGGCCACTCTTTGATGTTCCCCATAACGTATTGTAAGAAATAGCTAACAGCGTAGCTTTGCGAGAATGCAATCGTCGGTATGCTATCGGTGGTGGGATATATCTTCACCCCAGCGATTTTGGCAGGCTTTCGGTGGGGTTCGCCGCTGCTTTGTAAGAGATGATCTTTGTCCATGCTACGCTGCGTAAAGCTCATTATCTCGTGAGAACGCATGTTACAAGTGTGAGCACGAAAGGCGGCATTAGGCACAGTCGGTTATGGTGTACTGAACCAGTCACCTGCCCGCGACCAATACATATTGACCAAGTCTGTTTCCAATACCGGATAGGCTCCAGGGCAGGTTATATAAATAAGCTGCGCACGCGTGACTGGGATGCACACCGGACTCGTAATCCCAAGTCAATCACTCACAACTTGGGCAACTTAATGAGCAACACCTTCAAGACTTTCGCAATTGTTGGAGCAGGCGGGGCTATCGGGCAACCCGTTCTTGAGGTAATCTCACTCAGAGAGTGATCTTGACAGAGTCAATGTTGTAACGAATGCTTGCAGAGTCTCCTTGCGAGCAACGCAAGCAAGGTTGTCATCCTAACAAGACCTGACTCCACGTCAACCTTCAAGCCCCACGCAAAACAGACCGTTGAGAAAGTGAAGCCGGATGACGCAAACGCCGTGTCAGCGGTCCTCAGGAAGCACGGTGTCGAGGTGCTCGTCTCCACGGTCGGGTTTTCTGGGTTTGAGGCGCAGATTCACCTCGTAGATGCGGCGAAGCAGGCTGGCGTGCAGCTGTTTGTCCCGTCTGAGTTTGGAAGTGCCACTGAGGGCATGACAGATGAGGGACCTTTGGCTGTGAAGGAAAAGGTTGCAAGTGAGTTCTAGCGGCGCTCTCCCCTCGTCGATGAATTGGCGCTTACCATGGGCGATGTAGAACATGCACAGTCAATTGGTCTTCCTATAGTACGCGTATACGTGAGTATTAGCATTACCGCTGGTCCTGGTTCCCAATAGACTCTCCATAGACCGGGCTGTTCACAGAACATGTCCCTCGGTTGGGTGTTGTCGAGGAGACAGGCAGGTTCCTTGTACTCAATCCGGGAGATAAACCACTTTCCTTGACCTCGCTTCCTGACATTGGCGGTGAGTTTCGATGATTTGTACTGCAGCAAATATGTCTTACGGTTATCCATTCCTCGTTTTGAAAGGGTTCCTCGCATACGCATTGACAAGCCTTCCATTGGGCAAGCTCCAAAACGCGACATACCGCCTCGAAGGCGAACGACTCTCGCTCTCCCAGATCGGCACTCTTTATGGCAAGCTCAAGTCTGTCACAGTCGAGCACATCGACAAGTTTCCGGATGACTTACCTAAGGCCGCTCTATTGAATTACTTGGGGAAGGAGCTCAACTCCGGCAGGGCAGTGTCCAGTTACGACCGTGTGCAGGGTAGAGATCTAGGCCCTGGCGCGCTTTCGAACAGTCTGTTGGAGGGGCATGAGTGGAAGACTGTTAACGATGTATTCAGAGCGTGAAAAGGATTTTCTCACAGCTGTGCGTTGTATTTTTTCTACCGGTGTAAGTTTAGTGTAGGCAATACAAGTCAAAAATCCGTTGAAAAGCAAACGAGGTGCCAGAATAGAGGCGCGTACTATAAAAATCAAACAGGCCATAGGTGGAGACTGGAGGATATTAGCCTCTTCCCTCTGAGGAATAAAAACCGCGATTTCCTATATGGTCTATGGAAACTCTAAGGCTGAGGATGAGCTCATCACCCAGCTGTGGGTCATCCCCACACGGTATGTATACAAGTGCCCATACTACTGCCATCCCGGGAAGGAAATCACGGGGTTCTTTCTTTGGTACTTAACGAAGCGTACTTTCCGACCAACTTTATATCTACATTTGTTTCCGTGCCATGTTAGGCTATGCATCTCTTCTTGCCGCTGCCCAACCGCTGCCGAAAGTACCCTTGTGCACAAATGGTTCGTTGGCGGGTACAGCCTAAATTAAAGATCGCCGCGGACATTCAGCGAAGCAGTATATCCTGTCTCCAATAATAGACGACCATTAATGTCCCTAGCTGGTGGGTCACGATGAGGAGATATCATGATCTGTAAAGGCAGCTCACGACCTACATGTTATATACATAATCAAATATCTACATCCATAAGTTAATTTATAGCAGGCCTCAGACTTAGGAACGCTTTATAATGAGCGATCTACTTTGATGTAAAGGTGATTTTTGACTCTATTTGATACATCACTTCTTCACTATCTCCTCTCCTCTCCTCTTATATCATCTTGAGCCTATAACCGGATAGCTAATAGTGATGAAGTAATGGTAGTGAGACTGTTGACACCCCCCATCTTCCCAAGACCTGTTATCAGGTTTTCGCATATACATCTCTGATGCAGAAGACTCTTGTGAGTATGGTGACGGAGACCCGGAAAACGAGGAAGCGGACGGTGACTATCCTATCAAGACTGTCCCAAACTACCTGGATAGTAATCTTTTTATCCACACTGGCCCCTAATTTGGAGGCATCCGCATGGTTCTTTCTACTACAGGTCATCTTTGTGTTTCCCGCACACTTCTCGGCGTATTGGTATGATGGGTGCGGGTTTGTGCCGGTCACATGGGACGGGCATGCAATACAAGTTTGGTTAGCATCCGTTGATGCGTTTTCTGTATCTTTATGCCTGTACACTGTGCAGGCAATTCAGTGCTTCTTGAGGATGTGGTACATTGCATTACACAGTACGAACAAACTGTTTAGCACGATGTAGTAGACTCTTCAGAGAGTCACTTCATTGCAGTCGCTGAAACGTCCGAACAGAGCGGGAGGCTGGCGGGTACTTGTATAAACACCGAGATGAAGCGTGTGATTCCCGTGCGGCGGAGTCGCAATTGAGTCCTCCTGTCAGATTTGTCTGCCTCCGCGTCTCCATCGTCACCTGCACATGAAAAAAAAAGCTCGTCGCTTCCGAGGGACCGTCCCGTAGGAAGTCCGTACAATCAATTGGTGAGTGTACCAGAGTGTACCCGCCCGCTTCAAATCACATTCATGAATGATGCAGGCATGACAATGCCCAAAGCTCGAACAAGGGGAGATGCTTGAAAGCTTGACCTCTGGTCGGCCCGCAACGCAGCGTCCATAGCACTAGTGAGTATGGGGGTAACTTTTCGTTCAGATCATACGCTACCATACGTACTATCCTGTTTTTTAAGGTTCCGGAGATGCAAACGAGACGCATGGATATGTGTGTTGCTTTACCTAAAACAGCAGGCGCACTTACGTGAGGTTCCGCGAGGGATGATATGCAAACGCGAAGCCCCTCTCCAGCCTCCCCTCGCCCACGACTATGAGAACAACGGGGGGAGAAAGACCGAATTGAGCCCACGGCTCTGCGGGCAAGAAAGAATAAACAAAGAAACTTTCTATCGCGTCGATTGGGAAGGACGCAGGTGTGACATATGGAGATGTCTCACTTCTCACCGCCAGGCGCGCAGATCAGCGCAACACATAGCTAATCTGCCCCATTTTGGGACATATTGCCATGGACCAGACACGTGTGGCTATCTCCATAGTCCCCGATATTAAGATTTAAGAGAACGAAGTCAATGGAGCCCGGTCCATTAAGGAGGCGGCGCCAAACCGAGTTCATGTCTGCGACAATTCTTCCTTCCTGTTCGCCAGCATCCATGTCTGGCTTCCCACTCGTCGACGACCTCATCGTCTACGTCTTTGAGGTCATATTTTACTCTTCCACAAACGACGGACGCCTTCTAAACACCTGTGACATCGCCCGTCTCGCTAGGGTGTGCAGGCGCTTCAGGGAGCCAGCACTAAATGTCCTGTGGTCTTTCTTAGAGACGCCTGCGCCTCTGGTCCTTTGCGCACCGGAGGAAATGAGGATGGTTGATGAGAAACGGATAGTTGTGAGTCAACCTTTCACCCACGCTTTGTCGGTGACTGTCAGTCGGTCGCGCTCATGTCATCCTAAACGAACAGAGATTATTACGGCCGCCAAAAGTTTCAGACTGGAACATCGTAAGGCCGTATGCCCGTCGCGTCAAGAAACTCGGCTACTTCGACGACGCGGGTCGGTTCTGCCGCCCGCCGCCGCTGCTGCCCACCGTCGACTTTGCAATCGTACGCGAGCTACTCAGGATCTGCACCGATGATGTCTTCTTGCCGAATCTGGTCTCGCTTAACTGCGAGGCACTGTCGCCCCAGACTCTCACAGTCACTGAGTTCTCGAAGATTGCCAACTTCTGCTCAGCAGATCTCTCTCGACTGCTGCTCATCATCCCCCCTGGCGCAACGCCAGTCAATGCAACTGAGGTGTTGAACTCTTTACAGCGGTCGTGCCCGGTGGTTACGGTCTTGTCTATATCTGCCGGATTTCGATACAACCCATTCGATCTCCAATTTAGGGGCCCATGGCTGGAGAACTTGCGCGTGCTGACGCTCATGAGCGTATCACTATCCTCTGAAACGATTGCAGAGCTCGCCGTCGCCCCGCGTCTGCATACCCTCAAGTTCAGTCTCACAGACACCTTCAACCCGACCGCTTTCCGTGCGCACCTTGGCCTCAGTCGCTCCCCGTTGCGTCATCAGCCGTCAACTTTTGCATATTTACGCGTACTCCACCTTCGTGCACTACAAATCGCACTCCTCACGGGATTTTTCGACGCCGTTAGCCTGCCTCATTTACTGGACACGACAATCCTGTACCACGACAATAGTGGACCGTCGGACATCAGCCCCGCTTTACGTGGCCTCGAAAAGTCATGCCAGGCGCGTATCCTTCGTACTCTCGCATTCTCGTGCATGGCACCGTCAAAGAGACCGGCTTCCAGCCCAACTATCCTCGCTGGCTCGGGTGTGCTGACTACCGCGGGTGCACAGTTGGCCGACACCCTCCCAGACATTTCCCCACCTTCCCTCGTACTCCATCCCATCCTCAGCTTTTCCACTCTGCGTGTTCTGTCCATCAGTCATCCCCTTCCAATAATTGATGACGATTTCATTGGGCGCTTATCTGAAAACCTCGGCGCTTTGCAGACGCTCAATATCTCAGGCCCCAAGAGACTTTCTCCCGCAAGTCTCGTTGCTCTGGCGCAGAACTGCCGTGAGCTCCGGCAGCTAGCTATGGCTTTCGACGGTACGGAACTACCCGCCATCAAGAAGCGGAAACCGTTGACGCCGCTCCGCGCAGCATCGTCGCCTAGCACGAAACAAGGAGCAGAGGGAGAGTGCGTTGTTACCCCCCAGCAGGCGCTGAAGGTGTTCAACGTTGGGGTGTCGATCTTCCGCAATGCCACTGCGATGGCAAGTTTCATCGATGCAATTTTCCCCAGCACTGACTTGCTTTATATTGACCCCTGCTGGGATGGCGTGTCAAGTAGGATGAAGAGCATGAGGCTTGCTCAACAGTCACTCGGTGGATCGGTCTCAGGGGCCTCAAGGGGTGCCAAGCGGAAATTCGATTGACGTTATGGGCTGTTTCTCTCATTACAGCACGCGATTGCTATGTACTATTTGATTTCGTGCTATAGATTAAATGACTCACATATTTTCTTGGCGACGGGCATGGATCGTTCACTCTTTAAATTTTCTTGGTTTCTTATACACTTAAGTAGTCCCCATTTAGTATCTACACTTTGAACAAAATATGGCTGAATGCATATAAAGTCTTAACGTGAATAGCTGAACACGATGCAATGCCCTCTCATTAGACGTGTGTTTGGAAGAGGCTTCCGAAGCCGCGCATTGGTACAGCAACCTCCGGGCCGATGTGACCCGACGCGCGCTTGTGGCAACACGTGACTCGGGCGCTCAAATCCACCTCGCCCCCTCCCGCTCAGCTTCACTTGCCTTCAACGCGACACTGGCACACACGCTCTCATCACTATGTCAGGTCAGCGAACACCTCAAAAGCCATACGCTATATGCTAATTCTGACTGCAGATCAATTCGAGCTCGCATCGCCACCTTTCGACACACCCTCATGCCTTCGATTTTCACCAACCAACCCAGACCTCCTCTTGACCTCGGCATGGGACACTTCGCTTCGGCTATACGACATCCAGACGAACACACAACGCTTCAAGTATGACCATCGGGCTGCGGTGCTTGCATGCACGTGGGGGTCGGACACAACGAAGGCGTATACGGGTGGGCTGGATACGGGCGTTCGGGAGTGCGTCATTCCGTTCTTCACTGTATGCGTTTCCTCGTCCACTGTACTGACATACTGCGTGTTGCTGGTTTGTGCGACATTCAGACTCGACCTTGTCACGGAAAAGGCGACCCACTGGGGCCAACACGACAACGCAGTATCCAGTATGGTGTACGCGCGGGACATGAGTATGTACCTATACCGTCTTTCCCCTTTTCTCTTCTCTCTCACGCTCTTTACTCACATTAAGTTTCGCCTTGTTTTGCTCATAGGCACTGTTATCACTGGCTCGTGGGACGAAAGTCTGCGTTTCTGGGACCTACGTTCAGCCCCAACGGGATCCCCAAGTTCAACGCACTCCGTTCCAGAGCGCGTATACCACCTCGACATATCCGGGAACAACCTCGTAGTTGGTATGGCGAGCCGCTTGTTCCACATTTACGACATCAGAAACATGAGCACGCCCGCGCAGACGAGGGAAAGCAGTCTCAAGTTCATGACGCGGAGCTTGGCGTGTATGGCTGATGGACAAGGTGCGTATTCACTGGCGTTCTCAGAGAGTATAGATAATAACCTTGGACGCGTGCATGTAGGATATGCGATCGGCTCGGTGGAGGGGCGTATTGGAGTAGAGTACTTCGACCCGTCGCCAGCAGTCCAGGAGCAGAAGTACGCATTCAAGTGCCACCGGCAGACAATCGAGGACGTCGACCACGTCTGGCCCGTCAACGCGCTTGCGTTCCATCCTGTGTATGTCTTCTCCATCCATCCATCACTCTTATTGCCCTCCGTTGCCTCTTGTATGCGCTTACTCACTCCACTCTTACACCTTCTTTTTTGCCGCCGTAGTCACAACACCTTCGCGTCCGCTGGCTCTGACGGCACAATCTCGATCTGGGACCACAAGCTCAAGAAGCGCCTTCGTCAGTATCCCAAATACCAGACGCCCGTTGCCGCTATTGCATTCAACTGCGACGGCACACGGCTTGCCGTCGGCCTTGGGTATACGTGGGACGACGGGGAGAATGGTGCGCGGAGCGGTGTGCTTCCGGCGCTCTGGATCAGGAAGGTTGGAGATGAGGTCAAGGTCCGTCATCCCCCATGTGCTTCATGGCTACCAACTGCTTACTGATATGTTGGACTCAGCCTCGCCAAGCGGCATAATGCTGCAAGGCAGAGTAACGGCGCTCGCTCTTTAAGCGTCGTTTGTTCTTTGTACAATGCTGTGGTCTACTCGATGGGCTCTTCTGTTATTGTGAGGAAAGAACGATGGATTTGTCCACCAGTGAGGTGGCTTCTACAAAATATTTTAGTGGTCTTACTCTGTTTTAGTGTCGTTCAATGAAACTTTTCTCTTGCATCCCGACTATATGCGGGCGATTTGGCCAAATGCATACGGACCCCAGTTCTTCCTAAATGTGTGCCATGTAGCACCGCTGGATATAAATTTCTTGAAATGACCCGATGTTCGCTTACGTCTCCCGTGGTACAAATGGGAGCTCTGCTGTGACAATCAGGAACCTTGCGGATTGGCCGTCTTGCGAGGCGCAGGCTAGCAGTGCGTTGGGGCTTATGAACGCCAACGATATAACTATCCTCCTTGCCTTCCGTCGCACCATGTCATTAGCATGCACGGTAAGGCTATTCCAGATATGCTGCATTGTCAGTTTTCTGGCTATTATGGTCACGATCCTCTGAGCCGGAAAGCCGTAAGAATGGAGTCCATCGATGATATCGGCGGCGTCAAACCTCATGGCACACTCTACGACATTTACAGCAATCGAGACTAAGTTCACACATACCGGGGGTGAATCGTTGATCCACTCCCCTTACATCGATTCACCTGCATCCTAGGACCTCCGGCCTGGGTGATCAATCAATCACCCTAGGTGCATATGTGAGACTCAAACACCCAGACACCAACATTCAGGTGCTCTCCTTCGCAGCTACAGACGTGGTAGGCCGCTGGTAGCTGTTGACTACTACCGTTTGTTATGTACAGCACGACGTCGCCTTCAGAACCCATAGATCCTCAACCCCAGAGTTCGCCATTAGATCGGGCTCGTTCGTTACGCGTAGTTACGGCTTACACTGACTAGTAGCACATAGACGATGAATGGACTTGTAAAACGCAAGCAATCTCCCTTTCTTCCGGTCATGCCCTCCATCACACTAGGGAATCGTTGAGTGAGTCAAGTTTATGTCACGTTCAGAAACAGGAAGTCGTATATTCGTGCGTACACTTGACATACAAGAAATAATATATCCGTAAATATGGTATCGTAGCCAACAAATTACCGAGAAGATGTCACGGCACAACCCAAAACATAAATACAGAACAGCAAAAACAGTCGACTCCTCGAGATTCGCTGCACAAAACTACGTGCAATAGATAGTGCCCATGTAAATGTTGCCGGGATACGGTCCGAGGTGGTTGGTGATGTCGCCATCAAAGACGTTGGGGACCGTCTTGATCGTGCACTGGTCATCGTCGGCGTCGTCGTCTCCGGGGCACTCATACACGGTGCCGTCGTCAGTGATGTGAGTCTCGCCCTGGACGTGCGAGAAGCCCAAGAAGCGGCCGGGCACGATCGGGATGAGGTCCTTCTTGTTGTTGATGCGGATGAAGTCGCCGACCTATACGAGCGAAGCAGTAAATTTCCGATACTCTAAACTATCGAAACGAGAATTGAAAGTGCTTTACCTTGCCATCGAAGAAGGACGCATAGTCACCGTTGCCGACACGAGGCGTTCCGTACGTCTGGCCCTTGACGTTGATGCTCGAGGGCAGGTTAAGTGTCATGTAAAGCGACTCGAGCTCAGAAAGGGCACCGCCAAGCGAGTGGCCGACGAGGACGACCTCAGTCGCGCTGTGCTGCGAGATGAGGTTGTTGACCTCGGTCAAGATGTCCTTCGCAGTCTTGGCGTGCTCATCTGCGAACCCCTTGTGCACCTGGACGGCGTCGGGAACGCCAGGGAAGAGACCAGCGTCCAGGTTCTCCATGGGGATGTCGGCGTCCGTCAGGTCGGACTGGCTGTGGGTGGACAGGAAGCTGGCTCAGAGGGAGAAACGCGATCATGTAAAGGGTAAACTCACAACTGGGTCGGATCCGTGCCCTCATGAGCAACGACGACAGCGTTCTGGTCGGGCCAGTAGCCGACAAAGTCTAGAAACAAGGCCTGAATACTTAATTCGCAACTACAAGGCAGAGTATAGAAACGTACAGTTCTGGATGGTGTCACCGTCGCCACCAGTGAGAGTAGCCTGGAAACCAGGCACAGCATCACAGGCCTCTGTGGGGAGCAATCAGGGCGTGCCGATGAACAATGAGTCCGATCATTTTGAGTTGTCTGACGCACCTCCACACGTCCAGGTCTTAGTCGCACTCGGATCACAGTACGCCGCCCGCGCGAACTGGGTGTAGGGCGTCCAACCGTCGATGTCGCTCTGAGCCACCTGGGTGACTGAGCTGACCCAATCCTCGATCTCTTGAATGGGTGCTGCAGACGCGGTGAGGGCGCCGACGAGGGCGAGAACGAAGTTGATGGACACGCGCATGCTGGCAGGCTCAAAGGACGAAAAAGACGAAGATGAAGACGAGGTCTGGTGGGACTCGAGATGAGAAACCACTCGGACAATATTTCTCCGCGTTTTATAGGTCTCTCCGGTGCGTGTTCCATGCTCCATCACAGTCCATCACTCACGAGAGCGATCGACAGTCAATAGTTCGACTATGTGTCTCTGATGGTGAGCCTGTGTGCGCCAAAGAAGTACAGAGTTGTGGAGCACGGGACGCGCATCCACATGGGTGCGCAGAGGTACGCGCAGGTTCGCGCTCACATCGACGCGGAGGTAGTGCTGATAGGCTACCCCTTGGCTGTGAAGATGTTGCTCATACGACTGGGTAAAGCGGGGAGAGTAACATATACATCAGAGCAGCCGAAGTATGAGAAGGCTTGGCATTTGACGCTGCACATGGATGGTGTTGCGGGACGGGCGTTCGGGGAAGGCGTGCGATGATTCGCTGTTGGCATTAGCATCACCGCTCGAAGCTTCGGATTGGCTACCTCATGCATATACCAGCGACGTTGGCCAGCATTGGCCTTTATCAAATACGGTGTCCGCGAGTGACCTATAGTAGAAATCATTGACAAGCTGTGGAACAGCGTGAGCGAAGCCATTGAGCCCAACACAGAGGTCGACCGAGCATGTACCTTTGTTTCGGCTTGTGCTGAGTTTGATCATGGACGGAAAATCTTCCTGAGATGGGATGTGCTGTCGTACAGCAACCTGTGGTCATGGGACACATTAATCTGCTGCGTGATGTCGGTGAGGACGTTCGACTTTATTGATGACGGAGAGGAGCATGATAAATTGCACTCGTCGGCTCGCCGACACTCACCGCCCGGAGCAGACCGGCTATCGGCTGACGTAATCACAGTTCTCACCAATTAGCCGACACAAACGACTCGCTTGTCACGTTTCTCATTGCTCAACAAATATACGTGCATCTACAGCTACATGCTGTCAGCGGATGAAAGCAGCTGCAAACTCCAGTATCACCGATTACGCCACTTGCTGCGCCTGTCCTGGTAAAATTCTCGATACCAACACAGCAGCAACGTTCAACGTTCAACTCTAGCCGCAAATCCTGTGTTTTCCTCACATCTCCTGCCATTTTGTACAGGATGATCTTCCTCCAGCGAATGGTAGTCGCGCGATAAGAGGTCAATGTTACCCATGACTTCCACAGCCTTCCGCATGTGAGATTTGGCCTACTCTGATGAGAGAGCTGAATGATATATGTAGGCGAGTCTACGGTTCCAGGTTCGCCAGTTTGGTCACCTCTGCATTTCCGCCAAGTTGCATCGGCTTTCGCTCCCCTCGAAACCAGAGGCCATACAGTCTGATCTGGATGCGAGACGTAACACGATGTACGCGGCGATGGAGGTAGGTTGCAGGTAAGCTCTTCCGCGGCTAAACTTCCTGATAATGACAGTGGTTCATGTCTCCATTCTCGCAGTAAACTCAGGGTAGTTCAGGGAGCAGTCGTCAATGGGTCGGACCTGGAACGAAGCTCGCAAGAACAAAGTCCCTTGCTGTGGGCTACCTTACACTGGGAGTCGATGGGCTGTGGAAACCAGGACTTTGCCTACTGCCTCTTCCTGCGTACTTGCTGTTCTCCTCGGTATCTGCTCTCGCTTCATGCCGTAAGTCTGTTTTCTCTGAGACACAGGGCATAACGTTCGGACTTGAGCGCTCGCGGAGGTATTGTCCTTGATTCCGACTACAAACCCTATCTGATGCTAAGGTGAAATCATCCTCAAGGTCGGCTCAACTTCATTGACAGCATTCACGGCGAAACATCAAACATCTCGCCGATGAGGCTAACGCCCCTCCGCAGCCCTTCCGCTCTACGTTCCACCACAATTCCTTCGCTGATGGAACGTTAACTTATTTTAACGTCGTGGCTCGACATAAACAGCATGTTCTCCGTTCTCCATTTTCCGGCCGCGGGACGTCAACTCGGACGATTCGACGGGCGCTCTTCGGATCGAACGTTGTAAGAACTCCTTGCTACCACGCCACGGTAACTCTCGGCCCTTCTGCGCAGCTTCAAGGGGTTTCTGGTATTGCACGGCCTATGTCATGCTGAGCATGCCCCACTTTACTGCACGTGTACGGTATATTGTGCACAGCCGCATCTGGTGAGCCGTAGACTTGCGCGTCGAACATTCGATGATCGGATACGACGTCACTACGGCGCTGACCCTGTGTCCTGCTTGGCACATACACTTAATCTAGATTAATGATTTTTACTGGATGCCCTCGTAATGATTTTTACTGGATGCCCTCGGTAAGCATCGTATCCGGATGGTGCGAGCACATGCAGCTGAAGTCTGGCCTATAGAGGCGGTCCCCCAGCTATGCAGGCGCAGTATATAAGGCTCCCGCGTGGTTGACGTCGTGTTTACTTTCATGCGTCACCTTTCCAGGGATTGCCTTCGTTTTTTGCCAAGCATGTCCCTCTTCTCCAGCCCGCGCAGACGTGCACTCTTGATCGCCGTCCCTGAGGCCGACCAGCCCCTCCGGCGCCAGGATGTGCATCGTCTCGCCAAAGTCCTAAAAGGTATAATTTCTCTCCGTTGGTGGATGTAACTTTGATCCTAGCCCTCCTTCTCCAGTACATCGGGGTTACGATGCGCGTGATATACTGCTCATGGTAAACGACGACACGTCTTCTCCAATGTTTCCAAGCCAAGCGAACGTTGTACGTCACACTCACCAGCCTTGCGTAGTCTTTATTGATGTTCTTTCCCTCAGATGCGCGAGATCGCTTCCATGTTTTCAGAAGCCAGGGCAGGCGATCAATTCTTTCTATATTGTATGTGCTTTTGCTCAGCATCGCTGTATGATGTGCCATCAATGACAGCCATTGAACATTTTTAGTGTCCGCACACAGCAAGCGGGCAACGTATGAAGGAGACTGCTGTAAGGGCGCTACCTCGATTTTTTCTCGTTAATATACTGATACTGCCTTGGACCAACAACAGCTACCCTTGTGCTTTCTGCGGAAACGGAAGTGCGCGGAGAGGTAACGTTTTTCGCGGTTCAAATTCATGGCATGACTAACGCCTTGAACGAAGGAAATCCTGGGCGTTATACGACATCTACCTTATGGCACAAAGGTGTCCATATTAATTGACTCTTGCTATTCTGGCGCGATTTTCGGTATGTATCGCCACGTACAGGTTCATCGCATTTTGCCAACGCATTGCTGTAATACAGGATCGAACCCGTTCGAACAATGTGAAATGCACGGCCCGGCCATCGTACGTATTCTTCCGGGATATCTACATAGCAGCACAAGGTTGACGTGATCCTATAGGGCCTCATCACTGCATGCGACTCTGATCAAAGAGCATGGGAATGTGAGTCGGGGGGTACCGATGATTCTTATGACTTTTCGGTGACCTTGGTACGTTTCTTTCTTGTTGCGTTGCTACATAAACTGACGACGCTATTCGCTCATCAGGCTTTGATCAACTTCATAGGTAAGTTCAGACAATTTTCCTCTCCTACATCTATCTTACGGCTTGTACAGATTCTAATCCTCGTTACACCTGGTCCGAGCTGATGAAAGCACTGAGGTGAGCTGCTCCCTGTTCTAGCGGCCCGCTATGGGTATACTAACTGCCCCGATAGAGTTAAGTGCGACGAGATGACGGTTGACAGGTTGAGCGAGTTTACTGGGACTCGGCTAGCACCCCTGAGTCGTGGCGCCTCATTGCCCCATGACGAGCATCAAACACCTCAGGTATGTTATGCCTACTCCTCGTTCAACCCTTTGTCTAAACAACCTTCTCTCACAAAGTTGATCTATACTCGCGATGTTGTACGTATCACACCGTAACTGTCTCTGCCATCCTTGTTGACCATTGAATAGAATATTGAATCTTGCGCTTTCTTGTGATGGACATATACCCAAGACCCTTGATTTCCCGCACAGACATATTGAACTCTCAGCACGTATACCCACGGACGAACATCCATACCCAAATTGCATTAAACTCGGTAAAAATCGGACAACATTTCTACACGTATACACAGATTACACGACCATGTATACCCTCATACTTACGCCCTAGCCAATATACTGTATTTCACGATGACGCGCAGCAGCATGCAAGCTCAGGTCCATGGCTGTGAGACGTTAGCGTATTTATCCCGACGATTGGTCACCACACCATTTCATTAGGCTGAGAACGTCGGCACACACCAAATGCCTGCTAGAGGTCGGTATACCTTGTTGCTAATCAGCGTTGTATCGCTCATTGAACCACTTCATGGTTGGAATGCACCCAGTGAGTATGCTTGGGGTTTCCCTGACTTTACTCTTGTCAACTCGATGGCAATTCATAGACCAACAGCACATGCAGCCGCTAGAGCTATGAACCATTGCATACTTCGTCAAAGAGCTACGAGGAACCAACACAAAATCAGTCAACTGAAATTAATATTGGTATGGTAGTGGGACGATGTGAATTGCCAGTCCTTGATTTGAGTTATATCGTTAAAGACTGTCTGACGGAGTCATGGGGGCCTCCATCCTGATGAGCAAACTATTCTACCGCTCCCTTTCTCACTGCTTTTGTACTGTATTATAATTGCCTAGTTTTTCAACCATGTCATTATCTCGGAATCGGAGGTGGATCATTAGGTCATTGTTGCTCCAAGACCTCTCGTCCAACTCAGTAGGCTATGATTCCAAGAACAATATCGTTTCATCGCATGCGGAGGATATCTGACTTGTGATAGTACATTATTCGGAGTATTACAAGCAAAGAATTCAGTGGCAGAGGATGAAGGTCCTATATGACTTTTTCATCTATCGTAAACCTTCCCTGCATCCACCATACAAATTTGATTGACATTTCCCCGGTGACATCCCAGTTGATATTCACAGTAGTAGGAGTACTCCGAGAGATACATGTCATATATTACGCTTGTCCTTTCCGCCAAAGAAATTGAACGCAGATCAGGTCTTAGCTGCAAAGGAAACGGTTGATCACGAAGAGCACAATGCGTTGAGGGAATCACGCACGTGCTTACAACTGTTGATGAGGCGATAAGAACTTCAACAAAAAAACAGAAGCATGTTGCACTTGCGCAGAAGTGAGGTTGTATTCACGCACCAATATCTAGCTAGTCCGGTGAGTTAGAAGGCTTCGCTCAAGACTTTTTCCTGTTCTTTTCTGACCTTACCAGTTTGGAGTCAACGCGAAGATCACACTGTTACCGTCAATCTCCGGTCCCAGGACGCTGTACATCGCCCTTCAATGATAAGTAAGAGAAAGAGACCGTGCCGGCCACCGTGTAGACGTATGATGACCCGTCCTCAGATTGAACTTGTACATTATTTTGGTCAGGTATGGTAGTAAAGAATAAGATATCTGCTCAACTTATGCGTCAGAATGGTCGCCGTGAAAGAAGCCAAAGAAGGCGCAGGTTTGGAGCAGCCACTAAGTTCTTCGTGTCTCTCGCAATATTCGACCACAGTTCGTAAACAGAGCAGCCCGATATGCTCATGTATTTCTGAACGATTAATCAATGGACTTCCGCAGCTTGACTATTAAGTAGCTAAAGAAAGGGCGCGAGCTTTCATGCCTGCGAACTCGTGAGCTAAACCTTCGGTGCTAAATCCAGAAACTTCCACGCAGAACAGCCTAGTTGGGTAGTACGGACCCGCTTTTACGCGGACTGGCAGAAACTTTACTTCGTTTCCATGGAACAGGTTGCGAATCGCATGCTCTGTCGTTATCGTTGTGCGCCTTCAGAATGTCCGGTTTCCTAGTCTTACCTAGTGCCGACGGCGACCTGCTTGGACTGATGTCTAAGCGCCCGTACGAGAGCTTGCATGTGTAAGATCAATTTTAATACTCTCATCGGGCGAAAGTAATGAGACCGCCGATACCACCTTGTGAGCAGAGGAGAACGCACATGTTAGTTTAGCATCGGGGGCCCAATCGGGACCCGGCCTGTCATGCCATATAGGGACCGATGTCGGAAACAAATTCAATCCGAGGAAATTGAACTGTATTACATATCAACATATCATCAACGATTCTGACGTCGGAAGCTTTCGGAACCGGCCCACTTGCTCTTGTTCTTTCATAACGCAACACGGACGCAAATATCAGACTATGTGTTGACATGCACACGGGCACCTGTTGACAGCCTGAAAGTTACGGAGGCAAGAGCACTGCAAATACCAGGGGTTCCCCGTGGCACCTTGATGGCAAGCCTAGAAGTTATCACACTTTCGTAAGTTTGATGGTCTCCCGGCGCAACTCTTCAGAAGGCGGGGCTTCCACAGTCTACATACTGAGAACAACCCACGGTGGTCCTTCCCATTTCAGCGAAGAATTCAAATCCCATGTTTCAAGTGCCTTCTTATTTATAATTTCTCGCCCTTTCTAATATGACATTCGGTTCCTAGTGCTATTGAAAAGAAATGCGACATTTGAGGCGCAGCCTGTTACCAGCTAACCTCTAGTTGTAAGTGCGGAAGTATCTGCATCTTACGGCATATCAACACTTCTTACGGCCATATATCATAGCTGAACTTGAACGTTCTGCTTTGATGTTGATGTCACTGGAGAGACACGAACTTGCTTCTATGTCAGCCAAACAAGAGCGGCCTCGATGTTTGGCATGGTTCTGATGCCCGCCTTAGTGTATGACTTACCCACATTGATTAGCTCGTCAGATCTTCAGTCTTCTCCCGAGGACTGCTGAGCCAAGAACGCGCCATCCCTCGGGTCCGTTGTACGTGCAACAGCGAGCGGCCATAGACGGCATCGACCCTGTGTGCCGACTCGACCCGTCGCGCGTCTTCACAATGGAACGTTGAACGCGATTACGAGAGCAAGCTCATCAACAATCTACGGCATGTCTCATATCAGTCTTCCCCTGCCTCTCAACATCTGATGCAACATGGATGCGTCGGCATCGGTGGGGTTTGTTGTATCCTCCCTTGACGAGCGGCGACCTTGGCGGAGAACGTCGGTCATCAGTACACGCGGAACAGCAAGCATCCTCATTAGAACAACATCATCCTTGGGGATAAACAAAAGGCGGACGCCCACAAATATACTTCGCTCTTGAGAACATGTTCAAATTGTCAGCGAGCTTCTTCACTCTCTGATGTTTCCCTACTGACGTTACTCTAATCAGCAAACATATTACTTGATGGTCCGCTAAGCTCGTAATTACCGCCCCCGGCGGCGACTCCTTGTCTGTCGTTCATACATGCAGCCTCAACAACGACCAGCTTACGGGAACCGAGAACTATCTTCCCCGCATTAGGCTCCGAAATACAAACAGTAGGATCCCGACATCTCCATTTCATCATGTTTCATTTCCAGAAAATTATATATGTACTCTCGGAAGCGTGGACTACGTCTACTCGGTTCTCGCATTACTATTTCGCTCTTGTCTGCGGAGCTTTGGATGTACACCGTTGCAGGTACCCGCTCGGTGTGGCCGATCGCTGATTGACGCTCGTGCCCGCCGTCACACGTGGAATGTGATACGGCGAGGTTGGCGCTGCTTTTCCTGGAATAGTCGGCCCTTTGTCTAGATCTGATTCCAACACGTGCTGGATTTCAACCAGTACTTCAGAGGCATGTGGAGACTTCCTCGCGCTCGTCGTTAAACTTGGAACGGCGAGGTCGCTGGCGACGACGTATCGTCCCGATTTGGAGGCTCCTTTGTAAGTCTCCACTGTGAATGTCACGCCTTTTCTTGGATTCGAGACGTATGCTTGCTCCAATGTCTTTTGTCTTCAGCACGTTGGTACATTTATTTTGGATGATACAGATGTTCTTCTATCTTACCCGGGAGGAGTGAGAGTGTCAGATCTAATGTTCATCCCAGCCTTTTGTCTTCTATCATTATAGAGAAATCGTTCCGGAACTATGTATTTCTGTGGCGCCTGGCCACGATGTCTGTGGTGGTGAGTAGCGTGCCAAACTTGACATAGATTCGGCCTTTTGTTTTTCGTTCGATATGGCTAGAATTGCCCAGCGTGATGTAACTCTGGGCAACTTAAACAACGTTCTGTGCTCATGCGGCAGTGGTGCAACCAACATTTCTGTGAATTTTGCAGAATTATACACCGGAGAAGCGCTACGCCAACTTCAGCGTAACAACCAATACAATAGTACTGGTCAGCTCCTTTTGTTCTCTGCGAACGCACGGTCATCTGGCAAGAAACTCACAAGCACCAGCCCCTATCCCAAACTAAGCCTAATCTCTCAACTCACAGACTCAGGTTCGTTGAGTTTCTCAAACATCAAACCCTCGGAGGAGACTGTATGAGCGCACAGCCATGTTCGAAGGCGGAAAGGAACTCCGTGACATCGCAACAATGATATCTCACCAGCATAATTGAATCCATCAAACGCCCAAGGCACCTTCCCACGTGTCCCACACGCATGGCGCGAGCCTAATCTGGGGACCCACAGGGGTTTAAAGGTTCACCGCCGTCGGTGGACAGTAGAGCGCATACGGCAACGTCTGCTCTCGATCAATCGCAATAACTTGCATGTTCACAGCGTCTGTCAAGAATCGTCACCCAAACATACCCTGTGTTCCGCGGCTTTTGCACTCCAGCGTCAGCGGGAGCGTTAGTTGCGACAGCGCCAGGCCAAACGATATCCCAAAGTTCTGTCATATTATCACCGACGCTCACATCGATCGCGAACCTTGTTCGACCGTGAGACCGCGCGGCCACCGCCACACGTGTAACAGCGAGCGGGGTTGGTCGGGCAAACGCAGGGGCTGGAGCGACCGCGAGGGCGGTCAACAGCGCTGACCTGCACGCGCTCGCTGGGCTTCTTTCGGGGCCTATTTGCTTTGTAAAGATGTTTGATGGACTAGCCCAGCCTGTCGAACACCTAACCCGCTTATGAGAATGGTTCGCACATACGTACTCATCCGATCCGACAAACAGGCTAGGTCAACCAACTGTCAACCGCCAGCCGCAGTATCGTTTCTCTCGGCCGCATCGGCGGTTATCGGAATACCTAGTGCTCTTGTTTCCCTGTCACTTGAGCTGCGTATCGTGAGACTAACTCTCAAAGCAAGCAATGACAGTGGTCATATCTGACAACATAGACGGTGGGCTAGAATCCTAAAACCAGGGGTGAAGAGGCCGTAGGTTGTCGTGCTCGCCGTGCTTCTCTGGTTTCGGGTACTCGAAGGAACCAAGGCGCGGCCGGTGCTCAGTTCGGTGTTGAACGCACCGCTTCAACAAGAGCGAACAAGAGCAACGGTGCCGAGGACCTGCCTGGGTTAGAGATCGTTTAGATGGAACGCGGCTGATGTGGGTCACTCAGGCCATAAGCGATTTCGAGGAGAGATGTCCTCGGGGATGACGAAGGTCAGGGTAAACATTATTCAGGGAAATCGGGGAGATGCCAGTGGTTTCCGACAAGGTCACGATCGTACGACTTCATTATCGCAAGTCCGAAATATCAGACGGAAGCAAAGTACAGCTCACTCCAGGGTCGCGATCCATCCGGTCGTTGCATCGATCGACACAATCAGCGCGAGGGGACTCTGCATGACTGTTCTATGCCACGATATTATCGTAGCCATTATGTGGTCTACTTGAAACCGTTCAAACTCTTCCGGTGTTACCAAGAGAGACTTAGACACGTCTGCAAGGTCAAATGACTGCATGCTATCAGCATCTGGGAACGCCGAAGGTCAAGGACTCACCCCATCCGCGGCAGTTCGCTTACCGGGCGTGATACGCTCCGGGATCCCCACCCTCGGTGCTCGCCCTCGAATCGAGGCTAATACCTCCCTCCCCTAGACCGGGCCATCTTGAACGAAATCAGATGAGCTCAGGGGAAAGGGTACCAATCACCACGAAAGCATCCTCGCATTCTCTTTCTCCATCCTAGTCAAGATCGCTCTTGATATTGCGCTGATCTATCATTACATCTGAACCTGTGGGCCCTGGAGGCGTTCTCGGAGATCGCTCGAGGGCGGCGATGGAATGATTGATGCACCCGTATCAAGATATCACGACCTCGACGTGAGTTTGGCCTTTCCTGGCGTGCTTCTGGAGTCAACGTTAACATCAGCACGGGAGGCGATTCCTATTCATTCATTACGGGGTGCTGACGCCTTGGGGTACAGCTGCCCTATTCGCAAAGGTCGAGGGTGGTGGCTGGGTATTGGATAGCCCGCGCCACGGTTCCGTTGGACATCGATAGCGGATGCATTTAGCACGATCTAGCGCGTTCTGGGCTTCGACATGACAGACTCCGGGGCCGGGTGAAGAGCAGGGGAAGGGGTTGGAGAGGATGAAGGGGTTCGTGATACTACGGACTCGGAACAAGAGCACAGGCTAGCGCGTCACGGTGAACTTACCGAATGCATCCGCCCAATAGCTCTCCCTTTCAGCCTGCCATAAGCTGGTCACTACATCACCGGCACCCGCCGCAGCCTTCCGAGCTTCAGCTTCATCACTGGCCCCTCGCCACTCTTCGAACTTCGACTTCCAGAATTCGAGCGTAAATACGCCGACGTCGACTCAGCCGCACACGTCAGCTTCGGAACGCTACGATGGTGGCTCCCGCAAGGTTCACGATGGAAGGTCTTGTCCCTACTTTCCGGTCACAAGGAAGAGCTAATACTGGGCGCGATCATCCCACCTCCAGATGCGTGAGCCTGGCCATATGCTACGAAGTGTGCAGAAGCTTTACCGTTCTACTGGTCCTGAAGGCTGGCCAGCGCCCCTCGGAGCCCACACATCCATCGACGAATGAGAGGTCATTTTTTTGCGCTTTGTTCCGTTAGAGGCTAGCCTAGTAGTCGTAAAGTAGCGAATGGAAGCCCTGGTGGAAGCAAAAGTGTCTGAGACCTTCGCGGGACAAAGTCAGCCCCTCTATGCCATGCTCCCGGCGGCAAGCAGCACGCAACACGTCAGAACGGGCTGCACGAACCACAGCGAACCTCACCTGGGCTGGTTCACAGACACGCTAAAGGCCCGAAATTAACCTCGAGGTATCACGAGACGCAGCAGTGGAACCAAAAGGACGTGTTGCTTCTCATTGGATGGACCCACACCTTCGTCTCTTCGTCTGGACTAGACTAGTAGCGTCAGTACCGGACCATGCACTACTGCATACGTGAGATTCTAGCAAAGGTAATGTCAAAGAAAGTAGAGGAATCTAACATTAGAACGGGGGGCGTCGTGAACCTAAGTACATGCTTATATGCGGTTATGTATGATCAAAGAAAGTAGTCCCTGAAGGATGGACGAGACAAAAGACAGGAATGTGATAGGATACGATAGAATGATGTTGAGGGAAATGAAAACGAAATCTCTAGCAATGCGATCTAAGGTAGTAGTTACAGACAAAACGAAAAGCGGGTGAAACGACGACAAAAAACGGAAACAGTCTTCGACTGCTAGTAAGTGTCCGTGAGGCAGGCAGGAAAGTTTAGAAGTCCCTGCGTCCATTCATTAGTACAAAGGCGTATCCGGCGCATCTTTGCCCTGCATAACCTTGAAATGCGTGATCGCGCGCTTCCACGACTTGTCCATCTGCTCCGTCTGAGGAATAACGCGGATGGACGCCCACGGGAACAACCCAAAGATGAACATCGCGACGTCCACGGGGCTGCTGATGGGCGTCGAGCCGACGTTGAGCTCGCGCAGGACGTACTGCGGACCCGCGTCCGCGTCCTCGGCCTCCGAGTCGTCATCATCCAGGTGAACTTCCAAATTGGGAATAGCGTCGTCGTTGTGATGGCCAGCGGACAGCAACCGGTCCTCGTGGGTGACGACAGTCCCGTCGAAGGGCATGTACAGACGCTTGAGGTTCCGGCAGTGCCGTGCGAGCGGGACGAGGGCACGGAGAGTCAGCCGGGGGGCGCCGGGGACGGACAAGACGAACGCGAGCTCCTCCAGTAACGGCCAGGCTGCCGCTACATCCGCAACGAACGCGTCTGTCATGTCGAGGTTGCCGACATTGGCTATATGCACGTTCTTGAGGTTGTGGAACGCAAAGAGAGGTGCGAAAGCGGCCGGCGAGACTGTAGGCAGACCGTCGTCCATGACAGAGATGACGCGTACTATGCTGAGCGCTCGCAATGAGGCCGGGTTGGGGCATGCAGCACGGATGGACGCCAAATCGATGGCGGAAGGAGTGTGAGCTGCAGTGAACTGGACCTGGAGCCCCTCGAGGTTCGGCATGTGCAGTGCACGAAGGAAGTCGGTCCACTGGTCTGGGCGTGAGGCGCGGATGCTCAGGTGCTCGAGGCCCGAGAAGCGTGCCTGGGGCGTGGAATGCATGCACGATGCACCAGTGCCACGCGTCCGCGCGAACGCTTGCGCGTCAAACGTGTCCTCGAGAGTACAAGAGAGCTTGCGAATGCGCGGCGACGCGGCGAGCTTGGCGAGCGTCTCGGGCGACAGGTGAACGTCTTGGAGAGGGAGGGAGAGAGAGCGGAGGGTGCGTAGAGTGCCGTCGGGTATCCGTAGGGAGGCGGGTGGGGAGCGGTAGCCAGGCGAGATGGACAGGAGCTCGAGGTCCGGGCAGCGCGTTTGGAGGCTGTCGATGATGTACTGCACGAATTCGAGTGAGACTCTGACGATGGAGAAGGAAAGTTGGCGAAGCATGGGCGTGAGGAAATGCTTGAGGCTATGAAAGTTGCTGTTCACACAGCGGTAGCCCACAGCAGACATGAAGTCGAACGCGAGGAGATTTGGGAAAACGTCCTCTATGGCGCAGTGGACAAGCATAGCGTCGAGAATGGCGGCGTCTGGTAGCATTGGTCTGGCCTGACGAAACGGGAACGAGCCAACGGGGAATTGTGGGTTGCCGATGCAACGTATGCGTCGTCCATACACCTTGACGCGCTCCCAGTCAGATGGTCTTGACGTCCTGGATAGCTTCTGCAGTGGGGCAGTCGTCACAATGAAAGGAAAGCACAGTGAGCAAGTGATCATGACGTCACGAAAGAGACAGCGGTACATACAACAATGTTCTTGCAGTCGACGTGGCGCATGTCCTCAGGCGCGCAGAGAAAGAGAGGACCGATCGTGTCTTGCGCCCACCAGAGAGTGTCTAACGCGGGATCCTGGAACTGACGGCACACACGCGCCAACCGAGCTAGGTCTCCTGTGTTGAGAGTCTGCTGGTTGTCAGGGTGCGAGTGCAGGACAGTCTGACATATCTCCCGTAGCAGTTCGTCGACACGAAGGCACTTGTGCATCGTCCGAGGTCGGGATAGAGTGTTTGCCGGAGAATGGTAGCGCAAAACTCGGAAAGAGGCAAATTTTAGACGTTGCTGGACTGCACCTCGCACTAGCCACGACGCGTTGTCATGATGCTGAGGGTGGGCAAGTGCCGGGAATTGCCGGAGAGTCTATGCACAGGCTGAGCAGGGGGCAGGGGCTGTAGATGGACGGCGTCTCCATGTCTTGGATGACTTGGATGACCAGAAGAGTGGACTGCGCGTACAGGAACAAGGATTTATGAGGTGAGATGGAGAAGGTGGAAATGAATGAAGTGGTGATTCAGCCGGGTAGTGACGCATATGAACTCCAGATAGCCTTGCTCAAGATTGTTATCGCGATGCATCATTCGGCAGTCACCGGGAACACGTTCCTCAGACCTCGTCCAATCCCTGCCAGCTGCCTCTCTCCTTTGGGAACGCCTGTGCATGACTGTGAGATGAGGTCAGACTCGCAGCACCTCCACCTCTTCCATGACTCGACGTCTTTAGCCCCCGTTCTCTCGCACCCTATTCGTCGTCATTCATAATCCCGTCGTCAAGACACAAGGTTAAAACCTGGCGCCGACGGAAGGAGTTCACTGTGTTTCACGTCACTGTAGCACGATGGTCGTAGGACTGGGCCCAGCGTAAGCACATGCTCTCACACTTACTTCGTCCCCACCCCATCTTTGCTATCACATATTGTTCCCCAATCTCGTAAAGCACCCCATTCAATTCAGGCCCAAGGGACTCTAAAGAACCAGAGTTTACCCCTGCTCCATCGCATCTGATTCTCGAAGCATACGGACGATCCTATTCTCCTTGTTCCGTAGGATCATCCGTGCTATATGCAAGCCATCGCGGCAGGGTTTCTCGAATCCGACTTGTCAGCTACATTTAGACTGCTACAATTTGACCCTCCTTTCGATGGTCGAAGCTCGAGCCATCTGCACAGACCCGCATTTGTGCCTTCATCCCCTGCTGATATCACCGTTCATGCACTCCGAAGGCGTTCATCATCCGCACTCACGTGAACACGACTCATTGTTCGACGCGCGGGGACCTTCGATGCCATCACCGCTATATCGGAGACCAGGTCGGGGGCCATTCGCGTTCTGCTGAGACAGCATCTGCTGTGTCGACGCCACCATCATCGCATTAATCTGAAACTTTGCCTTTTCACCTACCAATGTGCGCAGCTCCGCGGTCCGCCCAATTCCCCGCCGTCGACCCAGGAGCCAAGTTGCTAAACGCGCTCACTGGTGATGCCCGAGAGGCGCTCGCGCCATGATACGGTCGGTGGCACGTGAGAACGCGCCCGAAGTCATCCTTAGAATCTGATATACTTAGCTCTTTACCCTGCAAATGGCACATTTGCTCCTGACTCGAGGACATGCATATATTGCGAATGTGCGAAGGTTTTTTTCTTCCCGAGGCACAATGGAATCTTCGATCACTCATAGGTCGTCAAGATCGAGACAGCTAAGCCGCTATGTATACGTTTGGTAGACTTTCTCCCTGCACAGTTTTGCACACTGATCCCGGCTATCTGCGATGCAAACCCGCCATTGTCCTGCGTCTTCCCGTCAAGCTCGCTATCTCCATGAGAAGCCTCCGCTGGACTCGTCGATCCTGCACAATGAGGTATGGTCACGTATAGATTCGAAGATTCGCTTTACCATGGGACCATTGTTCCCTCTGTACGCTCGACAAAGCCCACCGCTGGTCGCTTTTGCGACCCACATGCCCTCTCTGCTGCGGCCGAGGTGAATGCGCTTGCTTACGTGCGGCTTGATCTCTCATTGTGCTCCGGTTTCATCCATCCCCGAAAGCACCGAACCGACGAGAACTCTTGCAAGTTTCCGCTCGAAGTGGACGGGATAAGCCTCGGATGCACGCATATGTATATACGCCATTATAACCTCCTTGGCTCTCGGTGCGTGTTCACGCGGCGTTCCGATGTGAATCATATGCGCGATACCTGTACTCTGCATCTCATAGTGAACGCGGCATCACCTGAGGAAACTCTTCGGAAACTCTGAATGCAGCTATACAGTACCATTCAAACTCACGGCTCACCGTTACAGTCCATCGCCCGAAAATCCACGGCTCGATGGCCACGTTTCTTTGCGCCGCCGCGTCAAGGGGTTCCCAGGGGCGCTGACGGAGCGAGGTACCAGCGCTCTGGGTCCCACATGCCACATTCGTCCACATGATCATCCAGGTCAGGTCCGGCGTGCCATTTGCCAACGCGCGGAGGCATCTCGAGATTGCTGCGCTGATTGCCTCCGGCGACCCGAAATCGGAGTCATGCAATGGCCAGCGCAATCTCTCCCCTTTGCTTAGTGCAAATGGTCTGATTAGATGCGTTAGAAATAAACTTGCACGTACTGTACGTGGCGTATCTCCGAGGGTACGAATTTTATGAGACTTCCACGTTCGAGCGCAAACTGAGGGAGGCTGGCTCGTTGGGTCCGGTATGTTGGATATTGGTAATTCACAGTCACTTATCGGAGTGGAGCGCGATCATAGCTAATTAACAGGATAGATTGGCTAGCATGGTGTCCGTTCTACAGATCTTTCAAGTCCAATATCAAAGAATGGGGAGGTGAGATTCTTCTGAAGGTTTGCCCGCTTGGCCGAATTGCACGGGCAAGAGTCCAAAGGGCAGCGGACGTTGCCGGAACATGCGAATGTGAAAGTGAAGTCACGATGTTCAGCACGACTGACTTGAAATTAGCGTGGTTGGCGTGGCGTTCGCGTTCGCCGGCCGGCAGGCGCGGTCATCATTCATGCGAGGGTACTTTTGGTGGCGGGCTGGCGGGCTGTAAAGAATGCAACTCACGAGCTTAGATTGTGCCCTCTGGTCACTCGTCCACTTGGATCAGCAAGTGGTATTGTCACCATCATTGCGGCGTTGGCAGTTTCCGTCTGCACTAGCTTCCGCTGTCCCGCGACGAGCTTTGGACGATGTCTCCGAAGGGTTCTGAAATCCCGAGGGGACAATTTTGAGTTTTGGTGGCGCCGGACCAGGCCGCACCTGCCGCAGTACTTGCGGCGAGCACGGTTACTCACTGTAAGGTGCACGCAGGATACCGTGACCAATCCCTGTGCGTCCATTCAGTTGCGCGAGAAGTCCAGGATTTAAGGTCTGCTGGGCATATGGCTGGACAATCTGACAGCTTAAACCAAAGATGCACTGCATGCATGATGCATATGATATGAGAACTACGCTTCTCCGTTCTCACTCCCAGTCTCGACCATGCGGGACCGGTACACGCGTTTCGCATATGATACCAACGGTACCCATCAGCCCATTGTGCGACTCAACGAGCAGGCAGGGTCCCGCGCGTCCGTGAGCCTGAGCAGGATGCGGTGCGCACTCGCCCGACTGCCCGTGCGGGCCCGCGTGAGTATTGGTGCGAGTGAGCGAGCAAACACCGATCAAAGCCACACAGAAATATGTTTCAGCCCAAATGCACTGCCTCGCGCGATTTCCCCACAGGTCCAGGAAAACCTTGATGATCGTCCACACAGGTCCACACCTACACTCTCCCTGCGAACGAGATCTAGAGAGAGGTGATCGTGATCGGGCATGACGCGAACCGCGCTCGAGCCCTCCGTCCGCTCGGTGCGCATTCGCCATTCTGGGAGCGGCCAGGGCGCGCTTCGGGCCGTCGGCGGGCTACATTCGGAAAGCTGCGCACTGCCGCAGAGGCTAATTATGAATAGCGCCCGGCGGTTCCCTCCGGCCTCGAGGTTGGTCGCCGACCGTCATTACGCGCGTTGCGGTCTACCCCCACAAACGCACTCAACACACCCAGTGAGGGGACGGAGAGAGGGTCCAGACTTTCTGCAGTGCTGCTTTCATTCCATTCCATCGCGGTCTTCAAACGCACATCCGTGAGCTCGCGTCCAGCGATTCGGCTTCCGCTGCGCGGGCATCACTCCGTTACTTAGACACGCACTCATACTCACCTCAGCCCGCCCACTCTTCCCTGGTTCAGCTCATGCCTCCATTCCCTCCTCACAGAACCCAATCATAGTCTATATGTATCTCTCTGTCTTCAAAGAACTTGCGTCCACGCCATCCCGTGCTCCGTACGCTCAAACAGGAAGTCCTTGTTCGTCGCCTCGGATCACATCTCCCCCTTTCGCCTTCGTAGGCAACGAAGCGAAGACGGACGATCACCTGGCCCACCAGCGCATGTGCGAGCCCATTCACTGGCGAGGAACCCTGTGCGTGTCTCTATCAAGTCTTACAACGTTTCATGAAATGTCAGGAAAGTGGAGACGTCCGAGAAGGAGAAGCAGTTCTAAGGGAGAGGAACCTCTTCTAGGTGAGTGCGCGAGATGAAATGCTGCCGCGATGGGCGTATCGATACGAAGCTCCCGATAGCTTGGGGAGATTGACCAGGAGAGGGTGGTGGTCGGCACTTCAAGTTCGCGGGCGTACGCATGGGCTACTGAATAGGACGGTGATGTAGAAGAGGGATAGATTTCGACGGAGCACGGCATTGACATGGTCTTGGAGTCGAATGTACGTACCAGGGAGCTCTGACACATGATTCCAATGCCTTATCATACGCTATTCTCATCCGGACGCGTCACGTCCAAAATCCTGGGAGAAGCATTCGTTTGGAAGAAGCTCGGATGCTCGGCCCACGTCGTGACGTGCACGTCTGAACGCCAACCGCACAGCAAGGTCAGGTCAGGTCAGGCCGGACATATCCAACACCGCTGACAGTGAACGTGTACACGAATGTTGTCACCAGGGCCAGGACCCGGCGGAAGCAGAAGAACTTGGACAGTCCTCCGCAAGACATACCTCGGACCGGATATCCTGACCCAATACTCTGGTTCGACACCCTGGACAACATACGCCCAGTGTTCGCACTCGCAAATCGCAGCAGTTGCACATATAAACGTGTTCTCTTCTGCTGTGCACCGCGTGTGCTCTGCACACTTAGTCGGCGACTCGGCGTTTTCGGAACGCCCGGAATCTCGGACGACCGGTCCGTTTCCAGCTACCCGAGAGTGTGGGGTAGCAGCCAATCAGCGCACAGGCGGCTCGTGGACCGGCGCTCCGGTACCTCCGATCACACAACTTGGTGGGCGCGGATTCAAACGCGGGGAAGGCACCGACTGTCAAATGTCGCTTTAGTGAGCAACACTGTCGGAGCATACACGGCTTGTGGTGTGCTTGTAGTCAGGTAAGGTAAGGTGCGGTATGCTGTCGCTGATTGCTGTTGATAGTGAACGCTCGGTGTGTACAGTTTCCACAACATCGCCGTTTAATGAAATCAGATTTGTCCTTTTCTGTCCTAAAGCTTGTATCGATGCAAAGTAACGGCCGCCTGGGGACGAGAGGAAGACGGTGGGGCGTGATTTCTGGTATCTGAAGAATGGAAACGAAGACTTCAGTCGATGTCAGAAGACGTGGCGGAGCCCGGTGAGAATCCCGGTAGCTCGCTGACAGTGGTTGGACTAACGCTCAATCTATCTCATTTCAGCCAGAGGTGATACCCCAGGTTGTGATCCGTAGACCTGTTTTCGGAGATTACCTTCACGCTAGCGGTTCATGTATGTCGCGCACTGCCTGGTCTATTCCCGAGCAAGGACATCTCGCATATGGTCCTCGATGATGCGTTCGTGCATTGATGAAGCCCGTCTCACTTCGATCTCATTTACTCGGTGACCATCGCACGCGCGTCGTCATATCATGAATCACAGCTCATTACAGTCTACATTAACCTAACGTCTCTAGGACACCTCCGTCGAACGCAGCACGCAATATCCTCTGGAGCTCGCGAACCGAACGAACGCGTGTGGGAGATGAACACAGGCTGCACAGCTGAGGTTGAAAAAACCGATGACGCACATTTAGCCTTTTGCCGACCTCTCCCGTGCTGAGATCCCGAGATGTCACCGGACAGTCCCGGCCTCCTTCCCATGAACATAGCTTTGCGCTCCCACGCGCTGTAGACTTTTACACTCTTTTTTGAGAAAATCTCGCTTGAGCTCGCATAGGTACCGGGTCAAGGTACTGTCAAGGTTTAAAATTTCAGCACGACGCGATGCTAGTGTCTCCGCGGAAGGCGGGTTGGGCAGTGGGCATACCGGATACGCAGAGCGGTCGCGGGTTCGCGCGCGCCTTAGGCCCTGCAGAACACGTGTTGCGCCGCCATCAGCGTCGAGCACGGACCGTGGGCAGACGCTGACGAGGGCTCCACCCACCGCGGTGTATCGACGTGTGGGTGTGTGGGCCGTGCACAGCTCAGAGACATGTAACCTGTGAACAGAACATACACTTCGGACCGGAGAGGTGGTGTACATATGTCGGCTGCGCGGGCTGCCAGGAACCGGGACGTCGATCACGAGCTGAGAAACAGTTGCCAGCAGAGGGGAGGTGAAGCGGCGATCGTGAAGGTTCGGCTTCTGCGACGACCGAGGACTCGTCGACATTTTGATGGGTGTGATCTCATGGACGAATACAGTACGCGCAGGCTCTATTCAGTCCGTCACACGGAGTATGCGTCGGGGGAAAGCAAAGGAAGAAAAAAATCTGGTTCCGCGCCGAACGAGCACATTGATGCGAGTAGGGCAAGGATCTCAGGGCCGGTTCCCCGAAGAACAGACGTTCCCCCTTGCCCAGGTTGATATTGCTCTTGCTGTAGATATGTCAAATGAACGTCGCGAAAGATACTGACGTAGTGCGGAGGACGCCGGCGGCGGAGCACATTCGGATATTCGCGTGCATTCGCAGCGCTGTTCCGGCTACGGCACGGAGCGTAGAGACTGATTTCATATCTCGCCTGTTGATTTCCCCCCAAATACAGGGATTAGCTTGTGAGCAGGACCGTGCAGCACTGTGAGAATCGGAAGAGGTGCTCTTCACCTCAAAATTAGGTGATTCGCACCATTCACCTGAATAGCAGGTGAAGGTAGGTGAAGGTGCTTTTCAGGTGATTGAAAGTGGCGGAGGGGTGGAGACGGTGGAGCATGCAGCCAAACATGAGTAAATATCTGCTGTGCGCGTAACGCGTAACAGGCTGCACTCTCTCTCTGCACTTCTACACCCAAGTGGACCAGCTCCCGGATCACTCTCGCAGACTTGTACGCCCCCAGCCGTGTCTAGGTAAATAGCCCATTACTCAGCGCCCCCCACAGCTCGTATGTCATTCCTGACTACGGGCAGCTCACTGACCTTGTCTTCTTCCGGCTCCTTAACAGATTCAAGTTCACCAGAGTTCACCAATGATTGATCACACGATGAACTATCTGTAACTCGCCATCGCTCTCGGGTTACACCTTGGGCACCTCTCATTTGTGGAAATGCCAATATGCCACCCATACACCCCACTTCCCTCACTCCGTGTGGGCAACGCCAAGAAAACCCCGTACGTCTCCGGTGCCAGCTGGAGTACTCATTACACCCGTCAACGCGAACAAGGAGACCAAATGCCGCTCTGTGGGTCAAGAGTCACGCAATGAGTATGTGGTTCTGGATGCATAACCTAGTTTGGCATTGGTATTCTTATGTGGTACGTCCGTCATTAATGTCATGCGTTATTGTTTACTGATTTTGTCGCCGCATCTGAATTTCTTAACTTTCTTGACCTCCTGTCCTCTGTCCGCGTGCCCCACAGTTTCCTCCTGAAGTCGCTCTGCGGCACTTTCAGGGCCATATGTACAGTAACCTAGGTCTTCCCTCTCGTCTCCACTGCTGGCAACATGCTCTCGCCCTCCGTCAATCTTGGCCGTTCGTTCATAACTACCATGCTTGCGCGCCTTCACAAATTGGTCAGGGTCACCCTCGGCATGGAGATAGTACGTATCTTCTCTCCTCTTGTATCCTCGCTCGCCACACTTATGGGCACCACCAGCATCAACGTCTCATTTCAATTTGCGGTCCCGAACACGTATTCTTTTGTGCCCCCATGTCCACAAGCCACGATATAGTGCAGTGAGTAGGCCCGCTCAATTCATTAGCCCTCATCTCAGTGATGTCGACATAGCTCCTGTAGCTCTTCATGCCACCTGCGCCAGTGTTGTAGATGTCCAGGACAACTTACAGTTCCTATAGTACCTCACTATATCTAATGTATTTGCTGTACCCACTGCTTAAATAGACTATAAGAGCTATTGTTATCCACTGTATAGTTTAACGAGCGAAGGCGTGTAAGCAAGAGAAAGATAGAAAGGTAACATTAACCTGAGGCCAAGGTGGTATCACCTGATTTGCGCGCGTCAGCGACTCAGGTGAAACTGGCAGTTTTTAGGTGATATTCACCTGGGGCATTCACCTGACACATCACCTGGTTTGGAGGTACATTCACCTGGATTTGCGTTGAATTTCACCTAAGTTTCACCTCATTTTGGGGTGAAGGCCCCAGGTGATTTTCACCTCACTGTCGACCCCCAGTGCAGGTGCAAGTGCCGAACGGAAGGAAGAGCCGGTCGAACGCGAAATGAGGCACTGCGCTGTGCGGGCTCTCACTCACGGTAATACTATGTCCATGTAGAGTGATCAGTTAACGGGAAAGAGATCCGAGCGGGGTACGGGGATGATGAGGATGATCTGCATACTCGGAGGAACGCGTTCGTAAGAGCGAACCACACCGTTTTCATTCTTGTGGCAACGTACACGCATAATTAGGCGCCTGCAAAGTTTACCTGGAGATGGCGCAGGTCGAGGATGACCAGATCTGGGTCGTCGAGGGCTCGAGGTCTCGAATGGACGGGCCAAGGGGGGTGGGTTCACAGCCACGCACTTGAGAGAGCCAGGCGATCTGGTTCGACTTGCCGTTTCGGAGGAGCACGCGGGCGGGAGCAAACCTTGTTCCTTGGGCGTTTTGGGTGGGAGACGGAGTTGTGGGCCGGACCTGCCCAAATAGGCAGGTTGAACGTCGAGGGAGGGAGATAGGTTTTCTGATAACGCAGATCTGGCATCTGGTGGTCGAGCGGGCGCAAATTGCGGTCAATGCGTCATGTCAGAGTGGTGTCACGCGTCGCGAGGGCGAGGGAATGGGTGCACGCATGGGGACGTGATTTGGCGAAGGGACAGCAGCTGCTGCTCTGGCGCCGCTTCAACTTGTGGCTTCTCAAGCTGGCAAGGTCCGCGCGTAAAATTAAAGCGTGATATGAAGGGAAAATTAGACGGCTTCAAGGTGGCAAGATGTCCCCGATGGCATGGGGGTTCGTCGGCGGTGGTCATATCACATCATCATACGTTGAGGAGAGAGAAGGTGGTGGAGGGGGTTCCTTAGATTGCGGCTGTCATGTCGGCTGACTGGAGTAATGAGATATGACAAGTGTGTCATTTGCCGCGGGAAGAAAGGTCGAGCGTGCGCAAGGGAAGACATAACGTGGAAAAGTGGAACGAACTCGAGGGGAGTCAGGGAGGGATTCATCGAATCTGATCTCGATAAGGCGGCGGGGGAAGCGGTGCCATTAGGGTTGGACTATGAATTTTTGCCGGGCCTGAGGTGGCCGAGGAGGTGGAAGGGGATTCTTGGAAGACAATAAGAAATGACGATTTGGGATGTGTTTGGGCAAAAAATGGATGGCAGGATGTTGCATCGGCAGTGGGAGGACGAGCAGCCAGAGGACGGGAACTGGTGCCGTAAGCGCGGCTCTCATTGTCTCGTCCTGATTGGGGTGGGGCGAGGGACGGGTGGTATGGATCGGGAAAAGAGGGCCAGTGGATCTGGTGACTGGATTAGGTTCAAGCGGACCTTTAGACAAGAGCAAGTGATCGAGCGTATATAACGAGCAGCTCGTATTGTCTATGCCTTTTGTGCCCCACTCGCCCAATTGTTTTCGCTTGTGAGACAAATCAGTCACTAGACCTCGTTCCAGCGACACCTATTATCTACCCAGCTACCCGCACACAGCCAGCTATTCTGCTTCCCTTCCCCCTTTCCCCCACAACGAGCCTGCCCCATAGCAGACAGCCATGCCTGCTACTCGCACTCGCGATACCCCCTCCGGATGTGAGTATTCACCCGCTTATTCGCTGACTCCCGCTCACCTCCACCAGCACTCGAGGTGACCACGGACTCCATCTTCCCTCCCTCTTTGACCATCATTTCACCGACGCCGCGCGCCTTCACGTTCCCTATCGACAAAAACGAAGTCTCTCCTTATGCTTCTCCTTCTCCTTCATCTTCGCCCTTCGAGCCAGACCTCAGGACGCTTTCCATTTCTCCTTCTGCTGCCCCCTCTTCCTCGATATCTGTATTCGCAACGTTAGCATCACCCACCTCTCCAACGACCTCCTCCGTCCACAAGCGTCGCAAGTCCTCGGTCAGCGACCTCGACCGCCGACCCAAAAAGGGCGATGACGACTACATCAAGCGCCCCGAGAACGCCTTCATCCTCTTCCGTCGCAAGTGCTGCGAGGAGCGCCAGCAGGCCCAGGAGGAGTCTTCTCCATTGTCTGCGTCCCCCGACGGTCCCCAGAAGAAGCAGCGCCAGGCCGATCTCTCCAAGACGATCAGCCAGCAGTGGAAGGCCCTGCCGGCCGAGGAGCGGCTGTACTGGGAGGAGCTGGCCAAGGAGAAGAAGAAGGAGCACGAGCAGATGTACCCCAACTACGTCTACCGCCCCCAGCGCACCAAGCGCAAGAACGCCAAGGGGAAGCGCGGCGAGTACGAGCACGACACCGACGGCGAGGGCAACGGCAACATTTCCTTCATGATTCCCCTCGCCCCGCCGATGATCGCTTCGTCCAAGCACGGTCGTTCCGCATCCGCCCCTACGCCGCCACCTCAACGACAGGTTCTCCAGGTCCCGATGGTGTACTCCGCGATCACCGCACCGACGTCGCCTTCGCTCGCGCCCATGATCCAGCGGCGATCGTCGCATCCAGAGCACGCCCAGCCGTCGCAGACCGAGTCGTTCGACTTCTTCCCGTCCAACGATTTCATCGCGTCGCATCAGCAGCAGCAGTCGTTCCAGCAGGAGGCATACCCGAACATGGTGAGTTTACTCGAGACCCTGCGAAAGCGTGTCAGCTAACATGTGCGACAGGTCAACCCTTACCACAGCATGTTCAACCCGCAGGGCCTCCAGCCTCTGCAGATGCCCGAAGGCGCCGTCATGCACCCCAACCAGATGATGTCGCCCACGTCGTCCATCGCCTCCGGCTCGTCCGGTCCGCCGTCGCCCCACGAGGCCTTTACGCCCGTCCACACCGAGCCGAGCCTGCTCTACCCCGACGCGCCGCAGTACATGCAGCAGCAAGCACCGCCCATGGATCTCCAGACGTGCGTTGCGCCGCAGCCATTCGACGCGATCCAGTTCGGCTTCCAGAACTACTGTTGGGGCAACGATGGCAGCAACGGCGTCGTGCAGGGTGCGTGGAACACGGGCGAGCTCCTCCTCGGCGACGAGTTCGACGTCAACGCGATCCCGCCTATCGAGCTCGGCATCCAGGACGGCAGCGCCTCCGATGAGCTCACGCCTACGCAACAGCACCCGCAGGGCACGACGTACATGCCCTACAGCCCCGAAGCGTTCTCACCCGAGCAATACGGCTCCGCCCTGCACCATCACGACGATGGCTCGGATCCGTTCGAGCGGATGTTCGACTTCGACGCCGGCATGCAAAGATGTTGATGCAGCTCTTCTTGACCAACCCGGCCGATGCTTCGCTGGCCGTTGTCATCGGCTTTTCTTCGTTGGACGCTAGGCTGTAAACGGACCTTTTCTTGTTCTGCTCCCCACTCCCCACTCTCCCCTTCTTCGTCTCCCCATCTCTCTCTGCCATGCCCTCTCACCCATGATTCCCACCCCGCCGCATACCCCCGCGCACGCCATCGTCGCTGCATATACATTTCTTTCTTGCTTGGTTGCACCTGTGGATATTGATTAACCTCCCAATCGTTGGATTAGCTGTAGTGATAGCCCCCATTACCCGTTACCCCCTTGTTTTCATTTGTGCATTTCACGTCCGCCTCCTCCGTGTCGAGGTATTCCCCCCTTCCTCCCCTTCACGTCCCCCCGTCGATTACCCTTATGTCCTTCTCACGAGACCTTCACGTTCGAATACCTCGATGCCCCCTTCTTCATACCACGAACGACGCCCACACACTGTTTTTTTCCATTCTTCTCTCAATGCAAACGAACCGCATACAGATACCCTGTTGTTGTAACTTTTCATCACTTATTTGGGGACGGCATGCATGTATTTGTGTACGTACCATGAGTTGCGCAGCAGAATCACCCAGTTTTTGTCCGTTCAGGGCAAACCAACAGACGTGTCTTCGCGGTGTGATGATGTTGTGTGATTGAGAACACGGGTATTCTGGGAATGTTCAACTCAGCTGTACTCGGCAAGTCGTCAGTGCGTTAGCGGTCAGTGGGTCTTCGAGAGAACAGAAGGAGGAGTTTAGAGTTTCGCTGGGATACCGAGGCTCGGTGCGGGGTCGTCGGGCTGGACGAGGAACGCTCATGTCGAATCGTCATTCGCGGCTGTAGAGGACTCGAAGGGGTGGAGTCGACGCTGCAGACTTAAGTATGGGGGTGCAGCGTTTTCTTGTTCTCGAATCGTCGCATTGCAAGCTGGGAGGGTTGAAAGGGTTTCCTGCATACAGCACAAGACCACGGTTGTCCACTTCCGCCTCATGACGACAACGGCGAGGCTTCAACTTGTTTAGGGCAGGCTGTTGTTGGCACCATATCCGGCGTGGCTAGCCCCTGTCTCGACTTTGCGCGCATACAACCACACCACTGCACACCATCATCTGCGTTCATCCCCTCCTCCTGCAGACTTTGACGGTTCCCCAATCGCTTCTCGGGATTTCAGTGCCCTCATTTCCGATGCAAACTTCCGAGTAGCTTCCTGTTTTTTTCCCAAGGACCACTGCACCAGGAAGGACCGGTCCGTACGCCCCAATGCCCTTGTTCCGCATTTGTACAATGTTGACCACAGACCGCACATGTACACTAGGCGCCCTTCGTCATCATCCATCATATCCGCCCCGGTGGGCCACGACGCACTCTTTCGACCATCGCCCCCGTCATATGATGGTTTTTCTACTGTTCTGTTCCTTTTCCATTCCTCCCACGCGGGCCTGGCTGTTTTGACGGGGCCTCGTCCTCGCTCGCTGACCGCTCCAACGCTGATACTCGCTGATAACACTTCCGCCCGTGTTACAGTTTCCGCTTAGCGCCTCGAATAGACTCGAACAGGCTTATTGTCTCGGGACCCGACGCCATCAGCCGTCGTGTCGTATCGCGCCACTGTTCTTACGTCCGCCAGCCACGGCTGCGATGCGCGAATGGCATGACCTGGGAAACCCACCTTCATGGTAACTTCTTGCCTTCCCCGCGGCGGGGCTTACTCACCTAGAGTCGAATGGGCGCGGTGTTCTACGAATTATGACATTGCCTAAAATAAGCGTTTCTTCGCAGCTTCACGAAGTCTAGGGACCCTTCCGTCTTCTGAGGGTGCTCGCTTACTCAATGCTCGGTGATTTCGATTATGGTTCACGAGGGTGCCGGTTATCCAGGCCCCCTCTGAATCCGTTCCGCATGACCTCTCGACCTGACGTCGCGCGCGCACATGCTCGTGTTATCGCTGGCCTCTCGAGCGTTATCGACTGAGTCTCGCCGGCGTCGGCAGATATATGCACACGTCTGGTCCTCCATCCGTCCTTCCTGGACCTGGGTCCGTCATATGACCAAGGACCACGGGATGCGAGGTCTCTCTTTCACCGCGACGTGCGACGCCCGAGGAACCTGGAGGTGCGGCGGCGCAAAACGAGCCAATTGTCCATCGCATATATGTCCCAATTACGCTCCCCGTTCTTCCCCGTTCTTCACTGAATCCACCTATACAGTCGTATCCCTCTTCAGACGCTATCTAATCTATACGTATATCAGGAGGCATTTAATTTCGAGCCCGGCCACCTGCTCGCCGCCCGTCGTATCAGCTTCTACTCCGCCCGTCTCGGGATGAATCGGGTAACAGCTTGGTCTGCTTTTCGAATTGAACACGGCATTGACGGGGAGCTCCAACAAAACCATGGATGAATTGTATCGATCTTCAATGCCGTCCAGTGGTTCGATTCACCAATTCGCCGAGAGCGCAGTGCGCGCTACGTACCATCCAGTCACTTCGGTCCATTCAGTACGCCCAAACCTAAAACCCAGATATACGCCATTTACCCGTCATATGCGCAACTCATGCGTCCACGTTTCTCTCAGGCCGCCGGCGGAACGTTAAATATGTTCCGTCGGTTTCCCAAGTGCAGGTTCTGAAAATCAAGCCAACCTGCGCGAATCTCTCTGGGCCGTCCCCCGGGATCCCATATTGCGGAACGATAAAGCTTGTTAGCAATCCTACCCGACACGAGCCCGACACGAGGAAAGGTGCACCATGCTCAGTGGGACGGTACCACAAGGTTCTTACAACGAGGTTTCTGGGCGTGACCTTCGCTCTGCCTCGAGGCGACGCCGCGTTCCCCCCTTATAACCCCCTTTGCGCCGCTGGCCGTGCGCTGCGTTTCCTCCTCCCGTACCACACTATCCGATGCCGGATTGGTTAAGCTCGCGAGCTTGAGCCTCGAGGCTGCTGCTGTACTCAGCGAAACCCCGTTATATCCGATGATATGCTCGATCTTGGTGGTTGCTCGATTCTATTTGTCCCCTGGCGGATCGCAGTTTACATTGGGGACGGCAAGATCATGGAGCCCCGGCCGTCTCGACACAACAAGCTGGTGACGTACAGCTTGATCCTAGACCCCCAGCTTATCTTTAGCTGTTTCAATGCACTTTGGGGGCGCAGGGCCATGTGCCATTAACTCATCTGGCATGGATGAGTTGATGCCGTATGACTCTCGACCTTAATTTCTCTGCAGTGATTATATTAGTCCTCTGATAGCTCAGCTCCTAGGTGTCCTCTTGCCTTTTGCACACTCGGAAGAACAGGGTCTGTTCCAGATGGCGGCGATACGCTCATTGTGGCAGGTCCTTCCCTTCGTGTTCTCGACAGGCCTGGGGGCCTTCTTCAGAACAATGGGTTGATGTGCCGCGTAGCGCGCAAAAGTTCTTACAGCGAGGTTTTTCTCTTTGTTCGCCTAGCTCAGCCATGGGCTCGTCATCATACACGAGGTCGAATAGTCATCGGGATGTCCCGGGTACGTTTTATCTCCCACCGCTCAGACTAGGTTTCCGAGTCTTCTGCCGCGTACCAGCTCGCCTATTCCGTGTGGATCTGCACTCACGAGTGCGAGATAGCCAGACAACTTGCTTCAGTCCAGTCAAACCTCTCGCAAACTCTTACACCTCGTACCTGTGGTACAGGCGCTACGATGTTCTCGCTTGTGCTTGACGTACATGGCGGCCAGAGTGTACTGGTGGTAATTCTCAGCTTGAATCAAGGTCGCGCTTAAGCTGAATGACGTCAGCAAAGTGAGAATTGTCAACTGGTTGCCGATGCGCTCCAGTATGACCTACTCATATGCCAAATGTCTTGCGTCCGCTCCGCGACCATGGCGGCTCACAAGGTTTCATCTCTCATGTCATTGGGTATATCATATGGTTCAGTGTTTCCCCTTCAAGTTATCATGGCCCAAGGTGCTATACCATGATCTATGACCGTGCGTGCTGCTCAAAATCTCCGTTTCATCTCTCATCTCTGAGTCTGATCTCGCCAGAACCCACCTCATCTCGCACCTTACGGACCGATGTACGCGCAAAATGACCTTCCTTCCCTTTCGCAATGTCCCCATGGAGACCTCATTAATTTACCACCACCTCATACAGGTTCCCACAAAGCTACCTTGCGCGGCGTCAACGCCTCTCTCTAAAAGGCAAACAGTGGTCGGGAGAAAGTGCTCGGGGCGCACTTGACTGATATGGTCAGATGCCAGCGCTGTGCGCGGGAACGCGTCGGGAGATTCGCGCCTTTGGCCCGATTGGCACATTATCCGTTTTCATTACACACACTGGGTATGCCCTCGCCGATCTGGACTGTAGCTTGACGTCAGCCTGATATCTTTAGTCGGGTTAGAGCGACGTCTGATGCTCGCATCAAGGGACTCAGCCGACTTATATGCGTTAATTATGATGGATTGTCATCAAGGCTCTTTGACTGGATCGGTCATGTCTTAACCTTTGAGACATTTATATTTGCGGATTGCATATGTACCATACATTACCGTACCGCCAAAGTATGGGAAATCAAACTCAGAGGAACGCATGCTGACTATTTCGCTTCCGCTCCCGACTGTAACTTTGAGCCGCACGGTAGATGAAACACTCGCCTTTCGGCTTACTCGATTCAAAAACTTGAGCTTATGAAGTTACTGTGAAGATAATATCGCTATTACAACATCATGCAGAACAGAAAATTACGGGAATTAAGTCCGCGATGGTATATACAAGTTAAACTGTAACATTAGGTTACAAGCGTCCCAGATTGTCTCACTCCTTTTTCTTACGCGTGTACTGTGAAAGTTCACATTTCAGCATGACGGCCCGAATGGGGTGTATAAGCGTAACTCGACGTACCTGCGCAGCAACCGTGCCGTCTGGGAGCCTCTCCTTGGACTTGACAAGCTCGTATCTGAACAGCCACGGCAGAACGACCCACCACATGGCCCATACAACTGCGCCGCCCACGATGATGCAAACGGCCACCAGACAGTACCTGTAAGTTTATGAGTAAACTGACGCCTTCTGATTAGGAGCGGATAAGAGGGTATGACGTACAGATAGTAGGGAAGCGGCGGTGTGTCGCCGACGCCGCCAGGCGGTCGCAAGAAAGGCGCGATGAGGACTATGTCATCGTTGAAAAGGAATAGAGTTCGAGTTAGCGGATATAAGACTCATCATGGAAGACGTGAGGACTTACGGAAGACCGACGCCGCTGCGAAGAAAATGGCGAGAGGCCACCACACTGAATAGGTTATTAGCAATCTGAGTTTCCTTAAGTTGGATGGAGAAGCGAGATGGGCGTACCTTTGAAGGGGCGGACGGCTTCTGGCTTCGTCCAACGAAGGTAAAACAGGCCCTGTGTACGCAAGACATGAGAAACCACGTGAAGAAGGCGACACACCCAGCGGCTAAAGCGCTTGTACATGGGCCCGATTACGTACAAAGACAATAAAGCAATTGACAATCTGTTGCGGATATTCTTGAATATCAAGAATGAACGGATAGGCGACACTGAGCGGCGGAGCGAGGATGACGATAACCTAGTTAATGAATATAGGCGAAGTATTCATTAACTCCAACGATATACACAATGAAAAGGTAGGAAGCGTACGGTGAAGATTAAGTGGATGATCAGTCCCGGAACAGGCGTTTTCCCCGTTGGCCAGTTGGAGGCCCAGAATTTGTTTCCGAACGGAAGAGGGATACCTTCCTTTGCGAGCTCTGTTCCGAGGTTATGAGCACGCGATCTTCTCAAGGTTCATTACAACAAACCTTGGTTGACGCGAGATTGAGCGAAGGCCTGACGGTATGATCAGACAATAACCAGACGAAGATGCAAAGAATACCTACCATCGTAAATGACGTCTAGGTCGCGTTATTACGTTAGTATCTCACCTATAGCTAGGATTATGTGAAAACCACGTACCCCCAAAGCACTGAAAGAGACAACTCAGATTAGCGAGCTACACACGGGTATTGGAGGTTTAAGCGTACCTTAACCCAGCAAACACCGCTAACGCACGCTCAGCATTGTCGCCAAACACTTTGCCAAAAAAGAGAGCTGCGATGGTGACACCCCCGTTTTCAATCTCTTCCTGCCCGCGTACATTCAGCAATGCGATCGTTAATGAGGTTGTGGTGTAGACCTGCCTTTGTAGCAGCGCTGAAATACGCGATGTTCGCGAGCATGTACAGTACCGCGCAGATTCCGAGCCCCAGAGGGCCAGCGATGGATAGCGTGCGCACTGGGTTCTTGACGTTGTTCATCACATAGTTTACGTTCGACCACCCGGTATATGAGTTCAGGATTTTCAACATGGCGGTCGCATACTAATTGACGCATCAGCTACCGTATTCCAGGCCCAATAATGGGAGGGTCCTCACATCGTTACTGCTTGTTGAGCTCCCAACAAAAGAATTGCTAAAGTTGCTGCGCGTGTTTCCCAAGCGAGTGTGGCCACTAAGGACTACCCAGCCCGTGATAACGACGAAGACGAGGATGGTGATTTTGAAGATCGTAAGAGCCTGGATTATGAGAACATCGGGTCAGCCTCGGTGGTAAGGGGACTATGTTTAGAATACGTGAACACGATACTCACGTTCATGACCCATACACCAAGCCTCGGCGTAAAGCCATGGAGAAAGAATACAAGGAAGATAGCTATTGAAACGTTTGGTAAACATTTCTGCGCAAAAGTGTTTGAACAAACCTCCAAGCGCAATACCACGCTCAGCCCACTGGTTCACGGTCGCTCCGGCTGCTACAAGAATGCTATCCAAACCCATCAACCTCGGTGAACATAACAGACCTAACCCAATTGGCACCTACTTGCTTGCGAACACCTGTAAATCACCAAGATTCAGCATACTACTTTCATACAGGGCGCAAATCCTACTCACAATGCATCCGCCAGTACTGAACCCCAGCACAATCACGTACGACGCGTAGAGCACCGTCGCCAGCATCTTCGGTCTTGGGTACACTACCTCCAAGTACACCTTCTCCCCTCCACTGCGCGGGAACATGGTACCAAACTCGAGCCAGATGAACAACCCGCAGAACGCGAGGAGGAAGCCAAGCAGCCAGAGCATGAGCGATGCACCGATCGAGCCCACGCCCGTCAGAATGGAGGACGGCGTTGAGAAGATGCCGGTGCCGATGATGCGGCCGACGATGAGGAGCGTGCATGAGGTGACGCCAAGGTGACGACCCATGCCACCGGCGGTGTCTAGAGAATATCATGGAACAGGGTAAGTTAATCAGCCTATCAAGAAGAGAGGGAGGGGGGGAGGGAGATGCAGAGTGAGTGGTGAATGTGCTGACCTTCTTCGAAGCTGAGCTCTCCCGGGTTCAGCTCAGGGTTCTTCGCCGTCCCGGGATCCACCACCTCCTCATTCTTTTCCTCTGAGCTTGGTACATCACGATCCGTAGACTCCTTTCCTGTCTCTTCTGAAGGTGAGCTAGCCGGGCTAATATCTTCTTGTTTGCCCCGAAGTCGTGCCCAGATTGTCGCCATGTCCGCCGACGTGCCTTTGGGAAGGAATGAAAGCAGGGAGAAAGCAAGGAGGGACAGCACAGTATATGAGCAAAGAGCGCCTTCAAAGTCTGCCAGGAACAGTTTAAACCGAACAGTCAGGAAGCGACGTCAACGTCCAACATCAAATGGTGCGGAGGCAAATCACGATAGGTGGAGGGGCTTATGCAACTTGCGGCTGAATGGGCTGCTGACCAGCGCACATGTACAGCACATGGATTGACCCGAAATTGGGCGCCTGCTGCACTGTACGCGGTGTACGGAGCACAGAAACCATTCAGTCTGGCTGGCCAAGCATCGTCAGAAAGGAACGAACGTGGAGAAAACAAGAGATAACGTGCCGGCTGTGGGAGACCGACCCCCCGAAACAAACCTTCCGAGCATTATCCCCGTCTGAATGCGCTGATCGTATTGCGTGAGTTCTTGGCTCCAAACTCTATGGCCTTTGGACTTGAGCGTTTACGAGAAAGGCTATACCGTACCTTTTGCATTCGATACGCACCTATCGACCACGGCGCAGCTCCATTTTCCACTCAGTTCCTCGTCTTGGAGGCTGGAGCTCTTGACGCGTCCTGGCCTTCATCATGATGCATGACGTTGAAGGATCAAACGTACGCATCGAGGCGGAAGCAGATTCATTACAGACTCCGAACCTTCCTTGACAGTCAGCTCGGAGACGCTCTCCGGGCGACTAGCCCCTATTCTCACTCGTTTAACGCGCATTTTGCATTACATGCTGAAGTACATCTATACTACAAGGGACATCTATATGTTCAAGTAAAAGGCAGCAGAGAAAGATAGTTCCGTTTTAGTCGATCTTTTTGCGGTCAAACTAAAAGAAACGGGCCACCCGTCAGAAAGCCGAATGAGAACCGTGGAGAGGAAATATGTTGACTTACGACAGTGACAACGGTCCCATCCTCAAGCCGCTCCTTCCGTGGCTCGAGCACATATCCAAATACACGAGGCCAGACAAGGCGCCATGCAGCCCAGTAGATTACGCCAACGAGCAGAACGGCAATACCGACCAAGGCGTATCTGTGGGGGTATGTTAGGCCGATATCGGTAGGCATTATTTCGACAACGTACAAGTAATAGGGCAACGGAGGCGTATCGCCGACGCCGTTGGGCGGGCGGATGAAAGGCGCGATGATCACTGCGTGAAGATGCTGTGTTAGACTACGCCAACGAAAGCATAGTGTAAGAAAAAAACATACAGAAGACAGCAGCGATGAAATAGAACACTGCAAGGGGCGTCCACACTGCAAAGCCAACGGTCAGCTGCGAACGTTTTACAAAAGATGCTGCGATGTCCCGACCTTTGAACGGCCGATGCACGTCCGGTTTCTTCCAGCGTAGATAGAACAGACCCTACGAAACATCGAATCAGAACGCTATCCGATAATGAGAATATTTAGAAAAACGCACCACGACAATAAACAGGTTAAATATCTGCGCTGGGTACATCTCGACGTTGAGGATGAATGGATATACAACTTTTGGTGGAGGGCCGATGATCACAATGAGCTAACGATCAACAGTTAGCCTGTTCCAGGGTTCGTTAGAATTGGTTATGGCGGTGCTCACTGAAGGTATCAAATGGATGATCAGGCCTGGAAGAGGCGACTTCCCCGTCGGCCAGTTCGATGCCCAGAACTTGTTGCCGAACGGGAGTGGGATGCCCTCTTTCGCAAGCTCTTGGTTGATGCGTGATGTGGCGAAGGTCTACCCAACATCAGCATTGAATTGCAACATGTATGAGTAGACTTACGACAGTGACGACGTTCTATGCAATGATCGGTTAGCATTTCGGACGTTAGAGTCGCGAAGGAGTTACTTACCCCGAGAGCACTGAGAGCAACGAAGACTGCAAGGACGCTCTGAGCTGCTGATCCGAACACCTTGCCAAAGAATAACGCAGCAACAGTCACTCCGCTGTTATCGATTTCTTCCTGAAACGAGGGGGGAAATGACATTGAGAAAACGGCGAATCACGATCGTACGCCGCACGCACCTTGGTAGCTGCACTGAAGTACGCAATATTGGCGAGGAAATACAAGACAGCGCATATTCCCAGTCCAAGCGGTCCAGCTATCTTGAGCGTGCGCACAGGATTGCGAACCTCGTTCAGGACGTTGTTCACGTTAGACCAGCCAACGTACGCATTGAGAACTTTGAACGTTCCCGATGCCCACTTTGCGAAGTCAAAGAAGTCACGAACAAGGTAAAACCAAGATGATTCTGTTTGGTTGAAGACTCACGTCGTTGGGACTATGTGACGTGCCCTCGAAGGGCTTGCGGAAGTTGGCATATGGGTCATCAATACGAGTGTTACCACTGAGGACGGCCCAGCCGGTGACCACTACGATCGAGAGGATTATTATCTTGAAGACGCTAAGTCCCTGTGAGGAAGGATATTCAGGCTCCTGCGTCTGAAGATGAATACAATGACCTCACTAACATTCATGAGCGCTATTCCAAGACGAGGCGTGAATCCATGCAAGAGTGTCACAGAAATCATGACTGCAACAGCGATAGTGAGCATCTGAAAACTCAGGTTGGAGCTCATAGCTAAGCAGACTTGCCTGCGAGTGCGATGCCACGCTCTGTCCAGCGGCTGGCTTCATAGCCTATTGAGACGAGGATACTATAAATTTGTCATTAGTTCCATGTTTACAAGTACGCCTGCGTTAGCTAACTTGCTAGCAAAGATCTACCAGCAGTTAGACATGCGAGGGATGACGTAAAATGGCCAGTATGACGCACGATACACCCGCTGGCCGTGAAGCCTAAGAAGATCGCATGCATCGCGAAGATCATCGTCGCGAGGTACTTCGGACGCTGATACACGGCTTCAAGGTACACCTTCTCGCCTCCGCTCCTCGGAAACATCGTCCCGAACTCGAGCCATATGAACAGCCCGCAGAACGAGAGCGAGAAGCCAAGGACCCACAAGCTGAGCGACGCGCCGACGGAGCCGACGCTTGTGAGGATCGAGGAAGGCGTGGAGAAGATGCCGGTACCGATGATGCGTCCGACGATGAGCAGCGTGCATGAGGTCACGCCAAGGTGACGGCCGAGTCCGCCTGCGGTGTCTATGCGAATGCGGGGAAACGCGTGTTCGTACCGTGAGAGGCCCCGACCGACAACCGTCGAAGTTCAACGAACAGCGAACGCACCTTCGTCGAACGTGAGCCCGCCGGGATTCGGTTCTTCGTCTGAGCTCTCGCTGGCACTCGTAGGCGTGTCTACCCGCGCTTTCTGAGATAACAAAGGGGTGCGCTCTGTGGCCTCTTCAAGGCTCCCGCTAGCAGCTAGCGTCGCATTCGAACCCCCTTCATCTGAGTGTTGTTGTAAGTCTGGATGCGAAGTCATGAGGGCGTCGTCGTGGTTGAGGACGGAGAAGATAAGTATGGCTTACCAATAGCCTACAAGCTGATAGCGGTGATGTGTGCATGTGTGTAAGAAGCGCTTGATGTCGCCATAGGTGGAGGAAATGGTAAACCCGCGCGTAACGGGCGGCCGCGCTATAACGCGACTCTTTCCACGTGTGACAGAAACCAGATTGATAAGCTTCAAACTCTCCGTGGTCCACTTTCGTATGTTTTGACTGAAAGTCCTGAGAAAATATACACAAAACGTGAGAAGAATATGGAAAAACTTTGGATACTAGCCAATAATATTTGAGAATCCCTCAGTCCATGTTACAATTCCATCTAGTCTTCTGCGAAGTACTAGTTCAAATACGCTATCTACTTCGATTAAAAACCGGTAAAGTGTAGGTATGGACTCCTACACCTCTATTGCCTTCACGTGCACGGTATCACTATGTTTTCCCTCAAATACTTCTTCACCTTCGGTGGGCAACCCAGATTGTGATCCATCCTTTTGGCTCCTACCGAATGCACTAAGGTCGTCAGTCGAACATTCGACGAGCTCATCGACAAATGTCCCTCGCGGAGGAAAGATGAGTGACAAAGAGTAGTAGACGACGCAGGAGACGAAGAACTGCGGCAAAACCATGAGTTCATAGGTAGTGAACGAGAGACAGCCTGCACGCACACCATACATCCATGATATGTCGTAGAGATGAGGAGCTTCGCCAACGAAGAGAGTAGTGTTGATCGACTTGGCGAGCCCTGGAAGGGTCGGCACTATTGCTATCAGCATTGTGAGCACTGCGCGCCAGTTCTACGGGTCAATCAGCACGACGTGCTTGATTGATATTCATGAAGGCGTACAACACCGGCCGTGTATCGATATCGACCGTGTGGGTCGTACATAGCAGGCACGTCCACTTGACCTTTGTGAACGAGCCAAAACTGGGGAGCAACAACAGTCGAATGAGCATGTCACTATAAAGAATCGTATATACCACGTACGTCGGTGACCATGACCCCAGCGAAAGGGCCGAAGAAAATGGTCCATCCATCCAAGAAGGTCAGAAAACCGGTGGCGCTGGAAGCTGATGAGAACACATCTTTGGGATCAAACAACAGAGACAAATACTTTGCAAGGATTTGCCACGGGCAAAGCGCCCACCCGCCAATGATAGCGCAGATAATCTGACCCCTCCGGATGTTGATATACTGTCTTGGAAGCTCAGACCAAGTCAAATAATAAATGCAACAGGGCTTTTTACCTTGGGAAAAATCGCGGTCATGTCATTCCCGCACCCCATCGAGTTCGTACTGATGTTTGTGCCTATCGTAGTTAGCGCAAAGACGAAGGACGTGAAGAATGCCGCAGCACGGTTGTCCCATCTATCAATGAGATCAAGCGGGTTCCAGAGTACGTCGCCATAGAGAGTGATGCCCGCACTGGTGACTGCCATGCCGGCGAAGCTGCAGAATGTGAATACGATCGGCATGATGATGGGCTGGATGTATTGCCTGTTGTGACTATGAGCGAAACGTAACATCTCATGTAATCATTAACGTACGCTCGTTCGTTCTTCGCATAACGCTGTTTCAAAAAATATGTGTCTAAAAGCATAGCTTGAACCATAGAACATGACGGCGTACAGTAAAGTCCGGAATGTTCACAGCGAGACCACAGTACAGCCCCAGCGCGCTGTTCATCGCATTTAGCCATGTCCAAGTCAATGCAGAACCGCTCAATGTAGAGTGTTGGTTGAAGAGACCGCCAGGGTCGTTCGAAGGAACACGGATGAAGGACCAAATGACCATCGCGAGCCATGTGATCGGCGTGAGCGTGCTCTTGACCATGAAGAGCCACCGGAGTTTTTGGGGTGAGAGAAGCATGAAGGGGAGTTGAATTGTCCAGTATATGATGTAGCACATAGCACCGGTACTGGTGATGGTGGCATCCGTCGAAAGGTGGTTGGGCAACCGAGCAGTGGAAGGCCATATTGCTTTCAGCATCTGGGTTGGATTGATCCAGCTTCATTGTTAATTTGAAGGGACGTGGAACTCGTACCTGGTATACGCACAGCGAGCCGTTATAAGTCTTGAAGATGTTCGTGAGTGAAGAACAGCGATTGAGCGAGAGTACCTTCACCTGAATACCGTACCAAAACATGGCGATGATGACTCGGATCAAGACCGGAAAGTAGCTGAACCAGAAGCCAAATGAAGAGCGATTGAGAACAGGAAATGCAACGTGCAGACGTGCTCCAGTGGTGCCATTGATGACTGTGACCACCGAGGTAATGGAGTACGCGACAGCAATGGCAGGTAGAGCCTGGCGCCTACATGGATGCACGAAGATCAGTAGGTCTAGTTGAAAGACTACAGGGTGAGCATACCAAGAAAGACCCAGGGAGAGCATAGAGCCAGCAAGCTCCCAGACAGCGAGATTCGTCGCGTCCGAGACCCAGTAAGAGACCTGCGCATGAGCGATGCTTTGAGTGATACTGGAAACATCAGAAAAGGGGCATGGGGACGCACATAGTTCCACATCCTTGTTGAAATATTCTGTAAGTTTTCGCAGTCAGCAGATCAAGAATGTACAGCGTACGTCCATGAGGTGGAACGGGGTCCATATCCTTATTGCTCCATCCTTTTCTTGTGGCAAGACTAGCACCCTCCGTTTCGAGAGCCCAGCGTGAAAGGCTGCAGTACTTGAGCATTACGGTATGAAGTTAAAGACAGGGCGATGAACGAGGACGAACGAGCTCCAAGTAGATAAGTAGAGCGCTCTCATATGTGTCGTATTTTAGGAAAGATAAGAGGTCAAGTGGTGGTTAGAGAAAAGTGATGGGCACCAGGTTAACGGATCAGCGCGGGCCTCCGAGACTCGAGTGGGATTTTGAGGTGCGGGCATGGTCTACGTGAAGCCATCGCATGTTGCTAAACCTACACATCAGGCTGCCGGGCGATTTTCGAAAGGGAAATGAGATAAAAAAGGCAGACAAACACAAACGCGTCAAAAGGACGCAATATGCCGGATATTGCTCCCGGACAGTCAGCGCGCGATGTAATTTAGCCCCTATCGCGTCTTCAGGGGTAACTTGGTGCACTGACAGGAGCAAGATATCAATGGTTTCCGACATACAGGTATCTACATAATGTATACAGGCGAGTATGAACTACGATACATCAAGGAAACAATCCAGCGTGCGTCACAGCAAACGACGATCACAGCACAGCAAAAACTCTCAAGCAATCTTCTTGCGATCGAACTGCGGGGGTTGAACATGAAGCAAGAGACGTCAGAGAAACCCCACAGGAAGTACGAAATACTAACAACAGTGACAACCGTTCCATCGTCCAGCCGCTCCTTGCGCGGCTCGAGCGCGTACCCGAAGATACGGGGGAGGACGATTCGCCAAACGGCCCAGTACAGCACGCCAGCTAGCAGAACGCCGATGCCAACGAGCGCGTATCTTGATTAGACGAAAGCACTATAAGTTAACGAGCTATGCTGCGGGTAAATGTGTTGTGACGCACAGATAGTAGGGTAGCGGAGGCGTGTCTCCAACGCCGTTTGGCGGGCGTATGAAGGGCGCGATGAGTACTTGAAAGGAGTCAGCATGACACAACGCTACAAAACAGTTCCACGAGAGTGCTTACAGAACACCGCTGCAGCAAGGTAGAATACCGCAAGAGGTAGCCACACTAGATTGTACGCCGGCCCGCGGTTAGCAATCAAGATGAAGGCGAGGATATTAGAGTGCGGCAGTTCACCTTTGAACGGTCGGTGCACGTTTGGCTTGGTCCAGCGAAGCCAGAACAACCCCTATTTAGCCATTAGAAATGAGTAACACCATTCGAAAGGCGATGGCTCGAAACGTACAATTACAATGAAGAAATTGAATATCTGCCCTGGATAGCCCTCGACATCTAGAATGAAAGGATATACGGTCTTCGGCGGAGGACCGAGTATTACAATCACCTATAACAATGAAACCGTCAGATTATCACGTCGTTCGGAACGGATTTATAGCAGGGCGAAGACATACAGATGGAACTAGGTGGATAATCAACCCAGGAAAAGGCGACTTTCCTGTGGGCCAATTCGATGCCCAGAACTTGTTACCAAAGGGGAGAGGTACGCCCTCCTTTGCAAGTTCTTGGTTAATACGCGATGTGGTAAACGTCTGCAGAAATGAGTGAGCTATGATAGTTATAAAGTGTGTCCGTATTGATCGCATCGACACAGGGAGAGACTTACCACTGTTATGACGTTCTAGAACCCAGTAATTATCGCTCAACAAGGTGAGTAGCTTTATACAGCGATGACCTGCTTACTCCAAGGGCACTGAGCGCGACGAGCACGGCCAATGCACGCTGCGCAGCTTCTCCGAAGACCTTGCCGAAGAACAGCGCAGCAACAGTCACACCGCTGTTATTGATCTCCTCCTACAAGGTCGAAAAATGTTTCCATCATTGACACCGCGAGCTTCGACAAAAAGCGCTGTCCATACCTTGGTAGCAGCGCTGAAGTAGGCAATATTTGCGAATAGGTACAAGACTGCGCAGATGCCGAGGCCAAGCGGCCCCGAGATCTTGAGGGTGCGCACGGGATTGCGTACGTTGTTGAGGACGCTGTTCACATTAGACCAGCCGGCAAACGCATTGAGGACTTTGAAGCTGGCTGTTGCGTACTGGAAAGTCAAACACAGAAAGGTATGTGAGAGGCTTCAAGGAGAAGAAGCTGAAGAGGCGCACGTCGTTTGCACTATGTGAGCTTCCGGAAAATGGTTGTCGGAAGTTGGCATACGGATCGGAGACGCGCGTTTTTCCGCTGAGGACAGCAAATCCTGTCACCACTACGAAGAGTAGGATGAAGATCTTGAAAACACTAAGACCCTGGGACATACAATGTTAGAGGCTGGCGCTAACGACACTTTACACGAGGCATAACACACGTTCATGAGGGCAATACCACTGCGAGGCGCAAGACCATGCAGTAAGGTCACAAAGATCATGACTATCATAAACATAAAGTCAGGGAAAGTTGATAAGATGGGGCGATTGACATTGTACCTGTCAGCGCTATCCCGCGCTCTACCCACCGTGAAGCTTCGTGTCCTGTTGCCACGAGTATGCTTAAAGGAATTGTTAGCATCGATATTTCCACCACTGTAGTGCATGCTCACTTGCTTGCAAATATCTATCAAGCAAACGTTGGTCAAGTGAACGGAACCCTTCAAAACAAAAGAGGAGCTCACAATACACCCACTAGCCGTGAAACCAAGTATGATGGCATGCGTTGCAAAAACCATGGTTGTGAGGTACTTCGGACGCGTATACACCGCCTCAAGGTACACCTTCGACCCTCCGCTGCGTGGGATCATCGTCCCGAGCTCCAGCCAGATGAACAGCCCGCAAAACGACAGCGAGAAGCCGAGCACCCATAGCGTTAGGGAGGCGCCTACAGAGCCGACGCCGCCCAAGATGGAGGAGGGAGTCGAGAAGATACCCGTGCCGATGATACGGCCGACGATGAGGAGCGTACAGGAGGTCACGCCGAGATGCCGGCCGAGTCCGCCTGCGGTATCTGCAATGCACGAGTGCATCGTGTCAGTGAAGATGCACTGACACCAAGTGTGCTTCGGAGATGGGATGCGTACCTTCGTCGAATGCAAGTTCACCCGGGTTCAGCTCTGCATCGTCGCTACTGTCGGGAGCTTCTGCCAATGGGGCCTCAGAGCGCGCACCTTCATCGACACCGGTCGTGGTTGAATTAGATAGGAGAGGTGTGCGCTCTGAGCTCGAGCTTGCTCCACCGTGACTTCCAGCAGCCTGCGGCGCGGCCTTCTGTCCTAGTAAGCGTGGAGCCATAACGAGGTCGTCAACGCGCTGTTGTCGCCAGAAAAGGGGAGGAAACCCACAAAGGAGGGGGACTTGCGCAAGCCTTTGTAACGTTCGCAGTACATTTGACTAGTGCTTAGGCATGCACCATGAAGCTGTTCGATGGCGCCATAGGGCCACGCCATGAGAGAGCTCCTAGTTTAGGGAGGAAGTCGCGTTTGTGGCGGCGCTACGCGCGAGTTTTGTTCGCAACGGTGGAACATCATTCCGCGATTTCCTGCTGTAAGCTGATAAGGCTTCGGGCATGCGCTCCTTCTCTCCGCCTCGAATGATTAAGTGCTGACTAGTCCTAGGCTTGTATATCCCGGTGGGTGAAGTCTCCACTGCTTGCGAAAAGTGAAAACCAGAGCGTTGATAGTGGAGAGAAGTCTAAATATAAACTCCGAACAATAGCCCCTATCTCGACCTTCCAAAAACAATTGTTCTCTTGAAGGTGCCTTCGTTCCCAACATGTGAGTGCATTGTAGATACAGGAAAAGAATGTTCGCAACAGTCGGCATCCACTATAGTAGATTTAGTTAGCTTATGATTGTGTTCGGGGTTTTGCAACACAGGTCACGATGGAATAGCTCCGAGTCCTGTAAGCGCACGGCGTCTTGACAGTATCGCGGTCAAGGAACCAGGATAGCATTAATTGGTCAAGGGCGAGAAGAATGTATGAGAACGATGATCAAGCTACTAGTTGGATGCCACTAAACCCTCTAAGGTAGAGATGGATGGGTGCGCATCGCTCGGCGAGGGGAGTCAAACAAGATGGCTTGCATTGATCCATAGCTGGAACGTACGGTCGATGATCAGCCCCGAAGGAAGTGATATATTCCCCGTCGACTTGATGGATACCCAGAGCCAATTGTTAGCACAAAACCGCGCCTTGTGATCAAATGAGTTCATCCACTATGCATTGTCATCGTTGTTCTGTGCCTGAGATTGCTTCCACTCCGCGGTTTCCAGACAGATACATCTTCATAATCCGGTACGGCTTAACCGTCCCGACAGACCGCTGAAAGGCGGGCGGAATTACGGTAACAACCTTACTGCCTGTTGCAAATTGATTTGGAATAGACTTTAACCCTAAGCTAAAATCCGACCGTGGAGATGAGCACCTCGACACCGTGCTTCCTGAGGACCGCTGACACGGCATTTACATCATCCGGCTTTACTTTCTCAGCTGCCTGTTTCGAGTGGGGCTTGAAGGTTGACGTGGAGTCAGGTCTTGTTAGAACGACGACCTTGCTTGCGCTGCTCGCAAGGAGACTCTGCAAGCATTCGTTACAACATTGACTCTGTCAAGATCACCCTCCGAGTGAGGTTACCTCAAGAACGGGTTGCCGGATAGCCGCCTGCCCCAACAATTGCGAAAGTCTTGAAGGTGTTGCTCATTGCCCAAGCTGTGAGTGGTTGACTCTGGGATTACTGTACGGGTGCATCCCAGTCACGCGTGCGCGGCTTATTTATATAACCTGCCCTGGAGCCCATCCGGTATTGGAACCAGACTTGGTCAATATATATTGGTCGCGGGCAGGTGACTGGTTCAGTACACCATAACCGACTGTGCCTAATGCCGCCTTCCGTGCTCACACTTCTAGCATGCGTTCTCACGAGATAATGAGTTTTACGCAACGTAGCATGGACAAAGATCATCTCTTACAAAGCAGCGGCGAACCCCACCGAAAGCCTGCCAAAATCGCTGGGGTGAAGATATATCCCACCACCGATAGCATACCGACGATTGCATTCTCGCAAAGCTACGCTGTTAGCTATTTCTTACAATACGTTATGGGGAACATCAAAGAGTGGCCATTCATTTGGACAAAACATCCCTAACTGACCGCCATTTGTACTCCGCCCACAGGTTGTTCGAAAGCGCACTTGTGCCTAGGTCCTTATCCTGAACAAGATCATAGCTGGAAACACATTGTCCAGAGTTAAGGTCCTTCCAAAAGTATTCGAGAATGAAACCCCTGGGTAGGCCTTCAGGGACCTTGCTGACATGCTCAACAGGAACTGATTTGAGCTCTCCATAGATAGCGCCAAGCTCGGAGAACGTGAGGCGCTCGCCTTCGATACGAAAAGCAGTGTTCAGGAGTTGGCTCGGAGCGAGAGTTGTGAATGTATAGGCCAAGAATGCTTCAAGAGCAGAGTTTCAGTCACTGTGAGTGCTCGAGGACGTTGAGCTTACCGCCAATATCAGAAAGAGATGTCAAAGAGAATGGCTTGTCTCCTGGATTGGGTACGAGGAATTTTCCTGTATCTTCCACAGCGCCGACAACGTGGCTATGCTCTGTGAATAGCCCATTCTTTCGTATTCAATCCGGTAGGCCCGACCGGCAAAGCAGCGCCACGAATACAGCTATGAACACTTACATATACACGCAGTGTGGGTAGCCCGATTTCCTTCGCATGTCCTAGCAATTCCACGGGTGTGAGCGCGCATGAAGCGGAGTAAACCTAGATACTCACCTACTACTTTCTCTTTGACAATCAGTAGGCCCTCCGTTAGACCCTCTGTGGGGCCACAGAAGTCGGACGGGACAAACAACTGCACGCCGGCATGCTTCGCCGCATCTGCGAGCACCACCTGCGACTCGAAGCCAGTGAAACCGATCGTAGAGATGAGCACTTCGACTCCGTGCTTCTGCAGAACAGCAGCGACCGCGTTCTCGTCGTCCGCCTTCACTTTCTCCACAGCTAGCTTGGGATTCGGCTCGAACATCGATGAGGAGTCAGGTCGCGTCAACACGACGACCTTGGTTGCGCTGCTCGAGAGAAGGCTCTGCATGGAAGAGGTGGTTCTTGGGTCAATGGTTAGGTTTTGCAGTGTTCCACGTATGAGCGTACCTTGAGCACTGGCTTCCCGATAGCACCGCCCGCGCCTACGACGGCAAAGACCTTGAATGTGTTGCTCATTGGTGACAATCAGGGGGAGAGATGCTTGATTTCAACTTGAGACGTGACCAAGTGGAGAAACCACGCCCTCTTATATTGCTAGCTTATAAGCCTCGCGCTTGGGTCTGTCAGCGTCTTCCATCAAGTGCACTGAACATTTGATTGAGTCGAGGTTAAGCGCAAAGCAGATCACGTCCGAATTCTGACGTCAGCTGAATGACGTGATAAGTGCTTCGGCACGAGACCTGCGACCTCTGCTTCATCTCACCTTACGCAACGCTCTGCAGTACGCGACCAGATCCTCCAGCAGCTTTCCTTTTCTATTCTCAACACACGTTTTCAAGCAAGGCACACAATATAGGCAGCGACGGCCTTGGGCGACGACATCTCGCGCAATAGAAGTGGGGCTGACAAAGTTGACCGGGCCGCATCAGCATGCCCACGTAAAATAAAGCTTACCTACTACGTTACCCATAAATCGTAGGTAAGGGGATTGGATCATTTATGTCATTTACCTATCATCCACCGATTATAGGTCAAACAAGAAATCAGACGAAGGTCTTCATCACAACCTGGCAAATTGAACGATCTACAGAATCTTCGAACCACTCTGTAACAGAGACACTTTGTTGAAAGGTAAAACCTCAACGTATCAAACGATTACTGCACAGTAATAGCAGACAAGAAGTAAAGCAGATTTACGTGCAGTAGATCGTACCAATGTAAATGTTACTTGGGTAGGGCCCAAGGTGATCAAGCAAATCGCCAAACAACAGGTTTGGTACAGTCTGTATCGTGCACTGCTCATCCGTAGCATCGTCGTTGCCGGGGCACTCGTAAAGCCACGTCGCTTGTATCCGATGCCGAGTCAGAGACGATGTGGATCTCGCCTTGGACGTGGGAGAACCCTAAGAATTCCCCCGGAAGCGTAGGGATGGGGTCTCGGACGTTATTAATGCGAACGAAGTCGTTGATCTACGGAATCGGAATCAGCGCCGTAGCATACACAGCTAGCTTCACAGCTACGAGTGGCCTACCCTACTGTCGAAAGATGATGCATAGGCAGGGTTGCCAACGCGTGGCGTGCCGTACGTTTGTCCCTTGATGTGGATGTTCGAAGGTAAATTGAGCGTCAAATAGAGGCAATCAAGCTCTGCTAGAGCACCGCCAAGCGAGTGGCCAACGATGAAAACCTCTGTCGCACCATGCTGCGAGATGAGGCCGAGGTTTTGGACCTCAGCAAGAATGATCTGAGCCGTCTTGGCAGGCTCATCAGCAAAACCCTCATGCACCATGACATTGCTGGGGACGCCGGGAAAGAGAGCCGAATCGAGGTGTGTCTGCACGATTTCAATGTCTATGAAAAGTGATTCGCTACATGACTAAACGTGTTAGTTACCCCCCCCAATGACAACCTCAACGTGGTGGGGGGGTCCAGTACGGCAGTAGGAGAACCTGAACATCAGTAACCCTAGTAGTAACCCCGGAGTAGCTTAAGTATTTAATTACTTGCGAAACAGGCTCGGAAAAGGTGAACGGTGGAATGGGAAGTAACTACTCCAGAAGCTAAGTCAGAAAAATTAGGAGCCCTCTCGAACGCCTGTTCTTAACTAAGCTTAGCAGGAGTGTCTTGAGGGAAAGCCAGTGAAAACCTGGCATGAGGGGTTTAGTGGGTAGTGTCGCAACGCTACTGTTGTTCTGATGAGCCCCACACTCCAGTCCTTAGTGGCTGGGTCAGTGCGTTAAAGCATTCCCCTCATATCCACCCAAAAAAAAACGTGTTAGTTACAGCACAACATATAGCGCGACACCGAAAGGACCATCTCACAATTTCAAGGGATCTATCCCTTGGTGCGCCACAACAACAGCGTTGTTGGTGGGCCAGTACCCAACAAAGTCTGCACACACGGATTTGTCAGAGATCACGGAATCGAGAGATACACGTAAACATACAGTATTGGACATAATTTCCGTCTCCAGCGGCAAGGCTAGGCTCGAATCCAGGGACGGCATCACAAGCCTCTGCGGATATGAAAACGGTGTTGAGCGGGCGGATCACTCTGTTTTAGCAATGAAGAAAAACCTCCACAATTCCATCCTCGAACTGGGGTCACAAAACGCTGCACTTGTGAGCTGGGTGTACGGAGCCCAGCTTTCGAGAGCGCTCTCAGAGATTTGGGTTAGCGTGGTCACCCAGTCCTCGATTGGAGCTGCGATAGCGCTGAGAACACCGTAAAGGGTAAGAGCAAGTACTTTAGACGGATGCATGCTTGATGGGAGATCGAGGGAAATCTGAGTGAGACTCGGACTGAGGAAACATCCTGGCTACAATCGCCATGACTTGTACTGTAGCTGCTCTCTGAGCGCCTTCGCTCGGCATCGGGGAGAAGAGAAACTCCTGTCATTTAGTGAGAAATATAAGCGCACATATTACGAGCACGAGATGTACAACCGCGTGGTCTTCTCAATGAGAAGACGCTCCCTTCAATATTAGAAAGATGGTCTTACACTAGTAGATGCGCGCTAATCAAGAGTCTCTGACTGTATATGGCTATGGGACGCCTATCTGAAGCTAGTTCTGAGCGTTTGATACGAGCTTCCCAACGTATCGAAGGGCTTAGAACGCGAACGTTAGTGTTAAAAACTGATAACCATAAGTATATATCCCCTAAGCGCTGTGGTACGAGCGAGTATAATCTACCTGATAACCATAAGTATATATCTGGTAGACGTTGTCAGTTCATGTCCCTTGACTCTGGGACGAGACGTGCTTACCCCCTAAGCGATGTGGTACGAGCGATCGCGAGTGGGGGTAAGAATGCGTCTGGCGCTCGTCTAATATACGAGCGCATTCCAAACTCCTGCTTCTCTTCTGGTTCCTGCTTCTCTTCTGGTTCCTGCTTCTCTTCTCTTCAGCTTCCTTCCGCCCGCTTCTCTTCTCCCGTCCTGTCCGTCTTGTCGTCGGAGCGGTGCTTCTCCGCATTTCAACAAACAGAAGTCGAATAATCTTGCTAATATGAGATTGTGGCAACAAACGTGCACGCCAAACACGGAAAGAACACGGTTATCAATGAAGAAGCTCAGGTCAACGTTTCAAAATTTCAACAGCCGTGGAGATACATTTCAACTTTACCTTTTCGCCAACCCGCCTACCATAATAATCCTATTGAACAAAATTTGTGGCGCCGAGCACGTGCTATGGTCACGGAAGCTGAAGCTGAAGGACTGCTGACTGCGGACATCTCGCGTCAAAAATTTGCGACCGTGACACTTCTAGTCTTACCATATGTGTCGCTGATGCCGAACAGACATCACGGTCAAAAGTCCTTCTGTATAATGAGCAAGCTTGTTCAGGCTGAAGGAGGAGGTATAGTCAACCCTCGTGACGCAAGGGTCATGCATTCTTGCTCTCGTTCCACCATGCTACCCCCGTCATCCTCGCAGAGTAGGCATCTCAATTATTCACGGTCAAAATGGAAGTGCCTCGCTAACGGCCACAGGCTGCCGCATATGCTGCAACGTGATCGTTACAAAGAGGATCATCCACTAGTAAATGCAGCTTTGCACAACCGATCCTGGTCCTCCTTTGGTCGGTGCACCCTGCGCATACCCCGCATGTCCCGTTGTATCGGCTTGCTACGAATCTGTGCCGCTGGTGTCGGGTAATAGATGCAGGGTCCACAGTATTGCGTAAGTCGTATATAATTATCGATGTCAACCTTCATCCCCGTTCATCTCCCACCTTTCCACTCCCACTACCTTCTGTTCAACACTAATTCATAACTAGAAAATGTACAGGCGACTCGTCTCATTCGTATCGTTACTTCCCGCTCTGGCAGTGGTCAGAGCCCAAAGCTCGGGACCGACGGTTGACCTCGGCTATGCGATATACCAAGGGGCAAAGAACAGCAGTACGAGCATCAGTTCATTCCTTGGAATCCCATACGCCGCGCCCCCGACTGGTCAGTCTCTCTGCCCATCTCCCAGTTTGGTTAAGTAGTATGCGTGCTAAAGAGGCTGCGTTCATATCCCGCAGGTGACCTGAGGTTCCAGGCGCCACAAGCGCCTGCCGTCATCAGTGACGTGCAGCAAGCGACCGCACAGCCAAACGAGTGCTATCAGGCTCCGTTTGGAAACGCGACCACAAGCTCATTTCCATTGGGGCACACTGACTTGAGTTCGGGTGGTGCATTAATGAGGAAGCGGGACGTAGGGCAGTCTGAAGATTGTCTTTATCTCAAGTGAGCCATTACCGTCGATTGCAACCTCAGCATAGGTTGTATCGAATCCTGTGCTTAATGTGTGTTCAGCGTCTACACGCCAGCAGACCTGAGCTCGTCGACGAACGCGAGTCTGCCAGTGCTGGTGTGGATCCACGGAGGCGGTTACGTAGCCGGCGGTGCATCAGGTTTCGACGGTGTGGACATCGTTCAAGAGTCCGCGAATGGCCTAGTCGTTGTCATCATCCAGTACCGGCTCGGTGTGTTCGGGTTCTTGTCGGGAAACGAGGTTGTCAACGGTGGAGGGGCGCTCAACGCAGGGCTGCGTGCGTATTAACCTCGTTCTTTGCTCAAGCAGGAGGGAATGATGTCTTACGTCCGGTGATCCGCGTTCGCAGTTGATCAAACCTATGCTTTGGAATGGGTACAGAGTCAAGTGAGCTTTTCCCTCTTGCCATATCGTGAAAGTTGCTAACACGTACTGCAGATCAGCAAGTTCGGTGGCGATCCTTCCCAAGTGACAATCTGGGGCGAGTCTGCAGGTATGTCTTCTGATTTATGGCGCTATTGACACTTCGAGATGATCTATGGACTGTAGGTGCTGGATCAGTGCTGCAACACATTATCGCGAATGGTGGAAACACCCAACCTTCGTTGTTCCGCGCGGCTATGACAAGCTCGACATTCTTGCCGTCGCAGTATGCATACAATGATACTGTTCCTGAGGTGCGGCTTCTCCGCAATTGCCAAGCGATGTGCTGATTTCTCTCAGGCTCTATTTGCGTTTTTCGCTAATGGAACTGGGTGAGCACCTTTCCTTATCAAAAAAATTCATGTCATTTGCAAAGTATACGCTGACCGAGGGTCTCATCAAACACAGATGCTCGACGTCTACGACGCCGCTCGCATGCATCCGCAACGCATCCGTGGATACCCTTGAGAGCCTGAACAATCAAGCCAATTTGAACGGATTCTACGGCACGTTTGTGACTGTGCCTGTCATCGACTACGAGATGATAGTCGAGCGCCCGATAGTGACGCTCCAGCGCGGAAGTGTGAATGGGGTGCGTGTCTCCTCATCTTTTTTGAAAAGATACAACGTTGATTAATGTGTATGTGTTTAGGAAGTTCTGTTAGCGATGACGAACACACACGAAGGAAATGTATTTGTCAACTACGCTGAGACGCTCAACACCACGTCTTATGTCGAGAACCTGTTCCCGCTGCTGCCAGAGTCTAGCGTGCAGCAGGTCGTCAGCGCTTATGCAAACTACACGGTTGGACCCGGCGGCGGTCCTGCTGTTGGAGACGTCCTCGGCCAGGCTATTGGGATCATGGGCGAATGTACGTGTCCGGTCTTCTTGAGTGGGAATACGGTTGAAAGTGCTAATGTTCGTAACAGCTATCTTCTATTGTCCGTCATACTACCTCCTTGACGCATTCTCGAAATCCAACAAAAGCGCGTGGAAGGGCACGTTCGCGATTCCGGACGGGTTCCATTCGTCCGATATTCCGTATTACTTCGTGAGGTGAGCGGTGCGACGAACTACATGGGGATTATCTTGGCTCACGGTTTTTGTAGCGTAGGTCCGGCGGTTGACAACACGATGTTCATTGCGTCCTTCTCTGGGGCGTTCACCGGAGTCGCGCTTGCGGAGACGCCGGATCACCATCCCACCAACGTGTCGATCACTCCCGAGTGGACTACATGGCCCACGGGTGAGATGGAGGTTGTGTTCAATACGACGGAGGCGGGCGATGCGAACATTTATGCGTCAACTACGGATACGGTATATCCGGGTATCATTGAGCGGTGCAAGTGAGTTTATTTCGTGGTGTGTATGTATACAACTAGTGCTTATGGATCTCGCAGTATCTGGCATAGTTTGGGGCAGTATACGGGACAGTGAACTCGAAGCAAGACGGGTAGGAGAGTCTCGACTCTTTAGATACTTTATGGATGTTTCCAGTTATTCAATATTACAGTAACATCCTTGACAATGACGGCTCGAGGGGTTTCAAAGCGGTTGACCATGGTGTTAGCTCGCAACATTCATTCCCGTTTAGATTACCACGCAACAGCGGGCATCGTTCAACTACTACAGAGAAACTGACTTCAACCCGATCAGCTCGTCCGAACTACAGTTGTGTTTTGTCACAGATTGCACACCACTACATCTTGTACTAGTAACACATACTACTATATTGGCATCGACCAACGCAGGCAGCTCATCTGCAGTAATAAGTACCCATGTAGAGGTTCCCCGGATAAGGCCCAAGGTGATCCAGCAAGTTCCCGACGAACACATTGGGAACAGTCCGAATTGTGCACTCCTCGTCCGTGGCGCCGTCATCTCCAGGGCACTCGTAGGCGACATCGCCCACCCCAGATGCAGACTCCGAGACTATGTGGATTTCGCCTTGGACGTGGGAGAACCCCAAGAATTCGCCCGAGAGGATAGGGACGGGGTCTCGCGCGTGGTTGATGCGGACGAAGTCGGGGACCTATAAAAAAGGTTGCTTGAATGTTGGAGTGCGTATTCAATGTTGTTGAGGTGGTGGTGGTATGCTCACCTTGCTGTCGAAGAGCGAAGCATATGCTGGGTTCCCGACGCGTGGAGTACCGTACGTCTGGCCCTTGACATGAATATCTGAAGGTAGGTTGAGCGTCATGTAGAGGCACTCAAGCTCCGCGAGCGCGGCGCCGAGCGAGTGGCCGACGAGGATGACCTCAGTCGCAGAATGCTTCAAGATGAGGTTTTGAACCTCGGCAAGGATGATCTGGGCGGTCTTGGCGTGCTCATGAGCAAAGCCCTCGTGCACGAGGACGTCACTGGGAACGCCAGGGAACAGAACCGGGTCGAGGTTTGTCTTCAGAATATTGGCATCGGTGAGGTCGGCTTGGCTGTGCAAGTGAAGTAGATTCAGGTGCTGCAGGCAAGAAAGTACCGGTGATATGAAGATCTCACAATTTAAACGGATCCGTTCCTTGGTGTGCCACCACAACGGCGTTGTTCGCGGGCCAGTACCCAACGTAATCTATAGAGCATGCCATAAGCAGAGAAACTCAGTCTTAGAACGTACGCAAACATACAATACTGGACGCCGCCGCCGTCGCCTTCAGCGAGAGTGAGCTGGAATCCGGGTACTGCATCACATGGTTCTGTATCACAAGAAAAGTTGCTATGAGTTCACGTTTCGCTGGAGAGGGACTTCTGAAATGGCAAACCTCCGCAGTTCCACCCTTCAACTTGGCTTGGTGCACAGTACGTCGCCCTTGCGAATTGGGTGTACGGATTCCAGCTGCTTATATCGCTTTCAGAAACTTGAGTGAGCGTTCGGACCCAGTCGTCGACGGGCGCGGCCAGAGCTCGAAGGGTTGAGGAAAGGGCAAGAGCAAGGATGATGGACAGGCGCATAGCAGATGTCAAAGCAAGGGAAACCTAGTGCTGCTGAGGACACCTGGCGTACACTCCCTGTCTTATATATTGTCAGTATCCTCCGAAGCATCATTCGCGAGGTAAGATGGAAGATGTTGCGCGCCGCGGATGTGATTAAAATAAGCAGACACAGTTTGAACCAAGACACACGAGCGCACAGCCAGTGGAACGAAACGCACACGTTACATGGGATATCTAGACGCTCTCGCATTGGCAAACGGACGTCTACCATTAATTACCAGCAAGTTTCTGTAATGGACGATACAATTCAGCAAGCGATGTGAGTCCGAGGGCTATATGAACGCGATGAAGAATCTAAAAACGGCAACAAACCTGAAATGAACACGGTAGAATGGATTTTGCAGCATTCGGTACGTGTGACGGTTAAACATGGAAGAAACGCGGCCAGAATGATGAGTTGAAGTTTCAAGTTGACGTCTGATCAAATGGCGGATTGTTCGGTGGGAAGAGGGGAGGGTATATGCGCCTTCAAGAGCTAGATGTGGAAGTCTAACAGGGTCCGCAATATGACAAGCATACCTTGAGGATTCAGAATTAGGACTATATCCCATATTCCAGACGGGATGGAGCGCCTGCTAGCGGAGGAATGGCAGGTCTAGCTCCGGAAACGTTTATTGTCCAACATTCGGCTCGCTTCGCTGGCCTGAGGGTCGAAATCGGATCAGCTTTTTCGTCTTTTGACGACGTTGATTAAGCGACCAAAGTTGGTCTAGTATCGGGGCACAGCACGCAAAGAGTTGGCTCTTCATTCGTACCGTGTTTATAGGAGAGTCGGCGGAGATAGCATGGAAGAGAGCCGACACGAATGAGCTTGTCACGGTCGCCTCTGAATCACTATAGCGTTACGGGTGTGGTCAAATTTCCTCGGATTCTTAGCTGGCATGGACGCGAGCTCTTGTAGAGGCATGTCGGGCTGAACAAGCGAGGAAACGAGAACGGAGAGCAAACAGAGAGGTTGCTACAAAAGTTGAATCCGCGACACGAGTCACTCCGAAATCACGTGCGCAATATTTTCAGTCACGCCCTGTGCCGAGTCAGAGATTACTGCAACAGTAAAGCCCAAGGGCAGAGATCATCGATAATCCTGGCGCTCAGACTTGCATCTTACCGTCGACTCCGTCTCGGCACCTCCTTACCCTCCTCCCTCCCCTCCCTCCGCTCATCTTTCCGTTTCTCTCTGATCCGAGCCGAGCCTCCCCACTTACCCCTCAAAAGTCTACGTCTCATGTCGACATCCCAGAACCCTTTCTGGTATAAGCTCACGTCCGTCCCGGATACGGACCCGAGCTCGTGTGTCCTCGACGCGTTCCGGATTGCCATCGCCGAGCGCGTCGCGAGCGCGCTGCCCCCTCTGACGGTCGAAAAAGCATACTCGGGCGTCGATTACGGCAAGAAGGGTGTCGACTTCACGGTTGCGTTGCCGCGCTTCCGGTTGCCCGGTAAGGTGGACGAGCTGGCAAAGAAGGTCATCGATGCTGTGCGTGTTCTTCTGTTTCGTGTATGCTCGAGGATATAGCTAATGGCAACGGGACATTAGTTCCAGCCCGACGACTTCGTCGCATCCGTCGTACACGACAAGGCCTTCCTCCACTTCCAGCTCAACACTACTTCCCTCATCCGCGAAGTCGTCAACCAGATCTACACTACCACCTACGAGCCCGGCCAGGGACTCGATGCCAACGCCGAGCCGACCAACCCGCGCTACGGTACCAACAGCTCGGGCGGGGGCAAGACGCTCGTTATTGAGTACTCATCACCCAACATCGCCAAGTCGTTCCATGTTGGTCACTTGCGCAGCACGATCATCGGCGCGTTCCTTGCAAACCTGTACAAGGCATGCGGGTGGAAGGTGCTTTCAGTGAACTATCTGGGCGATTGGGGCACCCAGGTGCGTCTTTCTCTTCCTTTTCGTTGCTCCCACCCCTGATTATGGTTGTATGCGCGTAGTTCGGCATGATTGCCACTGGCTTCGAGAAATACGGCTCGCAAGAGGCGCTCGAAAGAGATCCCATAAAACATCTGTACGACGTCTACGTGCAGATCAGCCGCGAGGCCGAGGCGGACCCGAACGTCAAGGTTGAGGCTGCCAAATGGTTCAAGCGCATGGAAGATGGGGACGAGAGCGCGCTCGCCAACTGGCGCGTCTGGCGCGAGCTCAGCATCAAGAAGTACACTGAGGAGTATGAACGACTAAACGTACAATTCGATGTGTACACGGGAGAGAGCGAAGTCGGCAAGGAGTGGCAGGATAAGGCGTTGCAGCGGCTTGAGGAGATGAACTTGGTCAGCGATGCGAATGGGGCGAAGCTGGTGGATCTGGAGAAGTGGAAGTTGGGCAAGGCTGTGTTGCGGAAAGCTGGTATGTTCATGTATGGTTTTCCTCTTTCGTCCAGTTTCTAATCAGGTCGGATAATCGCTTCCAGACGGCACGTCCATATACCTCACGCGCGACATTGGCGGTGCGATCGAGCGATACGAGAAATGGAACTTTGACAAGATGATCTACGTCATCTCGTCACAGCAAGACCTACACGTCGCACAGTTCTTCAAGATGCTCAAGCTGATGGAGTTCCCGTGGGCCGACAGACTCGAGCACGTCAACTACGGGCTCGTGCAGGGCATGAGCACGCGCAAGGGCACCGCCGTGTTCCTCGCCGACATCATCCGTGAGGCGTCGACGGTGATGCACGAGCAGATGAAACGCAACGAAGAGAAGTACAACGCCATCCAGGACCCCGAGACCACGAGTCGCGAGGTGGGGATTTCGGGGGTAAAGATTCAGGATATGGCTGCCAAGCGGTGCGTTTATTCTTCTTACTTCGCCAATCATAATGCTAATAACGCGGATGACAGGATAAACAACTACAACTTCAACTGGGACCGCATGCTCTCCTTCGAGGGTGACACGGGCCCCTACCTCCAATACGCACACGTCCGCCTCTGCTCGATGGAGCGCCGCAACCCCGAGGTCTTCCCCCTCCCCGCGCCCTCGTCCATCGACTTCAACGTGCTCGCGGACAGCCAGCACGCGCGCGACATCGCGATCCTGCTCGGCTCGTACCCGGACGTGGTGAAGACGGCGCTCAAGACGCACGAGCCCTCGGGCGTCGTCACGTTCGCGTTCCGGCTCGCGCACGCGATCTCGAGCGCGTGGGAGACGCTGGTGGTCAAGGGCGAGCAGGATCGCGGGAAGGCGCAGGCGCGGTTTTGGCTGTATAGGAGTGCGCGGGATACGTTGGGCGCTGCGATGCGGTTGTTGAGTATTCGGCCGATGGAGCATATGTGAGGAGGTTGACGGGGGTGTAAAAGTAGTGGGATTAGAGTGTTTTTTTGTTTGAATTTGGTAGGATAGCCTCGCTGCAATATTGCACCGCAATAATATAAATAGTCAGAAGTAAATGGGATCATCTATTGTCTATCCTGGATTAATAGGTACTCGCTCAATTCAGCCCTTTCACTCCCGAGATCCACCTTCAACGTTCAACGTTCAACGTTCAACCCCTCCATGCCTGCCTATATACAGTACGTTTCCTCCGACGTACCTTGTATGCTGCCAAATGCCTTCCCCGCTCTTGCCTACTCCTAATTGTGCTCGCCTGCCTCCACTTCAAGTTGATGATCGTGAGCCTCCCCCTCATTAAGCGACATCATAGAGCAATGTTAAATCCTTGCGTAACAGTAAAGCAAGCAACGAGGACGGGTAAAAGTTTCTTGGGTTTACCAAGAAGTATGTATACCCGTAACGTCATTATGGCTGTCCTGAAACTTTTCTAGCTATCCGAATTGCCTGGAACCATATCCTTCGCACCTTGTAAGAGGAATATGATAAACAAGACGCTAATTTGCAGAAAACTGTACAATGCTACGCCTGCAAACACAATTTAAAAGCGTCATAACATTGCACAAGCGCTATGAAAGCACTAGTGCACCCACAGCTGGATTAAAATTGGATGAGGAACCGGACAAATATGCACATATGAAAAAAAGTGTCAATATACCCCTGTTATAAAGTCAGAAAAGTATAATTATCTGAATGTTTATGAATTTGGAAATACACGTACTTGACTTGACAGCGACTTCATCACCGCTGTTAACGCTAGATACAGATCAATGACGTGCGAAGCAAGATATTGCAAGACGCGCGTATAGAGCATCTATGTAATTAAAGCATTTAGCTATCTGATACGAATTGCGTCAAAAGCTTACATTGAAATAGCCAGCCCCAAGTAGCGTATCTGTAGGGTCCATCGAAGAAGTGAGTATATATTTCAGGCCGAGAACACCGAGTAGTCTCACCATAATGTATGCAAAGGTGACTGCCAAGAATTTTCTGTTCTAATGGAAGTTAAGCGTGTTATTTTCTTGTGAATCCGAGGGCTGGGTTACCCAAAAAAAGACCACCTTCCGAAGGTTGAAAATACTAAGAAACCGCTAAAGTCTCACTGACTGAGCTCGCACATACCTCCGATGGAAAAGCCTAAACTAATGACGTGGAAATTTTGTGATTTTGCTAGCAACGTCAACAGTGGTCTCATCATAGCTGTAAACTACCAACGCTGCAGCCGCGACTACTCAGAGAGTCATATAAGACTCATATTTTTAGACTTAATGGCGCCTGATCAAGGAGGACTGACCTGTTCCACGCTCGACCTGGAAAAACTCTTCAACGAACAATATATCTTGTTGTTCGACGTAGAAGTCAAGTGCTGTGTGAAGGCGTCGTGTACGTACTGGAAAATTACAGGCGGAGACCAACGAATTTATAAACCACTACAGGCACTGTTACTTAGGACAGGATACTGCGTGTGACGCAGCGGGATTGAGATGTCATTTCTGCCCAGGGTTACCGGGTCACTCACCTTAGAAACCAGGAATGGCTGTACATATATGTTGTCGAGCTTTTGTTTATTTCTTGTCTACTCTAATATTCCGAATCGTCGCGATTTACTGTCACACGTAGAGGAAGAAAATAATGTTGGAGAGGCTTTGTAAAAGACCGATAATAACCGTCCGAGTAAATTATCTTTTGATACACAGCACTGGATTATATATAAGTAGAGAAGAAACACGTGTAAACATAGCTTTAGAGAAACAAGGCCGTTACTAAGACTAAACACAAAATGGAAAGCGATGTTCATGTCAAGATCAGCAAAGCATACTGAAGAAGATGGGAGTTGGCTGGAACAGGTTAACTCCAGCAGTCGACGCCATCACTTGAGTTGAGCACGATGCACCTTATGGCTTTAACCTCAAATCAGATGAGGATGGTCACGCAAGTCATTAATGATGCAAAAGCTCTGCACCAAGACAACATACATCAGCCACCCTGTGCCAGCTTGCCCACTGACCGAATGGCTTGAGACTTCCGTCCCTCCAGTCATGATTATGCCCGGGGGTTTTCTCTTGAATTCACTATATATCTTAATTTCTGAGAATAGGATAAGTCGTAGGAGCATACCAAATTTCTCGTATTCTGTGGGAGTTGCATACTCGCGTTTGCCGAAGTCGCTTGAAACTTTGTGCGTGAGACTATAGGGATGGACAGGACTTTTCGGAGCTCAAACAATACAGCCAAATATGGAGATACTATCTCACGTCCAATGCTGCCTCGGTTGGTCTGCGCCTTGGTCAAATCCACATAACGGACCCATCCAGTATCCTCCACCATGGTATGTCTTCCCGCTCTTTTCTTCTCCACAAACTCACGCCTCACGCCTCACATATCACTAGGCTCGTAATGAAGAAAAGGCCCAGTCTATGCTCTACCGCTTCCGCGAAGCCCAAGCCGCCGAGCTCGGGCTGGGCACGCGCGGGGACCGCCGCCCGAAGATGGCGTCCGCGTGCAAGTCCCTGCGCGAGTGCGAGCGCTGGCGCGGCGAGCTCCTCCGCGAGATATCACGCAAAGTATCAAAGATCCAGGACGCCGGGTTGACGGACTATGAGCTGCGGGACTTGAACGACGAGATTAACAAGCTGCTGAGGGAGAAGCGGCACTGGGAGAACCAGATTGTTGCGCTGGGGGGTGCGAATTATAGACGGAATATGGCGATGCTGGATGATGATGGGAAGGAGGTGCCGGGGACGAAGGGGTATAAGTGCGTCGCAATTTCTTTCTATTTCCACGTCCGTGCGTTGGTGTTGACGGAGGGTATTGCATTGCAGGTACTTTGGGCGAGCAAAGGAGCTGCCGGGTGTGAAGGAGCTGTTCCAGTCGCGCAAGAAGGATGAGGAGGAGGAGAACCAAGCGTTGGCGTACTACCGCAAGTTCACGAACCAGGGGCCTGCATACTTCGGTGACTTGGACGAGAACGACGGGAGTCTATTGGACTATGAGCGTGCGGCTGAGGATCAAGGTGCGCATTTTCTTCTGTCCACGCCTACACAGACTTCGTCTCCCAACATCGCTAACTCCTTGGGCGTATATTAGATTGGGCCGACGCACACACGCACGCGCTCGAGATGCTCAACCTCCCATCCGACACCCCCGTCCCGCCCATCCCACGCGGCGGGCCCCCACCATCCTCCGCCGCCGCCGAACCTGCCGAACCCGCTGAACCCACCCCTGCCAAAGCCACCAAAACCAAGGGCAAAGCCAAAGCCAAACCCTCAAAGAAGTCAAAACGGAAAGCCGCGGAGAGCGCCGACGCTGACGATACCGAGATGGCCGCGCCCGATGGTGATGCAGCGAAACGCCCTAAATCTGACGTTGCAGTTGCGTCAACGACCAAGGAGGTCGACCCGGCAGACGCGACGGCTGCCGCTCTTGCTGCTGCTGTTGCATACATACCATTCCTATCGCCAGGGGATCTCACACATCCGCACATGCCGACGCGGGAGGAGCACGAGCAGACGCTGTTGGCGCTGAGGAAGAAGGCACTTGTCGAGGAGTACTTCGGGTAGTGTGGACGAAGGGTGCACTATGCGCGGGAGAGAGGCTGGTTGCTGACTGGTTGCTTCGCTACTCTGTATTGTTACTTGATCACCTTTCACTTATAATACGAACGTCTCTCGCACGGTTCAACATTAGTTTTGTTGCAAAGCTTGAAATTAGCGGATAGATGAAGGGGTTTACAGAAAGTTGGTACAAGTCAAGTCAACAATAGTGATTCGCGTACATGGAAGCTCGGTGATAGTGACCATGCTCAATAAATACCGCATATGCGAACGGCACTCGTCGCTCCTATAGTTACCCTGTCTCTCGTCGTACGTTGGATAGATTCGCGGTCTACTATCCCCACCCAACACCTATGGGGTTGAAGCGGGGAGACGTGACAAGGTCTAGCACAGGGAGGCATTCAGAGGGTGAGGTTGTAATCGTACTCGCTCTGGGCGCTTTGGGCGATCCAGAGGACAATGGCGGAAAGCATGAGCGCAACGTTCTGGGAGACGTTGGCGTAGCCATAGTACGTGTACTGCTCCGCATAGTCCTTCAACACGTACTTGAGTACCAGGAGGGACTATTCCAAGTTAGCTACGATCCGTGGCATGATCATTCAGAGGGAGGACGACGCACAATGCTCCCTGCCAACCCGCCTGCCATGAGCGCGAACCCGATAAAGAGGAAGAGCCGGGCGCGCCAGACGGCACCAGAGTCACCCGAGAAACCGGAGTCTTCGCCGCGGATGCGGTCCTTGTCGATGAGGTTCACGACGAGCATGCCCGCGAGGGAGCAGAGGCCAGGGATCCAGTCGGCGAAGGTGACGTGCACCGGGGGCGGGATCTGCGGGTCCTCATACGGCGGGTGGGCGTGTGCGGAGAGGATGGCGGCGTCGAGGAAGGTCCAGTTTGCGAGCGCGAACTAATGCAGGCGGAAACGCCAGGATGTTAGGCTAGGTTGAATGAGTGGAAGGGGAGAGAAGGGCACGTACGAGGGCGCCGGCGAGGTAGATGCCGATGGTGCGGCGGTGCTTGCCAAGGTTGACGTCTGGGAAGGGGTTGAGGCAGACCCTGCGGGGGTCGTAGTCGGAGCGGGGAAGAGACATCGTCGCCGTCGTCGTTGTCGTCGTTGTCGATGACACTGGCGGATGGGTTGAGGTGGTGGTGCACAGCGTCACTGCGCATGCCCAGGAATGGCGGGACCGTGGGAACACGTGCCTTGATATATGCACGCGAGCGTCATCCAAGTTTTTGCCTCAGACCATCGCGACTTGCATCTGACTCTCCTCGACGGTAACATTTCCGACCTTTGATCAATGGAAGGCTCAGTTATCACTTGGACGCATATTTCTTCTGGAACCTCTGAAAAGATTTCTACGCCGTTGACAGATCCCCAGAACAAATGGAGTCGAGCTCGGAGCGCAGCTGTTCTTCAATCATTCCTGAGCTGTGACTGACGAGACAACCCCTGAGGTACGCTTTTTGATGTCGCCAAGCTGGTCCTTGGCAATGGCGCCTAACGACATCTAGCTCTGTGCCATTACCCGTCGAACCTCCCCTCGTCGGCTCCGGGATTCGCCCGCCCCATCCGCAATGAACGTATACTGATCCCCAATGCATCTTGACGGCAAAGCATTGACACCCCATGTCTTCGCATCGATCAGATATCATTCGACCAGCTACGTGACATGGTTTGCTTACTACGCGTCCGCTTATGGCCACTGCAATGCGACAGGAACGAATTGTGCAAAACGCGGTGTGTACCAGCTCTACGTTTATGGCATCATGTTAATGGTCGTCTGCGCTGATGGACCCAATGGGGCTGACGACGTGTTTCACTGTCATGTTCTTTACTGCGCCCCAGTCTTCCTCCTGCCTACGAGGATGTAATCCTCGTCTAGAGTGGTACGATTCAATCTTTCTTCAGCCTGTGAAAATACGACGTACTCCTCGAGTCGTACGATCCGCCGGTTAGCATGCTTGTTATGGGTTTTAAATTCCACGCTAGGCCAGGCCGAACTATGAATGTGGTCAATGCCGCAACGCTGCCATGCAGGTCCCATCGCATAACAGACATACACTGGGGAAATAGGGGGCTGACGTATGTGCATTGGGGATTGAGTCACATAATCTCAGCGAGTGCCTCTAAAGGAAGTGCAATACGAGCATGGATGTATAAAGGCACATGGATTCGTTTGGAATGCCACTCGCAGCTCGAAACCCCAACCATTCCTTCTCTTTTAGATCACCAACAATGACCAACACATTCAAGACCTTTGCACTCGTTGGCGCCGGCGGCGCCATCGGAAAGCCGGTGCTTGCGGTACGTCTGACCCCAAGTCTGGATGCCAACCGTGACTTCTGATTCTGATTCTGTTGCGTTCCTCCCAGAGCCTCCTCGCCAGCAGCGCATCTAAAGTCGTCGTGCTCAGCAGAGCCGACTCCACGGCGACTTTCGCCTCGAATGCAAAGCTCACTATTGAGAAAGTGAAACAGGACGATGTCGGCGCGGTCGCTGCCGTGCTGAAGAAGCACTCAGTCGATGTCCTCATCTCGACCGTCGGCTGGGCGGGCTTGCAGGGACAAACGCTCCTCGTTGACGCAGCGAAGCAGGCTGGCGTGCAGCTATTTGTCCCCTCTGAGTTTGGGAATCCGACGGAGGGGTGGACTGAGGGACTGTTGGCAGCTAAGGACAACACGGCGAGTAAGTTTATATATTTTGGGTGCATCGAACTGGTCATGTATTCATCCTGTGAAAACCCCATGCAGAACACGCGAAGTCAATTGGACTTCCTACACTGCGCGTTTACGTAAGTTCTTCTTAGTTGACCTTATAAAACCGCCTGTCTAACGATATCCACAGAATGGGCTATTTATCGAAGATAACCCATTTGTGAATGCCGTTTCGGAGAAAGGAACATTCTACGTTTTGAAGCCAGGCGACAAGCCATTCTCGCTGACGTCGCTGAGTGACATTGGCGGTAAGGGTTTAGACCGGGCGCAAATGACATCCTCTAACGTTCTTTTCCATGATTATTCTCGTAGACTTCGTTGCATATGCGCTCACCACTCTCCCGCCCTCCAAGCTCAACGACGCCACTTTCCGCATCGAAGGCGACCGCCTCTCCCTCGCCGAGCTCGGCGCCGTATACGGCGAGCTCAAATCCGTGCCTGTCGAGCACGTCGACCAGGCCCCGGAGGACCTATCCTTGGCGGGCTTTATAAATTACATCGGGAAAGAGTTCAACTCCGGTGCAGGCGCTGCGACGTGGGACCATGTCCAAGGAAAGGACTTAGGTACCAGCGCGCTATCGAATGGTCTTTGGGAGGGTCACGCGTGGAAGTCCGTTAGGGATGTTTTCGCAAAATGAAGACGGATGAGGTTGAGCCCTATCTATGCTGTTCGTAATACTTGTTGAACTACGGTAGCTGATGTTTCTTTGGACCGAGCGTGGTTTGAGTCCTGGGCAAGATCCAAGTTCACAGCGCGGTAATTGGAAACGTGGGAAAAACCAACCGATCACGGGCGTCCGTTGGCGCGAATCCGCTTTTTTCTTCTCCATGAACTCCTTCACCCTCGTTCGACACACCAATTTGTTTCAACGATATTTTCAGCTTCCACTCCATTGCGCCATTATTCTGCCTCTCTCGAGTGGGTCTAAATCGACTGCGGTGTATTGGAGGTGAGTTGGTGCTACAGCAAGTGCTACTGTCAACTTGAAATTGCGCCATTAGGAAACGGGTTATATCACAATCAGCTGTCAGCTCCCAGGGTGAAAGGCTAGAGCTATGATATTGTCTAGGATAGCCAGCGCAATAGCATTTGTGCAGTTTTCACCACTGATCTATATCGTGCGATGTCCTGACATTCAGATGAACATCTGGCGCTTCATCGCATGCGTCATGATGCCCCCAGTGCATACCACCGGTACGTCTGCACAGCTGTCCGGCAACCTAGTGCGTCATCAAGGTTTGTCCTGCCGTTTCTCCTCGGATGGTTGGCTCACTGCATCAGGTAAAGTCATATTATATGACCAAAAGGCACAGCATACAAGATCATGGATAGCTCATCACTTTTCAATGCGCCTCAATCTCAACTCGTTCCCCACAGACGTGGCCGCACTCCAGTTGCCGTGTAGCATTCCCATTGGCTTTTGAAGACATCTTCTCTCTGATTATCTGTGCTCCTCCAGATACAGCGCCTCGACTTATCTGGTTTTCCTGAGAGATCCTTTGTGATAGAACAGCATGAGATTCTACCGGCGTTGATCATCTCTTGGCGTCCGCAGCTAACACAGCGTCGGGAGACGGTAGGGAACGATGAGAGGAGTTGTATGCGTGTACTAACTCCTACGCCTACATAACAGACGCGTCTGTGGACTTTTTTCAGCCATCCGCAGGCGGATCCAATGACTTGGGAACTCTCTTTCTTTCTTCTCTTGCTCTGGAGCATTTTCATCTGACTTTGCATTTGTAGATCTTCACAGAGACAACACTGACGAACCTTACGAACTTCTGCTGTATCATTACTCGGACCCACCAAACTTTCCCTCATTGTATTCACGTCACGTCACGTCCAAATACGAACCTGTATCCACCAAAATGACGTCTTCAGCTTCTGCGTCGACGAGAACCGATTTATCTTCGAAACCTCAGAATTTTACGCGGATAGACCCAAGCACACCTGTGTCTCTGGTCGTCCTCATTATAGGGGTGACGATCGCTGTCCTCGTGATTACCCTGGCGCTCACAGCCTTCTTTGTGTACAATCGCCGAAAACGTCGCCCTTCACCTGTGACGCCGAGCGAGATACCATTAGCGATCATACCTTCGCCTCCGGCCAGCGAGCCCTCGCGCGCTTTTCCCAACTTGGTCGACATGCCTTCAACAGGCCCTTGTCCTCCACGACTATGCCCTCCTCAACCTGTGTCCGGCTCAACTAGAGTACCCACACCAGTGGATCTGGCCGTGCCACATGCCTCCGCCGATCGAAACGGGAGAGGCATTCTTCTTCCGACAGCGATCGTCAGCCCTCCTCCGGTACCTCATATGGCACCGCCAAGCTACCGCTCCGGAAGCTTCGAGGTTCCACCATCCATCGCCTCTACACTCGTGGGCGCACAGAGTAACCGCGACTCATACACCGGCACGTCGATACGCACCGTGATAGGCTCAATCCGCGAGCCCGACCGGCGACGCGAGAAACTGGCGAGAGCACTGGGGAGACGTCCTGCGGGACGCCGGAGGCGGCTTGAATCCCTGTCTGAGTTTCCTATACCCAATTCACATTTGGACATTAGTATACCCACAACGGACGCTTCGCATTCTGCAGTTGGACAAGGACGCTCGGACAGTTTCGATAGCTGATATTAGCGAGGTAGTTCTGTCGTACACGTAACTTGTATACTAACTTTGTGTAACACTTGTTGTATTTCTAAGCATATGATCGTTGGTTATACTTTGGTAGGACGTTTTTTAACCAATTTCTTTTTTCTTTTGGTATTAGTACTGTAAAAAGGCAAACATGTACGTAGTTGATTATTGAAGGACGTGTGACTGGGATAATCTTCGAGTGGGATTGGCTGGTAATCACGAAGTTTCCTTTCCGTATTACTCTTTGCTTTTTGTAAAGTAAATAAGTAAATAAAACATAAACAATTTCTCGTGTTCGAGAGCAAAACATACAAAATGCCATTCCGCCCCGCGCGGAACCGCCATTTCGGCCGAAATGGCTTGTTTAGATGCTTCGGACCAAAAGTGATAGTCGTGAGAAAATCATGCCCATGTCCCTCCGTCTCTTCTGCGCTGTCCACGATGTCGATGAGCATCCTGCCTAAAGATCACTCTATCATCTGTTCGATGACTTCACAATTCTCTGAGAAGATTCTCATATCGGTGGACAAGCGCCGTCTCCAATGTCCTGCGGTGTATCTCTAGGAGACCAGCTTGATGAATCTCTGTGAACGTACCGTTTCCGAACAGTACCTCAAACACTTCAGCGAAATCAGCACTGGCCTTGATAATGGACGATGTTTGGGGGCCCCTGCCTTGTCTTTGGTCTCCAAGATCATGCAAAAGCACGAGAACCATGACAGGCACCACGGACCCGCGTTTCGCACCCACTGACTATGCTGCGACGACAGAGCACAGCTTTGGTGATGACCAACGGGATCGGTCTCTCGGTGGTCCTCGGAGGCTTGATAAACGAGTCTGTGTATATGAAGCTGGGTAAAGATTAGAAGGCTGTTCTTCCGTGGCCACCAATAACCACTAGCACATCTCTCACCGAACAGCGCCCTCTGAAGGCGGCCGTGGTTACCCATGCTCATTACTGCCCCTTGGCAGTGCATCACGTTCGTTCTTCATCGCAGTCCTCATCATTACTCATCAGTATCGTTCTGCCCCTTGGGGCCTATACGTTCGCCTCGGGCTTTAAGGCTTGGTCTGCGACTCTGGCAAGACTACGGGAGAGAAGGCTAATCTAACGGTCTCTAAAACAACACCGAGGAGTCGAAGCAAGTGAGGCGAAACGGATCCTCCGCCCTCGTCGAACCTTCTGTCAAGGGCGCTGGGAGCCAGCGACGTGTGCTCCCTCGATACTGCCACCCGAGTGCTTACGCTCTGATCCTTCTCTAATTTATACCCTCCCTCCGCCGCTCTTCCCTCCCCGACTCTTTACCGACGGCGGCCTTCGACCTGATATTCCTACTCTGCAGTCCAAGCTGCCTATCTCGCCCATCAGCAGCCACTAAACCGAATACGGTCTAAAAACACAAGGCAAGGTACCAGTCTATTGGTGAGCACGTGGTCCTTTCGGTTCGTATCATTGTTTGCCCACAGCAACTTCATCCATCCTAACGCACGACACAGGGCGGACCCGAGAACAATAGCAGTAGCAGCAACAGCAATCCACCCGGAGAAGCTGTTGTTGTTGTTGGAAGCCCGAATCTAACAGGCTCCCTTCGAACGTTGCTGATCATCGCGCGTCCGCAGAACCAACTACTGCGATACTTGAATGATCTCCGATAGAAAGACTCGTGCTTAAATCCCTCGGCTGCCTGCCTATCCCCTCTTGGTTTTCCTTGAGCGCATTGCACAGCCCCGCGTCCCGTGGTTGTGTGCCTAGTGACATGGTTCCCGTCCTTGCTGCACCACCACCCGTCTACGTAGCGATGTCTTTGCCATCGGAAGACCCTTCCGCCCTTTTGCATGTCGGTGAGCCTCAGTTACTTCGGTTACGTTGCTTGCTGTAACTCATGGTCGATTGAAGAGTGGGATTCGTCGCATACACTGCACAGTCACTACAGCTCGGTCAGAGACCCTACGCCGTTGCCGACCTCGACCCCTGATGACATATTACTCGTGCAGTCTTCGGCAGGATGTTCGGAGGTTCCTTGGTCTACCTTCGATTCTACGCCGATTTTTTCCACAGAATCGGCAGCTCAGGAGAATGTGGTTCCGTTTACGGTGGCGTCCTACTACCGACCTTGGATCTCTCAGCAGCCGCTCGCCACCAGAACTGCTATCCCAACAGTCATAGGCGCAGTCGTTATTGCATCTATATTGGTGTACTTCTGGGCTCGTCGACGCGTCAAGACGGAGAACATGACCGCTATAATACCATACCGCTACACACCCGTTGAACCGGCACCAGCCCCCCGTTCTGCGCGAAAACAGGGTAGCATCGGTCATTCGCCACCCTTTGATTACTACTTCCCACTCCACCGGAACTTTCTCCCTTCTTTCTCAACACACACTCAGACGCAGGCGACTGCAGACCCCACGGAGGATCCGGACGTAGAGTCCCTCATCTTGCCCTCTTGTCTGCCAGCGGAGGATGATGAACCGATTCGCGTAGAAGAGCAGAGAAGAGAGCGGCAGCTACGAGAGAAGTTGCGTTCATCAACGTCAAGAAAAGGGAGGCGACGGACCCATTACAGCGCGGGCGATCGTCATACTTCTCCGTCATCGTATAACTTCATTCCTCGTAATCTCAGTCAAAGCCTTCCCGCGCTTCCCAAGCCCATTGTGGCATCCATCTAAAGTATCAATGCCTCAGCAATACTTGCTGCAGGACTTAACACGCTCATTTGACTCAAACGGCGATTCGAGGTCACGCCATGACATCTATCTCGACCTGGTCTAGTTGCGAGAGTCGCAGGCTTGTCTTCTCGGTTTGACGTCCGATCGCCTATTATGTTTATCCGGACATTAATTTATTACTTGCTAATGTTGAGCGGTGGGCTTCTGTAAACTACTGTACTGTATTTATTCGAGTATGGTGTGTTTTGGTACGGACTACCTATACTCAGTTCATAGATATGTCTTGCGAGATGCCTCGAACGCATGGTAATCAGCTTGTATATGTGTACTTCTATATGTGCTATAAGCAGACGGCGGAGTTTAGGCTATGTGCTGGTAGTGACGAGTTAACCCCTGACGAGCATAGCCACAGCTCAGGTACGTGCAGTTGCCAAAGTTGGACACGCTCGAGACGCGATTTTCAGTGTCCAAACATTCACCCTCACCACTGCAGCGCTTCAGACTAACTGTACACCTCCTACCAAATGCTCTGGACGAAGGCCCCTCGTCTCCGTTACTCACACGGCTGGCTCACAAAGGAGATTCGGTACGTTACGACAAACCCTCCAGATTTAAGCCATCATGGTCCTAATACAGTTTGGATGCGGTAAAGCCGCAGCACCACTGAGATCCTCAGGGCGTTCTAGAACTCTACTACCGCCTTCACGTTTCCATGAAGCCGATTCTGCCACAATGGATCAACCATGATGGCCGCTTGTAGCAACTAGGGTGCGAAGTGCTGACTGCAGCTGCGTGGGTTCCACGTTCCACGTTCAACGCCGTCGCGCCGTGGAATACGTGGTCCAAGTTGGCTTCACTGTACAAAACCACGATGAGTCCTAGAGATGAAACCTACTGATTCGTACAGTTCTGTTACTCTCCCAGAAGAGACGGAGGGGCTAGACTCAGTCTCATCAGGAACGTATTATAGCCCTTGATGCTCGCAGTTCTCATCACCAAGCGTGGAAGATGATACAAAACCCAAGCCAGGCCAGATACCTGGTTCTCTTCTGTCCTCTCAACATCGGCAAACCGCATTCTCTCCTCTTAACATTTCTTCATCAACGTCACTCGTTTATCCCAACAACTCATTTCCTTCCTTTCCTTTATCGAATAGCTAGCCTATGTGTCCGCATCTTTGCCCTCGTTGGTCAGTCTTGCTTATACGTCAATGCACAATGACACGGATCCCTTACTGTTCACAGAACGCCATCATGAGGCCTTACGGGTTCAGAAAGTCTCTGCATCCTATGGTCGATTTCATCCAGCCAGCGGCAGGTATCGAGAGACAGATGGCACGTTCTAGCGTCGCACCTTTCATTCCATCTTCTTCAAATCCATTGATGACATCAATACCGTCGCCAACCACTGTCTCACCTGGGAATAAGCCGCGCTCGACCAACGAGTGTCCACTTTGGTCGCCCCTTTTTGCAAGGACGACGCCTGCAGATGATCTCCCGTCGTACGGAATACCTTGGCCGCTACCAGCACCTCTTCCAACATGTATACCAATCCCCCTGCCAGACTGTATATCACTCCCCCTCCCTCTATTATCGTTTCTGCCTCGTTGCACTGAAAATTCTGCTGCTACGTCTTCCAGGACATCAAAGCATTCCTCCCTGACCACGTCGCATCATGCTACTACCAGCCCTTCTGTGTCTGCTTGTTCGTCTACCTGCTCGCGTCCCAATGGATGTTCAAGCTTACCAGGGTCTTGCACGTTTCCATGGTCAACTTCTACCTCATCTTCCTCCTTGGTCACCACAACTCCCGACTCACCCTCGCCATCGCATAAGACGACGCTTACAAAAACCACCACGTCATCTTCGTCCCACACCAGCACTTCGCCCTCAACTCCCCTAACCACTAGTTCGAGTACATCCACTTCGTCTCTCCGAGGCCAGGGACGGCCAACTACTGATGCTACTTCAGCCATAAACGGCACGTCCCCACACACGTCTACAAGTTCTAGCTATTCTTCGTCAGTGACGTCATCGTCAAGTAGATCATCTTCCGCGCCCATCACTTCTTTCCCAACCCCTGCGTCCACGCCAAACAGGACGCCTCCAACGACGAATCAGGTTTCCCCTGCAACACCAACCGGGGCTTTGACTAGTACTGGTACCGTCGAGCTCGTCGTAGGAAGCAGTGTAGGTGGGATAGCTGTTATCGCGGTGATTGCGTATTTTCTTCTACGCTGGATCAGAAACAGACAAGTGACAGAATCGACTATTGGCGAGAAGTATCAAGTGGTTCCAGGTCCGCCGTTTTCACATTCCGGAGCCCGCCCCGCGCCTTCGGTTATGTCTCTCGTACCCCCAGACCACACACACTCAATCATTATGTCCCCTTCTTCCTCGTTGCGCTCCTCGTCTCCGCCTCCGTGGGACGCATGGCCGACGCCTCCAGGCTCGGCCTCCCTCGGATCGTTTAGGTCAGGATCTCCATTTGCACTAGACGAACACACAGCGTCACGAGCTCTTCTGAGTGAATCTCCGCTCATCAGCTCGTTTGGGCCCTATATCTCCTCGCGCTCCCAATCGACAACTCCGGCTAACAACACACCGGGATATCTAACGCCAGATCTCGATCCGTTTGCAGATACACCTCGCCCCGTTCCTGGCCCTAGTGCAGCACGCCTCGTTCCCGGCCCGTTTGCACGGTTCGGGGCTGTTGTCGAAGATGTCGAAGGATTCTATCCGAGCGGAACATTTGGCGTGCACAGCCACAACGATGTTGATGCTGCTAGACCCCATGTAACGAGCAGGGGTGCCGTGGAAGCAAGCGGGGACATCTCAATCAATGACATCGTCGAATATGCGGCGAGTGTTGTAACGACGAGCGAAGAACTACCCCCGTATCCCCGCTCTAGGAAATCGACGGCGACGACAAGATCGCGCTTCTGAGCTGAGTTCTGGCAGGAAAGTTCTGGTCTAAGGGGGTATTGCACTTATGCTTCGGTTTAGGTTTGAATCGTGACTTATGTGTGGCACTGGTGGCTTGTTTACGGACATTACATAGGTTTTGTGACGTGAAACGTGTTTACCGTTCGCTCATCTCTACGATCTCCCACTCAATCCGCGCGATGGACTACATGTGCCAGGCAAGATTCGACCCAAGGCGTACTTCCTGTACCTCTCCGTCTTCTTCGTAAACTCCGTAAACTCATTCCGTAAACTCCGGATCTGTGCTTGTGCCTCATCGCTTTTCCAAAATCCTATCATCTGACTTCTTCAGGCGCGATGCAATCAGTTTTGGACCTGAACCTTGTACTGTGAATGCTGTATTTCTCCTTGCGCAGTTTACCGCACCGCCTCATCTGTCGACTCGGCGCATTTGTAGGCACCGACTTTAGCTTATTTTGACATCTTGCTGTGTCACAATGCAGTTCACGTCCCGAGCTTAACATATCCGCTGCGGACATGTGTGGTCACTAGCTTGGATTGAGTAATCAAACGCATCATCTCAGCGGATCAACGTGTCTAAGGTTCGAATTCTGTCACTCTCTTGTGGAAACGCTATCATGAATTGATTTTCCTTTTAAAGAGCGCACTTGCATATGCTACAAGTCTGCATCGGATGGTTTAATATCACCGCTCACAAATGCTGTAGGCCCCACAATTACCGTATGAGCCAGGCTCGAATCCTGGAACATGCGCACAACTAGGTGGCCGCGGCATCGAATTCTTTACCTAAATTGGCGTTGCATGAAAGAACTTCTTCAGGCACTGTACGCGATCCCTTTCCTCGAACCTGGCTGCCTTGCCAATCTTGCCTTTTTGTATGAGATAAGATCGGGCCGAGGGTAGACTTTGTCCTTACCGGAACGTTCTAACCTGAACAGGTCGTGTCACTGCGGCTCCTTGCCGCCGGTTCCCTAAAATTTGGCCCGTAGTCCCCGACACGCTTCCAGCACTTTTGTCAAGAAACCCTAGATAATCTTCATGATCTTTCACCCTACATACCACACACATAATTCCAAGCGGAGATTTTTCCTGCCGTACGTACCCTATTGTCCCAGTCCCAGTTTAACGATCATCCCCACTCTGGAAACGAACTATGCCTTGCAGGGTTGCAATTTTTCAGGAACGGAGCGTCTCGCCGCAGCGAAAGCTCATGACATGTTGTCACATTCCCTCCAGCAATTGATGCTCTCGGATGTTGTTAGAGTCAGCCATGCCGACACCAAGCATCCGCCGGGGTAGTCCTCGCAGAGAGGCACTCTAGAAGCCATAAATTAGACTCGGTCACTGGGGGAAACCCAGCAACATGTCTCCCTCTACCTCGAACTGCAAGAAGGCCCTCTTGGTTGCCGTTACCGAGGAGAATCCAGTTATTCGTAATAGGGATGTCCGGTGTCTTTCTACCTTCCTCATAGGTAAAGTAGCGCGTTAAAGATGAATTTTGCGAATAACGAGGATTACAGCTCACCGTGGATTTCACCCGAATTCAATATTCACCATGACGAGTGGTGACACCAGCTCTCCTCTATGTCCCACGGAAATCAGTCTCGTACGCACAATATAGCCACGATTGCCACACTAATATACTGATAACCTTTCGTGAGCAGATGTCACAGCTGTCTCGTATATTGAAGGAGTTGAGTCCTGGGGGCGAACTCTTGTTTTATTGTAAGCTCCCTATGTCAAAGTTACTTCGTCCATCAGGTAACAACGACTTCCATCCTCCTTAGTTTCAGGGCATAGTATGCCCCCATCGCAGATGCATGCTTGCTGTAATGCTAAAGTCCTACGTAAGAATAATACCATTAACATAGCCTTGACCTTTATAGCTACCCTAGTGCTTCCTGGAGAATCTACGCTACGTGGGAAGGTGATTTAACCATGACAGATAAGAGAGATACCTCTATGGTTGCTGACCATTAGCTCCAGAAGGTCCGTGATCGAATCATAAAATTAATGCCCTCGGGGGCGAAGGCCACCGTCATAATCGATTCCTGCTACTCTGGGGCATTTTTTGGTATGTCCGGTAATTCATGAATGCACACTCAGATAATGTATTCTTACTCCGGGATTCTCGGTTCCTGGGTGTAGGAATATCTCCGTTTCATGGTTGGGGTACAGACAAGCCCACTATAGTAAGTGTAAACCGGAGATGCAGAGCGATAAGCCGGGGTAATCAAGGTTTAATAGAACCTCGTCACTGCGTGCGCTTATAACCAAAAGGCATGGGAGTCAGAAGATCCGATCGACTTCTCAATGACCCGTGTGCGTCACTTACATTCCAACATGCACAGCATTTTCTGAGATAATTATACTACAGGGTCTTGTCAGAATTCTACGTAAGCATGCTCAAATAACATAACTGACTGACTGCTTGAATTTCTCCCTAGATGGGAATCCAAATTGCAGCTGGCAGGAGTTGATGCACGATCTCAGGTCGGCACAACTTTCTCTAATCGAGTTGATATGTTTGCTGAAATGTAGTAGGTTGAAATGCAACGAGATGACGGCTGCAAGGCTGAAAGACTTGGCCAACGCTTGCAGCCATATGGGTTGTGGAGCTTCGTGGCCGCACAGCGAGGATCAAACGCCACAGGTACGAGGACTCCACTCTGGTACTGTGTTCAGGTTGATGGATATCTATCAAGTTAATCTACACGAATGGCCTGGTACGTAGCCAACGGCCATTATAAATGAGCGCTTTCGTACTGATGAGGATGGCTTAGAATCTTGATTCTCGCGCGCTACTTTAGGAGGAATGTTAATGCTGGGAGCCCTGGGGTCACATGTCAGATAGTACTAGCTGTGTGAGTGGAAGGCGTCATGAAGCTGCTTATCTCCGTCCGCCACTGCCTAGTTGATCACGCTAGAACATATTTCCATCGATTTGGACGTGACTTTTACTCCATGCACCGCTTCGGCACGCCTGAGTTTTGGGACGGATCACCCTCAACTTGCATCCGATTGCTTCCATTGTGACGGCTCTGCCACAGTTACTTATCGCCGAGGTTATCTATGCTGGGAATTCGTGTTTCATAATAATACCCGCTGTTATCTGGCCTCATCGAATTATACCGTTCGTTCTGAAATTTCTTTGTGATAAAGTCCATCTGGTCAGATGATCATCAACAGCACACATTCAGCTCCAATGTCACTTCTTTGCACGAGACTCGCTGTTGAACGAGACTGTAACTTGTCGCTCTAAAAGATGGTGGCCTTCTTAACATAGGAACTGTGAGAGACTGGTGTGCCAGTGCTCTATTATCGTCCTTCTGAGATTAGATCTGCCTTGATGGTTACTTCAGTGCCTCGAGATTGCACCGAACCATCGAGAAACTTGTTCTTGACTTATTATATATAGGTCCATCGCTTCTGTAAGACAAAGCGGTAAAACTCGTTCACACAATAGTTCCCTCTTCAAACCGTGCCAGCCAGAAGTAGAACATGACGGCAAACCCATATGAAGCGCTACAAATTGAACGAGTGGGTTGTTTTGTACATTTCTTGTCGCCATACTCATGACAGCATCTGGTCATCAGTACTTCAACGGTGGGAGAATTTGACCAAAAAAACCGCGATAGACGTTACTGATCTCATATACCCCCCACATCGTAGTTGCTGGTGCTGTCATTTTGGTATTAATGGCGTTCCACGACTCCAAGCTTATGTAGCTAACGACAAGGATAGGTTTACGACCATATGATGACTTTGGAATGGGAGGTTTGGAATGAAATCTGTCATTGCGCCATAGTTTACTGATAGAGGTTATGGTAGGCTTATTACTATGCACAGAGTCGATGGGGCTTGCCGAAGATTGTCTTCATTATCTGCAGATATTTACCCTACCCAGGAGTAATAATGGCAGCTCAAGGTGAATTTTGCTCTAAAAGTAACCGTGATAACTAATTTAAATTATCAAAAGAAGCAGCATTGTCCTACGTGAACGGGGATCCATTGCCACATGTCGAGGTTGGTTTTATGATACTCGTAGGTTGTTATTAAACATATGAGGTATATCAAGTGTACCGTCCTGGATGTCATCTCTTTTCGGGGAAACAGTTGGGTGTCTACCTACAACACTAACACTAGCGATCTCTCAGGAAGCACCATTGACAGTTTTACGCGTATGCAGCGTGGTGTTCGCTGAAGGCATGGTTCTTTACTTTTAAATGAGATTGTGCATTGATGAGCCAATAGTGCTGCTGTCGGTGCGCATATGGATCCTGTGGGAGAAAAGCAAGCGCATGTTCATCACTCTAGTGGGTCTAGCAGTAGTACGCGTCGCTGATTCAGATGAAGATACAATTTCTGACCGCACCTTGATTGAAGGTGACTCTCCCAGTCGCTTTGTATCTCAACATGGATCCCGTCCCCGTTGTTAACCGTACGATTTCCAAGTTCAATTTGAATGACTAATTCACCAGATGACTACTGTACACTTACAGGTTTGGGGTATTTTTGTGCAGACCAAGTCTCACGGGACGCATCGGTGGTGAGCGGGGCGATCATTGCTTATGAATTGTGTAAGCACCTTCAATTCTTGTTCATTGTGAAAAGAATTCAACGCCAAGAAGCCTTACTTTGCCTCGTGCTTATACGGTGGAGGAAGCTTCGAGGAAATGTCGGAGAAAACTCTATCGCGAATGTCCTGGTGAGAGAATGTATCTTGTATATCATGTTTATTGTTGGTAGGGCCTCAGTCTATCATTCTTCACAATTGACGTACTCATCGCGACGTTGGCGTCAAACTGTAGGTATATCATCATCAATCGTAATTGTTGGTTTTGCATTTCCGGTACGCACTTAGACCATGGGTGTACACAAGGATTTTGCGCTGACATTGATAACCGTCGTATCAGGAGGAGTATAGCGCCATGTTTGAGGCGTAAGCTCGTAAGCCCGCTACCAAGCATCTTACATGCTTACCCTGTCCTCAGTCTTCAAATCACAATACACACAGGCATGGCATGCCGTACCATGCTTAATCTTGTGAGGAATGAGAAGGAAGTCGAGGACCCAACAGTTATTGATGAGTTAGACGACATGGCGTTCGCCGCTCCAACTTCGTCTGGGTCAAATGTCGAGGCACCCATTAACTACTGTACCTACACGACCGTAGGTTCAAGGGATTTCTGCGTGACATGAAATCAAGATAAGTTCCGCCGAGGCTGAAGTTCAAATCTCCGGCGAACGCGTGATTTTGAACTAGGGTCACAGTTTGGTGACATCATCAAGGCATTATTGCTGAGGACAACGAAGGTGAAGAGGGTGTTTCATTGGAAGGAGAAGCAGGCAATGCGGACGCACCTTTTACAACGACTGTATTGCTTGTCCGTTAGGCTTATATACAGGCGTCTCAAGCCCTTGCCAGACCGGTATGACCGACTCACTGAAGCCTGCCAGTGAGGAGCTCGACATCACATCTCCAGTCGACTGTGGTCGTGCCAGTAAGGGTCTCAAAAATCTGAAACTCAGTACTACATCAGAATATAAGTTAAGAGGATTAGTATTTTTCGTCACGCGGGGAGGTTCATTATCTTTTGTGATGGGTGACGAACCAGGTCTTAAGTTCATTTGACAGGTCAAGCGTGAGGCGTGACGAACCTACGGTCGTGTAGGTACAGTAGTGGTGCACGCTCGCCCGAGAATACGTCCTTTGAACCAGTGAAGTTTCTTGGAATTCCATTTAATAGACTATCAGGATGGGAAATACTTGACTGTAGGCCATCGGACGCAGGCATAAGCCCTTGTACCTTCGTGACCACGTCATGGCGTGAAATGAATTCTCTACGCAGTAAATGATTATTCGGATAACTGAGCACTGGTAAGTTAGTTGAGGCAACACCCTTACGCTTAAAATAGCCATAGTTCACGGATGGCGCCCACGTACAGTGGTGGGCTTTTTTAGTGGTGATTATCACAAGACACGCCGAGCTACGCTCCGGCACTCTCTATCGAACTTAACAATGGGCTCTCACATTGCTACGGTATATCAGAATTTGCCCGAGGGCTTAGCTGAGGACACAAAAGTACGATAGATAAATGTATGTGTAACCAACAAAGTATTAGTACATACTATAGTGTCCTACGCGTTCGGCATTTGTTCGGGATGAGCATCGCACGCCAAGCACCACGGGCAAACTGCTATTTTTTGCTGGAGAAAAAAGAGAGAAAATGCGTGGAGGTGAAAACCCCCTTCGCCGAGTTTTCACCGCGAGAAAAGTCAAAGGAAAGATAACCATTGCACCCGAGAGAGCGCCTTTTCCGGGCGAGAAAAGGTTAACAATTCCCCAGAGTCGGCAAATTTACCAAATTAGGCATCCATAATTGGACATTTATCCTTTTCTCACCCAGAAAAGGCGCTCTCTAGGGTTCAATGATAATCTTTCCTTTGACTTTTCTCGCGGTGAAAACTCAGCGAAAAAGGTTTTCACCTACACGCCTTTTCTCTCTTTTTTCTCCGCCGAAAAATGGCAGTTTGCCCGTAGTGAAGGTTAAAAAGGAAAACCCCATCATATCAAAACGTCAAACAAAGGTCAACAAAAGCCTACCATAATTTTGAAGATACGAGTTATGAGCTGTTGGACATTGCTGTAACGCTGGGAGTGGGGACGCCTCAACGTGGCATAGCCACATTAAGACCCTGTTCAAACACGTCATAACAACACGTTACAAGCGCCCCGCATTTGTCGATTTCGCCCGACTACAACATCCTCTTTCTCCTCTTTCATGCCGTACCACATGAGTCTTCACTGGCTACGGTCTTCCTCACGTTCTGACACCAAAGGCATTTCGAAATCGCTATCTAGGATGCGCGATGATCCTGTGAAGAACCAATCCGGAGCATCATGATCCTGATGTGAGTTTCCTCCCAGCCCTCCAAGGCTGCGCTCTTTTTATAGGGTTTGTTCGGCTGCGTTATACGATGGGTCACAGTAGGGAGCATTAATCGTACTGCAAAGGCCACTACCTCACCATACGTCGCAGGACCCGAACATTTCTGGGTGAGGGCTGAGTCCGTGATACATATATGCATGAACCTGGCTGACATAAAGATCTACTTTCCCTGTATTCGGTTACCAAACATTTCTACACAGGGTATACATCAGAGAACGAAACGTAACTCATGATGCTCGGTGCACATATCGCTAAACGTGGACGATGGAAACGTGATGGAACAAACCTTGGTCTGGTTTCTATTATACAGCTTCTCTCTTCCCCTTCAAGTTGGTTTCCAGGCAAGCTCTCTCCCGTGCCACGCTCCTTTTAATTCGCTCACTTGCCGTAAGGTACTCGATTCTCGTTGTCCCTGATTGCCTCAATATCTTCTCTGCATTTTCTCTTGGGAGGTAGACGTGTCACGGAGTTGGTTGGTTGGTGGTATACTTTCCCTGGATACGACTTAGTTCTGACGGCTCCATGCGTACTAAAGAAGGGATCGCATGAGCCCTTACTCAACCGAACGGTCTGTAAGGCCTACTACGGTCACGTCCATGGCGCCAGATTCGACTAGGTCGGAAACAACAACCTCTTCCGTCCCGTCTTCGGAGACATCGAGCACGTCGTTTATCGTTTCCCCAACACACGGGCCTCTCTCCAAGAGTTTCCCAGCCCCCATCTCGCATTTGGTACCGGCAACAACACATACGCTCCCTTCTGGTGTCCCAAGCTTGATTCCATTGATTCCACTGCCCCCACTATCCATCCCACCGAGTCTTGTCCCTACCCTAGTACTTCCCACCATACTTCCCACCATACTGCCATCCATAACACTCTCCATACCGCTCTCTATACCATTCTCTATACCACTCTCCGTACCACTCTCCATACCGACATCAAACGACCTCACTGGCACCATTCCGTACACTGGCACTCCCACACTATCGCACACTTCCTCGACCACTTTCAATCATACCTCTTCCTTCAAGTTGAGCACATGCTCAGGCACATCGGGACTCTGCCGACAGCCTCCGATAATCCCCCCTTCAACTTCCACTTCCACCAACACGAATACCAAGACATCCTCGAGTCACAAATCTTCAACATCTGCGAGCTCGACTTCCCCGTTGACGCGAAGTCAAAATCCCATAGGCTCTCAGAGTCCCCCGACGGAAGCGAGTTTACCTACTGTTTCCGGCACATCGATCATCTCAACAACGAGGATCGGAGGTTCGTTTGAACCTGCCAGCTCGCAGACAGATACGACCTCAACCTCCGTTTCCCGATCCTCGACTTCCTCGTCAGTTCATCAAGGCGGCGTAATCCCTCCCACCTCGCAGTCAGAAATATCTTCATCGACCGCTACCTCACAGTCATCCGTTTCTTCATCCGTTTCTAGTAGCTATGCTCCTCTTCCCCCCAAAGATGGTGCATCGTCGTCGTCATCATTGACTTCTTCGCCGGAAAAATCGTCATTGACACCCATTTCTTGGAGCGTTACCACGTCTACAGATAGTAGCGTTACGAAAAGCTCAACCGTTACCAATGTTCCAAGCGGTGTTCCACAGTCTGACGGAGGTTCACAAACTCAAACTCTAAAACCGGAAATAGCAGCATCAAGCAGTACAGGCACGGTCGAACTTGCAGTAGGAAGCAGTGTAGGGAGTCTCGCTGTCATCGCTGTCATCGCGTTCTTCCTTCTACGTTGGCGTCGAAGACGCTCCACAAAGTCCCGACCCAGAAGCAATTCGGCAGAGAAGTACTCAAACATTGGCGTCGTTCCCGCTTCTCCATCTCGTATCTATCTCGCTTCTTCGGCTGCATCCCTTGCATCATCCGAAGAAACAGACTCGAACGACCTCTCTCCCGATTCACTTCACTCCTCGCTCTTCCCACCCTGGGATGCCTGGCCAACACCTCCCGGCTCCCGCTCAGACTCAGACTCCATCGAGCCTGCGCCCATGTTTTCTGTGGCTAATGCAGCAGATGCGCGTCGCAACCTCATGCGTGACCCCCCTCTTTCCAGTAGCCCTTTTAGGACGTCCAACTTCTCCGCGAGACCTCTTCCTCAGCCACCGCTCCAAGACAGAACACTAGCAACCGACCCTTTCGCTGATCCCGATCCTTTTGCAGACGCGCCACCGCCATGGCATGGCATCGATTCCACGCGGATTGGCTCTGGGCCACCGTCGCGCTCTTACACGCTCGCAGAGAACCTATCTGGTTTCTACCCAAGCGGCGCTTTTGGCGTACATAGCCACGAGATGACCGGCGGCCCAGAGCGACAATACGGGAGCAGAGCCAGAAGTGCGGTGGTGACTTCCGGGGACATCTCGATCAACGATCTCGTGCAGTATGCCGCGAGCATCGTAACGACGAGCGAAGAGCTCCCGTCATACCCGCACTCGAGGAAGTCTACGGACCAGACGCGCTCCGAGTCTTGATTGTGGGTGAGATAAGGAAGTCGGGGAAGACTGAGCGTATCTTGACTTTCTTCTTGTAGAGGGGTCTGACTGTAATATCTGTAACAACTGGTACACTTTTAGCACATTACCCATCACTAATCCCTATGGCGTCGGCGGACAGATAAGTAGCCAATATCACGACGCAAGAGATATCGGTTTGATGAAGGCAGGAGATTTGGACCTTGATGATCAACTTCCCAGTGGTTTACGCCGGCCTCCACGCTCGTATCCTGCCGTAATCCCGTTTTAACGAGGTAGAACTAGAGGGTACATGTGAGATTCGCGAAGAAATCATCCAACATAAGCGGGTCATATTTTGACGCACTACCGTACAGCACAAGTGCAGCACTACCGGCATCCCACAAGCGACCTTGAAGCTGAATGGGTCATTCGCTCTTCGTCACCCTAAATCCCTCACTCATCAAATCCATATTATGGACGGGGTATACCAACGTGCATTCAAACAACCGCAACGACGAGAACTAATTATAATAAAGCTACACAGCGCGACGAATCGCGAGATATATCGAGACGTAGATAGAGAGAAACACATAGAGAGATCAAAACAGAAGAACAGTAATATGGCTACAGGTTGTATCAAATCAGGTCAAGCGTAGATCAGGTCGGGAGGGGGAGAGTCCGTATAACGTGAACACAATGTATATATGCAGTAATAAGTCACAGGCCGAGAAACTCCCGTCCGAAACGAGCGGGGAGGCAAGAAGGCGTAAAGCGTCTAATAAGGCGTGAAGAGCGATTAAACGGAAGACGTAATTCGAGGCGATGGAGATGGAGAATGGATACAGTCAATGAGAAATGAAGATGCGAGGGGCTCCGTGGTTTATGGGTGTATGTGAGATGCTGAAGATGAAAGAGAAGCAGAAAAAAATTGAGCGGAGCCGAGTCTTGTCTTTGAATGGAAGCGTTTTTAAGTTGCGGGTATCGGGATCGTTGTGCATCGAGGAATCCTTGCCTAGTCGTCATCTAGAACGTCGCCTGTAGTTCGTCGAACCCGCCCCCAAACTGGTGGTACGGCGACACTGCGTGAGGTGCCATCTGGTCGAACATGCCTTCGACGAAGCCGTCCATCTGCAACTGCGCCTCGTTTGAGATGCCACCGAATGTACCATCCTGCGGGTGCTGCTGGGCCTGAAAATGCACATGAGAGGCAGAGGCGTCGCCCCACATCTCGGCGGGCACGGCATGGTGCGGATGCGGTGCGTGCACGTGCGGTGGGATGTCGTCCGACGCGGCAGGAGAGCCGGAGTACGCGGATGAGGGCTCGCTCTGCGGGGTGGTGAAGTCGGTGGGCCATGCAGAGGGCTGGGGAAGCTCGCTCATGTTGAGATGCTGCGCAGAGGGAAACTTGGACGCGTCGGTGGGTGGGTAAAGTGACATGTCGAACTGTTGGTTAACTGGCATATCATGAGGCGCGATTCCATCGTACACGCCAGGCGAGTGGGCGTTGACCATAGGCGGGTACGCCATCGGGCCCATCGACTCCATAGGGCTATGGCCCATCGCGTCCATGCCGCTCATCATATCACCACCGAAAGGTTGCTGCCCGCCGAGCGAGAAGTCGCTCGAGAAAATGGTCGTGTCCACCTGTGGGGGCAGATCCAGCTCTGAACCGTTGGTCTCGCTCGGTGCATAGCTCTGGCCCCACGCGGCCCAGCCAGGGTTGAGACTGTTGGGGTCGAAGTGCATGTTATTGTACTCGTACCCCTGCATCTGCTGGTACGGCTTTCCGAGCGGGCCAGCGGACGATGCGCGGCGTTGGCCGAGAAGCATGCGGTTCTGCTGGGAGATGCTGTAGCGCTGACCAGCGCCGAAGCCGAAGTGGTTGGAGCTCATGCCGGCCTGCGGCGAGTCAGGATTCGAGGTAGAGTAGTGGAAGTCGAATGGGACGGAAGGGATCGCGATCGAGTTCTGGTTGAAGTAACCCTCGGGAAGGGGAACGGACGACGAACGGCGATGGCTATAGTGAAGCGGCACGGGCATGGCGATGCCTGGGTGCATGGGGGACTTCACTTCGCGCCAACGCTCGGCGAGCTGCTCGCCCTTGTTTCCCTCGAGGAGCAGCTGGGTGATGGCGTCGCACTGGGCCTCGTCCTGGAAAGTGGGGAGCGCCTTGTCCTTCTTCTTGGGCTTGTTCTTGTTGTGGACGGGCCGGAAGCGGTAGTTGGGGTACTTGATCTTGTGCTGCTTCTTCTCCTCTTTGGCGCGGATCTCCCACACACGCTTCTCATCCAGCGGCAGGTTCCGCCAGCAGTTGCCTAGAAGGGAAAGGAATACCGGTCAGCATCGATTCGGATCAAGCGCCCATCAGTGGACAATTTGGACAATGGACATTGGACGCTGGGACCATGTGCCACTGTCCACAGCATGGGGGACGAGAGGGACATACCGATGATTTTAGATAACGAGCCATGGTTCGTCTCGATGGAACCCGGGACGTGCTTTTGACGGACAAAATCAGCACGGAACAGCATGAAAGCGTTCGGCGGCCGTGGGATGTAGCTTGATCCACGCCGCTTGCCTGGGGGAACACGGCGACGAGCAGGCGGGGCATTGGGTGCCTCTGATGGTGGGAAGAGACGTGGCTTCGTGTCGTCGTCTTCAGGCGTCGTTGCGTCGTCCTCTGGCTCCTCTACGTAGGTGACAGGTGTGACATTAGGTGCGAAGGTAACGTTGCGAGGCGAGGAAGTGTTGATGCCATAGACACCAGCCTTGATAGGGTGAAAGCCAGCTACCAACAAGCAAAACGTGTCAGTTCCACGTTTTCATTGTTTCCTTCACTGAGGAACGCACACAATGCCATAGACGAGCGACGGCGGTGAGATAGTCTTGACGCGGACATGACTGGATATGTCGGACGGGACCTTCTTGGGCCGAAAGCGGGAGGTAATGGAGAGAGAGAACAAAAGGGAAGGGAGGGACACGGAGGGCGTGATCGTGCGTGCGGGCACTTATAAACCTTATAGCGAGCCCATCTCCTGGGATTCTGACATCTGGGGCGCGAACTTGCCCTCTCGCGTCTCTCCTTCGCCGCTCGTCTGCTGAGGACCCCGCACGCAGCTCTCGCACGGACGTTCTCTCCGACCGCGTTGAGTCCGCGGAACAGCCGCACCGGAGACATTCCTCGCGTTCCCATAGGCTGGATATTTGCATCCGTAGAGCGTCTGCGAGAAAAGTCCAATGAAGAGGTTCCAGAGGTCTCCCGGCGCCGCTGTCCAAGATGCCCGGAAGAAGATTCGACCAATTCTGCGCGTCCCTTTGTATCGAAAGTGGATGCAAGTTTGTCGACTTCCATATACGGCCGACGTACCTGTCTCGTATAACGTGGCCTTGCCATTTTTCCCCGAGCACGTGGAGGTGTCCTTCTCGCTCCCTCGAGCTCGACTGGCCGCAAATGTCGCGCCTTCTTGTGTCTTGGTTACGGAAGTCGTCGAGGACGCCACGACGGTCGCTGTCCTTGAGACGATCTCAGCATCTCGTTGGACACCGCGCGATGTGAAACGATGTCGATGGAATCCCACGGTTTACATCTCAATTCCCAGCGCTCGGGCTCTGCCGTCGTGCCGCATCGGAGCGGCCACAGATCCACGTTCTTAGCGCTCACTAGCGTCATTTTCGATGCGTCATCTGCTCTGCCTGCCTTGCTCGTTCCAGCTCATTCCCCGCAACGTGCACCTGAATGCTGTGCGCTGAAAGGTCTAAAGAAGTTTATCCCAGGTGAAAGGATCAGCCTGAGCGTCTACCAAGCGTCTACCAAGCGTCTACCAAGCGTCTACTGTAAATCGTGTTCTCGGAGATTCGCGATGGACGACTTGGTTATGTTGTGGCTCTGTGCTCTAACTATTTCTGTCAGCGATCGTCTCCACTTTTAGACTATTCTTCGTCCACTGTCGCACCAATGTCCATACACGTATGGACTAAATGACGCAGATCCTCATCGTCCCTCCTTTGAGGTGCCGAAAATGCCCACGCTATGTGCATCATAGTACGAGGACCCTTCTACTAGTAAACCTGCAGGCTGATGGTATGGTGGTGCTACCAACTTTAGGGCCTGTCCATACACATTTCCCAGGCCTGTGCAAGTCCAGCTATAAACCAGGTTCACCCACATTCAACCGCGACAGGACTACAGACTCATCCCGCTAACGCTCTTCTCCAAAATTACCATCCGCCCTGCGGACGTACTTTGCGGGAAAAGAAGAACGTGCCATTCATCTCTTTCTCGTAAAGACACCCAAGTGGGTCATTTATACCCCTCGGTTTATCCCATAACCACCCCTCAGATGCACGCAGCCGTCATCCACGTGAGAAGAAAAACGAAACGCTTTTCTTTCTCTCGCAAAGACGTCTGAGCGAGCATGGGCCATCCTACATATACGCATTATTCCTCATTTCTCTATATTTTCTCCTCGCTCGATTGCACGCGGACTGCCTTTCCTAGAGAAGAAGAACGTTCCTGCTCTTCTTTCTCTAGTAAAGACTTCTAGTGTTGCATTGTGAGGTGAAGCAGAACACTCACGTTTAACAGGCGTGTGCTGTCGTTTTAAAGAAAGCCCTCATTTCTATCGCTGACCCTGGTGTTGTGTCTACGATATATGTCGAACATATTCAGCCCCATAAACATGTCGTTTGTCGCGATTAGTATAAAAATAAACAACGCGACGCGAAATAGTACCGAAAATAATCGTAATACGTGAACCTCGTGGTGTGAAATAAAGGTATAAGTCATCATCGCTCGGAGGCCCAGTGCCAAATAAGTTGTGCTCCCATGTTTTGTGTGAATCGCACCAAAGAAAGCGACACATCCAGCAAAGCCCACGATTTACAAGAATGATCCAAACAAACACCAAATCGCAATGGCCAGCCCGAGCATACCCTGCATGCTCGGCGCACCGCCGAGCCTGAGCCCGCCCGCGGCATCCACGAGTGGTGCAGCCTGAATGATCGTCTGGTTCAGACAGTCGAGCAGCGTCAAGTCGATACCGGAAGGCAGCGGCGTGTCGGCCGTTTCATCGCCCGCAATGCTGTCGTCCGTGCCGAGGGTCGCGCTATTGTTGTACCCATCCAAGGTGAGCACGACGCTGCTCGCTCTATAATATTGCACAGCCTGGAACGGCTGAGGGGCGCCGGTCGAGCTGGTGTTCACCGCAGCAGGTGTCTGGGAAGTCTGGTTGGTGCTCGAGCCCTGGGATTGGAGGTTGGAGGAGCAGTTGGACACGAGGAGCGGGAGCAGGGCGGAGACGGTGCTGTTGTCGGCGAGGAGATGAAACGTGGTCGCGTTGCTCTGCGAGCCACTGCTGGTGTTGTTGGAGACGAAAGTGGCTTCCATCATGGGACCACCGACACGCGAGGTGTTGTACGAGTCGCCGTACTAAAACCCAGAATTTCGTCAATATCTGCTGTGGAATTCGTAATAGGCACCCACCTCATGATCGACGAGGTACGCCCCTCCCCCACCAAACGCACCGCCCCACACAACGGGCCAGAACCAGAACGGGAAGCCGCGGTTATATACACCGCGCGTGGCCACGCCAGGGTATCCGCTTCCATACGCCCTGTACAGCCGCGTAACCGAGTCAGCTCTACACAGGTTTCCTTCGTAGAACGTTCCGAAACACAAACCTCGTCCCGGCGACCTGATCCCGCGTCGCACCGCCCGCCGTGCGTCCCGAGAACACCTGCCCCGACGGAATCGTAATCTGCTTCCCGCCGCCCGAATTGTACGTCGACACGCTGCGGCTGCCTGTGACCCCGTTGCTGCCCGCGAGGGGGACCGTGCTTCCTCTTCCACCGCTGCTCGATCCCGAGGACCCAGTGCTGCCCTTTCCGGTGCTGCCCGAGGAGCCTTTGGGCGACGAGGATGATGAGCCTTTGCCTGACGACCCGGAGGAGCCGCCTTTACCTGATGAACCGCCGCCTTTGCTACCGCCTCCACCTCCCTTTCTCCGTTCGAGGTACTGGAGGGCGGGTGTGACAAGGGGGACGTACATGCTTGCGGCACGGGCTTGTGAAGTTGTGACTTGAGAAGGGGGAGGGTTGTTATACGTTAAAATGTCCTGCTAAAGACGCTGGTATGGTCGTCAGTGGACAGCTCTACTTTTTGGTCTCGACTTCTCCGGGGGAGTCGATGACGGCGGACTGTGAATGGACAATGGATGTGCGGACAAGATCAAGAAACGCTATTGACACGCCCAGCTCCCTTTATGGGCCACACACGCCGATGGCCCACCGTCACAAGTAGAAATGTCAGCGACAATAAAGGACGATGTTCCTGAGTGGGCAGTGCCACGGAAGGACCAAAAGTCCCCGCTCATGCTCAAGATCAGAAAACATACAACGGTCTTCGCGCGCGTGTCCAATTGTCCCTTCCATTACCTCAGAGCGACGAGGAGGCGCATCACGCGTGACGACCGGCACACGAACGGCTTGTAATGCTTGGACCCACCTGTTTGCAACAATACTGTCCACTTCGACTTGTCGGCCGCAGAGTCGCTTTCCTGGGGAGAGCTTGGACCTAGTATTGACAAGGGAGGCGCATCAGAACGTTCCAGTCAGAAGAGAAGAGAACAGCCTCCATACCCAAGTGGAATGTCCAGAATTCAAGTGGTGTAGTGACGGTACCTGTTAGACTTTTGTCAGACTCCGCTTCCTTGTCCGCTCCTAGGATGTATGCGGCTGACATGTTCACATGTCCAGCGAGACAGCCCTGAGGTGCACTGCCACTGTTGGCCCAAGGACATCCGCTTGAATCGGCCCGACGGCAGCTACGATGACGTTGGCCCTGTATTCGAGAACATGATCATCAGAGACGCCGCTTGAAAACAAGTTGAAAGCGTGTTCTGCCTTGAAGGTAACACATTCCGCGGAAAATTGTTGTAATATAGCTTTTAAGCGGTCAAGAGAGGGTCAAGAGCAGGCTGGCGGAGGTTGTATGGAACCTATAATACGTGTCATATCGTGCCGCTCGCCGAAGAATACACAGCAAGTTCGGATCGCTCATGTGGAGGCACGACAGGGTGAAACCGTGTCTACAGCATGTTTAGACTGTGACATTTCCGTCAGATTATCCCTGCTAAGTTGGCGAGTGACATCGCACGGGAGCCCGAGAGACCGATGAGGGACGTCAGTGCTTGATGGAGGAACGCTCGGGGGGACAGAATTGACAGATTGCGCAACCACTGGAAGCAGCATACGCAGAGAAGAACGCATCGACCGTCAGAATGCAAAATAGGCTGTATTCAAAGCCGACGAGCACCACGCTCCATGCATGTATTCGGCGGGCCGGTGTTATATAGTCGATTATAGACCGTACGCAGTGGAATAATCGGTGCAACTGCTTGGCCTTCAGCGGGCGCAAGATGACATTGAGCGGCTCTGCGAGCATCTCTGGTGCGAAAATACCAGAGGGAAGGCGCAGCTAGGTTTAGTCATTACCTGCTCAGTGCAGCCAGCAAGCTATATGGTAATGTCCTCTCGGAAAGAAGTAGACGCGGACACATATGTGCAACGTGTAGCCCATCTGGGGAAAACCTTAAGTTCAGCTATGCGACTAAGTCACATACGGTTTGGCAACTCACCCATGGAGCACACCACAAAGGTGAGGCTTCTGGTCGTAGGACTTTTCTGTTTCCAACGACAATGCCTCACCACTTGATCCGCCGCCCATCTATACCTCCACCTCCATCTGGTCCACAGCTTTGCCGACCTTCCGTGTAACCACGCCCTGCTTTGCAGAATTCCCTATTGTCTCGACACTCTCCTTGACCTGCCGCCAAATCTCCTCCGCTGCACCACGCGCCGCCTCGCGAGCCTCTTCCAGTTCCGCGTCGTTCAGCGCCGCACCAGGTCGCACACCGTAGTTCGTCCACAGCAGCTCCGAAGGCGGTACGCCTTCCAGCACGCTGGGCATCGCGTGTGCAAGTCCAACAGAGAAGAGAAATGCGAAGCATCCACCACTCTTGAGCTTCTGCGTCTCCTCGGCGCTCGGATCCAGAACGATCGCCCCATCCTCACCGCCCTTCCCAACAGCAACAGCACACACAACTCCACGCAGCGGCACCGACCCAGCACTGAGCAGTGCGAGGCCCGCTGCATTGATCTGCGCTGCCAGACCCGAGGCACCGGCAAAGCTTGGTACGAGCGGCGCCGCGGGCGACAAGGACTGCACGACGATCTGGACGAGCGCGCGCGGGTGAGTGGTGAGGACAAGCGCGTGCTCCGCGATGCCACGGATGATGGACGCGATGGCGCGTTCGTGTGTGCCTGGGATGCCCGCGAGCGGGCGGACAAGGACTTCGACGATCGTGCGTGAGGGGTGTTCGGCGGAGAGACGAGCGGTGAGGGGGCCGGAGACGGATGCGAGGGCTGAGCAGGCGGGGGAGAAGGAGAAGCGACCAGATCCGTCGGCGCCTGCGAGGCCATCGTAGCCGATGGAGATCGGACGCATGGTTGGTGATGCTTGCGTTGCGCAGAAAAAGGAGGTAAGGGTAGTGGATGGGATAGAATTTGCACTTGCTTGGCAAACGCTTTAGAAAGTAACACACGTAAACAACGCGTCATCTATCATCTGAAAAGTACAAACTCTTTCATAACTTTTTCATAACTTGTTCAGATCAATACATGAAGTGGCCTTCACTACATTAAGCGGTGCTACGCTGGAATGGCTACAATATGAAAGCGTAAATATTACGAGCTCGGGTATGCGTTGGGTATGCAACATAAAGGGTATCGCTGGTTTCATAAGTAATGCGTCTTTGCGCGAAGGAGTGTTTAAAGCGTTAAGTATTCGTCAAAAGTCTAAAAAAGAGAAACGAGGCACGAAGCAACAAGAGCAAGTCCCATCAGCCCTTGCGACGAGGACATATCCCACCTGACGCTGCCCCCATTATAGTATGTGGGGGCCGTATTCTCAGAGTCCACAAGAGGCATGGCCTGAACCAGCGTTTGGTTTACACAGTCCATCAGCGTAGCGTTTACCCAGGAAGGTATAGGCGTGTCTGGTGCATTTTCGTCGCTGCTGAGCGTTGCAGAGTTGTTATACCCGTCCAGCGTGAGCACGGCACTGCTGCTTCGGTAGTACTGCACAACCTGGTATGGCTGCGGCGAAAACGGGTCACTAGAGTTGAATGGGACCGGCATCTGCGACGAGCCGTTTGAGTTGAGGTAGGAAGAACAGTTTGAAAATATCAAGGGGATGACGCTGGTGACGGTGCTATTGTCGGCGAGGAAGTGTAGGGTGGTGATCGTGTCGTTGGATTGGAAAGTGGCTTCCATCATCGGCCCGCCCATACGGGAGGAGTTGAAGGAGTCTCCGTACTTGTCTTCGATCAGCGCCTGCATTGACATCTGTACAGGTAGTGATGGCTCACCTCGTGGTCAATGAGGTAATCCCCACCTGCGCCGAGCGAACCTCCCCATACTACAGGCCAGAACCAGAACGGAAAGCCACGACTGGTGACACCGCGGCCCGATACACCAGGATATCCGCTTCCATACGATCTGTGGGCCCATACGTATTAGCACCTCCTGTGTAAACCCGGTAAACCCGCAGAGTACTGACCTCGTCCCAACAACCTGTGCCCTTGTCCCACCGCCCGCGCTCCGCCCCGAGAACATCTGCCCCGAAGGAATGGAGACAGCCTTGCCACCACCGTTGCCATACACAGACATCGACCGTCCGCTCGCAGGACCGCTTTTGATAGTTACGGGAGGAGGTGCCGGGCGAGATCCAGAACCACCCGAGGACCCAGTGACGCCGCCACCTTTGCCAGCGCTGCCACCCCCGGAAGAACCGGTGGATCCTCCGCCTTTGCTGCCGCTACCGGAGGATGAGCCACCACCCTTGCTGCCCCCGCTGGAGGACGAGCCGCCTCCCTTGCTGCCTCCCGAGCTCCCACCGCCGCGACTCCCACCTCCACCTCCGCCTTTACGGCGCGTGAGGGCATCGAGTTTAGGGGCGACGAAGGGGATATACATGATGAGAACGAGTTTTGCGAATGAGTCGCGAGAGTGATGGGCTTGGAAGCATATCTGCGATTTGCTTTATACGTTTACGTTCATTGCAGAGCAGCGGGAGGAAGCAACCGAGAGAGCACTGTGCCAAGGGATGCGGTGCACGTCGGTGTTCGGCGGCGTCAGGAGCCTTCGTTGTGTTGACGTCAAATTCCCACACACACCTTTCACGCCTCCTACAACGATGCCCAGTTCACGGCGAGCTATGGATTCATCTCGAAGAGCACAGCACGACAGCGCTTGGGTTATCAGTATCTGTCACTGCTGGCTAGAGAGCCCTCGGCTACTTACTTATCGTGCAGCATCATTCCCTTTACAGCATCCACAGCATATTCGGCACACATGATAACGACACTGCCACAGGCTCGGTGACGCGGCAGAACATCTATTAGAAATTCCTGTTGGTGACAGGCAAGGTTAGCGCAGGTTAATGCTCAAGTGCTCAGGGTGCTCGGGCCCGCAGGTACAATACCGCATATTACGGTACTGCCAACTGACGGGCCTGCGCACAGCTTATCAGGCAACCCGACAATGTAAGAAGTTCATATAAGTTGAGTTTACACGGACTATATATACATAAATTTCGAACTGCTACTGACCAGTGCTACTTTGATAACTATCATGATGTTGATGAAAGTTTTGGAGGTCATGGGATATTTCATGTTGCCGGCCTGAAACATGACCTCGAAGTGCATCGAACTTAACTCAAACGATGAGATATAAGGGCATCATAGTACTAGTGTGCCACCTTCAGTCTGTTACTCACCTGCGATTTTTTCTCTACCCCATGACTTCCGCATTACCTGATCAAGAGCTCACGCAGCTTGTCGCTTTTTTCAAGACATTCAATTATCTCAAAGGAAAGTAATCTGGCTCAATCCTCCGCTATACTAGTTTTTGAGGTACTCAATTTCTAGCTTCTGGGTTTACGTTTACGATTTATAACTACCGTTGCGCATTTTCTTGTTTCTTTCTGTCTGAGATTTGCTGATCAGTGTGATTTTAGTGCTCCAATTAGGCCAAGAAGTAGGTTCTGTTACATATTCCACCTTCGAACATTATTCATCTGTCCAGATAGAATTCATATGGGTAAAGATCTAGTTTCCTCCACTCCCAGGCTCGGCTTTCCAAATTGACCCATTTAGACCGGAAAGTTCTCCGCCACAGTTTGTGCTTACATGATTGTGGGATAACTTTTAATGTTAGTTGGTGGGGGAACTAACTCGCTGCATAGATGCGTTATGTTGGTGTCATTTCCGTATTGTAAGACTAGGTTTATGCCGACCGCAAGAGCGCGATAATAACTATATTCTCCTTAGATCTGTTGCAGGTATATTCACATCTTGACGTACCTAATTTAAACTCACGAATGGCTCATCCGTCGTCTCCAGCTCCGTCGTTTTCCAGTCTGTCAACAAAGGTGAGAATACCGTTAGTGATATGATGAAAGGGTTACTTATCTAGGCCATCAACTTCCCCACACCCAGGACGACTCTTACGCAATGTAGGTGGACACTCATTTTTTCTTTTCTTTGCAAAACTCCATGTATATGTACCCGACTAAATAAACCCAATCTCCAGCTGTATTTATTCCACTTCATAATTTTTGACCACTCCTGCTTATTGTGGTAAGGTCATGTCCTGGGAGTCGGCTTCGTCGACGTTAGCTTCATTGTGGTCATGTTCTTCTTACAAGGTAAGCAACGCCCTCCCCGATAAACAGAGACGAATGACGTCTTTAGGCATGATGGCTCTCAGGATTCATGTTTTATTTGAGAAGTCGCGAAAAATATTATATCTCCTTGCGTCTCTGTTTGCAATCACCCAGGCCGTCAATTTTGTCTCAATGATACTAGTGCTGCAACCCGGAGTAGAAAAAGGAGGTGGGATAACATCAGTTCACTCGAGAATAGACTAACAACGTGTGGTTCCCCACGTTATTCTAGCCGCTCAAAGTTACCTAGGTTTCAATGTGTGCACAATAACGTTCACCAAAGGCTGGATTTGGGTATCTCCTGTAGCAAATGGGTTTCTTCTAGGCTTTGAGCTGGTCCTGGTCGTCCTTGCTTTCTATCACGTTCACAGTAACCTGGATCGGCATTTTTGGAGGTCACCTACTCGATCGATGGATAAATTGGCCACCGTGATAGTACGTGATAATTTGGTGTATTTCTTTGTGTAAGAACATTCTCCGCTTTTCTACTATCATCAATGGCTTGGTTTTATACCTGTTGTTTATGACGCATTCTAGGTGCTTTATTGCGCTATTCTGCACAACCATGATCAACATTTATGCCTCCTCATCTAACGAGGTATGTCGTGTGCCTTTTGTTGTCTACACTTGGCGTTAAATCTCGCTTCCGTTGCAGAAGGGAGCATACCTCATTATATCGGAAATCATATTGGTTGGTGTAATAGGGCCATGGATGATACTCAGTCTTCGAAGTGAGCATAAGCACAGTCTCGAAGAAGGGCAATTATACGCAACAGAGCTATTCACTCTGAATTTCGCTTCTTAAGCCTCTTTATCGTCTTGCAGAGAGAATCGGCCTCTGCGAGTACTCGGGATATCTGCGAGTGATGATCCAAGTTACGTTGTGGTAGACGCGTACTGCATCTCAGGTTCTCACTTGTTACCCTTACATCACCTCAGAAGTCTGCTTGTTGTTAGCGTTCTACCTTTCCTGCTGTCTACCCCTTAAATCTTTCTAGATAGTATCCTCAATATTGCTCTAGATGTTATGTATCTTCCAAATATCGTACAAACTTGTTGATTAGATTGATCGCCCTTGGTTATGATCACAACCGTGCCTATACCTCCTCTTAGTCTTCACACCGAGCTCAAAATGAGGGAAACTCATGCAGTTTGCGTGAGAACGGGCCAGTTATCAAAGCCAAGATCAATACCTAGACACGCGTAGTGAACGTTAGCTGTTTAGAATTGTCGAGGGTGTAGATGAACATACCCCAAGGAGGCGTGACAAGCCTGCGTAATCAAGACGAACGATCAACTCCATTGAACACAGTTTTCGGAGGCAGCGGTCAATATCACGCACCGTTTCTGCTTGCCGTTGGCGGCGACGGCATCCAAAACGGCGACATCTTCTTCAGTAAGCTTCTCGTAAGCGGTAATTGTATTATCTAGGTTTGTCTTGATGCGAGCAGGTGTGACAGACTTGGGGAGGACGACAATATCCTTCTTCACTGTTCACAAAGGGATATGTCAGTAGTAGTCGCCTGAGACAGAAACAGTGGAGAATACGAAACGGGGAAATACGTACGTAGATACCCGAGCAGCACGTCGGTCGTCGCGAGTCCGTGCTTCTTCGCGATCTCAGCAGCCGTCTCGTCGGTCATAAGCGGGGCGTAGTTCGATCCAAGCGGAGAATACGCCTGGGGAACGATGTTCTGCGACTTGAGGTAGTCGATCAGCTTGTGCTGAGGGTTATACAGGTGGAGCTCGAGCTGGTCTACGGCCGGCGGAATCTCGGTTGGTAGGATCTTTTGAAGTATCTTCTCGGAAAAGTTGGACGCGCCAATGGCTTTGGCTTTGCCTGAGACGTTCGTTCGGTGGATATGTTAGTGAGAATGAGATGCCTAATGGAGGGCTGCAGATAGGCATACCTTTCTTGCAGACGGCTTCCATGGCTTTCCATGTGTCCCTGATGTCTCGCGACTCATCGATGTCGCGGTTGCCGTTCGGGCGTGTCGGGAAGACGGGATGATTCCCGCTTTGGTTGAGAGCAACCGGCCAGTGTACGAGGTAGACTGCATAGCCGTCGTTGTTCAGGTTCAAGACTCTGGATGCGACAAAGCAATGGTAATACTTACGGTCAACATAATCCGTGCCGAGGTTGGCGAGAGTCTCGTCAAGGCACTCCTCGACGCGGCTGTGATACGTGCACCAGAGATTGCTCGTGATCTGGTGGTGGTATCGGGGATTAGGTTGAGCCGAGCTTTTGATATCCAGCAGCATACGCACGAACACCTCCTCCCTGGGAACACCTGACGCACGGAGGCCCGCTCCGACCTCTTTCTCGTTACCGTATGACCTAGCATATGTCAGCAGATCATCTATTGACAGACGGTGGACGACTCACCAAGCGCAATCGATATGTCTATATCCCGCCTTTAGCGCCTCCTCGACAGCGCGAGCAACCTCGTTGGGTCCCGATTTCCACGTTCCTGCGATGGAGTAGCCCCTGATCAGCACGACTGTATCTGTGAGTACATCGACGGGAATGCTCACCCAGTCCAATCCCAGGGATAACCGATCCATTGTTGAGCTTGAAGTTAGGTCCGGGCATGGCTGTATAGACGCAGAGATAAGTTCGTATCGCGAAGTCTGGTGTGTTCAGCCCATCTCATGCCCAACCTTTATAGCCGGCCGACAATCGGAACTGCGGGCCGTGCGGGCCGTGAAGCGGTTGGCACGCGCCCACCAACTCTCGAGGGTTGGGGTGGATTCGGGGTAGATTGTGGTCAGCTCTTCTAGCTTGATCACGAACGACTGGTTAGAAGGGGAGCTCCTTCTGTACGAGCTTGACCTCATCTCCGAGAGAGAGCGGACGAGTTCCTTAATGGTCAAGGTCTCCCGCAAGAGGTCACCACTGTTCGTTACAAAGGTCGGTATGTTATCATGTCATGGAAGCTCACTGGTATTGCATGATTCAATGACTTGGTTTCTCGGGATGAGAGGTTTAACCGGATGAGGGAAGAACGTCGGCCGTCGACGACTCGACGTCAACGCGATGATGGTCAGTTAGGCAGCCGTGACCGGTTATTCCCGACGTTCGCGCCGGGGCGTTTGGCACGTCCCGTCATCGACGATCGTGTCGAGCCTTCCTTCTTCCTCCACTTACGTGGGTCCTCATCTATCCAACGTTGTCTATCCTTTTAACCAAGTGAGGCTGAATCACCGATCTGCATCCCACGAGAAGACGGCGCAATGAGAATTCAACTAGTTCGGCAGGTCAACAGTCGTCTCGATTGGATACATGAGGCGTTTGGCAGATGAAGTAAGCTCAAGTCGGTACTGGGTCATCGTTTCGGAGGCCACGTTCTGCGAAATACGTAAATCCGGCATTCGGCATCTTGCAGGCGCTTATTTACCTATACTTGGGCGATGTTGCCATGAGGCGGTCTCTCATTGTTTCTCCTTCCACCTCTCCTTCCCCAACAGGCTGCGATGGATTTGGACGACTACGACACGGCGCGCTTGAAAGTGGAGACTGAGGCTTGTACAGCCAGCACACCCCAAGAGGCTTTGGAGTGGCTGGATGTAGAGTGGTTCAGTCAAGCAAGCAGGCGTGCTCGATGGATGGACCTGCTAGGCGACTACGCAGGCACAGAACCGTTTGTTATCGATGGTGAGTGTTCGATGCGATCAAGCGAGAAACCAGCTTAATTGTCCGCTGTTCAACAGGGGACTCCATCGTGCAGATCGTGCTTGACGACCCTCTCCTCGCACTGGCAAAAGTTGATGGTATGTTTCATCTCTTTCGCGGCGAGTGCTGTTCTGATATGCGGCCAGACCCCACGAGCTTCCAGCTTTTGCATGCAATCTACTCTATCGAGCGCCTCATCAACGATTTCAAAAAGCGCGGTGCCGTCTTCGACATCGTGTTTTGGAAGGGTGAATGCTCATGTTATAGCTTAGTTTCGGGTAGTCGCTAATCCTGATCCCCTCTGATAGACCACAAGCACCTTTCCATCCACTCTGGAGCACCTGATCAGGAGGTCGCTTCACGCGCCCTCGCTCGACAGCTTCTGATCAACCATCTACGTCAGCTTCAAGATACCACCGTCCATTGTTTTGAGAACATTCGGGACGCTAAATGGAAAGAGTATCAATCGCTGGCCAAGGTACATCCCCAACCACCGTTACTTAGCGCATACATTGACTCATCCCCTACCCTAGCCGATGTTCGTCATGATCAACGACGGCGGCCTGCCCATGAGTGATGACGCTTGGAACGCACGATGGGTCTTGGTCCAACGCAAAGTTCTGGCTGAGCTTCTCTCGAACGGGATCTCATTCGCGCTGCTGAAAGGCTGCGAATTCCGGGACTCAAAGGTGATTGGTCCCATTTTCGCGTTACCATGTAACCATGTTCACCTGTCGTTTTAGATCATATCCTTCGTATATGAAGCCCGAGGAACTGAACGTTGGCCCAAGGAAATCAATATCGCTCATAAATCCGCATGGGCGGCGCTAACTTCAGCCGCTCTTAAGTATCCCGCTCAGCATCTGCTGAAGGGCTATACCCCCGCACAATCATTACAGCCGATGCTTCAGAATGCAGCCCGCATGTACCTTGATATCTCAAGAGACTCGGCCAGTGTAGAGCTGCTATACGCTTTTTTCCTTCACTGCGGCGTCACCAGCGACCTTTCGGTCTTCGAGAGGGCTGTTCGGGATCAACCCTTCCCAGTAGAGACGCAGAAGACCATTCTGCAGTTCTATACGACTATGTTTGTCGTGTTGGAGGCAGTCGTCTCACGCACGAAAACCAGTCTCGACATCGACGGCCGTGTGTTTGTCTCTGTTCTCGGATTCCTCGTTGAACGAGGTGACTCTTCCATTGACGATGACTTTGGTCCTACTGCATCAACTTTGGTACGAAACGTGTTCTCGTCGCTCGACTGTGGTCAACCAGACTTTTCTCGCCTCCGCCCTTTACGCTTTCTGTCGCAGCAGCCTGGAAGACTTGATCCTGATCCTGAGCCCCTCGACTTACTCCCGTTCAGCAACGACGTTTTCGACTCTGAGCTCGCAGCAGTTCACGTGTCCACCTCTAATATAGATGTTGAGGACATGTATTCCTCCTCACCTCATTACTCCGGTGGCACTGTCTTTTCCGACACCCATCACTGGCACGCCCATCGGCGAGCACTTCTCCCAAAACACCTAGGTGGTGAGCAGGCACCTCGTCTCGAGGGATGGGCGCGGAAACGACAGCTCCGCGGGGATCAGATCTTCATGCGGCAGCTCCAGAAACAGGCGGGAACGCTTACCGGTGCTCAGGGATACGCGCTCCAACAGATCACGATCCCACCTGTAGGCACCTCGAAGCGCCCGAAACAGGCGCCAGCGCCCAAGTCTGCTTCTTCGACGTCCCAAGTTGCCAAGGAAAAGCAGAAAGGCGGTTCGAGGAAGGCGACGATGTCAAAGGCGGACAAGATTCGGGCTGATAACCTAGCCAAGAAGGCGTCAGAGGCCACCTCGGAATCCACGAAATGGCTCGACGGGGTCATACGCGAGAGCGAGTCGTCGGCACCGACCACCTCGCCAGAGAAGCGCCTTCAGTACCTGCGCGACAAGGAGCGAAGCTTGCGTCTCCAGGACCCCATGACGCGCACGCGGTTCACGGTGTACGAGTTGCACTTGCTCTTCTTGCAGTGGATCGATAATCCTGCGCGAGACAGCGCGACCACGCGGGATACGTATTCCGTAACAATCGTCCGCCTATTGAAAGACCTGCGGGCGACGGGATGCTCAGCACCGGACGTCCGCGACGCCGTCAGTGCATCTCTGGGCGCGCTCGGTCTCAGTGGTCTCAAGGACGCACTCGTTCCAGCGGTTGATATCGGGGAGGACGAGAAAGAGAAAGGAAAACGGGTGCTGGGCTTCAAGTTCGTCAAGCTTGTCAGCAGTAGGACGGGCAGACCGGAGCACGACTTCATGTCGGTACGGGAGGATGCCGTCGTCTGGCAGCTGCGCGTCTTTGGTGAGTATATGGACCGAAGCATGGACAGCCAGCCCGATAGACGAGTCACGTTCCAGCCGGATGCTTGGCAGAGGGAGGTGTTAGATGCAATTGACGAGGACAAGTCGTTGCTCGTCGTTGGTAAGTATTTCGCCCGCTTTTACTCCAATTATATGATCGATTGATTACCTCCAATGCAGCGCCCACATCTGCAGGAAAGACATTCATCTCTTACTACGCTATGGAGCGCGCCCTGCGCGAGTCGGATGACGGGATCTTGGTTTACGTTGCGCCTACAAAGGCACTTGTGTCTCAAATCGCCGCTGAGGTATATGCACGGTTCAGCAAGACAATGGATAGCCGTAAGCGCAGTCTTATCTCACTGGCTAGTCGCAGCTAACGCTTCCGCAGGAAGCTGTTGGGCAATACATACGCGAGACTACCGTGTCCATGATCCGCAGAACTGTCAGATCTTGATCACAGTTCCGGACGTCCTCGCAATCATGCTCCTCGCGCCCGCGCTCGCAAGGGTCTGGACGCCGAGGCTCAAGCGGTTAGTATTTATTTCCGGCATTGAGCGTCTACCGGTGTCGCTGATGTTGTACGACAGGATAATCATGGACGAGATTCATACCATAGGCCAGCAAGAGGGTGGCTCGGTCTGGGAGCAGATTCTGCTCTTAGCACCTTGCCCAATCATGTACGTGAATATAGTTTTTGTGCAAAATTCGGACACTGACTGCTCCTAGCGGGCTTTCAGCAACCATTGGCGAACCCGAGAGGTTTAACGCTTGGCTTGAGTCCGTCCAGCACGCAGGAGGATTTGAACACAAATTCGTTTACCACCCTCACCGTTACTCGCATCTACGCAAGTTCTTCTATAACTTGCACGGTACGAAGAAGGTGTCATTCACCTCGCTCGATGAACACGAGTCTACGGAGCGAATGCGCTTTCTGCATCCGATCTCTGCGCTCGATTTCGGTTCTCGTTCTATTCCTTCAGACCTCGCGTTGGAGGCTCGGGACACCCTCACTCTTTATCGCGCGTTGCAGGGCTGTTCAGACGTGTCTAAGGAGACATTGGAGCAACTCCGACCGGAGGTGTTCTTCGCAGGCAAAGCCTTCCTCCAGCAAAAAGACGTCATTTGCTATGAGCAGTCGTTGAAGGACGTTGTGGTATCACTCGTGTCCATGTCGGATCCTCGCGACGCTGTCTCTCCGTTGCAGGCCGTTATCAAGCATCTTGACGATGATCAACTCGCTGCGATGGACAGGAAGCTGTTGAACAAGCAGCCTAAATCCGAGGCTCTTATCGAAAATCTTCCTTATTTCGTAGCAGATCTTCACGCGCAAAATGACTTGGTGCGTATGAGACACACGATTCTGGTGTATCATTACTTACATCCACCCAGCCTGCAGTGTTCTTCAACTTTGAGCGAGGCGGCTGTGTTAACTTGGCCAAACGTCTGGTCAAGTTCTTAGCCGATAAGGAGCTCAAGTTCCGGGAGGTAGACCCAGGTTGGATCAAGAAAATGGCAGAATGGGAGGCGTGGCGCGCTGGGGCTAAGGATCGCGAGCGTGCCGCCGCGAGGAATAAGACAAAGCGAGTTGCCGTTGAGGACGTGAGCGAAGCGAGCGATGGGTTTGCCGACGATTGGAAGAAGAAGTTCAACCCCAGCGACCCGCTTCGGCAGTTCTCTCTTGCTGGGCACTCGTCGTACTCGATGGATGACTTACGCGACGACATCAAAGAGCTGACGCGTCGGAACTCTGTTCCCCAGTGGGCAATAGCGTGCTTGTTGCGTGGCGTAGCTGTTCATCATGCTGGCATGAACAAGCATTATCGAAGTTTGGTCGAAGCGTTGTACCGCAAAGGCTTCGTTCGCGTCATGTTCGCGACTGGTAGGCCCGAGTCTGAAATTCACTGATCCGTCGAACTGACCATTGGCTAGGCACTTTGGCGCTCGGGATCAACGCTCCGACAAAGACTAGTGTCTTCTGCGGCGATTCACCTTTCTTAACTGCCCTCATGGTAAGCCGTATAATATCGTCTGTAAGCTCAGTGCTCACCCGGATATCAGTACCGCCAATGTGCTGGACGCGCCGGTCGACGTGGGTATGATCTTCTCGGCAAAGTCGCCTTCTACGGCCTCTCGCTGGACCGAGTCAAACGGCTCATCCTTTCTCGCATCCCATCCTTAGCTGCGCACTTCCCCATTACCTCAACTTTGGTTCTAAGGCTCTTCAATCTTCTCGAGGGCTCTGGTCACGCGCCTACCGCCGTCCATGCCATCCAGCGTCTGTTCCGTCTTCCGCGCATCGCGTTCGCATCAAGTTCTGAAACAATGACTGGCGAGGGTGGAAACCAACTTCTGCATCACCTCCGCTTCAGTATTGATTATCTCCGACGAGGAAGCTTGCTTGATTCCACGGGACGCCCCCTCGACTTGTTCGGAATTGCCGGTCAACTTTACTACACCGAGCCAAGCAATCTTGCCCTTGTCGCCCTTCTGCGCGCTGGTATCATTCACCGCATCTGTAAAATGAAGAGTCGCACAGATGCGAAGCTTTCTCTCGTTACGCTCCTCGCGCATCTTTTTGGGAGACGACCTCTTCCGGGCGCCGCCGCGACGGAGAAGTTTCAAGAGGCCATCAAGAAATCTGCTTCAATCGTCTTCCTTCCTCCGCTCGAGAAGGCAGCTGCAGCTGCCCTTGAGACGCACGAAGAAGAGACCCTACAGGTGTTTTCAGCCTATGCTCGGGCGTACGCTAAACAGTATTCGGAGCAGCTCGGACAAGACTGTGAGCTGCCATTCAGTAGACGTCGGTTTGAGGGCAACACCGAGAGCGTTGGATGCGCCTTCCGCCTTTCCCTCCGAGCTACTGCAGTTAGCGTTACCACGCGGTCAGCATTTGTGGCCACATCTGGGCACGCAGACACTTTTGGGAGTGTGCAGGAACTCGCTCGCACTACTCGCAGTGGAGTGACCCTCAACGAGCACGCGATCCCGACCTTCGGAGACATCATCTCGCATACGGTCCAAAAAGGAGGCCGCAAGGATGGATCTCATGCTTTGAACGCCTATCTGCTCGACTTTTACAAGCACGGTCAGGAGCAGGCGCTCGTGACGGCAAACGGCATTCGCTCGGGCGATCTTTGGTACCTGCTGCAAGACTTCGACCTAACCCTCAAAACGATCCGGGGTGTTCTGGCTACATTGTTGACGAAGTCGGCAACAGGCGGCTCAGAGCTTGACTTTGATGCTCTTGACTTCGACGACGGGTTCGATCCCGCAGAGGTAGATGACTGGGCTGATGAGGCGCCGGCGTCGGTGGCCATCCCTCCTGTCCAGTCGCGAAAAGTAAAGGCGTCCAAAGTTGTTGACAGCTGGGACGACGAGGACGAGGATTCCCAGGTTGATCCAGAGGGCACAGAACAGAGCGATACAATCAGAGTAGCATCCTCTGCGACGCTTGGCGGAGGCAGTTCTGCGTCGGATCGGCAGGTTTATGACTTGATTTGTGAGGTGCTAGAAGAGTTTGAGGAGAAGTTCCGTGCTATGTGGGCCTAAATATGGGTTTCTTGCTTTTGTAAAGTACTAGTGCTGCTGCATGTATCAAATATCCTCTGCCGTGCGTGTAAAACACCAGTGGTGCACCACACTTCTGAAATTGCATTAACGTGAGCTAGTCCAGGGTTGACACCATCGTTGAGACGTTCTCAGGTTCTCTTGGGCTCTTCACGAGTCTTACCAGTTTGTCGTCTCCGCGGCAGACAGACAAATCGCGCTCGTAGCTATGTTCGTCTCGACTGAAGTGGTATTCTACACATCAGCGACTTGCGATATTAGGGCTCTGCAGCAGATACTGTAGCATCACCCTATGCTTCTCAGCTGCCACTTGAGTCCTCCTCCTGCATGAGGTATTCGGGACATTATTGCTGTCGCACGGACCTTGAACTTGCCCCCTGAGCCTGCTCTAGTGATGAACGCAAAGCCTCGACTCTCGTCTCGATCGCTTCTCTCCACAGGCAGCAGGTATATTCTGTCTGCTATGGTTATTTCGCCGTCCAAAGAGGTAGCGTCCCGATGCCAATAGGGCCAATGGGGATAACAACGGTGCCTCCCTGTGACGACAGAACAATTAGATGCTCTACTACACTCCAGGACCAGCTATCAGTGGCCATGAGCGAGTAGTTCGTGAATGATATGCCTTTCATGTACGGACGGTCACCTGCCATATCGGACATCCTGCTATTGCGAGGGGCTTCGCCATTGATCAGGAGCAACGTTAGTCGTAACGCGGATTCCGCGATTCCGTCCTTGCTCACGGACTTGAGGATATCTGCCATGAGTCCCACCCGTAGGCCAAAGAGCAAGTCCCAAATCTCTTCTGCTATATGTTCGAGTTTACGAAGCTGAGTGACCGTGTCATAGATGGAATTGGGAGATGAATGGAATCGGATGACCCCTGTTGACCGATAGGGGAGTAGGATACCGCCGTCCGCACCCTCAAAACGCAGAACAGGCGATGCGATGGACATACTCGACCAAGCTGTGATGCTGATAGATGGACAGGCTCTGACCCCTCTGGAGTGGGCACGAGGTCCATCCCACCTTGGCACTTCGCCTGATCAACCTCCGCACTCCATGTCATCCATGAATAGTCTCCAATGACGTTAGCTGCCTGAAAAAGCTCTCGGAGCATGAGGGTGAAAGGTTTATCATAGGATGGGACAACCGCATCTGCAAGGTTGCAGACGCCAACCATGGAATATACCATCATATCGTGCTCCACGCTCGCATCGAGACGCCAGACACAAGCGATCGCTTCGCCCAAGACAGCGGCCTCACTGCCGCAGTGGAAGGACGGGTATTCGTAGATAGGATGTTCCGCAATCACCGTGTTTAGACATCGCTCGTAGACGAGGCATCGGTTTGTGACTTCACGGGATCGGAGGCTCATGAGGCCACACGCATGGCCAAGCGTGTCTGTGGGTTGTTTGCCGTCGCTGTCATTGCAGATCCATTGCTTGAGGTCAGCCATTCCTTCTGGTCCCTGTGTCAGATCAGAATGAGTGTCGGCATGTGCATGAGCGCTTGAAATGGTGGTTATAATCAAAGAATTGGCTTTGTTTGGCGTTGTTAGATACAGGTCAATTATCGCCTCCGTGTATGCGTCTATGTATGCACATGCGATACAAACAGTTCGAGTTGGCGGTTCCAATGCAATAGAATCATCCCGTCTTCATGCACCCTGCTCCGTTACAGACCATCGAACGCTCCCTCCAGCACGCACTTCTGCTGTGCCTGATAGAACTTCCCAATGCCCGGCGCAGCAACCGCGTCCTCCCTGCGGCCCTTGTACACCAGCCGCCCCTCGTATCCGAGACCCTGCAGCACGCTTTCGATGCGCGGCGCGACATGTGCGTATGCACCCTGGTTTCGCGGCTCCTCTTGCAACCACACAACATCCTTGATCGACGAAGCGGAGAGGTAGCGATCCAGGACATCGCGCACCTCCATAAAGGGGAAGGGGGAGAGCTCCTCAACGCGCACGAGGGCAACGGCGTCGTCGAGGCCCCGCGCTGAGCGTTCGCGGACGATGTCGTAGTAGAGCTTGCCGCTGAGGAGTACAACACGCTTCACGGAGCCTGGTTTGGAGATGGCGGGGTCGTCGAGGACTGGCTTGAAGCGAGTGCCGGGTGCAAGGTCTTCAAGGGAAGATGAAGCAGCCTAAAGGGGAATAAGCATGGGGGGTATGGTCAGTGATAATGTTCGTTTCAAGTACAAGACGATACGTACGGGTAGGCGAAGGAGTGTCTTCGGTGCGGCCACAATGAGCGGTTTTCGGTAGTTCCGGCGGATCTGACGGCGCAGGAGATGGAAGTATTGTGCAGGTGTTGTGGGGAATACGATATGCATGTTCGCGTTTGTCAGCGGTTCAGAAGGGTCATTGATGTATCGGTCGTTGGAGAGCTAGCAGCAAAGGGAAGCGTCAGTATGGTATACCATTCTGGTTCATCAAGCAACTGACCTGGAGGAAACGCTCAATGCGCGAAGACGAATGCTCCGGACCAGCACCATCAAGTCCGTGTGGGAGGAGCAGGACAATGCCACTCTGCTTGAGCCATTTCGCTAGAGATGTCTCATCAGCTAACGGCTTTTCATGGTTGAACACCTGAAACTCACTCTCTGCTTGCGAGATAAACGTGTCGATGATGACCTGTGCACCATTGAAGAAGTCACCGAACTACAAGCCGTAACATCAGCAATTGCAACGACAGACAAGGGACGAGTCATGTTGACTTACCTGAGCTTCCCATATGGGTAGCACGTTCGGTCGCTCCCAGCTAGCACCATACTCAAACTAAGTATAACCAGCTCAGTTTAACCGCGCCCAAAACAAAGAAGGGCAAGACGCACCCCAAGCACCGCCATCTCGCTCAACGAGCTATTCGCCAGCTCCAACGTACCCTCCGACCGCAGCTCCGTATTCAGCGGCACGATCACGCCCTCCGTCTTCTGATCCACGAGCATCGCATGTCTGCACAATGAGCCCACATCAGCCACACATCATCGCAGCGAGAGAGAGATCTCCACAGGAGAACATAATACTCACCGATGGGAGAACGTGCCCCTCCCCACATCCTGCCCCGAAATCCGCACGTCCGTCCCCTCGCGCATCAGCGACCCAAACGCCATCGCCTCTGCCGTCGCCCAGTCCATACCTACGCCCTTGTCGATGCTCTGCAGCCGCTTCTTCACGTGCCGCTGCAGGCGCGGATGGATCTCCTGTATCATCCCCGAACACGCCGTCAGAACCGTTTTCTGTTATCCCAGTGAAGACGAGGGCTAAACGCACAAATCCTTCAGGGACAGTCACACTCGCCCGCCCGACCGTCTTCAGCTCGTCGAGCTGTACACCCGTGTCGGGCGCGTGATCCGCCTCCCTGCTCGCGGGCCAGACCATGCCCTCCCATTGGCCCGCACACATCGACGCGGACGGCTTGTGCGACGGTACGGCTGCGAGGGCGGATTCGAGCGTCTCGTGGTACGAAGCGCGGACCTTGCTGGCTTGATCCTCGCTGAGAGCTCCGGATTTCTGGGCGGGCCAATTTAGCTCAGTAAGGAGAACAGAGATAGGAAGGGCAGGATGGCGCAGAGACGCACAATGAGCTGCGCCTCATACATCCCGGGCACGGACTGCCGGGACCGGATCTTCTCGTACATCCGCGGCTGAGTGAACGCGGGCTCATCGAGCTCATTGTGTCCCCTGTGAACATATATGTTAACCACTGCTCGATCCCACTGCAAGTACCGGACAAAACGCACCAGCGACGGTAGACGATGAGGTCAATCACGATATCCTAATATCGTCATCAACACGGAGCTCCCGAGAACAAGAGAGAACAGAGACACACCTTGCGGAAATAGTTACGGTACTCGAACGCAACCTCAACCGCGCGGACAACGTCTTCAGGATAGTCCCCATTCACATGAAGAACCGGGCAGTTGATCATCTTGGAGATATCCGACGCATACAACGACGACCGCGCGCTCGACGCAGGCGTCGTATACCCGATGCTACACAACCAAAATCAATCGCATCACCAGTCAGCACTATCCTGACGGGGCCGAGCAGCCCCCCAGCACTCGCGACGTACTTGTTACTAAGAAAAAACAGCCAAGTCAGCTTCCATTTTTGAGAGGAAACACTGTGCACCGCAACACCCACTTGACAACAATATGCACACTCCCCCCACTCGTATAATGCGGCAAATTGCTCAGCCCAAGCGTCTCCATCACCACGCCCTGGCCCGTAAAGCTCGCGTCGCCGTGCAGCTGCACGCACATCACGCGGTCGCCCAGCCCGCACTCTGCCTCTTCCTCTGGACTCTGCGTCAGCCCGCTGGTGTTGCTGGTCCTCTGAGCGGAGGAGACGCCGCCGTCGGGGTTGATGGACTTGCCCTTGGAGAGGGATTTGAGGAGCGAGAACTGCTTTGCGCGGGCTTTGCCGAGTGCGACGGGGCTGATGGCCTCTGTTTAATCATACGTTATGAGCTTCAAACACGAAGTAATAGGACGAAAGGAGCGTACCGAGATGAGACGGGTTGGGCTGCAGCGACACCTTGATCGGTCCAGGTGCACCCGCGTACTCGAGCGTGGGGCTTGCCACTGTAACATATACATATACATTTGTCTCAGCAACGGATCCTGCTCCGGGAAAAACCCAGACGCACCAAGATGACTGATGACATCTCCCGAAGCACCGAGGTCCTCCGGGATCTCAGCACCACCGCGGATCTTGTGGAAGAGCGCGGTCGGCGCGTACTCGAGGAGCGTCGAGAGGAGGTTCAGTCGTCCACGATGCGGCATCGCGAGAATAATGTGGCCGATGCCCGCTGCAACAACCAGAAGCAGTGAGCATGCATCCGCGCTTTTGGTGGAGGAGAACGGAGCGCGCACCTCGCGAAGCGGCCCCAAAGAGCGCATCCAGCGCAGGCAGCATGCTCTCCGCGCCCTCGAGCCCGTACCGCTTCAGATTCGGGAACTTGGCCTGTAAAAAGTGGTCCAGCACCTCGCTCTTCGCCAGCAGCTCGTGTATCCTCTCCGGCTCGACCTCGTCCCCGTGCCTCGTCCGCGGCCGCCTCTCTCCCGCCTCGCCCTCGCCCTCGTTCGAGGAAGCAGAGCGCCTTGGCGAATCGCGTTCGAGCAAATGCGCGAACCACAGCCTCTCCGACTTGCTCGGCAAGTCCATGTACTCATACGCGATGCGCCCGAGATACACCTCGCTCAGAAACCCAGTGATCTCCGCGAGCGTCCACCACTCCCCCTCCTCCCCGTCCTCCTTCGGGCCCTTGGCGCCAACTTCCGTCGCCTCGCCGACGGGCCGCGTCCACAGGATCCCCGAGACATTGTACGTCTTGCTTGGGTCCGTGAGTCCGTACCGCGCGGGATCGAGCGCCGCGACGCGCTCGCGCTTGAGCAGGTCGAGCGGGTCGATCGTCGCTGCGCGGTGCGCGTGCGTGCGCACGGCGTCGACGTAGCGCAGGAGCGGCGCGTTGTCTGCGCGGTTGCGCAGCTGGGCGGGCGAGTCTGTGAGGGGTTGTGTCAGTGCGTGTGTGCAGAGCGGGAGCCAAGGGAATGAAGGCAGAGAGGGACAGGGGTGCGCATGTACCATACGGCCACCCGGCCCCGGAACTGAGATCCGACGCGTCTTGTCACGGCTGAGCCCGTGCACGCGCTCATCCATGCAGCACCGCGCAAAGGCACATGGGGCGCGAAGAAAGATTGAAAAGCTGATGACAAGAGCGAAGGGACGTACAGTCTGGCAACACAAGCTCCCTCGCCTTGCGGAACCCAAACGACTCGTCGTGGTACCCTCTCGCAGCACCAGCCTGAGCGTTGACGAGCGGCACAGCAAAGCGCGACTGCGCGTCGAAACGAGCACCAGGCCTTGCCAAAGAACGCGCACGAAGAGCCAGAGGCCCGCGGTACGCGCCGACGAGGGCACGCCCGAGTGTCGTCCTGCCGGTGTGTGCTACGGCCCTGTGCATCGTATTTGTGTTCTTGCGTGAGTTCTGCGCTTTGAGTGGCTATATGCGTCGAGATCGTGATGGTCCGTCCGAAGGCGAGTGTGTGTTGATGATTAGCGAGGCAATGATGTGTGCTGTACTCTCCGGCGTTGGTCTGAGTAGCCGCCAATTAGTCTGTGCGGACACGAGTGGTGACTAGAGAGAGGGAGAGAGAGAAAGAGAAAGGGCGGGCGGGTCGGGAGCGAGAAATGGCTCGCTTGTCGGAAGGAACATGGTCGTTCTGCGGGGAAGCGTGACCGACCAAACGCGGGGGTGAGGTCTTTCTAATACATTTAATCTAACACTAATTCCCCAACAAGTGTCAGTCACCGAGCCCCAGTTCACTCCTGCTCGACCTGTTCCTCTGTTGGCAGATTTTTCCGCATTCTATGTCACTGAGAGTTATTCCATACAATGTTTGGAATGGTGGATAAATGGACGAGACGAAGAAGACAAGGTCCGTCATCTCGTCGCTAAGCGGAGTTCATGACGTAACACCCTCGATCTCAGCATCCGAGCATCCGGCCCTCGACAGTCGCAACGACGGCGACTCAGCTCAAACGATAAATCACAATTCTAGTCTATGTCTAAGTAACGATACATCGAAATCCAGGTGATACATCTCCTAGTCTCCACTCAAACCTCGACACCCTTCCTCGCGCTCTCCAACAACACCTTCACACTCTCCTCCAGCGTCGCCTTCGCCTTCTCCAGCGCCTCCTCCGCCCTCTTCACCACCCCCATCGCCCTCCCCACCGCCTCCTTATCCCCCGCCTTGCTCGCCTCCTCCGCCTCCGCAATCCCCACCTGCACATCCTCCACACTCTGCCCAATCATCGCCTTCGCAACCTCAACCCTAGCCGTCGCCTCGCGCCGCGCGTCGTCCTCCCCGCACGCCTTCACCCGCTGCACGACCGGCAGCGCCTCCGCGAAGCTCCGCACCCGGATGTGGTGGATGCCCTCCTGCCGGCAGAACCGCATCAGGTCGTTGTGCGTCCCCTCGTTCAGCTTCACGAACAGCACGTCCGCGTGCTTCGCCGCCGACATGTCCGACACGCCGTCCCCGAAGAAGAAGAGCGTCGGCCGCGTCGCCTTGTCTCGCGACACGTACGGCAGGATCGCCTGTGACTTGTCGTGCCCGTGGATTTTGCCGTCGGCGCTATCAACATGCAAGTACGATTAAATTATTGTTAGCTCGGGCCGGGTCAGAGAGTGAGGCCGCGGGGCAGCGCACCTAGAGTAGTTCTCGTTATCGTGGATGTACACTATCCGCCAGTGCTGCCCGTCCTTCTCCTTGTCGCACTTGACGACGTTGTTCGAGATGATCTGGATCTGGGCCACCTGCTCGGGCTTCACGAGGTTCGAGAGCACCGCGCGGATCGTCGGCTTCATCCCGCTGGAGACAATAACGACAGGGACACCGCTCTGCTCGCACCAGTTGTAGAACTGCGTGAAACCCGTGTCGAGCTTGATGTCTATCCGCACAGGTCAACGTCCATGAACGCCCAGGGCAAATCGGGTGGGGATCACTCACTCGCCCGCAGAAGCTGCGCACACTCCTCGAGCGGAATCTTCTTCGCGACCGAGTCCATCATCTTCTTGAACAAAAAGTTAAACGTGTGCTCCTGCCTGATCTCGGCCTCTCCGCCAGCAAGCGCAGCAGTCTCCTTCTGCCTGAGAATGATCACGTTCTCCTCTATCCGCCTGCTCCTGCCTTCGACGCCGCCCTTGGCGGTCGTCTCCGCATCGACGGTCTGGCCCTCGACCCAGTAGGGGTTGTAGCCGATGTTGTCCGTCATCCCTGCGTGCGGTCGTCAGTGCTCGCTACGATGAAAAGAGCAGAGAAACGTACAGTCGTTCGAGTCCATGTTCGTGATCGTGCCATCCCTAGTCAGAACGTGTCAGACGAGACTAGAGCAGGTGGAGCAGGGGATCGGGCACACCAGTCCGAGAGAACGACGACCTTCTGGTTATCGTATATCTTCTGCTGAGGGAACAGGTTGCTCGGGTCATCGAACTCGAGCTTGTACTCTTGAGTAGCCATATTGAGCGAGTGGATATATGCGTGCGTCGTTCAAATCTACAGGCGACAAAAAGTTCGCGGAAAGAACGAGGGGGGTATGCGCTGATGAGCCCTAAAACGCAATGAGCACGCAGATCTTATACTCCCCCGCGTCGAAGCCGTAACCACCGCCCCCGTCGTCGCGCGAACCGACAGTGGAGCACACGTACGTACTCTGAACGTGAACGCGGGTGTGCGTCAAGCAATATCCTTCTCACTAACGGCTTCGGCTTCGGCAGAGCAAGCGCTGATCAAGCGGAAGCGAGATCTACGAAAGCGATAACACGTCGATTTGGCGGGACCCCATTTCAGCCTCGAGTGTTCGGCGCGCCGAGAGTGCATGGTGACTTACGCGACGGAGTGGAGCACCGGTGGAGCACGTATGAAGTTTCAGCGGGCCAGATGAAAATGCGTGTGTGTCGTGCGTTTCAGCAGTGCCGACGAGCTGGGATGGGAAGGAGCAAGGTGATACGGAGACGAGGTATCCCTCGCCATCCCGTCCCGTCCTCCGTGCACGACGCACGTGGGATCTTATCCGATCGCCGATTCGTGCCGGATCGCGCATCCCCGAAGAACGTCCGATGGAGTTCTCACGCTCTGAACAAACGCGTGAGCCTTGAAAGCAGCTTGGAAACTTGATTTGTGCGCAAACTTTCAGCGTTCGAGTTCCAGGGTTTGTCATAAAATAACACAAGACAGTATTTAATAAGCAATGCGCAAAGTTACTAGCCGCGTGCCGCCTTGGATTCATCTCCGACCACTTCCATCTGGATCCCCACACCGTGACCCAGCTCAAGTCCAGAGTAATTATGACTCTGTTGCGCGGCAAATCGTACCGTATCCTGTGTTGTGACTATGTCACCCAGTAGCCGGTGAGCTTCGTGACGCCGGATGCTGAGCATCATATATGGCCCGATCAGGCAAAACTGGGCACCGTTGAGTGGACCCCCCACAATACTCAAGAGTAGAAGCCACTGTGGTGTGTTGGCCTGGATTTAAATTCTGTAAGGGAAACATCACAGCTGACACCTTACGATGAAGAATACCTGATATGAAGACATCGACAGTAGTCCCGTTGATACTGCATTGACCAGAAACGCGACAAAAGACCTTGTAATGGGGGGTCAAAATGTTAACCGCTGGACAAGGTTGTGAAAACTCCAATCGGCCCACTTACAAGATAAAATAGGTGATATTCCATCTAAAGATAGTACTCATAAAGCTCGAGAATGAATGGATACGGCTTTCCTCCAGATGCCTACAAAAACAGCACAGCGTCATGATGACGAGAGCAAGTTCGTATACTCCCAGAACAAAGTTTCCCGAAACCGCAAGCCATGTCTTCTGCGGTGATAGATTAGAGCCACAAGTTGTGCTATTAGTTACGGCGGTTAAATTCCCTACGACGTTAAGAGATGGAATTTTGCATCAGATTATTAGTCCGAACGGTCAGCACAAGGGACTCAGCGTGGTTTGAGCTATGCACCTTCAGTTTGCATGGGTAGAATAGCAACCAGAGTTGAGATGATGTTTTCGATTTGTACCATCGCGAAACTGATTGACAAGAGAGCACTTGCTGTCTTGGACCGCCTGGACATCGCATATACACGCATTGTCATCATGCCTGAAGCAATGGTTATGAAACGTTGAAGTATTCAGTATCCACAACTCTTGCCTTGTAACGTGAAGAGTAGAAGTATTGAAATTATGTTGAACAGAAGAATTAATGCATAACCTTTCACCATAGAATTTGTGAGATAATCTGTTTTGACCCACTCAAAGCACATAGTAAATGGCTCACATCTAGAAACATATGGGATATTAATCATGTAAGACAACTCATAAAAATGTTCCTCACTCGCCCCTATTGGCGGGAGATTCAGCATGAGTCAATTAGAAACAAGCAAGAAGACTCACTGTATGGGTATTGACGTTATCTGACACTAACAATATATATTAGTCAAGAGGCCGTTTCATACTTGACTTCGGCACTGAGGAACGAACTCGTGAATAACCTGTGCATGCATCATATGTTGAACAACTGAGCCTCAAGCAAAGCGGTAATAACACTTACGCTAGCCACAGTAAACCACCATATCTCAACTTAGAGTACGTTAAGCCACGCCCGAAATATTCATAGATTTAAAAGTAAAAATAAGCGCACTGTCACATAAAGCAGATTGAAGATTGTTGATCGTGGGTGGCGATGCTGGATAGTTTCTGTGGGATGAGTCTCGATATTGAGGTGATAAGTAGACCTGTCCTTACCCACACTAGGTCAACCTGTCATCAAAATAAATGTACTGATGAGTATGGGGTAAATGGATAAGTCACGTCCATGATTTACTTGCCTCTTGACCAAGATTTCGTACTAACATTCGGATTCGCTCACGCAGATGGTGTCCCAAAGGTAATCATAACTCACAATAGTCGTATAATATTAAAGCAGTGCTTGCCCCTGTGTAGCGACCAGACGAGTGAGATCAATGTGTCGTTATACCTAACGATGTATAAAACACCAACAAAATACATCTCTAGCAAGTGCGGAGATCAATGTATTTGCATCGGAGGGTGAGGTCATGTTTTGATCTGAGGAGTCGAGAACCCCGGGGGTGTTTGATGTCTACCAATTTCAACAATGAGTATATATACTTTTCGCACTCCCGCATCTAGGCACGCTGACATCTCCGCCGTTAGATGAACATGATTCAATCTTGTATGATCCAAAGTCAAATCAAGCCAACAACGATGGAAGGTCTACTTTTAGGCTAGCTTAATACATTCAAGCATCAAACCTCTCACGATAACAATAACCATGAAACTTGTTCCTGACGGTATCAACGTGAATATATTCCAGAATCAACAGTTTTCTAGCCCATCAACAGTTGGTGAAAGCTGCGGGTGTCTCCTCCAAAAATCAATCCCGGATTCGGTGGACTGCAAGCATGATTCAGAGTGAAATTAGCGTCAATGAATTGGGTACGCATTTTGGCACTTGGGTCTGACAGCTTTTTCTGGTCGAAGAGTTCCAAGCTCAGCAGAAATCTACCATCCCACGTACTGGTAAAATTGTCTAATCTAAAAATAGCTAAGTCTGTGCACTTGCTTCGATGGAATAAACTGCTACATTATAAGATAATAATCATGAACGCATGGCATCGGCGGCTGGTCTTGATATAAGCCATATATAGTACATCATTCAACTCCATAGATTTTGTTATTCTTCAGAGTCAATGAAGATCACGCGATTCCATATGTTGCGTGACTTCGGGCTAGGATGTTGACCGCAGGTTAACGTTGATCACCTGCAAGTGCAAACAAATGCCGTTGCAACTCACTACTCCATTAGTAATATCAAAATATAGTCAAAACCATGGTCACTCTCAACTGCTCTTCGAATCTGTAAAGATCTGCTGTGAACGTGGAGCCGCTGGTGGCAGTGGAATTGATACACGCGGCAACGGGTCAATATCAACGGTATGATGGATGTTCCCTGTCGACCAATGGGTACCCACTGATCACTAGCACATGAACTGACCACCGATAACTGTTTCATGCCAAGTATACTGTACGGCATCAACTTGATGCATAAGAGCCAAGCAGGTCTCAGAATGAGGCTGTAGCCACACCGATCTGAGGCTTGTTCCGATCCCCGTTTCCTATTTAGATGAGACCACGATAAGCCACTGTCAAGCAATCTTATTCGTACAGTTAACCTGGATTTTTATCAGGGAATGTATACCATAATACCTAGATTGTTACACAATAACTCTACGACATGACTGAATTAAGCAGAACGTGTCGAAGCGTCTATAGAGCCGCTGCGCGCGGCCGCTGGTGCTCTCGCTCATTGAGCCAGCTATGCGCAAAATACAGCCGCATCCGAGTGCACTAGAGAAGCCTTTGGAAGAGTCAAAGTATTGGTTAATAACGAAGCTAAGGCATTCTCGCCGAGCTCGGGTGCGCTCAAGGAGGAAGCACGTAAGATGTTCAACGCGGACTGCCGCAGCCCAATAAGCAGCCCATACTGCGCACTACGTGAGAACGAGGTTATCAATTATTTTATACGTTAACTATGAATACTCGTCGAGAACGGCTAGTGCATTACGACCAGGACACCACGAAACCGGTGCTATCCATACCCACTGTCTACAGACGTGTTTTCGTTGTCACCGGCAGGCTGGATGCGCGGCATGCTCGCGGATGCCAGGCTCAACAGCGACAGAGCTAAGCTCGCCAAGGTATACCACGGCATCGTCTCATCAGGGGACGCCCGCGCCTCTCGGGATGTATGTATGCCACCCACCCGCTGGGACAGACGGTGCTCATGTTAGTGGCGTCCGCCTAAGAAACGCAAGCACTCGGTCCCATTCTGTCGGGGCACGAAATAAGCTTTTTCGGTATTGTCCGAAGCACTACCCTTTGTGGCAACGACTGCGATGTACTCTGATGTACTATCCTTCCAGCGCATTACCTCCTAGGTGATCCATGTCGTTCTTCGCTCCTGCTCGTTGACGGCAACTTCTCCTTGAAAAACTTGTGTCAGGACGCGCTCCTGGGCCAAGGAATAGCATCATTTCCGCTCGTAACACCCGCCTTCAGGGATATTTCTGCTGTCCAGCCTAGGCAATTGAACCTTGGACCCTCTTTACATTCTTCCATTTGAAGCATCCTCCCATTGGAGAACGGTGCTATCCAACTGGAGAACCATGCACTGTTTACCTACATAGCGAGTACAACCTTTATCAAAAGACTATTGGTACTCACTGGGATGCTCTCTGATTCTCTGACTGTTGACGATACCGCTCTGCGCAAGTTCTCAGGACAGCCAATCAACCGCTTCATTTCAGCAACAGGGCGTCTTCTGGCTGATCATCGCATCAGAAGTCCGATATTCGTCATACCCATAGCAATGGCTGATTCTCACGCGACTTCTACTCTACGCGCTGGACGACCTTCTTCTTTGGATAAATTTGCCTCCCGACCTTTCGCCTCCGCGAACCTTCCGCTCCTGCGGTGTAATTAGACTTGACAGCGAAACCGCCATAGATGTCAATCTCCCTCCTTTCACCTATCAAGCTCGGCTCTACGATCTAGCTCCCTGCCGGGGAGAGCTTAAACATCCTAATGGGACAAACGGCATTGTCAGTGGCGTCCAATCGCCACGTTCAAATGTCACACGATCAACCACCACAGGAGAGCACGACCGAGCGCGGGTCCGACGGTGCGGATCGTCCCCTGCGCCACGTAAACCGTTGTAGGGCGCTCTCAGCGCTCACCTGCAGGAAATGGCACTTCGCTCCCGCGCATGCGTCAGCGGCCAGCGCGGGCCCTATGCCACTCCCGCCTACTGCGTCCGCGCCATTTTATACATATGACTTGTTCGGCGGGGGTACCCTGGCACCAAACCAGAGGTTTCGGTGTGCCGCCGCTGAGGAAGGTTAACGAGGGACTGCGGAAGAATGCGCCTTGGCTTTCTTTCGCTCATCAGATAAATATCTTACATAGATTGGCTAGTGCAATCGAAGCTCCGCGTGTTTACGTGCTTCGCACCGACGCAGTGGATGGCTCTTGTAAGGCGCACAATATAATCCGGTCGTCGTTCGGGTATGCGGGACTCATGTTTTCCACCCCTCCCCAACCCTCTCGTTGATGCAGCCCAACGGGATATCGCTGGATGCTGCCGCAATTGTGTCGACCGTGCTGGAGGGTATACTCTATGGTGCGTTATAAGTATCTCCTCGAGTATTTGACTATGGTCTGACGCGCTCTTGTACGAACAGTCTTCTCTTTGCTCCTTTTCCTCTGGACAGTCCACACCGTGCTACGTCGAAACAACACAACACGCGTGATTACATCCAAGATCATCATTGCCGCAGCCCTCCTAGTGCTCAGCACTGCCGTGCGTTCACACCTGCCTCTTCCAGGTCTGCCCATGTCTAATGCGTTCTAACATCCAGCACCTCGCTGTCAACGTCGTACGGACAATAGAGGGTCTAGTACTCTATCGCGATAAATATCCAGGCGGGACCGCCGTGTTCTTTGAGGACGTAACAGAATGGAGCTTTGGCGTTAAAATGGCTCTCTACCTCCTTCAAACACTTCTCGGAGACGGCATCGTGGTGCGTTTCAGGTTTCACCCTCTCTTAATCCTTTCCTGCCTTGCTCAACCTGCTTTGGCCGGTAGATTATAAGGTGCTATATCGCGTGGCACTCCTGGAAAATCGTCTCTATGCCCATTTTCCTCTGGTTCGCTCTCGTCCTCACAGGCGCAAGCTGCATCTTCTCGCTCGTGCACGACCCGGAAACGACGCGTACTGTCTTCGCGGCCGAGACGGCCGCATGGATCTCGCGCTTCCTCGCCTCAACACTCCTTGCTAACCTCTTCGCGACCGGTACATCTTTCTTTCACATTATCTCCAATGCACACCAATACTGATTCATACTTCTAGCCTTGCTTGTCTATCGCCTCTGGACCGTCGGCTGCAAAGTATCTTCCGCCGCAAGACACAGCCTCCAGCCGGTCATAGCACACGGGAGACAGAACGCATCAGCAGCAGACCCTCTAATGGGCTGGCGCCCAGCAACAGCCCCGCTCCTGCGCATCATCGCGGACGCGGGTCTTCTCTACTCCGCCACGCTTGTTGCGGTGCTGCTCTGCTACGTCACGAAGAACACTGGGTATTACGTCCTGATGGACATGGTGAGCACTCCTTCTGAGCGGTCTCCTGCAAGGCGCTGATTTAATTGAGTAGGCTGTACCTATCATATCGATCACGTTTTATATGGTCATTATACGGGTTTCGACACGTAAGGGGCCCGCAAGCATCACGAAAAGCGAGCTGGCGACGTTTGTAAGGCCGAGAGACAGGTGCACTTCGAAGAGCGGAAGTTGCCCGAGCTCTCCAATATCGCCAAGCTCTGGCGAGCGTCATAGTGACGTAGAAGAGGTGGTATCATTCGAGGAGCCTGTATACCCTATCAAGACTTTGCAGAGGGCTGCGAGCACAGATGAGGCATCAGCGTGACAAATTCCCTTCGAGGTGAATATGTAACTTAGATATATAACACTGTACTTTCATGAAATTGAAGGCAATACTCAGTTACTTCGTTCAGGTCCAAGTTACAAAAGCGCTGGCTTTGTGATATTGAGGCTGCTACAAAATTTTCATAGCAAGTACGCCTGAGTGTAGACAACCTGAGGCGAGACGATCACGCAGTTCTGCTCATGCGTACACCCGTGCATAAAACTGCTCAGATAGGGCATGTCATAACATGAAGTACCATACAAAGCCTGACAGCATGAGATGATATAGGCAGAAAGCGCGGGAGATAGACGTTTTATGCAGTCCTGATCAGGATATTAGACACAGCCGGAGCAAAAAAAAAACAATGGAAAATCTCACTTGTGGTGTGATGCCTTGATGGCGGCGACCTTGGCCTTCTTCTCGGCCACACGCTTTTGCAGAAGAGCATCGTACTCCTTCTTCTGCTCCGTAACATGTTCGATCCGACGGCGGTTGAGGGAACGGAGGTGGCGGCGGCGCTGGAGACGCCTGGGGGTGACGAGGCGCTGGATCTTGGGCGCCTTGGTGTAGACCTTGGCATCCTCCTTCTTCGAGCTCTTGACCTCACGGCGGACAACATACTTCCTGACGTCGTCACTCTTGTCGAGGTTGAAGAAGCGCCTGATCTTGGTGGCGCGCTTGGGGCCGAGACGCTTGGGGAGGACGGTGTCGGTGAGGCCGGCAATCTCCTGCTCGCCCTGCTTGACGATGACGACGGAGACAACAGCGATGTCGGGGCCGACGATGCAGCCACGGACGGACTTGCGCTTACGCTCACCGGTGCGGCGGGGGCGGTAGCACGAGTGGCCGTCCGAGAGGAGAAGACGGACACGGTACGGAAGGAGGACGCCCTGCTTCATAGGGAACCCTTGCTTGTCGTTACCGCCAGTGATGCGGAAGATGTAGCCCTTCCACTCGTCGCCGATCGAGTCAGCCTCGACCTCCTGCGCCATCTTCTTGTCGTAGAAGATACGGCTGTACGAAGCGAAACGTACAGTCAGTCAGTGCCCATGTATAGAATTCTGGAACAGCCAAGACGCACTATCTTCTCTCGTCATCGATGTCGATGGTCTTTTGGGCCCCAGTGGCGGGGTCTGGCGAGCGATGGTAAACGTCTGCACGAGACTCAATCGTCAGATATTTGGCACATACTGGCAATGTTGATCTTCATGCTAAACGTCAAAGGTTCATTCAGCCTCCCCGTGCAGCATGACGGCAACAACAACGAAGACGTACGTTAGGGGAAAGAGAGGGAGCCGTTCACGTCGGTCGGCAGCGGCGAGGCGTCTTGATGCTGGCGGATGGTCGTTGGACTCGCTGTCGGGCTCACTGCAGGCGGCGTGGCGGAGTGCAAAATTAGAGTTTACAGCTGTATAGCACAAACAGCCACACGCATTGCCGGTCACGCGCCAGTCAATCTCTGAGACTCGCCCAACGGCAGCAGCAGACAGCCCCTCAAGACCACCGTCCCCCCGTCTACCACCAACTTTGTGCGTATCGAGCTCGCTGTCTGACATGCTTGACCTAACATTTGCACCTTAGATTCGTCATGGGTCGCATGCACAGCGGCGGAAAGGGCATTTGTACGTCCCACATCTGCTTGAGAAAAACCTAAATCTATATCTCATCTTGCTCTCTCAATCAGCGTCCTCTGCTCTCCCCTACAAGCGCTCCCCGCCCTCGTGGCTCAAGACAACTCCCGACGAAGTCGTCGAGCACATCATCAAGCTCGCCCGCAAGGGTCTCACCCCTTCCCAAATCGGTGTTACCCTCCGTGACTCGCACGGCATCCCCCAGGTCCGCTTTGTCACCGGTAACAAGATCCTTCGTATCCTCAAGTCGCAAGGTACGTCTACAACCCTCCATCTTTTCCATCCGTAACTCTCATGCACTGGCTTTCCGCTCTTTCTTGCGCGTAACTTTTGCAATGCGCTGCTTTGCTCTATGCCTTTTGTTTGGGGATAGGATTGGCACCATCCATCCCAGAGGACCTCTGGCACCTCGTCAAAAAGGCGGTCGCCGTCCGCAAGCACCTTGAGGTCAACCGCAAGGACAAGGACTCCAAGTTCCGCCTCATTCTCATCGAGTCCCGTATCCACCGCCTTGCCCGCTACTACAAGACCAAGCAGCAGATCCCCCCTACCTTCAAGTACGACTCTGCTACCGCTTCCACGCTCGTTGCATGAGCGTATTCAAAATCGTCGGGGTATCACTGTATCTTACTTATGCCATGTCATTAACACGCTTGCTATGACAATGCCGCATGCCATCCTATGCTTGACCACACTGCCCACAAGCCTCTGAAGTCTGTTTTCAAACGTCCGCCACCTTGGTTGTGAGCTCCCTGCATCAAAGTTGGTCGTCGTTACTCAATCAGCGTCGGTCATTTCCACGTTGTGATTACAATAGGCCCAAAAAATGTAGTGTATCATTATACCCCAAAACTGTGTAAGCCTCACAAGTACGTATATCTGCCTCGCCATCGCACCTTTACATGGCCACGGGCTCATCTATTCTGCCTCCGTCGATTGTGGTTGCCCCGCCCCCTCCGGTGTACCGCGTGCGCAGGCGCATGCGCCTGCCCATCTCGTAGCCCTTGACCACCAGCAGGGGGGAAAATACCAAGCCGCTCCATGTAAGCCGCACCATTCATTGGTGGTGGCGGTGGCGCGAACGGGTGGTCGAAGATCGGTAGGTGAGGCGCGACAGGTGGTGGAACGGCAGCGCCCCAGTTCATACCGAAGTTAAGACCACCGCCTGCCCCAAGCTCTCCGAAATCCATATTTACGCCCGCGCCCCGAAGGAACTCTGGGCGTAGCCCAACCATGGGGACGCCCGCCGCGTTCTGCACGAGTTGCTGCTGCTGTCGTTCCCGTCTAGCCTGTCGAATGCGCTGCTCCGCCTGCTGCAGTCGTTGTTCAGCCTGCTGCATTGCCTCCTGCATAAGGTGTTCAGCATCCCGTATTCTCTGCCCCACATGCTGCATTCCCTGCGCAGCCTGCGGCACTCGCTGGTGCACCCCGGATCTCCCTGCATTCTTCGACCCACCAGGAACCGCGAGCTGAACCTCCACCGCCTTCAGCTCGTGCGCATCGGCATCCGGATGGTCCTTCCTATACTGTTCGAGAGCCTTCTCTCGCGCGGCTGCGACCTCTGCTTCATGCCTCCGATCAGGACCAGCCGTGCCGTCTAGACTATCCCAGAGGTTGCATTTCTTGCCATTACTGAAGTGATCGTATCCGCGTATGACCTCCCGGCAGGTGTAGCACGAGATTGTCCGGCAGTCTGGGCATGTCATTTTGTTGCACTGGTGAATGTATGCGGGAGATTAACGAGGGAAAGGGATGAGATTGGGACACCACGTACACCCATTTCCTTGATGAATGCTTTGTTGCACTTCGGACAATTGCGCATTAGCGCTGCAGCTGGAACCGGTAGTCAGCCTTTCGAGTCGACGTAGTTGAGTAGAGCAGACGTACTCATAGCTTCTTCAACGGTGTGTCGTGCATTGAGATGCTTGTCTTCCTCCATCTCTAGAAAATGCTTCAGTATTAACAAAAGAAACTATAAAATAACCGCCACGAACCTTTGCAGCTCCTTGGCACATGATCCTAGATCGGGTCTTCTTCAGTACCGTCCTGCAGTCACCAAACCAAAATAAAAATTCAAAATACTTACAAGTTTCTGACAACCCCGACAGCTCACCGCCCCACATTCCCTCCTCTCGCACCTGAATAGCTTCTCCTCCGGGTTCTCGATCACGCATTTGTACTCGCAGAACGGGCACTCTTCCAGCCCCTCCAGGCCCGCCGCTTCAATTTCCTTGCGCTGTTTGACCCGATGGTATAGTTCCATGAGCTTCGGCGTCAGCACGCACGAGAGGGTGTCTTCCGAGAAGAGGGCGGTGCACCCCGACTGATCCATACATCTGAGCGCGGGGTTATGCTCGCCCAGAAGGTTTGAGGCGTACGAGCCGAGGCAGATCGTGCAGAAAAGATGGGCTTCGGGGCACTGAGCCATTTTGTGCTGCCAGAACGCGACGTGGCGTGAGTGTGATGTGTATATGGGGGGACAGAGACGTACGATGGGATATTCCGCAAAACAGCACCCGCACTCGACACCCTCGCCAGCTGCGATCGCTTCCTCGTCCGCGATCCGCTCTGCTTCCTCCGCGTCCTTCGCCACCCGCTCATTGTCGAGCTTGACAATGAGCCAGCCGTGCTCGCGATCGAAGGCCTCATCGTTGACGTGCTTCTGTCTGTTTGCCTGCTTTGACGCGGTGCGCTTGCGCGTGTAGGGAGGGGTAGGGGATGTCTCGTCGGCAAGGAGAACGTAGTATGTGGGCACGTAGAACCCTTTGTTCTCGTTGAGCCGTCCGCGGACGTGAAGCTTGGGAATGAGGGGGAAGTCGAGAGCTAGTTGTTCCTGTGGGAGATGAGGGGACAAGTTGTGCGAATGGGCTCGAGTAAGCATCCTTTAAGGCGAAGCAAGAGGCAGAGAAGGGACGTACGACTGCATGCATAAGATACAGCGGTCCCGGATGCTCAGGCCTATCCTTCTGCATATAGTCCACCTCGCCTTCATCACCGCCATTCCCAGCGGCCGGGCCCTGTCCACTCCCACTCGCCTCGCCGCCGACATCCACCTCCCTCCCCTTCCCCTTATCCTTCCCTTTCGGAGCTTTAGGGTATCCCGGATCCTCGAGTAACGCGTGTAACGTCAACTCGACCACGCGCTCCGGCTCGCTCGCGTGCGTGGCAGTATACCGCGCGATCAGCGTCTCCGCGTGCGCGGGATCGACGTCGGGTACGATCTCAAGGATGCGTGCGATCGAGTCTATAGATTCGGGTTCATCTTCTCCGGGTATCACTTCGACCTCCACAATTTCGGGCTCGGGGTCTGGTCCATGAGGTGAGGAGGGTGCGAGTTGGAGAATGGGGGATTGTTTAGTACGGGGTTTGGGGGCCTTCGAGGGCCCGGCTTCTGGCTGTGATGCTACGACACGATGAGGGGGGACGCTGCGTCGGGATGGTGTACGTGCTGCAGTTTGGGCTCGAGAAGGAGATGACTTATGAGGGGAGCTGTCATCGTCGGGGAGGAATAGAGGGGTTCGGGCTCGCGTGGGGAATGCTCCAGGCATGCGCGGAACATCTTGAGTAACGGCGACGTCTGCGCCCGCACCTTCGCCCGCGTCGGCCGCCACGCCACGCAACAGTGCGGTGGCCCGTCCGAAAGTGGGTGCACTCCTCCCGCGTGGCGAGCCCACCTCGACGCCGTCGGACGACGTGTCCTCCCCGAACCCATCTTCAGATTCAAACGAAAGTTCGCCAATACTCCGCGCCTCAGACAACCTCGCCTTCTTCGCGGGCGGCCGAGTGCCAACGTCGGACTCAAACCTGGACTCGAGCTGTGCACGCGTCCGCTTGACGCTGGGAGATCTGGTATCGTTTTGGACCCTGCCTTTCCCCTTGGACTTGCGCGTGCCCCTAGGGCTGACGTGCAGCTCAAAATCTGAGTCCGCCGACTGCTCAGGTGTGCCCTCCGCCTCCGCCTCAGAGGTGTCCGAGTCGATGTCGATCACGTCGACCGCCGCGCGCGTAACGGGGGTCTTCTTCTTCGACCTTGTATTGGGCTTTGGTGGGCGCTGCTTGCTGGGTGACGTGCCCTTCTTGCGACCGTTGCTCTTGCTCCTGCCCTTGGACGAGCGTGTTGAGGGCTGAGACGAGCCCGATTCTAGGTCATCAGCAATGATCGTTGGCCCGAATTCTGGAGAGCTTGACGAGATATCGATTATGTCCATTGCATGAGGAATAAGATGGACAGCACCCTCAGCCAGAGTAAATTGTAAGAGACGGAGGGGAGAAATAGGGGGGACAGTCAACGCGCAGCGCGACAATGTAAAGCTTCCGCGCCATTGTCGGAACAATGCAAGCTTTACTTGTATTTGGTTTTCAAAGGACGCGCACTCAGGACATTTGGAACTGTGAACCATAGAAGAAATGTCATATTCTGTTATTACTGCCACTTCGTAAGTGTCTCCAAGTAGATTACTATAGGTAACTGTCTAAGTAAATGCCGCTTCCAGGCGCAGCTTTTGATGATACGGTCAGCTTCGAACTCCGTACGATACGAAGTGTAGATGGGGGAGACGCGAGAGATATTCGAATGAAAATGGATGGCTGGATGGTGCAAATGATGGATACAGAAGAGGGTGCCTGGGTAATAATAAACCAATGGGACCACGAATAATTGATCGAGAATGTTGCATATCGATAGCGAGAACGACAAAGGGAGAAAAATTAGAGGGGGAATCGTAAAGGTAGGTATGCCAGTTGCCAAGAAAGATACGGATGCAGTGTTGACCAAGAAAATTAATGGGAGATGTGTAGATGCAATAATAGACGGACATAATACGAGGCCAGAGATTAGACGGAAATGGCCGGATTCTAAGATTGAAGACAGATGGAGACACATTTGTTCACAGGGTGGGTCGAATATATCGATCCACGACTAGAGGCCGATCAACAGCGAGAGACGCGAGCCGGCCGCGTGTAGACGAGGCGTAGTGTTTTCTACGTCCCGTTTACCACTCGATAGTCGAGGGGAAGAATTTGGCGATGAGGCCTTCATAGTATGGCCGGAGCGTCTGCACGTCGCAGCGCTCGTCGCCCTTGCTGTACAAGTCGTATGGGTTGAACGCGCGAACCGCCGTGAGCGCTGCCTCGTCCTTCTCGTTGCAAAGGTAGCTATACGCGCCCTCGCGGTGCCATGGGTAGAACGAGTGGTAGCGGATCATGGCGAGGGCCTCGGTCGGGAGTGTACTCTGGTCCTTGACAACGTGGTAGAGCCACTCGTCGTGGCCCCACGAGAGCATGACGTTGTCGAGTCCGCACTGGGGCTTGTAGATGCCGTACTTGGTGGAGTAGACGGGGTCTTGGGAGTCCGAGTTGCCAGCGAAAGTCGAGGGGAGGACGTTCTTGTCAGAGAACGCGCAGCCAACAACAAAAGTATCCTATACATCAGACGACAGGTGAGCACATGCAATTAGACTGAGAAAAGAATACACTTACGCCAACGACGTCCCATTGACCTTCAGACCCAAAGATCAACATGAGCTTGCCGAGATCGTGGATGAGGCCTGTCACCTAGATAAGAGTTCTGGGTCAGCACACCTGTCCTTGTAACGAAAGCGCATGGATCCTTCGCACGAAGGATCCAGTGGCGCACTGAGTACCCACCTGCATCCAATCCGGCTTACCATCGCGCCGAATAGCCTCCGCAGTTTGAAGCAGGTGCTCAATCTGGCCGAGCTGGCACTGCCGTTTCGAAGTTTAATGACGCAAGTCACATAGACGCCAACACAGCACAGAAGGCGAACAAGGACCAACGGAATGGATGAAAATCGTCAGCGGACGGTGGAGGGACTGGTGCAGTGAACAAAAACGTACGTCAGGATCCGACTCATCAATGAGGGTGTCGAGGAGCTCCATGGCCTCCCACACGCTCATACGCCGCTTTACGCGGTTCTTGAAATCCACACGCGCTTGGATGTTGAAAGCCACAGTCTGCTTCTCTGTAGGCAAAACCCCGTTAGTCCACCTGGCAGAGCCTAATGAGAGAACGGTGAACGCACCATGCTGCTCCTTGTAGAAGTTCTTTACACGGTCGCACGCGTTCTCATAGTCGCGAAACCCGGTCTTGTCCTTGGCTGTGTCGAACTCGGACTCGTCGTCCCACATGCGTCCCCGGAGAGAGTTGACGTCGTCGACGGCGTCGGAGATGATATCCAGCTCAAGGCCGGCGTTGGGGTTCTTGACGATGGCGGGCATGTTGCACAATTAATAAGAGAGTACTGGAAGAGTGTGCAGCCGACAGAACCAAACAGAAGTGAGAAAGGAAGGGAAGGAAGGAAAAGCGAAACTGGGAGATGAGGCTGGTGATGGGATGAGGAAAGAGGTCTAGACGACGGACACAAGCGCGGTATAAATATGTGTCGGAAGGGAAGATCGGTTCAGCCCAAGAGGAACCTGGCAAATAAATGGTTGCGATCAGGACGGTGGCACCGTGGACTGAACGAGATCCACCGACCAGCCAGTCAGATCGCTGGAAAAACATTCCGAGATGTCTGCAACGCGACCTGCAGTGTCGCTTAGGCACTTCATGGGTGGCGCCGAACCTTCTCCGTCCACTTATGGACATGCCTAGCCAAATCTGCGGTCACACCATCCCCGTTCCGAGGGACACGCTCGCGTGGAGAATGGTGGCGGTGCACATCCCAACAACAGTTCCGTGTTTTGCCTTTAGCCTCGCACACTGAAACGCTCGAACAAAGCAACGTCCGTGCCAACCTCCATGCCTTCCGGGATCTACGAGAAGTCCGAGAAGATCATCACGAATCCTACGAAGAACAGAAGTCCATTCAACATACCAGGGTGTCAATCAAGGAATATGAATCGGCCACTGGCAAGGCACGATCCACAGCTTGTTCGGGGCCCGTCACTGCCCGCAGAGCCCGGGTATTCGTCAACCCGTCCGAAGCTTTGGACGAGCTAGGGAGACAAGGACTAAATTCGCTTCCGATGGTGGAGGACGCTACCAGGTATTCAGTCATAGCAAGAGGCTGGACTAAACCCTTCGCCCTCCCTGACAACCCCAACGGACGGCCCTATATAAATAGGTTCCGTCCTGTTCCCGTTCCCAGTATCCACTAAACAGCACTAAACAGCTGATAAAACTTGCCAAAACACAAGAATTCCTGCTTGATGCGAGCTCATATTGCAAGCCATCGTTGTGGGTCCATGAGAGGGACGCGTTGATACGCACGTTCTACTGCCAGCAGAAAACTGTTTTGATTTCTGTTGATGCCCGAAAAGACGCTTTGATCTCCCAACCATAGCATTGCATAGTCGCGACGTCACGATACGTGTCCGGAGATCTCCAACGCGTTAATCGGCATGTGCAAACTGCGAAGCAACGAAAACGAGCGCTTACCGTTTCTCTCCGTCGGCCGATCAGCGTCTTGGGGATGAAATGAGTATCGCGAGGTAACGTCAGCGAATTAGAAGCAGCCAAAAGTCCGTGGAGAAGAGAAGGTCCTTTGACCCTGTTGCCTCCGTGTCCAGAACGGGACCCAGAAGACAAGAACGCTTATCACGTTACGCAATTTCTTGGACTTTTCAGTTGTACATATCTCACCTTCTCTACGATCGTCAGGTTATCCGTTTGCCCCGAAAGGGATTTGTTTTACTTTCCCGCGAAGGGACCCTCGATGGCGTCCATTTGTTGCAATGGTATGTAATTCTAAAGTGGCTGACAGCAATTGACAGCGGCCAAGTTTTAGCCTGTCAAAAGATGTCAACAAGTTTGATATTCCGGGTAAGAACTCCCCAGCGACGCGGTTGCTTCATATCAAGCTATCAACCGCTGCTGTCAAATGGGCCACGTTACGCACCAAGAAAGGTAAGTTACGTCAGGTTGTGAGGACGACCCTTCAGGACCCAGCAGGGGACCCAGCCCAGCTGACATGACGACATCCGTTGCAATTCACGGAGGAAACAGGGTTATGTCGGTGATGTATTGTGGTCGCACGTCCTACAGGTGGGACAATCAGGAACGAGCGCGGACTAGAATCTTGGATTACAATCTACACCCTGTTTCAGGTATTCAGTATGCCAGATACGACTACAACACGAACCATTGCTTGGCCGCGGGCGCCTGCTGTTCGATCGTCCGAGGTCGCCTTCTTGGCGGCAGGAAGACAATGTACCCTTAGTGCATAGCCATTGATGTCCGCGAAGCCTGCATGGCATGCGAATAAGTGATTGAATTGGGCGATCGGATATTGCTGCTGGAAAAGGAATGCGACTACTTTCACGAGCTCGGAACTTGCGCTGCGCACACATATACATATCGTGAAAACTTCTCCGACGGACCACCGATGATCATGAAATACGGGGTGAGATGAAAAGAGGGCATGCACCGAGGGACGATGTTTGATAGATTCCAGGTAAATGGACTTACGAAGCGTATCGCTCAGAAGCTTACTTCCGGCAATGGTTAGCACGGAATGAAACCACAACGAAATTAGGGTCAGAACTAAACACTCACTTTCGCCTCCTCTCATCTCGGACCTTGGTAAGTGGCCCGAAGCATTGGGTGAAAGGAAGGAAGACGATGAGATCTACTGTTTGACCGTTTCGTTCGGTCTCGAAACCAGCTAAAGTCATATAAAGCCATACGACACGTTGGGGGTGTGTTTCTTGGGGTGCGTTTACCCTGATACTGGTGACCTTGTTGTGAATATCAAACCTGACACGCTGCACACACCGCGCACCTCTCATATATGTGCCCCTGCATCCATGAGAAATGTGAGCGAAGGAGGATAGGGGACATGCCAGTCCGCATCTTGACTGGGGATGACTGACTTTGACCATCCAAAAAGTCGTACCACGAACGCTCAAACGCTACGGATGGTTATCCTCGCTTGTCAGATAGCAAGGCAAGAGGAAGATAAGTCTCCGGTTCGCGAGGTATTCGATCGACGAGTAGCCAACGCCTTCAAGCTTGAAACTGTAATGTAGCGACACGTTGAAGTGTCGATCAGTACAAACAAAGTTTCCATGAGGTCCATTGCATAGCTCCATGCGGAGAGCGTAGAAGAGCCTCCGTCCGAGTGACGATGAGCTGAGGCAACGAATAGGAGCTGCATATATGCACTTGACAATACTGGGCTGTTCGTGTATGGACGTCCGAAGTGTGACGAATTCCGCGACTAAGCTTTCGTACTCCGAAGAATCTGACGTGTATCGGACTCTGAATGAACCAGCTGGCGCCGCTGCAGTCCCCGAGCAAGAACTTGAAGTAGACGTACTCAAATCTCAAGTACAACGTCAAACGCAGGATGTTCCAAGCTTGGTATCGGTCATAGGAATTCATAATAAATATATCATAGCTCATCACGAACCGAAGGTCGATCCGGATCCTTACCATCCGTAACGGTTGCATGGCCTGATGGCAAACAGTCGATCCCGTTACCCCCCAAGATGAACTGGCCGGAGAACCACTCGGCATCTTCGATGACACGCTGAAACCAAATATCATCGAAAGCCGAAAAACCGACGGAAGCCGACCTGTTACTTATCTCGAAGTCAATCTCTGGACGAAAGGCTCAAGAGATAATTCGACTCACGTCCCTCTATCGCGCGCGGACACTCGAAGGTAGTAATTGTTGTCTATATCAAATGTCACTTCAACCTGTGATGCACCTCGTGGAGCGGGTGCTATCCCTTTGAGCTCGAACGACTCCTTCAGAAGATTTTCACTCGCAAGGTCGCGGTCTCCGGATAACAACGCAATGCGTACTGAGGTCTGATTATCGTCTGATGTTGAAAAGCTGAATCGAGTTAGCAGAGAGAATAGGGACGAAAACATACTTGACGCACTTGTACGTTCTACAAAATGGCAATATTGGGAATTCGGGAATGTACCTGACAATCCCGTCGCAGGTTTCTATGCCCAGAGAATGTGGCCAAATCTGACGGAGCAACTCTGTCGTATCCACCGGCCGGCTTATTCCATAGCCTTGAATAGCGGCACCGCGTACAGCGGCTTCCTCAGGATTGACGTCCGTGCTAACATCCTTGGATAAGTGCTCGTGAAGTAATTTCTGGATCACTGGCATGTACGGAGATCCTCCGGTAAGAATGATCTGTAAAGCACAATCAGCACCCATCATAGTACATGGTAGTGATACATGCTCACCTTGTCCAATTCCTCCCTCGCCACGTTCGCTTCTTTGAGAACTTGATATACGAGAAAGATCGAGTGCTCCACTAGCTCTAACATGGATCCGGGAATAGAAGCATCATCTCCTTCGCAGGTGGGGGCTTGGTGGACACCCTGCGAAGAAGACCTCCCTGCAATGTCTGATGACCTGTCTGCAGATGCCGGTGACCCTCTCTGGTCCTCATTAGCTTGAGCCAAATCTTCAACCAGTCCGCCGTTGAGGCGCTCTCCTACGAAGTCGCTGTCGCTCGCAGAAGCGAGAATCTCGGGAACCCCGTCATCGATCTCGAGCAAAGTAACGTCGCACGTCACCCCTTCCAAGTCAAAAACCAGAACATTGTAAATTCCAGAGGTATTCTTGAATCCGTAGGCATTTGTCACCGCGACTGGTTCATATATGACACGGAAGACATCTAGACCGACGTCTTTGGCGGCCGATTTAACGGCTTGACGCTCAGTATCGCCATATCCTGGATACTTTGTGAGCGATGAGAATTTTACGGCGGAGCACCCAGAGACGTACGCTTTGGAACGGCAATGAAAGTCAGATGAGAGAAATTATGGTCCAGGTAGGCATCAGCGCGCTCCTTAAAAGTTTGGAAAAGTTGGGTCAAGTCTTCTTTCCACGTCTTCTAGACGATTTAATAAACGTATTGATCAATAAAGTCGACGAAAAGGTGGGGGATCATAACGACTTACATCAAGAGATTGTGGGTTTGGATTTGAAGATGGTGATGGGATCATGGCTATAACTTCGACGGCGCCATCACGAAGCACCCTTATTGAGGCCAACAGCTTTAGTTCGCAAGTTGGAGAATAGGAATCCAGTTCACTTACGCTGCCCGTGAGTACCTAAACAAGCGATCCGTCAGAAGAGAAATCTTCTCCCCAACGATCTCGACTTACATAGATCCTAAGTCTGCACGGATAACATTCAAGTTGCTCATCAACAGGAGATTACTGGGGGGAATCGAGCAAACGGAACGTACTTATACCGACGATAGGTGCATACTCCAATGGGTCCACTTCAACCAGCGTAGAAAAGGCTTGATAAGGGAGCAAACATAAAAACGCCAGTAAAACAACAGCGATCGACCAGAAGTGGCATGTAGTACGACGTCGGCTCGTGGGCTGAGGCATATTGCTATCCTACTGGAAAAGACGACAACGCTGATCAGCGTAAAGGAGGAGAATATTCGGGATGAGCGAACGGACTTTGGAACCGTCGCGACGTATTAAAGATGTATTGCAGGAAGCATTCATCATGGTTGCAGAGCTGATAACTTGTCAGGCCACGTATGCGCTAGCATGTCAATCGATTCCCACGGTAAGTTCGCCCAGTGGGGAGACTAACTGTGCGCAATGAGCGGATGATACATCGTTCATCATCAGAAAACGGCGATACGTTGCTGAAGAGACATTAAAAAGTACAGAGTACATGGGTAAATTCGCAAAGCATGACAACAAAGCACAAGATAGAGCCTACGACAACGAGACACTCTACTCCCCGTATTGATCGAGCTAAACAAGGTAATGAGCACGGCACCAACACAAGTCAAATTAAGAAAGCACTCACATCTAATGTCAAAGTCCGCGAGCTGTTCACCTCCTGATCACGATATATCCCCACGAGCGAGTTGCCCTTCTCGTACAGACTCCCCTTGAGACTGATAACAATGAACTGGAACGCGTCGCTCGCCTGCGAGCGGATGTACTTGGCGATCTTGGCCACGTTCGTGTTGTCGAGCGCGGCGTCGACCTCGTCAAGCACAAAGAACGGCGCAGGCTGGTACGAGTGGATCGCGAAGAGCAGGGCGAGCGCAGCGACGGTCTTTTCGCCTCCCGAGAGCTGCTCCATGTCGCGGAAGCGCTTCATAGGGGGCATGGCGTGGTATTTGATTCCAGCGCTGTACGGCTCCTACGGTGCGTTGGCGATGAAGTTAGCCAAGACGGAGGCGAGACTCAGAGAGGGGACACGTACTTCGCTGTCCTCCAAACTGAGATAGGCTACACCGCCCATTGGCGCTGCCTTGCCCTTTGTGAGGTCCTTGTAGACCGTGTCTATCCGGTCCGCGATATGGTTGTACGCTTTATTGAACAGCTCACATCTACAATGATTCTATGAATAAGCTTGTTATAACGTTGGTGGAATGAAGACTCACCTTCTTCGCTTGATGTCGTTGAATTGCTCCCGAGCAGTCTTCGAGTCCTTGCGTGCCTTATCTGCCTCTTTCTCTGTATCTGCCAGCTTGCCTTCAACGTCCTCCAGTCGCTCCATGGCCTTGAGATTAGGCGCCATACGCTCAATGTCGGAGTTGAGCTTCGCAATCTCAGTGTCAAACTCTGCTGCGATTTCTGACGAGTTTTCCTGGATCATAAAAATGAATACTGCAGCTCGAGGAAATGGGTAGAACAAACACGAACTTTTCTCTCATTTTCCTCGAGTAGTTCGAAGTCGACCTCGATGCCATAGTCAGCCACCTTGTGCGGCCGCTGTGTCCCGTCCTCGTCCTCATCGACGTCCATGGCCATATCGTCACGAAGGTTCTGCAAACCATCAGAATTCGCGCTGACCCCTGATACAATTATAGCAGAATTTACCTCCTCCATAGGCACGTTCTTCAAATTACCCGCGACGAGCGGTAGCTTGATATCTTCAAGCCTGCACCGCCGGTATATTGACGATCGCTCAAGAGCAAGCTTCTCGATCTCGTCATTCTTCAGCCCGATCTCCTTGATCACGTTATCCAGCGCCTTCGCCGCCTTGCTCTGCGTCTTCTTCGCACTCTCCACCTTCTTGTTGGCCTCCTCGAGCTCCTCATTGACCTCCGCGAGACCCTCCCGCAGCTCAGCCACGTTCGCCTCCGCCTCGCGAAGCTCCTCTTCTAGCGTACTCTTCTGCTTCTCGAGTTCCACAACGCGTGCCTCCTCGGCCTCGAGCGTGCGTCGGATCGCGACGAGGCGCTCTTCGGTGCCTGCGGCTTGTTCCTGCTCGAACTGTAGCCTTGAGACACGACATCGTATCAGCTTTCATGATACTACGACATGTAAAAGAACAGAACACGTACTGATGCGTAAGCCGGTTGATCTGCTGATCATACCGCAGCCGTGCGTTGCTCTCCTCTTCAGCAACCTTGAGCTGCTGCTCCTCGTACTCGCGGATATGCGCTACGCCCAGCTTGCGGCAGAACGCGGCGAAGACGCGGTCCTCGGCCGTGTCGATGACGGCGCGCAGCTGCCCAAGGCGCTTGGCGAGGTCGTCGTGCGTCGTCTGCGCTTTCTTGAGCTCGGGCGTGAGTTTCTTGAGTTCACGGTCGACATGCTTGAGCTCGTCTTTGAGGCCGGTGAGCTTGAGCTTGCATGCGCTCTGTTGGCCATGTCAGTTTACAAGGACGAGGTTGCAACAAAGAGAACAGGGAAGCCTTACGAGGTCGTCCCGAGCGACGGCAATGACGCTTTCGAGTCGCGTAATTTCACCAATGATCGCCTCGTCATCCTTCCCGCGTGGCTTACTCTTCTGGAGTTCAGCAAGCTGCGCTTGGAGAGTGTCGCGCAGCCTAGTCAAACCTATGGAGATAGATTCGTGAGTTTAAAAGCTCATACAGATGATACGAAAGCATGAAAGAAGACAACGCACCCTGCACATCCTTCTCATCCCACTTCTTCCCCGTCCCATGCGTACTCCGCCCACCCGTAATCAACCCGCTCTTATGTATAACCGTGCCATCCAGCGTGACCGCCTTAACCTCCTGCCCGCGCTCATAGCACACATACCTCGCCACCTCCATCGTATCGCACACGAGCGCGTTCCCGCACGCATGCTGCAGCGCCCTCTCGACGGCGGACTCGTACTGCACAACATCGACAGCCAGCCGCGCGCCCTTGGCGAACGCGCGGAACTTGTCGTTGACCGGCTTAACTTGGATCGTGTCGAGCGGGATAAACGTCGCCTGGCCCGCGCGCTGGTTGCGCATGTACTGCACACACCAACCCCACATCAGCCCTCGTCGCCAAGACATCACAAGGGCAGAGGAACGAACGCACATCGATACACTCAATCGCGACCCTCTCCTCGTCTACAACGACAGCGTCGATGTTTCGTCCGAGAATGACAGCCACAGCCGTCTCGTACTTGCGCTGCGTCGGCTTGCACAGGTCCGCGACGCGCCCGCGCACGCCGGGGAAGAGGCGCTGCAGACCCGTGAGCGTCTCGCGGAGGCGCGCTTCGCGCTCGCCTTCGGTGCGGTCGACGCCGGCCTGGAGGAGCTTTTGGTATACTTCGGCGAGCTTCTCGTTCGCTTCAGTTTCGAGGCGGCTTTATCAGGCGAGTGGTTTTAATGTAAAGTGATGGAGGTGCATGATGCATATGCCCGGCACAACGATACCAACAATTATCTGGCCAGTGCGAGGAAAGAAGGAAACCGCAGAAATATGACTCACGCAATCTTCGTCCGCTCCGAAACCACCCTCTCGTGCTCTGCCTTCGCCCTTGTGAGCTGCTCACCGAGATCCTTGATCCGTGCCTCGAGCTCGTCTCTTCTCGTTGTCTGCGCCGCAGCGTCCTCGCCGAGGCGCGTCTTGGAAAGTTCGAGCTGGTCGCGCTTGTCCTGCGCCTGTGTGAGCGTCCGCTGTGCAAGCTTCTCCTCGCGGGCGAGTGTCTCGCATGACTGGCGTTCGTCCACGGCGAGGACAGATGCCGAGGCTTTTCTGCGGTCGTCAGGTAGTCGTCAGTATCATATCTAGCACACCAGGTGACTTGAAAGAGACACTCACAGCGACCGATACTCCCTCAGACTCTCCTCGCTCAAACTCGTATTATGCGCCGACGCCTTCCGATGCGCCTCCGCAGCCTCGTCCGCCGCCCTCCTCGCAATCTTCAGCTCCTTCTCAAGCCCCGCAATCTTCTCCTCTTGCCTCTTCCTGTCCTTTTCCACCTGCACCTCCAAGCCCTTTGCGTTGCTCGCCTTGCGCGCCGCGTGCGCGATCTGCGCCTCCGTCGCCGCGACATCGGGCTGCTTCCTCTCCACCTCCTTCTCCGCACGCTTGATCGCCTTCTCCTGCTTCGCTACGCCCGCGCGGACCTTGGCCTGCCCCTGCCGCGCGGAGGAGAGGACGTCTTCGGCGGAGGAGGCGTCGGCACGCAGGGCGGTGAGCGCGCGTGCCTGTGAGCGGACGTCGGATGCGTTGGTAGAGAGGGCGGCTTCGATGTGGAAGAGCTTGTAGAGAAGACGGCGGAGGGCGAGGGTGTCCTATAACATGTGAAGTAGGCGGCGAAGGCAATGAATGAGTGTGCAAACTGGGGAAAGTAGATATGAAAACACGCACTCGCTCCTCGACAAGTGCCTCGAACCGCTCTGCCTCGCCCATCTGCTCACGGTAGCTCTTGATCTCGCCTGCGATACCCCTCCGCTTGGTGAAGCTGAGCGTCGCGTTCTCCGTAGCGCGTTCCTGGGCCTGCAGCGCGGCGTCGTAGTCTTTCGCAAGCTCTCCCGACCCGCTGATTTGCTCAATGAGCCTGGTAAGGTCTCGTGACGACTGGGAAGCGACGGCCTCGACGTCGCCTTGGAAGACGAGGAAGTTCTTGGCGCGCACAAGGATGTTGTGCGAGACAAGGGCGGTGTTATACGACTGGTAGGTGACAACTCTGTTGTTCAGCTTGTATTCGGACGTGCCATTCGTTGATATTCTGTTGTGTGCACAAACAAAATGGCGCATACAGTCAGACAAACAGTCTAAACGAGGCTGAGATGAAAGACACGCACGTCCGCTGGAACAACCACTCTTTCCCCTTCTCGTCCTCGTATACCGCAAGCACCCACGCACGCTTCGCAGTACCCTCTCCAGTCTGCTCCTCCTCGTCCTCCTCCTGGTCTCGCGTGAGGTCCGCATCGGACGTGGCTTCGCTATGTGCAAGCCTACGCCCGCGGTAGACGAGGTCGCGAAGCTGGGACGAACGGAGCTGGGCAGACTTGACGCCGAGGACGAAGGAGATGGCGTCCATGAGGTTGGACTTTCCAGCGCCATTAGGCCCAATGACGGAGGTGAAGTTGCGGAATGGGCCGATGACCTGGTGGCCCCTGTAGTTAATTGGGTCGAACGGCCTCAGTGATATGTGCTGAACGGAAATAATGGTCCCGTATCATACCTATACGACTTGAAGTCACAGAGCTCAATGCGTACGAGCGGCATATCTGCAAGCGTCAGCCGACAAGGGCTTAGAGCTGGGTGTGGTGTTGAAGTCGGGGATGTTGGGTGCTGTCGAGGCCAAAGACGCGCGACGCGTTCGCGCGCTTTGTTTGGTCGTGTTACACGGACGGCACGAGGCTTCAGCGCGTCTTCAAAGCTTCATTCTCGACCAATTCTCGACTAAGAGAGACCAGCTACACAGCGCTGTTATTATTATTATTCTGTGTTACTTCAATATCATTGATCACAAAGATGAGCTCCAGTAACTCCGCGGATGCATAGTGAAACCCTTCAGGGATGTGCTTGAACCTCCGCTTTAATGTCCGCAGGCGTCTATTGCTACGTTTGGATAACACTAGTAAATCTCCGACTCAAATCCATATAACCAGCTGTCGGCAACAGCACGACGCGCTTTAAGCAAACGATGTCACCACCCTAATCCTATCAACATTAATCCAAGAACAGTCGCATCAGCTAATCAGAAGGCGAAACTCTTCATTCCAATACGGCCAACAATGCCGGTCGCTGCGAAATATGCCAATGAAAAGAGACCGCGGCATATATCGAGATTAAGCCCCGGCACGTAGCCTCCGGCGGTAAGTACGCGTGTCTGGGCGGCAAGGATTTCACCGCTCGGGTCCGAGAGTGATCAGCGGTTTAGCATACTTATAAGAAGCTTAGCATGAGCGGCGTAATCCCCAGTCTACAACACCCGATATGAGCAGCAGAGTCTGGTTTAGTGAGTGTTCTAGCTCTTCCATGACTTGACTCTGACCGAGTGAACGTCCTTAGTCACTGGCGCATCATCTGGAATCGGCCGCGCCATAACAGAGCATGTCCTTCGCCAGGGCGATATTGCCGTCGCAACACTACGCAAGCCCTCCGCACTTACAGACCTCGCCGCTACCTACGGCCCAAGCACCCTCCTTGTCGTCGAAGCGGATGTGACCAACTACGCTCAAGTCACCACCGCGTTCGCCGCAGCGAAGGACGCGTTCGGCCGGATCGACGTCGTCGTTAACAATGCCGGGTATGGAATCATGGGCGAGTTCGAGGGCACAACCGAGGGGGATGCCCGCAAGATGTTCGATGTGAACTACTGGGGCTCGGCGAACGTCCTGCACGACAGCCTTCGATTCTTCCGCGATGTGAATCCATCCGGTGCAGGTGGAACGGTTTTGCAGATCAGCGCAGGTGCAGGGGTCATCGGCATACCTGTCCACGCTCATTACGCTGCTACGTGAGTCGTGCTGGGCCTCCAGATAGTTCAATCCGCTGATCCATTCGTTCCCTCTTCCGAAGTAAACACGGTAAGCTTCTACAAGGGTGACTATATTTCGGCACTGACACCCCGAGTAGCGATTGAGGGGCTCGTTGAGTCGGTTGCCGGAGAGCTAGATCCTGCATGGAACATCAAGGTGAGTGGACTATCCACTCCGCCCTGCTGCACATATCGCATGTACTCACCACTGCTCAAGTTATGCATCGTCGAGCCTGGAGGATTCGACACAGCCGTAGTCAGCTCAATGCCTGCACTGCCGATTCACCCCGCCTACGCGACCAACGAGTCACTGGCTTCGACGTTCATGAGAAAGGTCGTTCAAGGTGTGCGATTCGACGGCGATCCGGCGAAGCTCGCTAGAGTGCTCTACGACGTCGTGGAGTCCGGGGATATCCCCTCGCGCCTGCCTATAGGCCTGGACGCTGTGTCGATTGTGCGGAGCAAGGGACAGCGGCTGCAAGATACGGCACAGAACATGGAGAAGTGGTCAGCGGATGTCAGACGAGACGATGCAGAGAGCTACTCTAGCAATCTTGATGCCGTAGAGAACGGAGTCTTGGGAGGTAAATGAGGAATGTCGACCGTGTGTATCTTCGAGAGCAAATGCCAGCCAGACGGGGGTTTCATGAAGCAATGTGAGCAGTGCTGCGCTTCGGAATACCAAGCTAGACACACATGTTCACAGCTCAACATTAGCTTACGCGTTTATTGCGGGGCATATAGATGCGGATGTCTTCTGTCGCATATTCTCTCTTTGACTCGACGTATAGAGATATTTCTGGTGCCTACGCGACGTGGGGGTGCAAGTCCAACGCACGCGTCATGCCGCAGAGTTGCGTGTACAACCGGCAGTCACGAACGTCGCCTTGAGCGCCTAGCATGAACCAATAGCCCGTTCATGCCGGTGCTTACTCACATCAAGCTGGCCCCCATAGCGAATCAAAGGCAATCTGCATGGCCTAGAAGAAGCGGAATGTGTGACTCAGCGGAGGGAAGGCTTCCTATTGTCCGAGTCAGAACTGGTGAGAAGTCTGCACTGTTCGCCGACATAGGATGGAGCGCTTGAACATATATAATGGAGCTTAGGTGCGCCGTGGTGGACCAAGGTTCGGTCCACAGGACTTCCATTTCTCCACAGCATCCCGCTATCTACTCTAGAATGAGCCAAAAAGTGTGGTTTGGTGAGTGACTTGCCACCTCTTCTGTTCAAGGTCCCATCAACTTACACCCCGCAGTCACGGGCGCGTCGTCGGGCATCGGCCGGGCCATAACAGAGCACGTCCTTAGCCAAGGCGACATCGTGATCGCGACGATGCGAAAGCCCTCCGCCATCGCCGACCTTGTCGCCACCTACGGACCCGCCGTTCTTCTCCCCGTCGATCTCGATGTAACCAACCAGGCGCAAGTCAGCGCTGCTTTCACCGCTGCTCGGGAAGCGTACGGCCGCGTAGACGTCGTGGTCAACAACGCCGGATGCGGTCTGCTCGCAGAATTTGAGGGCACTCCAGAGGAAGACGCGCGCAAGCTGTTCGAGGTGAATTTCTGGGGCTCTGCCAATGTTATTCGCGAGGCCGTGCGGTTCTTTCGTGAGGTGAACCTGCCTGGGCTTGGAGATGTAGTCCTACAGGTTGCATCTGCTTCGGGAATTATCGGTGTACCAGCGTTCTCCTTTTACTCGGCGAGGTCAGTTGCATGCAAGCTGATATAATTCGATGCCGTGAATGGGATGTTAAACTCTTTCCTTCCTTTCCTTGTAGCAAACAAGGCGAGCACCTGCGAACTTGTGCACGCTCACCTCTGACGTTTCGTACAGCAATAGAAGGGCTCGTGGAAGCTGTCGCAGGCGAGATGGACCCCGCTTGGAACATAAAGGTACATGAGCTATCCTGTGTCAGCGTTAAAAATTAATCACCATCGCCCAAGTTCTATACCATCGAGCCTGGAGGAGTTGACACTCCCGTGACGACTTCAATGACAGTCACACCTATCCATCCCGCTTACGCTGCCAAGCCATCACTGCCAGCGACCGTCATGAGAATTGCTACGGACGGAGTGAGGCTCGACGGAGACCCGAAGAAGCTCGCCAAAGCAGTGAGGGACGTGGTCCACTCGGGAGACATACCCTCGCGCTTGTCATTAAGGCTTGACGCGCTCTATCTGGTGAAGACAAAAATCGAGAGGCTCCGGGAAACGGTTCGGAGCACGGAGAAGTGGTCGGCGGACGTGAGACGTGATGATATCGAAAGTTATTCTGAAGAGCATGATACGATACACAAAGGCGTCGCTCACCACTAGCATGCTTTTGGACATCTTCCAATGTTTGTGGTAGCCACTGCGCCTTTCGAAGGGTTTTCAAGTTGTGGGTGCAATGTGGGCGCCACTCAGGCTGTTGACGACGATTTGTGATGATTTATCCGAGGTGGAACCGATCCCTGACTGATGGCGAGTGTCCCCAATTTCTTATCAAGGCCCCTGAATCCATCACGAAGCTTCCCCAGATTACCGAGCAATTTTTGTTTCGGCCCTCCCAAGTCAGCTGCACCTTATTAACCTCGTTTATAAGCAGGGACACCATCATGGAAGCCCTTCGATTGCCCTGGTCCTTTTCATTTATCAGCCCGCAGCGGTCGCGTCTCGTCCCCGCATCTGCTTCGAACTACAGGTACACGGATGATCCGGTCCGCGACTGTGTATCATATATGTTCCCTCGTTCTCTGACTCGGGCTGAAAGCCGCGACACACCCCTCTCCGTCCGCAGCCTCTCATGTCTCTCTCTGCGCCCTTGTTCGATGCAGGCAAGGCCGTCGGTGACGCCCAGCTGGTGGCGTCAGCAGCTGCGGCGGCTCTTGTGATGCCGCAACAGCCACGAATTAGCGCTGATGTTGCAGATGGTCACTCTAGCACGATCGAACTTCAGCCAGTCGCTCCCCATTCGAGGAACTCCACCATCGCACCCTCAGTGGGATTCCCGTCGTCGCTTCCAATTGATCATCCCACCAAAGCGCAGCGTGTACGATCGCACGTACAACTTGCAGCGCTATGCATGTTTGTCTTCATACAGGGATGGAACGATGCGTCGAATGGCCCGCTCTTGCCGAGAATACAGCAGGTGTACAACGTGAGCACCTTATCCCAGCTGGCTCTCAATGGTACTGATGCGACGCGGTCGTGAAGTTAGACTACGCCGTCGTCTCCCTTCTCTTTGTGTTTTCGTTCATCGTGAGTACCTTTCTTCTCAGAACTTGAAGACTGAGCATGATATCAACCAAGGGCTTCATATCTGGAGCTATATCCAACGTGGTTTTGACCGAGAAAGTAGGCTTTGGCAAGCTGGTCGTCCTAGGTACATATTCCCAATTCAGCCTTATTTTTTCCTCAGTGAAACTGACGTTGTAGCGAAGGTTCTGCTCTGCAGGCAACAGGCTACGCGATCGAGGCTGCCGCACCTCCCTTCCCTGTCTTCGTTTTGGGCTACTACGTGGCAGGGTTCGGGATGGCTTTGCAGGTAGCGATCGTTCGTACTCTATGGCGAAAGATTGGTTGATCGGTTGCTAGAACGCCCAAGCGGTCAGCTACGTGGCCAAGATGAAAGACAAACCTGAACTGAAGATGGCAATCTTCATGGCGGTAACTCTTTCTCTGTAAACATTTTCTAAACGTTCTCATTTACATTGTGGTAGGTATATGGTCCGGGGGCGGTTCTCGCTCCTCTTGTCGCAACGCACTTCTCGACACTTCCCCGATGGTCGTTCCACTTTCTCACATCGCTTGGACTCTCCTTGTTGAACATCGCCATTCTGTCAGTCGTATTCCGGTTCAAGAAGCAAGACGGTACGCCACGCTCTTGATAGGCTCACCATACAGTATCCAAACTGATGACTGATGATGCTCCGTTGACGTAGATTGTCTCGCACAAATCGGACTCGCGCCTGCCAGCGACAGGGGCACGAGCAATCACAGCGAATTCCGGCAGATTCTCGCGTTGAAGGAAGTGCACCTGCTCACTCTGTTCGTTTTGTTCTATAATGGCGTCGAAGTCACTATCGGAGGTGCGCTTGTTCACGCAGGATGTTTCACGCCAAGGCGATTCTGATGAGCGTCGTAGGATGGACAATCACGTACATCATAAACGTTCGTGGAGGTGGTTCTGCAGCCGGTTACATCTCTATGGGTTTCTTTGGTGGTACGCACATTTTTACTGCACTGCAAATGGCATACGAGCTTACTGGCGAGCAGGCATGGCGGTTGGACGCTTAGGGGGCCACTGGGTCAACAAGAAGGTCGGAGAGCGTCTTGCGCTCATCGTCTACGCCATCCTTGCTATCGCGTATGTTCGCTCTCACAATCGTTCTTCCTCGTCTATCGAGTTCTCTAATTCCTCTTTTGCCTCTCAGGCTCGAGTTTGTCGTCTGGTTCGTCCCATCACTTTCAGGTGACGCCTTCGCCATCGCAGCCATCGGACTCTTGATCGGTCCGATGTATCCTATCGCGATGAACCACGCGGGCCGAGTCCTGCCTCGATGGCTTCTGACAGGTGTTATCTCGCTTTGTTCAATGCGTGTAATTGTTCGCAGTATCGCTTACAATCTTCCAGGCTCCATCGGCTGGATCGCCGGCGTAGGCCAAGCAGGGTCTGCTCTGCTCCCATTCATGGCAGGCGCTATCGCGTCAAAGGCGGGCATCGCGACCCTGCAGCCTGTGTAAGTCCCGCTGGCCGTTTATCTCTTCAACTCCACGCTTATGATGAATTGTGCTCCCTGTTATGTGCGTCACTCACCTTTGACAGGCTCGTGGGCTTCATGGCGGTAATGGCTGGCTTCTGGCTGCTTGTTCCCGCAAGTTCTCATCGCCACGACTAAAGCGCTCGCCTTGCGGCGTATATTTTGTTTTCACATTTGAAGCAAATAGATAAGAACCGACAAATTAGAATGTGTACAGTAGCTCAGTGCGCGTCAGAAGCGACACGCTGAGAAATACTTGTACTTAGAACTTAGAAAAAAGGTCACTCTACCATATAGACACATAGATTGTTCTCATAGACCAACGCACTTGCAATGTTATTTCTACTACTATCTCCTCATTGATTGCGGCGGATAGACTATACGGGAAGAGATGAAGGCTAAGTATAGTTCGCCCTCATAAATCATCAAACCACGAATTGTAGCACTCGTCCGCTTCAATGTCAAGTTTCATCTGGCTCTAAAGCTAGTCTGTAAAGACACCAGTTGATTCTATAGTTTATTAAACCCCTGTATACCATCCAAGACATCCACCCAGAACTTTGAGTGAGCTGTCCTTTTCGAATCAAACACATCAGAGTCCATCTTTGATCCCACACATTTCAATTGGGGTACGACACGCGACAGCACCTGCACCGTCGGCCGCACATGCTGCGTCTCTTCCGTCGCGTGGCCAAGAATGAGAAGCTCCACGTTCCGATAAGGGCCGTACACACGAAGGTCGTCCTCGTGATTGAGAAGCGCATCGACGTCGTGCGGATTCACGATTGTACCGAGCCCGCATATCTGTAACCGAGGACAAGCCTCCAGGACGCCAAAGAGCTGCGGGAGTGTGAGGAATGGATGAAGGGTGATAATCTGGATGGCCTCGAGGCACGGCCAGTTGACCAACAACGTTTGCAGCGCATCGAAAGAGATATCGATGGTGCTGTTTTTGCCTGTAATACTGAGGCGTGAAAGATGGGTGAAGACTCTGAGCGGGCGCAGGAGCTCTAGACCGCGCAGCTGGGTATCTGGAGAGAGGTGCAAGGTCATTTCGGCCAAATGGTCGTGTGCTACGTAACCACCAAGACCAGAGGTGAGCTCCAACAAGGGATTCAAGCTCTCTTCGCTCTCCCGATACGGAGCGTCGATTTGCACGTGGCGGATTCTTGCATAGAATCGTGATTCAGCACCTGCGGACGAAGATGAACGAATGCTTTTGAGCGCTCGTATAGTGGCGTTGATTGAGTCCGCGCGGACGGAAAGATGTGTCATGGAACGGAAACCCAAACTAGGCGCAGACAACCATGAATGATGAGACCGGAAGTCGAAGTGGAGGCATCCGAGGCCCTGAGATTTTGTTAGATGGCGGAGTATGCGTTCGTCAATCGAAGGTATAGTCAAGCTACGGATGTTTGGCCATTGACAGATGACATCGGCCAAGTCGGTCTTTGTCGTCTTTGGCAAAGAAGCACAGTAGGTGACATGGAAAGCTTCGACACCTAGACAGACAGGTGGAAGCACTTGAAGGATATATGCGAGTACCTCCGGGGACCTTATCAGGAAGTCCAAAGAGCAAAGCTCGGGGCTCAAAAAGAGATTGATAGAGGGTATAAAGGTGTCGAGAGGGTACAGGCGCAGGGTTCGAAGCATGGGGAAAACATTTTCTACAGGTCGAGTCCTAGACAGGTTCTTCCACACAGATATATCCATACGAAAAGATCCTTCCGTCTCGGGAGACAGCGACACGCATTTGACCCTGGCTGTATACCGAAGTAGTGTATCCCATTCTCGTTGGGATATGTCACGTTTCAGTGTCTGACGGTTTCAGTCAATACCTACGCAGAGGAAATGTGAAGAAGAGAGCTCACAAATACCCTCAGTAAGCTAGACTGTCTCATTGGGTCAGTGCGCTCTTGAACTGACCAGAGATGGCTGGGCAAGCACAGTAGAAAATCAGATCCATCGATCTCCGTGTAGAGCGCGTCAAGCGCCGGCTCTTTGAACGTGCTGCATGCTCGAGATAGATAGGATAGTGACTTTTTGTCGTTCAAAGCGTCGAAGAAGAGTTTCAGCAGCTCTGGGATCTGTAGACAGGGGTGCATGATGCATGACGGTCACGACCGAAGGCATCGCGGAGCCGACGCGCGAGCACAGATTGCATCTAATTGGTCTTGTTGACAAAGTCTGCCGTCCCTCCTTAGCCAAATTATCTCCACTCAGCCAGGTTTATTCTCGCCCCATATCTTAATCGGCCAGGTCAAGGTTGTGTTCTTACCACAGACTGGTAGCTCGCATGCATGTAAGCGTGGTATCAAGGCGAGTCTTTGAAGCGCCTCAATTCTAGCCGATGGCTTCGTTTGACAGCGCATTTATCTCGTAAGTTTTCCTTGATTCGCCTTGAGCCGCAAACATGTCAGCCAAGAGTTGCTCTGAATTGCATGGTAAGTCTCTCAAATACCGGTCCTCTCGGATGACAGAAGATTGATAAGGGGACTTACTGACTTGTCGGCGTTTCGTGGCCACTTTTACGTCTGCGGCGAAACTCAACCCCGGGGAGCGCCCAAATACCAAGGTACAGTTCTCACAAAGAATCCGGTAAGGGCGGGTTCTTCTGACTTACGGAAGTATGACTCGACTTCCCCGCGTCTTCCTAGGTGGACTTCGTTACGATAGACTCCACGTCGATATATTGGGCTACGAGTTGTGAGTCAAAAGCACATTAGTGTGAGTGGTAAGTCCTGTACCGACGTCAGCGACTGAACGTAACAAAGGCGTCACAGAAGGTATAAAACCATGACTGCAAAGCCGGTGAGTTTTCCATCGCGTCTTCAGCCTTATCATCAAACATGAGTGGAAAAGTGTGGTTCAGTGAGTGCCGCATTTTACCGCGGGCCGCTATGACCATCCTCGGCTGACTTACGCGACCGTGTAGTCACTGGCGCCTCCTCAGGTATTGGACGCGCAATCGCCGAGTATGTCTTGTCCAGAGGCGATATCGTCGTCGCGACGATGCGCAAACCGTCCGCCATCGCCGATCTCGCCACCACCTATGGCCACGACGTCCTGCTCCCTGTGAAATTAGACGTTACGAACTATGCGCAGGTCAATGCCGCCTTCGACCGGGCGAAAGAGGCTTTCGGGCGAATGGACGTCGTCGTCAACAATGCCGGGTACGGCATCTGTGGCGAGTTCGAGGCGATACCGGAGGAAGACGCCCGCAAGCTCTTCGACGTGAACTACTGGGCTCCAGCTAACATCACACGCGAGGCGATTCAGTTCTTCCGCGAGGTGAACCCTTCTGGCGCAGGTGGGACAATCCTTCAGGTCACGTCCGAAGCGGGCTTGGTTAGTGTGCCGATCTATTCCCAGTACTCTGCCAGGTGCGTGCAATATGAGATGGTTCATTGTCGCGCTCCTGCTAACCCCGCTTTTCATTACCAGCAAACATGGTGAGCTACCCGGCCGATCTGCATGAGATTCATTTTAATGATGTCCACAGCTCTCGAGGGACTAACCGAGGCCATAGCCGGTGAATTAGATCCCGCCTGGAACATCAAGGTGAGTATTATGCACCAGAAGTGTCGCTATCAGTCTCTGATAATTATCACCAAGTTATGTCTCGTCGAGCCCGGTCAGTTCGACACAAACGGTCCAAACGTGACCCCCGTCTTTCCCATCCATCCCGCATACGCGGAGAACAAGTCTTTGCCATCCCATTCCATGAGGACATCCACAACCGGCGTGCAGTTCAATGGAGACACAACGAAACTAGCCAAAGCTGTCTACGACGTCGTTGCATCGGGAAATATCTCCTTGCGCTTGCCGATGGGCTTGGATGCAGTCCAATTCATGAAGAACAAGGCGCGAGCGCTTCAGGAGACGGCCGAAAGCACGGAGAAGTGGTCGGCTGATATACTGCGCGAAGGCGTTTCAGAGTACACAAAGGATGACGCCGTTTACCAGAGCGTTCTAGGAACGACACACTAGATAACCTTATGCAATATTCGAATCCATTTTTGCAGTAATTCTTGTTTGTCACCCTGGTTACGACACTGTCTCAACTCACCATCCTTCCCTCATGAACCATGGAGATTGACTCGAGTCAGTTTAAGATTTAAGAAGTCAAAGAATGCCTGCGCAAAACTTGAGTGGCATAAGTACGTAGATATACAAGGTCAATTTTTTGTAGGCATATTCAGGTGTTTTATCACGAATGAGCGCTCTTTGTAAATAATATCGAAGCATGTAGCACTATCTAAACATTGTTGCGTCGCTCACGAGGAAGGCGGATACGTATGCATCGGAATAGACGCCAACTCCGTCTGCTCAGGCGCAGAGGTTGATCCTGCGGCCGCGTTATCCAATGGCGGTCCCGTTCCTGCCGCGGTGGGAGCCCTTTGAGTCGTCGGTTCGCGTGCAGGAGCTGACTCGTTCCGCATGCGGGTATGGCGAGGTTCACTCTCGTGACGACCACGAAGTGCGGAGAAGTTGCAGAAACAGAGTACATCCACGAACGGGTGAGGTTGGTAGCTCCCTACCGGGATCAAAGAATCCGAGTCGTCGTCGTCGTCGTCGTCGTCGTCGGTTAGAGGGGTGGTGTTGCCCCCGTTTGGTCTGCCTGGAGCTTCTCCTGCAGCACGGATTCTCTGAAATTCAGTTCGTTATTTAACTAGAAAGGCGACAAAAAAGTGGTCAAGGATTCGTACATCACGACCGTATGCTGGGGAAATGGCGGCTGAGACGCGTGATGAACTGCGCGTGAGATGTTCGTCGCTGACTTCCGAATTAGCTTGTCTCAGCTGTGCGTTGTCATTTCTGAAGTGGATTGTGCCCCTCTGGATGCAGGCGTAGAGGTGAGTCCAGTGTTCGAGGCTCCGCCGGTATTGCACGTACCCAAGAGTCGCGCAGCGTGCTCATAGCCGTGTTCAAACGGTTATGGAGGGAGACATCTCGAGCGCGCGGGTTCGTCTGGCGCTTGAATAAATCAACACCATATGTCAGAATACACAGGTGCGGACAGCTGTATAAAGTGTTCGTACGTCTCGCCCGGAATTGTCCCTAGGCCTCCTCAAGGTTTTCAAGAGCCGAGTGAAAGTGAGCGAGATATTGTCGCTGAATCCTCTCCCGCCTGAGTGAGGCTGTGAAGGCTGACAAGAATATGAGACTATGTTGGAATTTAACCAAAGGAAACTCACATTGCTTGTTTCAATTCCGTCAAGTAAATCGCGTGGTGGACCAGGAACGTTAACTTGTCTTCGGACGGTTGCTGGACGCTTATAGCGATTCGTGGTATTGGTCTCTGATGTCTAATCTTAGTTATGAGAACGTACGCTCAGAAAATCGTCTAGGTCATCCTCGGTTCCCTGGCTCTTCGTCAGTGGAAGTAGAAAAGGTCGCCACATTCGTACTCACCCCCGCCCCTCGACTGTCTTGGTGGCGAGTTCCCCCATCGCTGTCATCGTGACTCTACGAATTCGAAGCCTAGGTAAGCGCTGATGAAGGTTAAAAGAATATGCAAGCATACTTCGAAGCTGGATGAATCGTTTCCTGTGCCGCCAAGGCACTGTATAGACGGAAACCATTTAAGCCTAATGCGTGGTCCATACAAAGAACGTGTCAGCACTGACCTTCAGCAGAATAAGCCGTCCAGTCTTCACGTCCCATAAGCGGATATCACCACCACGTCCTCCCGACAGGACAAGCTCCCCGTTTGGCGAAATTGCTGCTGCAAGTACTTCCGACGAATGTTGGAAACACCGAAGCTGGTTCCCTGTTTTGGTCTCCCAGAGGCAAACAGCTCTGTCGGACGAGATAACAAGCATAGATCCATCCGTCGAGAATTGCACGCAGTTGACGAAGTTGTTGTGATCGATGCCCGTGGTCTCCTCTTCTCGCAATACATCCCAGACACGTACTTTGCCACTCCCGCATCCACTGAGCAGTCTTGAACCATCGGGCGAGAAACACACCGATGTTACTTGGCCCTCGTGTTCAAGAGGCTCTCCCAGAGGTTCAAACGAGCGCACATCCCATATTCTGACAGTCCCGTCGCCCGACCCGCTTGCCATTCGAGATCCGTCAGAAGAAATGCTAAGTGCCCGAATGTGGTCACCGTGTGCTTCGATAACATGCAGAGAGGTACCAGAGTGCACATCCCAGACACGGATACTTCCATCTCGCCCCCCGCTGGCAAGGCGTGTGCCCTTGAGAATGAACTTGACATCGAACACGGGGCCTTTGTGACCAGAAAGAGGAGGCAAGGCAAGATCATGGGATTTGAGGTCCCAGATGAAAACTAGACCGGCATGTGCCGCGCTAGCCAAGAGATGCTTGTCCTCTGAGATATCTATCCCCAATACAGCCCCATCATGTCCCACAAGAGGGTCAGCGGATTCCTGGCCTGTGGTAGCATCCCACATCCTAATGGCAGAGTCGCGTCCTGCAGTTGCAAAGTGCTTTCCATCGGAGAACCATGCAATCGCCGTCACATCACCATACGCCATCGATCTGCACAAATATAATTTCAGTGTTTGCATAAGTTGACTTGTCAAGACAAGACACACATGTACTTGCTTGTGAAGTCGGTGTCATTCTCCGCCGCCGACTCAACAAAGAGGCATCAGCGGCAAATTACTCGTTTCAAGGAAAGTATTTACTTGTGGGAGTGCCCGTGCTCCGTTGTGTATATTCCAAACACGCACACTACCGGAGCTGCAGGATGCAAAGTGTTCTTGATCTGGCGAACAGGAGATTGCATGGACTGGCTCCCCGTGTCCGTACAGCGGTCCAAAGACACAATGACCCGAGTTGATGTCCCAAACTCGAATGCTTTCATCGCTAGAAGAGCTAATCAACCGATGACCGTCGCAAGTAAAAGATACACTAGAAACAAAGTGCTTATGCCCACGAAGGGGGCCTTTGACGAGGTCTCCTGTCGAGGCATCCCAAAGCCGGATTGTATAATCCTCTGAAGAGCTAGCAATGAGGGAGCCATGTGGAGAGTACTGAACGCATTGAACAGGGCCTCGATGTCCAGCAAGCTCGCGAACAAGCTCATGTTCATGTACGTCATAGATGCGAACAAGCTGATCGTGACAGCCGGTCGCAATATAGCTGCCATTGGGTGAGAACGAGATGGAATTCATGCGTTTGGCATGCTGTATTGTGGCGATGCAGTCCCCTGTATGGGCATTCCAAAGTTTGAGAAGGCGGTCGTAACTAGCGCTGGCAATGATTGTGCCGTCCGGAGAGTATTGCACTGCGTCAATAGAGCCCATGTGGCCCTCGAGCGGCCCCAGCACCATCTGACGGGTGTTGATGTCCCATATGTGAAGAGTCCCGTAGCTGCCGCTAACCAGACGGCGTCCATCAGGCGAGTAGCAGACCGCATAAATCCCTTCCGCGTGCCCTTCCAATGGCTTCCCTGCTTGACGACCTGTCCTTGTCTCCCATATTCGTACCGCCTTGTCCATTGAACCTGTAGCTATAAATGCACCGTCGGGTGAGTATGCGAGTGTGAGGATGCGGTCAGTATGCTTGAATGGTTCGAAGACAGTGTCCTCCATGATGAACGGTGTAGGTGGGCTCTATGGGTTTGCGAGTGGGGGGGGGGAAGAAGTGACGCAGGCGCAGCATGCTGTGAGGCTGTTTGACATGAGGTCCCGATAGGCGCCAGAATTTTAATGACCGTATTATCTGGACGCCGGCGCTTATACAACATCCAGACGATAAGACGGAGTGCACGTGGGCATATTGAACGCGGCATGCTTGTTTGATTGCTCAAGGGGTCAATATTTCTACATCTGGAACAAGGTAAATGGTTGACTTGAGCCACTATCCGCAACCTACAGACCCGAAAGAATGTTCGAGAAGCGAGCTAACGGACAGAACACAGTATCGCAGATCCACACAGGATCAAGGGATATGATACAGCGACCCATAGCACTAGTGACGTGGACGGGAATGTAAATAAGCTGACAATACCTGCAAGGGATAAGGTTACGATGGAAAATGATCAAACGATGAATTGGAGGGTTTGCGGGACCGACACGTCAAAAAATGGGTCAAGAAATCCTGATGATGCGAGGCACGATGGGCGTGTAGGTGCAGGTTTAAATTTAAGGAGTAGTGCTACGCGATAGATGGAGGGAGAGAATTCGAATAGAGATAGGAAAAAAGAAAGCGAGAGAGGAGAAAATAAAATAAACAATATTGAATAAGATATAACGGTGCAAAGGAGATCATAAGCCGAAGAACGGACTGTAATGTGAAGAATACGTACGCGACGCTGATCACACCGCAGAACGAGACGCTTCTGTGGTCGCATGTACAGACGCGGGAAGGAAAGATGCGAGCGCTGAGCGCTGCGTTCTCGGCCGTCCCAGAACGCGACAAGGCAAGTCTAGGCAAAAAGAAGCCTTCGCTAGTAGCCGCCCGCGACAGCTTAGGACGCGTCATGTGTTCAAGCGCCTGTGCGAGCGGGTCTTCACCTTGCTTTGTGCCGGCACTGGGCGTGGAGTCGAGGTAGCCCTGGAGGATCGACATGTCCGTGGGTATGAGCTCAGCCTGGTGCGGTTGGGGCGGGGACGTCGGACAGGCCCAGGACGCACGCCAAGGTAGGACATGACAGTCGCGCAGCTCGCACGGAGGGCGGAGTCTATCCTGCTTTGGGCGTCGCGGGCCAGTATCACATACGGCGATTACGGAAGAGTTCGTGGCACTGTTCAGCGCTTCAAGCTCAGGTTCTTCGCCTGTGGAGCCAACGACGATGGAGAGCCAGTTAGAGCCCTGGCCTAGGACGTTCTGAACGGGGAAAGGAGAGGGTCGCTTGAGCTGCTGGTGTCGAATGGGGTGCCCTAAGCACTGTATCAGCAATAGTCCGGCATGAAAGCAAAATTCCAAAATGTACCAATTCCAAAACGTACCAATTCCAAAACGTACCAAAAATATCATTCTCAAGGTCAGCGGTGCCCTCGATTGGAGAAGACGCCTTCGACGGGGCCACATCCTTCGGCACCCCACCGTCTCCACCCACCAACAACAAATGCTCCGCAGCGACAGCGTCATGCACAGGCAACAACGACGTCCCACCAAGAACAATCGAACCCGCAGAATATGACGCCGTCAGGTCCGTAAAGCAAAGTTCTTCTCCAACAGACGCTCCCGACTTGTGTTATGCCTCAAACGGAGTGACGACGGTGAGCACTAGCCCATGCGCGCGTAGAGGAGGAATCACATCCCCTCGGCTGAGGACGGCGGGGTACGAGGGGCTGCACCTGCACAAACACCGGTACAGCCTAATCTACGATGAAAGCTTGCGAGTGTCCTTCGGAGGAGGTACCATACCCGTGTCTATCACTCGACGGCAAATGCCCATCCGCCGAGAGATTCTCCAAGACCTCCCCTCCTTTGGAAAACCCCCTCCTCTTCCTCCCCTTCAACTCCTTCAACCTGACAACGCTGCATCCTATCGCTAGCGTGCGCATGATACTGCATCTGCGCCTGCATCCGCTGCATAAGCGGGTGCGACCATGGGAGCGGCGGCGTCGGGAGCGAACTCACGCGTTCTCGTTCCGCATACCCATCCGGTCGATGTCAAGATTCGGGAGCGATGCAGGGGCGGCGGTTCCAGGACAGGGGAGCGCAGAAGCGAAGAGATGGACATATGCCCGCTGCTGCTGCTGGACAGCCCCAGGAGGCAAACAATGGCGCATCGACACGTCGCTCATTGCAGACTTGGGAGAGATCTGCGCCGCCTACGCGCTCGGGTGATGCCGACGTACTCGGAGCGCTTGGCCGAGTGTCCCTTCAGAGTTCCGTCACTGAGCCCATCCTTTCTGCGGCGGAATGTCCATTGTCTGATGACGGAGGCGTCGACAGCGCGATCCCAGCCGCCGAGTCACGCATACGCATGTCTGGCGGCGGATCGATGACGCTAAGAGCATTCGCGTTTGCGTGCCCGTGCCTTTGCGTGCCCATTCAGAAGTGGCTGCGGCACATCAACGTCAGCACCAACGCTTGTCACCAGCCATCGCCTCGAGGCGTCCTAAGAAGTAACGCACCGTCTCCCCCAAGTTCATTTGCTGCGTTCTATTTCCAGTCTGCAAATAGGACGCCTCCCAGGACTGCGGAACCAAAGTCCACAGCCCAGCGAACCTTATCGGTTCAAAGCGTCTAGTTACACGCATCTGCCTTAAGACGAGCTGGCAGTCGGCAGCATCATCACGTTGAGTCCACTCTTGAAGCCTTCCGAGTCGTCTAGCCCTATGTTCACCTTGATCCCGTCGTGGTCGTCTGAGGCCTCGTGTGCGCCGTCTCAGTCTCCGCAGTGCCTCTCGACCGCATCCTAATGAGTGATTTCGCACTTGTACCGTGAGGAGCTGTCAATGTAACGCTCGGGGCGTTTAGCTGCGTCCCGAGGAAGGCGCGCTGCGCGAGGAAGTCGAGGTGTATGATGTGCTTCTTGCCGTCCTGGTCGCGGTCAGCAAGGCCCTGGCGCCTCCGACAGCGACTTGGCGCGTGCACGGGAGATGGAGTGGGTGTGCTTGTTGCCGAGGGAGGACCAGGCTTGCTTCTGCCACTCTCGGCCTGCCGCTCGAGCTCCTCGCCTTCTTCGAAGACCCTGCATTACAAAACAGAACCCGTCAGCATCGAGTCCACTCAGAAGAAATAAAGGTCAAAATCGACAGCAAGGTAAAACAACGTCCAACAATTAATAAAGTAGAGAGAGAAAGAACGTAGGTATGAAGGAATAAAACGAAAATGAAAACACGCACTGATCAAGCATAGGCAGAACCACCGACGAAGTCATCTTCTCCTGCCCTATCGGCCCCTGTTCCTCCCCTCCTTTCGCGCTCGCGATCGACGACTGCGGCGGGCGGGTGGGGATCGTGTGCCTCCTCACTCCGGGTACGGCGGTACTGAGATACTTGTACACGCTCGTCATACCAGCGTTGGTGGAGCTGCTCTCGAGGCCGGCGGCAGAACGCGATTTCATCAGGCCCAGGATGAATCCGCGAGGGCGAGACAAGGAAGGTGTCGTGCGGCACGATGTCGGTGATGATGATAGGAGATGAGGTGACACTGTTTGTTGAGAAGGGATAGCTCGGAGTTGAACGTTGAACTCCGAGGCGGCCGCCCGAGCCCAAGATCACTGGTCGCGCCCGCGCTCGTCGACCTCGTCCGTTCGACCGATGCAGTCCCACTGGCAACAGCCTGCAGCGGCGGATTCCACCCCTTGACAGGCATCGTCGGCGGAATTACGATCCTCTGCTGTGTCTGACTCTGATTTTGAGTCTAACTCGTGTTCCTGCTTCTCCTCGCGTCCGCGTCCCCTTCCACGTCCCTCTCCTCCTGTCCCTGCTTCCATCCCTCACCGTGGTCGTTTGAATCGGCAACTGCGCTAGGCGGAGGTAGAGAAACAAGCACCGCGCAGTTTGCCTCGCCTCGATTCAGCGCGGATATCGATGACCGCAGCTGTGTTTGTGGGATCGCAATGGGAGCATGGCGCGGCGAGGCAGCGGGTGCAGGATCGAGGTGGAGCTGGGGTAAAGAAGGTGTTCATGTGCTGCGCTGGACTGTAACTGTGTGCCCAGTGACGAGGGAGGTCTGGATGCGGAGGCCGTGGAGTCGCCGTCGCCTGAGATGAACGTTTCGATGAACGCGGGAAGAATGTCATGGTATTGGTCTAGGAATGCGTCTCGAGTTTGCAAATGGGAATAATGCGAAATGGTGATAGGAATGGTGATTGAAATGCTTCTTGAGGAGTACCCTCTACCCAGGCGGACGGTGGTGGTCGTGACGTAGGACATGTGGATGTTGTTCGATAGCATTGGCCCGTGCGCAGGCGACTGCGCCCAAGGACGCGACATCTGCGTCAGAGTGGCTCCGTCGTCGGCACGGTCGAGTAGCGGGACAGATGGCGCGCGGCGAGGCGAAGTGGTATTAGTGGGTGTATGGGCGGCAGACTCGCGGACGTGTGGTTCAGATAAGAGGTGCGCAAAGCGACTTGCGGCGCACCAGTGAACTGCTAACTTATTCCCACGCATGAACAATATCTAACTTTTACCAACTTACATTTCGCTTTGTACTCTCATACGGTGGCCAGTGCCATCGCTCCCATTCCTACTCTTGTTTATAATGTTTCCTTCACTGAGCGCTGAGCGCTGAGCACCCCTTCCACACCTTCGCCCGCATCACAGTCACCTCGCGGTTCGAATCCGAGAGTGATCACTGCTTAGGAGGGACTCTAAATATAAATACTGATAAGAAGCCTTATCATGGACGGACTGGCGTCATCCCCAAGCTACAGAGTACAGCACCCGATATGACCAGCACAGTTTGGTTCAGTGAGTGATCTAGCTTCTCCATGGCTTGACACTGATCGAGTCAACGCCCTTAGTCACCGGCGCATCCTCTGATATTGGCCGACCTATAACAGAGCATTATCCTCAGCCATTGTCGTCGCAACACTACGCAAGCCCTCCGCGCTCGCCGACCTCACCGCCATTTATAGACCAAGCGCCTGCTTGTCGTCGAGGTGGACGTGGCCAACTGATAGTCAGCACCGCGCTCACCGCAGCGAAGGACGCGTTCAGCCGGATCAACGTCGTCTTCAACAACGCCGGATATGGAACCATGGCCGAGTTCGAGGGCACACCCGAGGAAGATGCTCGCAAGATGGTCGACGTGAACACCGATGTCTGCGAACGTCCTGCTCGAGAGCCTCCGGTTCTTCCGTGTGATGAATCCATCCTGTGCAGGTGGAACGGTTCCGCAGATCAGTGCAAGCGCTAGCGCTCAGATACACTACAGGGTGGACGAATCCCTACATCATCAATGTTCGCGGGCTGTTCTTCTGCAGATTCCCTCTCCACGGGGTTCTTTGGTGGCATGAGTTTCCTCAAAGCGCAGATTTGCAGACGCTCACAACCAAGGAGGGATGACGACCGGTCGTTTAGCTTTGCGTTAGATTAACGAGAAAGCCAGAGAACGTCTTACGTTCATCGTATATGTTATTCTTGCTATTGCGTACGTTCACGCTCACGATTAGTCATGTTTCCCTCTGATGTTTGTCCTACCTCACAGCCTCGAGTTTGTTGCCTGGTTGGTTCCATCACTTGCCAGGTGACGCCGTCCGTGTAACAGCCATTGGGATATTTCTGGGTCATGTGTACCCTATCGCGATGATTCACCCTGGAAGGGTGTTGCCTCGGTGGCTTCTCATAAGTGAATTGTCGTTCTTTTTTTAACGTGTATATCGTCTGCGGCATTCCTAATGAATTCGCAGCCATCGTCGGCGTAGGGAAAGTGGGCTCTCCCTGGCTCCCGTTTATGGCATGCGTTATTGTCTCCAAAGCCAGAACTGCAATCCTACAGCCGGCGTAAGTCCTTCAAGTTGCTTTGGGTTGTTCCACTAGGCGCTAACGAGCAATTCCGTGCGGGAATAGCGAGCTCTTCTTTTCTGGTTGACAGACTCGTCAGCTTCATGGCTATGATGACAGGCTGCTGGCCGCTTGTTTCTGCCAGCTCCCATCATTATGACAAGTTGTAACTGCATTCGTCGAGTGGTTATCAATTGCAGGGTGCATTGTTTGCGAAAAAGTCCAAACTCTGAATGTACCATGTAAAGCAGAATCGGCACGATCGATACGACGTCCTTGTGAAAGCAGGGTTTTCCCCTTGCTGGCGAAGTGGAGCCGTTAAATACATGTCCTACTATACATACATGCAAGGCTACGCCTTGTACAGGCGTCAAGATATCAAAGCTACTTGGTTAGGTGTATATCAACTAGGTCCTAGGCTTATGTGTTCCTACTTCATCTGCAGGACGGAATACACATGCAATACAGCACGGTGTCAATGAACCCATTGTCGCTTACCACACTCCCTTCACCTCCGCCAACTTCCGCCTCAGGAGGAGGGGGTGCGCCAGGCGAAGGCTGCGGGGAAGGTGGTCTCGATTCATCCGACTCTGGCTCGGGATTCGGTGTTTGTGAGTTCGAAGCCGCGTTTCGATCACGTCCCGCGGCTATGAACTAGAAAGACAGCATCAGTAACCGGTCCGGTGTAATGCAGTAACAAACATACCGTTTTGGTTTTTGCGAGACTCACTAACTCTACTGTGCGGCTCCTCCAATTGTGGGTTTCCCCGGGTTCGCGCGCGGAATTGGATTTGTTGCGGCCAAGATATGATGCAAACCGTGCGGCAATTCCAGGTCGGGGACCTCTTCCTCCTTCCTTTTGCTTCCCCTTGCCTATGCGCTGCGATGTACTGTTTTCATTGCCCTCGTTGGAGTCAAGGCACATGCCCGCGGGCGCCCTCGTAGTAGTCGCAGGCATCTACACATTTGTGAGCTCTGGAATATAGGTGAAAGATCATTTTCTACTTACGTTCATTATAGAGTCGTCGTCTGCATCGGCTCCCTGGCTATCCATCAGCAGTGAAGTTTAGAAAAGGCGCCACATTTGCACTCACCCTTCCTCCTTCACCGTCTCGTTGGCGAGTCCCCTCGGCGCTGCCATCGTGGCTCTATATATTTGAAGTTCAGGTGAGTACTGGTAAAATCTGAAAGAACGACTTATTAGTACATACCTTTGGGAGAAGAAGCTGTCCACTTTTGACGTCCCACAACTTGATGCGGATAATACCATTACCGACCACTGATAGGACACGCTCCCCGTCTGGCGAAATTGCTGCTGCATGTACCTTCTCCTCATGTCGGAAATACTGAAGACACCTCCCTGTTCTGGTCTCCCGGCGGTATACACGTATATCGGAAAAAATGACAAAGTTAGATCCATCCGTCGAGAACTGCACGCAGTGGACGGCGCTATCGTGACTGACAGACACGGTCTTCTCTCCTTGCAAGACATCCCAAACACGTACTGCGCCGTCCGGGCATGAGCTGAGCAGTTTCAAACCGTCGGGCGAGAAGCAGAGCGAGTTTACTTCTTGTCCGTTGTGTTCCAGAGGCTCTCCCAGAGGTTCAAACGAGTGGGAATCCCATATTCTGACAGTCTTGTCATATGACCCGCTTGCTATTCGAGATCCGTCAGAAGAAACGCTAAGTGTACGAATCCTGTCGTGATGTGCGTTGATAGTATGCAGCAATGCACCGGAGCGCACATCCCACACGCGGATCTATCCGTCATCCCCCGCGCTGACAAGGCGGGTGTCATTGGGAATAAACTTGACAGAATATATGAGGCAACCGTCACCGGCGGAAAGAGGAGGCAAGGCAAGATCATAGGATTTGAGGTCCCAGATGCAAACTAAACCATCAATTTCCCCGCTAGCCAAGAGGCCTCCATTCTCTGAGATATCTATCGCCTCGACGTTGATGTCGGACCGCACGAGAGGGTCAGCGGATTCGTGGCCTGTTGTGGTATCCCAAATCCTAACTGCATGGTTGTTTCCTGCACTTGCGACGTGCTTTCCATCGGGGAACCAGGCAATCGCACTCACGCTACCTCTATCATATACCTTCCGTCTGTACAAGTATGATTTCAGCATTGGCAAAAGTCAACTCCAAGACAAGACACACGTGTATTTGCTTGTGTGGTCGGTGCCACTCTGCGCCGCCAACTTAACAAATGGGCGTCAACGAAAAGCACTCAATCACAAGTAGAACACTCACTTGTGGAAGCACCTGTGTTCCATCGCATAACTTCCAAATACGCACGCTACTGGAGCTGCAGGAAACAAAGTGTTCTCCGTCGGTCGAACATGAGACTGCATAGACTGGCTCCCCATGTCCGTACAGCGGTCCCAAGACACAACCACCCGACGTGATGTCCCAGACTCGAATGCTTTCATCGTGAGAAGAGCTGATTAGACGTTGACCGTCATAGGAAAATGATACGTTTAAAATGTTATATTTATGCCCACGAAGGGGGCCTTTGACCAGGTCACCTGTCGAGGCATCCCAAAGCCGGATGGTATAATCGTTTGAAGAGCTAGCAATGAGGGAACCGTTTGGAGAGTACTGAACGCAAAGAACAGGGCCTCGATGTCCAGCCAGCTCGCGAACAAGCTTGTGGTCACGTACGTCATAGATGCGAACACGCCTATCATCACAGCCGCCGGTCGCAATATGGTCGCCACTGGGTGAGAACGAGATGGAATTCACCCTCTCGGGATGCTGTATTGTGGCGATGCAGTCCCCTGTGTGAGCATTCCAAAGTTTGACAAGGCCGTAACCAGCACTGGCAATGATTGCACCGTCTGGAGAGTACTGTACCGCATTAATAGCTATGAAAAGTTTGTGACCCTCGAGCGGCCCCAGGACCATCTGACGAGTGTTGATGTCCCATATTCGAAGGGTTGAGTGGAGGCTGCCGCTAACCAGACGGCGTCCGTCAGGAGAGAAGTCGACAGCATTAACGCCACTCCTGTGCCCTGTCAATGGCTCCCCTACTTGACGACCTGTCCCTGCCTCCCATATGCGTATCGTCGCGTCATCCGAACCTGTAGCTATGAATGCACCGTCGGGCGAGTATGCGCATGTGCGGATGCTGCCGGTATGGCTCTTGAATGGCTTGAAGACAGTTTTCTTCATGATAAGCTGAGGTGTACGTGGGCTCTATGGGTTTTGCGAGTCGTGGTGGGCAAGAGGTACTAAGGCAGCTCCAACGTGCTGTGCGGCGTTTGGCATGAGGCACCGATATGCGCCGGATTGATCTGGACGTCGGCGCTTATGCAACGTGCGCGCAGACGGCAGAATGGAGCGGCCTAAACGCGGCATGCTCGTTTGATTACTCAAGGAATGGACACTGCTTCATCTGGAGCACAAGATAAATGGTTGACTTGAGCCACTATCCGCAACCTATAGACCCGAAAAAAGCGCTCAAGAAGCGAGTTGATGAGCAAAACGCGGTATCGCAAATCCGCGCAGATCAAAGGATACGGTTAAAGCGACCCATAGCGCTAGTGAAGGGGACTGGAATGTAAGCGAGCTGTCAAAAAATGCAAGGATAAGGATGCGATAGGAAGTGATCATACAATGAATTGGAGGGTTTGCGGGTCCGATATGTCTGAAAGAGCAATCGGTTTGCTGTTCCTCGTGAGGTTGAGACGCGAAATACAGGTGAAGACACCGAGCGAACGTAGACATTCTGGGCCACGCACTTGGTTGCCTTGAGAAAAGTGTAAGTTCAGTTCGGCTAAGTGATCGTTGGCTACACATTCAGCCAGATAAAGGTGAACTTCGGCAAGAGGTTCAAGCTCTCTTCGTCCTCCGTCACTGTAAACGGAGGATCGACTTGTACATGGCGAATTTCTGCAGTAATATGCAGCAAATTCTTGAGCGTGGACATACGCAAGCGAATGCGACAAATTGCTTGGTGCTGATACAATTCGTCACTAGTACGTCTTTTTAGGACATTGACATACCTTCATGCTACCATCATTGTAAATTCACCCCAAGTAAACCACTTGGAGCTGCCTCAAAACTTGACGCCCGCGATTGTAGCCCATGTGGGGGACTGGCTATGAACTCACTTGTGGGTGGCGGTTTGATTGAAGCGAGAAGCCGAAGTGCTCATGTCTTCTACCAATGATGAGGCTGGATGCTATAAGCGCCCACTGCACGGTGCACGCCATGTAAAACGAGGCGCTAGAGTGTATATCCCGCCATTGCTCTACCTTAGTAATCCTTGGTAAGCACTCGAAGTTCCACTCGGGCGAAGGCTCGGGGAGTCGTCAGAGCAAGGTACGGTGGGCATGACAAAGCAAAACTGCCACTAATAAGCCGACGCGTCGGGAGTTTAGCCAGCGAAAATGCGGAGAGAGACGAAACAGAAGACCAGATGTGAAAGGTATAAAGAGGAGCAATAGAGATAGAGTCTAAGCAGAAAGACGAACAGTCGCTCCGATCACATACCTTTCATCGACTTCGCACCACCGACATGGGCAAGAGAGTTTGGCTTAGTACGTCAATCATGCAGTGACCATTAATGTGCACTGACCTGTCAAACATTGCAGTTACCGGCGCGTCCTCAGGAATTGGGCGTGCCATCACCGAGCGAGTGCTTAAGCAGGGCGACATCGTCGTCGCAGCGTTGCGCAAGCCATCTGCCATCGCCGACCTCGCGTCCGCTTACAGCCGTGACCTCCTTTTGCCCGTCGAACTCGACATTACGAACAAGGCGCAGGTCAGTAGCGCCTTCGAGCGCGCCAAAGAGGCTTTCGGACGCATCGACGTCGTAGTGAACAATGCTGGAGTGGGCTTGCTGGGTGACTTCGAGGGCACACCGGATGAAGACGCGCGTAAAGTTTTCGAGGTGAATTACTGGGGGACCGTCAATGTGACCCGCGAGGCGCTGCGCTTCCTCCGCGAGGTGAACCCCGCTGGTGCGGGTGGCATTATCCTGCAGAACACGTCCGTCACCGGCGTTGTCGGGGTGCCGGTGTACTCTCATTATTCGGCGAGGTGAGTAATTTGGTCACATACCATCGATACGTAAGTTGAGCTTGGCTGATCACTTTTTCTATCATTCTAGTAAACACGGTAAGATAGGCAAATTATTGGCGCTTTTCGGTGACTGACTCCACAACTAGCAATCGAGGGACTCACAGAGGCAATCTCAAGAGAGCTCGATCCTACCTGGAACATCAAGGTGTGTAAACGTCGTGTGCATGGGGAATCATCAGATCGCTCACCATAATCTGCCAGTTGTGCCTCATTGAACCCGGCGAATTCGACACGGTCGGGACGAACACGATGCCCACACTGCCGATCCATCCCGCTTACGCGGCCAACACATCCTTACCCGCGTACAAAGTGAGGCACGCCACGAACGAGGTGCAGTTCGAGGGAGACGCATCCAAGCTCGCCAAAGCGGTGTACGACGTTGTGTCCTCTGGTGACATCCCGGCGCGTCTGCCGATAGGGCTGGACTCCGTGCGTGCGATGAAGGCCAAGGCGGAACAATACTTGGAGACGGTTCGGAGCGTGGAGAAGTGGTCGGCTGATGTGAGGCGAGATGATGCGGGCGGCAATGACGTCGATGTCACAGCGTAGTGAGGAGCGTGGAATCAGCGAAGAGTCAATCAGTTCAGGTGACTGTAGAATCAGAGGGGCCGGTGTACAATCATGTTGACAAGTTTTAGGAAAAGGGTGAGTTTGTATTCCGTGCCGTAGCGACATGCAATGAGAGCGTGCTTCCAAGTGCCTCCCAGTAAGCCGATAGCATCAGCAGGGAGTTTGGAGCACGGAGAGTTGATGACAGGGTTGACGAAAGGATGACTGGTGGATATAATGCTTCGAGAGATGAATCGATGACCTTGAGAAGTGTTACGGGAAGAACGATCTTCTGATTTGAACATGTCACTGCAGCAGCGCGGTAGGTCCGTTAGTATTTGCCTTCAACGAGATAGAGCAGAACGGTGTTGGGGAGGTCTCGGCAGTGCTCCGGGAACATATGCCAAAAGAGAGTCAAGGGTTCAACTCGAGGAAATTTGTTGTCTTGACGACCGACCGCCACTCTTCTCCTGTTCCTGAACGGGAGCGCAACAAGGCGCAATGCGGCGGTTCTTCCTGACACTACCATGACGCGCTCGTCAATGTGCCCGTTTCACAAACCACTACGAACCACCGACGAAATTCCAGAGACCTAATCTGAGTCGCCTGCAATACTGAAATCAACGAACTAGCGAGTCGACATGGACGACAAATCAGACGAAGAATTTCAAGGCGAAGCGGCATGAAGTGGATCACTGATCACTGATCAGCATGCCAATGAATTGACGTTGGCAAGACGTTGGCTTCGGCGTCGGTGTCGGTGTCGGCGACGCCTTCACCCGGAAGGACACCCACCGGACACGGTTTGAGCCTTTTGATGCATGATTGACCGGGTGACGGGTCTGTCCATCACCGCTGCCAAGTGGAGGCCACAAAGTCAAAAGCCTGGAGTTTACTGCGCACCATCTTGACCTCTTGACCCTCATCCTTCCTCGTCGCGTCGACGCCCGCCGTTCCTTTCAAAACTCTACCCTCTCTACAACAACAAATCGCCATGGACGCCATGCTGAACAACGAGCGGCTCTCGCTCTACTCCATCCCCGCAATGTACGTTCTCTCGCTCGTGCCGGCTGTCCTTAAGAACCGGCTCGTCGGGTCGCAGGCTGGGTGGGACAAGTGCGTACTCTTCCTCTTTACTATCTTCTACCCCCTCCACTTCCTCCAAATCACAATCCTCACCTCCCAACCGTTTCTCTGGCCGAATCTAAACATATACTGACGCATACACCCATCTCCCCTTCCCCTTCACCATCCATGAAATGAAACCCCGCTCTTGGCCGTAACTTGCACCCGCGCAGCGTCAACCCGCGCCAGAACCTCGAACGCGCCGTCACGAAGAACAAGATTAGCGCGGAGGTTGCCGCGCGCGTGCGCCGCATGGAGGGTGCGCATGCCAATGCCAATGAGGCACTGCCGCTGTGGTTCGCTGCTGTCGTACGTCTGTGATTCTCGTCCGTTTTCTGTGGGATGCTCATTGTCTGAAATACCTTCTGACGTCATATGCCCGCTCACGCACGTGTGTATCTATATCCTTTGTTATACTTGGGACGCCGGACGCCTCGTGGCGAATGCTTCAATGTGTAGCTCGCGGCGAACTACGCAGGCGTGGATGCGCGCACGGCAAACGTCGCGTCGATCGTCTTGTAAGTCCCTTCCCTCAATTTCTCTTTGCGTCGGACCAGAAGCAGGCGCTGAACCTGGCCATCTTCCCTGCAGCCTTACCCTACGCGCCCTCCACACCTACACATACATCACGCAGACAACGCGCGTACGCTCGCTCTTCCGGTGCGTTTTGTAGTGCCCTCATGCGTCATCATCGTAGGGCTTTACTCATGTATGTGCTCGGTTCCCAGCTCGCTCGCATGGTTCGGCAGTGTGGGCATTGCCATCCGCCTCCTCATCCAGGCGGGCAACAAGGCGCGCTACACATGAATCCACCACCGGCGCCGCCATCGCTGCTGCGGAGCTCCGACGTATGGACGACATCTGCTGCTGCTGCATGGACGGACGCTGCTTTTCATGCCTTAACGTAGGACATTAAGTTCGGAGTCGCGGTTATTTATGTCTACTTTATTAATATTGCTGGTGCTGTATTTAACATGCGTACACGAGTCGTACACGTATGTGTGCGTGGGGAAGAACATTAAGTACGCACCTTTGCACACGTCGACGATGACTGCAATGGGCTGCACTCCCCCGGATAATGATTGCTGACGTGGCACCCCACACAACCCCACATTCAATTCGACGTCCGGCGCTCGATCGTGCGTCACGCACCCACACGTCTGCCTGCCCGCGCTTAAACGGATCTTGCGCTCTGAGCATCCATCCTGCTTGTCGGCTGTGCCGTCGTGCAGGCACAGGCGGGGGGATGCATCAGAGATGATATATGATATCAGACCGAGAAGCAGGCCGAATGAAGACGAGAAAAAGAGCGAATATGTGCGACCGTTGATCATCCTTTGATTGCGCCTCGTGAGTCTCTGATGCAGGGAACAGAGATTTGCACCTCGGATGTATTGGATTGACGAACGAAGTTGCGAGCCCTATAGTAGGGATAATCGATAAAGAGGCAGCAAGAATGGCCCTGTGCAGGGGTTTAGGCGTCGAGTGCGGTTTATGCGTGCGACGGCAAAGTTTTAGTTCGGGTATTCGATATTTCTCTCATCTGGGGGCTCCTGATGAGAGCCGACGGAAGAAGACATAAGAGGTCTTCTGATTTCCTGAGAGAACGAGAAGGCTGTTCGCGAGGTGCACAGGCGAATCAACGAAGAAGCTCGGCTGAGTCGGGCGCGGGCTTCGCAGATGTGCAGTGCACTATCAGAAGATCTGTTCGTGCGACGGTAGGAAAGGCGGGCCGGGCCGAACGCGTATGTTTGGAGGCGGGTTGGATGGGAAATCGGGGTAAGGGACGGTAGGCCAGTGTAGGCGTCAGCGCTACGTTTAACAATACAGATTGGCCGCGGCGGGCGGTCGATCCGCGCTCGTCGCCGCGGCTTGCCACTGCCAGTGTGATCGTGATCGGGGACCAGGAGACGGAGAGTTTGCAGGCTGATGCATCATGTACGTACAGTATATACTTATATCGGGACCAGGGTATTGACAGTGGAAAGGCGGAAGGGGGGCCTGGGAGATGCAAGATCTGTGTAGAGCGAACTGTTTCTCGAGGAATAAGCTTCAGTGGCGAGGCGGTGTCCATGTGGGCGGATTGCCCGTATATGTTTTTCATCTTTCCCAAATGACGCGCGCGGTAAGCAGAGTGCGGTAAGGTTTGTCGCCGATAAGGAGTCTGGTCCCTGGTGGTGGTCCCGTCGGGTCCCGCGGGACGCAGCCGCTCGACGGTTTTGTTTTGTTCGTTGTTGAAGTGTGTGGAGTGAGGTTAAATGACGACTTTTGGAGGTAAAGTGGGTGTCTATAGCTAACGCGGAACTGAAATGGGTCTTCCGGACAGTGCGCAAAGACCATCAGTGATGCATAGCCAGTTCGAGAGCGGCGGTGGGAGCATCAGTGAAATAAGCACACAAAAGGTTATAGAGGAGATGGGGGAGCTATGAGGTGCTTCAGATACTGAACGGCGCAGGAAAGAGGGTTGGAGGTGTTGAAGCTGGCAGTGGATCGACGATTGGATGCAAAGACGCTGTGGTTGCGTCGCAACCGTTAGAGTTTACGGTACCTCGCATCCACGTGGGGATGACGGCGATAAGCGAGCTTTCACGACATGCGCATGTCAACATCCGTCGGGCGGGTCCGGTGTTCTGCAGCCGGGACTGGAAACCGTCGTAGTGTCTCTTGAAGCAGCTGAGGGTTTTCTTCATGCAAGCTTCAGTCTTGCATGGGTCCGATGCATGTCTATTATTGCTGGATGGCCGATGAATCGGAGAAATGAACGGGTGAACTGGACGGTGAAAAGAAGGCCGGGCGGAGGCAGTGGGTGGAGGGCGGGCGTGGGAGTTTTGTTTGAATTAGGTCATCGGGAAATTGGAGAGGGCGGATGATGATGAGACTGCAGAGGGGTCCGCCTCAATCCGTCCACCTTTTCTCTCTCCATGCACACCAAAACTCTCCTTTCCTTGCCTCCTCTATTCTCTCAATAATCTGTGAGTCTCCCAACATCTTCATACCACAATGACTCACTCGCAACACAGCATACATCCACTTTTTATTCTCGGAGCATCGCCTTGTGTCGCTCTTCCTTCCTCCCCACCTGGTCCGTCTCCCTACACCTCACTGTATGCGCGTCTAATCCTCCCACAACAGCGTATCAGACGCGGCGGCCTTTTCCCTTTCTCTCTCCATTCCGTTAAATGGTCTTAAAGACCAACAACACACTCTCGTTCTCTCTTTTTCCCCGCTTTGGATTCGGACTAGGCCACCACAAACAGCAAGATTCCTCGCACCCCCATCACCCGCGACACCCCCATGCCACAACCAGCACCGCCAATACCACCGACGATAGCACCACCGACGTCGAGTACATCACATACAACGGCCCGTACGAGGCCCCCAAGCTCCACCCACACCCGGACGAGGACGCCGTCGACGCAATAATGGCCGACCCGGACATGCTCACCCGTTATGGCTCTGGATACACCGCCGCTGCCGACAAGAGCGCCCCGGGCACTGGCACCGCGGCCATCACCGTTCCCGGAACGTGGGGTCCGAGCACCAGCACGAACACAAACACGGGCATCAGCGCGCGGCCACTCGCGGCACGTTCGCGCTCCGACATGACGCGACACACCTCGAGCTCGTCTAGCGCCGTCGACCCCTCCACCACGCGCAGGTCTCAGCCGCCAACGAGCGCGCCGCGTCCACGGCTGCCTAGTTTTGGGGTTGGGGCCGGTCAAGCACACGCGCCTAGCTCCGGTGGAGTCGAAGAGTCACCAATGCCGATGCAGCGTACACGCTCGCAGAAGCGCACGAGTCGGCCTAGCACGGGCGCGGGCGAGGGACCAACGGGGGTGCTCGGTGCAGGAGGCAGTATAAGCAGGAGTAGGAGCGGGAGCGAGGGCACCACCGCCGTCAGCAGGCTTCTTTCCATCGGCCCGGGCTCAGGATCGGGCTCAGGCTCAACGCGCAGGGCACAGCATCCAGGGAAGATTGCGCTCGATATCCCCGCCTCTGCAAAACCTGGCCCTCGGACGGCCCCCACGCCCGATGAGAGGTCTGCAAACAACGTAGGGCGTCCGTCGTTTTCATCTTCTTTGCATCCGGATACTGCACCAGCGCGCAAGTCGAGCGTGGAAGGCGCGAAGGGGGGCTACTTCTTCGACGCGGACGGGTATTATCCGAACCACACGTATACGCGCGCACGTGCGGCTACGCACACGGCTACTGGTACCGCGTCGCCACGCCGCCCGCCGTCTGTCCCACTGCTTGACCGTGCCGACGATGGCACCACGCAGATGTCGCGTTCTCGGGCTCAGTCGTCTGCGCACCGGCCAACACAATCGGACAACATCCTGATGGGCTTTAGCAATGTGCCTTCGTCGTCGCGTCACACGTCACCACCACCACCACCCGCCCGGGCACAGGCTACGGCTCAAGAAGTAGAATTTCAATCACAACTACCGCATTCCCATTCCCGTTCGCACACTCAAGACGCGTTCCAAGACCAATACCAAGACACCCTCCCAGCGCTCATCCCGGGCGACCGCGACTCTACGGCATCCGCATCCGGACCTCCCTCGTCGCTGGGCACACAGTTTTCGTCGAGCGCCGCGCACGGACACGTTCTCTACCCCACCTCCGCCTCGACTCTGCACCCGTACGCGACAGCGACGTCGCCCGTTGCCTCGCCTCGCCGTGCACCAGTAGCGCTCCCACGGCGCGATAGCGGTAGCGGTTCGTATATCGGGCATCATCGGCAGCAGGGCTCGGGGTCGAGTATGAGCCAGATGAGCGGGATGAGCCAGAAGGCGCTGGGCAAGCGGCCGTCGGGGCTTGGGCTGCGGAGGTCGTCGTTGTCGCAGTCGCAACAATGGCAGGGGCAGGGGCAGGGGCATACGCGGGACACGTCGGGGTCGAGCGCGATGAGCAGTCAGCAGGTGCACGCGCAGCCGCCGGTGAGGACGCATTCGGTGCTGAAGAAGCGGCCGCCGCGGACGGCGAGTCTGCATTCGCATGCGCACACGCATTCGCATTCGAGGGGCCCGTCGAATGTGTCGAGTTCGGCGTATTCGCAGGGCTCGCATGGGTCAGGGATGGGGTGTGGGGCGTCTTCTGCGCAGGGACACGCTTATGGGCGGGGCGATGCGCGATCCACGACGGCGGGATCGAACACGCTCCGCGTCCCTTCTTCGCCCTCCGCATCGCATCTCCCCGCGCCTGGTCATGGTCCTGGCCAGACGCAGACACAGCTCCGGTCCTCGATATCCGCGCCGAATCTCGGCGAGGCGAACCGCGCGTTCCTTGTTCCTCCGCCTCCGCCCCACCCCGGTGCGAGTGGAGGTGCAGATGGAGATGGGGGTCGAAGGAAGAGCAAGCACTCTGCTGCGTCGGGTCTGCCGAAGGGCCTGGATAGGTGGTTGAGCGCGGAGACGTGGTGCGATGCGATTTTTCTGCCGAGGCCGCGGTTTAGGCTGAAGAGCTCGATGAGCACCGAAGGGATGAGGGAGAGGGCTGCGGGTGGGGATGGGGCTGTGGGTGCGGGTGCGGGTGGAGGTGCGGGTGGGCAGATGGGCTATGGCGAGGGATGGGGGCAGGGGCAGGAGGGGAGGGAAGGGGATGGAGACGGGAGGAGGAGCAGGAAGACGAGTCAGACGCAGACGCCGCAGAGGATTGTGAGTCCGCCGACAACACCTGTGAAGGGGTGGAATCCGCCGATGCCGACTGTGGCCAGTGGTGGGACGGCGTCGCTCGGGCGGACGAGGTCGGCGAGCGCGGGTGCGGCGAGTGCGCTCGGGCTCGGGCCGCCGCCTGGAAGTTCTTCGAGCTATCACACTCCTCAGCGGACGGTGTCCCAGGAAACGCAGGCTCAGGTTCATCCTCCATCATCATCATCGACATCACACCGCACAACACCTTCTTCCTCGTCTCGCCCCCGCGGATTCACGCTGGGCCTGATGAAGTCGCGCTCCGCCGCCGACCTCGGCTCTAGCAGCTCTACCAACGCGAGCACGACGAGCGTGCACAAGTATCTCAGTGCCGCCGGGCCCGGAGCGGGGAGGCATACGGTCCCCGCGCGTCCGCCGCTGTCGCCGATTGCGAGTGTGAAGGAGCATTCTGGGCGGGGGTCGAGTGTGTTGTTGCAGGCTATCTTTAATGAGCCTACTGCGCCTTCGAGTCCCGGCGGTGAAGGAGGAGGAGGTAGAGGAGAGGAGCAGGGCGGAGGTGTGGATGATGTGGAGAGGGGAGGGGAGGGGCAGGAGGAGATGGCGTTGCCGGTGGTTGTGCCTACGCTTGATCAGTGCGTGTTTTTATTCTCATTTTTATTTTATGCCTTTCATTGTTTTCATTTTTATTATCCTTCTTCCTCCGTCGCTTTTTGCCTTTTTGTTACACCTCCCCGTGAGCTCCACGCTGACAGGCGATATGTATATCTTAGGGTCATCGAAGAAGGCGAAGAGCTCGAGAGGCAGCGCCAAAAGTGGCAGAAGCAAGCCCGATCGTCCCTCGGCAACAAGCACACCCGCTCCATCTCCCGCGCACGCGCCAAGTCGCTGTCGGAGGCGCAGGCGAAGCGCCAGGGCCTTGTCGACCGCGACCAGGACGGGAAGAAGCACAACAAGCACTTTGACTTCCTCGCGCAACGCACCTTCCTTGGGACGCAGCTGAACGCCCCGAACGTCACGGTGACAGCCCCACAGGGCACGAGTGCGAAGTCGCTCATTAGGACGCGGTCGAGAGGCACTGCGGGGACTGGGACGGCGCACACGAGGTCGCAGACGACTACGACGGGGACGTCGGACACCGGTACTGGCACTTTGCCGTCGTCCCATGGTCATACGCTGTCGCATGCGACGACGTCTGCGGGGTCGCATCACCATTCGCACTCGCATGCGACGACCTCGACGTCTGCGGGGCATTCTCACTCACACTCGCAGTCGCAGTCGATCGCGCATTCGTCGCCAAGCTCGAAGCGCGGTTCGTGGCCAAAGAACGCGCTCCTCAAGGCGTCCGCACTCTGCACGGGGCCGGAGCAGGATGAGGCGTTCCGCTCGCCGGTGCTTGAGAACGGGGAGCCGCTTGATATTGCGGTGCGCGAGGGTGCTGGTGCCGGCGTCGATGTTGGCGACGGATGGGTCGACATCGGTCGCTCGGACGCTCAGCCTCATCACCATCGCCTGGAGCCGCGGTCTCCGACGCTTGCGAGGTCAAGGTCTTTGTCGCAGCCGCTTCCGAATGGAAACGCGAATGCTCTGAGTGTCGCCGATCCGTCGCCAGACCCGAGTATGCGTGGCTCGGCGATTGGGATTGCGCTGTCGACGCCTCCACCATCGGACGATGGACATACCGCCACAGGGAGGGAACCATTCAAGTTTGCCAGTCATCCATACGCGATCGTGACAAACGGACACCCACATGGCGCGCCGCCGGTCAATCATCATGGGCTCAGTGACGAAACCCCGAAGGGACACTCGGCCAAGCGCTCCGAGTACGTCGGGCCTCACCCGAGTGCGTACGCTGCGCAGATCTCTCCGGAGTCTGCGACGAGCGACGTGTCGATGCGCCATCGTTTGCCTCCTGGGGCTGTCCAGCAACAACGGACATACACCCACCCCTTCGCTTCTGCGCTTCCCTGTCCTGGTACCGCTGCCGGCGTCAACTATGGCGCAAGTGCTACCGACAGCGTTTTCCCGGGCATCCACGCGCCGGGCTCGCCTGTGTCGCTCTCGAACCTTGATCTCGACCGGATGGGCGTGGGCGCGATGCTTGCGTATGCTGAACGAGAACGCGCGAGTCCGCTCCCGACACCGCCGCTTCCGCCGTCACACCCGCTTATGCAGCGGATGCAGGCGCAGATGCAGTATCATGCGCACGTTCAGCCGCAGGTTCAGGCACAGAGCCATGCGCGGACGTTTACGCAGGGCGCGGAGTTGCCGAACCCGTACGACGGTAGCGATAGGATGCAGCGTTATCGAGTTGAGGGAGTTGAGGAGGAGGAATATGAGGAGCTGTCGCCAAAGGAAGGGAGGTTCTTGGAAAATTTCTCGGCGGATGGGCATGTGCCGTCGAGCGATGGACATGGATATGGTACTTCATCCGATGGACATTCGCAACCTTTCCAGGTGGATCAAGCCATGCCGGTGTTCGCACAGGTGCAGCCTCTTGTACCTCGCCATCCTCATCCGACCAGTGGGAGCGCGCCTTGGACTGGAGCCGGATCCGCGACCGGGTACAGCAGCAACAGAGGGAGCGTCATCCACCCTGCGATCCCGCTCGAGCGCCAGTCATCCGCGCAGAAGGTCATCACGATGCTCGAGAACAACGACGACCTTGACGAGTTCCGCGACCTGTTCTATAACCCACCGAGCGTGTCGATTGTCCCCGCGCCCTCAAGGTCCTCCTTTGAACTGCAGAACCCGCCGCAGCCGCGCGTGCATCTTCCCGGACCCGCTCACCCGTTCAAGACGGTCGCGATGCCTGCAGCGCATGCCGCGGAGGCTGCGCAGTGGCAGACGCGGACGCATCGGCGGAAGCTCTCGGAGGTGGCGGAAGCGGAGAGTATCGGGTCTTCGAGCAGTGCGCTGACGAATCTCGTGCACAAGCTCAGTGCGGAGATGTTGTCGCTGCGCGGGGATGATTCGCCGAAGGGACGCAACTCATCGTCACCACGGAACGAGGGCTCGCCTTCTTCGCTCCGTTTAAGGCACAACGCAAGCCAGGAGCGTCTGTCAGAGAAGAACTTTGTGTTCACGGATCTCACAGCGTCGTACTCTGCGCTGCCGGTTGTTCTTGGCGGGACGTCGACGTTGCCTCTGCATGACGTTGTCGCTGGAGAGCACGGAGAGTTGGCGGGTGGAGATGGCGGGGTGCCGGAGGACGTGGCTTCATCGAGGGCGTCTTCGCCAATCGAAGGCCCGGCTGACCTGGAGAATGATACATTTGGTAAGTTTGGAAAACTTATTTGTTAGGTCATTGCTGACGTAGTGTTTTTAGGGTACCCCGTTCGACACCAGCAGTTCAAGCCGCCCTCTCCTGTTACCGTTCAGAACGTCCCGAGCCAAAGCTCTACCCAGTTCTCCATCCTCGTTGGATCCGCTGATGAAGACCCTCCGCACACCCCTGAGCGCGAAGCTTCGAATAGTCCCATGAAATCCTCCGCAATTGCCATGTGTGGTACTGGCCCGCGCCGCCCAAAGCAGAGTGCGATGGACTCCGCCCTCCGCGTGAGCTGCGCGACTGTCATGTCCGACTCGTCCCGCTTCTCGGGCCTGTCCGACTTCCCTGCTCCACCACACCAGGCTGAGCTTACACCCGCGCACATGTCAATCCTTCAGGGCTACTTCGACTCCACGCCCAGCGCCACCACGAAGCAGGTTGGAGACCCGCTCGCGCAGGCACTCGGACGCATGACGCGTCCTGGACTGTCGCGGGCGGCTACCAGCGACGGTTTACTTTCCCCTAGACCTGCCTTGTCGCGGTCTGAGACGGCCGAGAATGCAGCACTCGCACCTTCTCTCGCATCCACACACCCGACCACAGAAGCGCCTCGTCCTGCTTTGTGATCAGCGTCATATACATACTCTTCACCTTACACTCTGCTTTTCGGCACATAATCTCCTTTGCACTGTTATATATTATTCATTATTGTTTATCCTGCTTTTTTCTTCCTCTCGCTCGCACTCTCCCTTTCTCTTTTCCTATCTCTATCCGCACTGCTTTCCTCGCCTGCTCACTGCCTATTCTCTTCCTCCATCTATCACCTAGCACTACCCCTTAGATTAAACCCACGCCTACACACCCACATTGCGTCTCGCATTATCAGGATTTCTTGACCCATTTTTTGACATATCGGTCCCGCAAACCCTCAAGTTCATCGTTTGATCATTTCTATCGCATCCTTATCCTGCATGTATTGACAGATTACTTACATTCCCGTCCACATTGCTAGTGCTATGGATCGCTGTAATCATATTCCTTGATCCCATGTGGATTTGCGATACCGCGTTTTGCTCATCAGCTCGCTTCTCGAGCACTCTTTTCGGGCCTGTAATTTGCGGTCGTCCCTAATGATGGTCGGTATGAGACAAGAATGGTAAGTGGGGATGATATGGCGAGCAGCTTTACTAACAAAATTGCAATAGGGGATCGGCACGTGAACACCAATTTAATGTGTCGTCGTCAGCACACTCTGATAAACAGCGTCCTCCTCTGTGAAGCCTGAAACACCTTCACGCAGCATGTCAGCCGACCACTTCTCCGTACTCTCGGCAGTCTCTTGAAGCGTTTTCGCCTTAGTCTTCAGCAGACGCACACAGTCCAAGCCTAATGGCAAGCGTGGCGGGATGTCTCCCGACAAAACGACGTCATAAACCGCCCTTGCAAGTTTTGCAGCGTCGCCCTTGAATCGCACACCAAGGGTGTCGGTCCTCATGGAATGTGAGGGTAATGACCTGTTCGCCGCGTATGCGGGGTGCACAGGTAGGACGAGGGTCACGTTTGGACCGTTGGTATCGAATTGACCGGGCTCGACGAGACACAACTTGGGCGTCGTCATCAGTGATTGCGAAGATCTTCCTCTCGGTTGTCCTACTCACCTTTATGTTCCAGGCAGGATCCAACTCCCCGGCTATTCCTTCGGTGAGTCCCTCGAGAGCTGAGTTGGACATCAGCGACAAGCTTCCATATATGTGAGCTGGATAACTTACCATGCTTACTAGCAGAGAACCTAGGGTCAGCACGGGCGCCTCAACAACTCGGCGACATCGACGTACCTGGCTGAGTACTGGGAATAGGTTGGCACGCTAACAAAACCTGCCCCAGATGTAACCTGAAGGATTGTGCCGCCCGCGCCGGCGGGGTTCACCTCGCGGAAGAATCGAATTGCCTGGCGGGTGATGTTGGCCGGCGCCCAGTAGTTCACGTCGAAGAGCTTGCGAGCATCTTCCTCCGGTATCGCCTCGAACTCGCCACAGATACCGTATCCGGCATTGTTGACGACGACGTCGATCCGCCCGAATGCCTCTTTCGCGAGGTCGAAGGCGGCGCCCGCCTGCGCGTAGTTCGTAACGTCCAGCTCGACAGGGAGCAGGACGTCGTTGCCGTAGGTGGCGGCGAGGTCAGCGATGGCGGACGGTTTGCGCATTGTCGCGACGACGATATCGCCTCTGGACAAGACATGCTCGGTGATTGCGCGTCCGATACCTGAGGAAGCGCCAGTGACTGCACGGTCGCGTAAATCAGCCGATGTTTCAGAGCGGCACCGTACAACCCAGCACTCACTGAACCACACTTTCCTGCTCATGTCTTGTAGATGCTGCTGAAGACGGGTTCCGAAATTCAATGGCGTTGTAGGTGTGGTATTATACGATTCATGAAGTCTGTTTTACGTTTGATTGCTGACATTGGTGCAGGATCACACTCTCATGCTAATATGTTTTGACTCAATGCAGCACCCAATAAAGCCCAATATACCGGCGTGGAGTCTATCATAATAAACTCAACCTATAAGGCGCAGGGAAGGTCGAGTCATTTATCTTGCATTTATCTATCTATAACTCAGGTGACCCGGCGCGGACGGCTTCTCTGTACATGGGAACTATCCAGCAAGTAATCCGGCTTAACTTTCGCCGTAGACGTAAAAGCGGCTACGAATTACCGACGAACTGTGAGTCTCCTTACTAATCCGCTGTTGACCGAGAAGGCCGGGATTCGTACACAGGGTGCAACTTGCGGAGGGCTTGGTCGCCAATACAGTGACGTATCAAAGTCATTCAGAGTCACCTTTCGCGATAAACGTGACTTATCTCTTCTTTGCTACATAGCAAGTCTCAAGATAAATCAGACCAAGCGACAGAACGCCAAACATGACGTTTGCCACCGGCAGAGTGGTGCGTCAATCAGAATAGGGCTGAACATTATGATTCTGATGGTGCTGGTAATAACATAGCGCCAAATAAATATCAGAGCGACGCAGCTTAGCACTCAAGCGATCCATTGGTAAACATTTCTTGCTTCATGTACTCATTTGTCTGAAATGCTAACAACTGAGATCTATGGATGACTATATGAACTAACACTTCTAAAGTTCTCCCGCTTGCGCACACCAGCTCCATCAACACGACTCAACGCAGCCAATAGCTGCAAATCTGCGAAAATCGTTTTCCGTATACTGGACCATCATGCACTCATGTTGACAGATACCAGAGCTACTTGAACTCTTCTTCGACGCTTTGGACGACAAAAATTCTCTCTCGAGTCTGCGTCGCGTTCAAAGAACCGACACTCAACGCGCTATACACGGAGTTCGATGGATCCGATTTCCTGCACTGAGTGCCTAGCGGTCTCTGGTCGATTCAGGAGCACACGAACCCGACGCGACGGGATGGTACATCTAATGTGTTTGTGGGTCTCCAGCGCCTCTGCATGTATGTTAACTCAAACTGTCAGATACTAAAAATGCATGACATGGCCCAGCGAGAATGGGACACGCTGCTTCGGTGGCACAGGCACTTCCACAAGTGAGTTTCCTACTTATAAGTGAGTGCGTTTCCATTGAAGCCCATTCGTTGAGTCGGCGGTGGAGAATGACACTGACTTCACAAGCAAATACATGTGCGTCTCATCTTGACAAGCTAACACATGCAGATGATGAATTCATACTTGTACAGACTGAAGGCATATGGTAAAGTGAAGGCGATTTCATGGTTCTCCGATGGAAAACACTTCGCAACTGCAGGAGCCGACCAGGTCATTAGGATTTGGGATGTCACAAATGGCCAAGAATCTGCTGATCCATTGGTGTGGCATGATTTCGGCGTAAACGCGATAGATATCTCAGAGGACAAAAACCTCTTGGCCAGCGCGGCAGATGACGGCCTCGTTTGCATCTGGGACCTCAAATCGCAGGACATTACCTTGGCACCTCTTGTCGGTCACGATGGAAGGGTATTAGCTGTCAAATTCATTCCCAATGACACAATCCTTGTCAGCGGGGGAGCAGACGGAACTATCCGCGTGTGGGACGTGCACTCCGGTGCGTCGCTGCATGTTATCAAAGCACACAACAACGCCATTGATACGCTTAGCGTTTGTTCTGATGGATCTCGAATGGCGAGCGGGTCGTTCGACAAGACTGTCAGAATATGGGCTGTTCACGGGTTTACACCTCTGGGAGAGCTTCTTGAACACGACGGCATCGTCTTCTCAGTCTGCTTCTTTCCCGACGGTATGAAACTGCTCAGCGGATGCGAGGATGGCAAAGTACGTATTTGGAATGTCTTGCAAGGAAAGCAGACCATGGCTATCAATCACGGCAGCAACGTCAACTGCGTGCAGTTCTCGACAGATGAATCCATCATTGTCAGCTCGTCTGACGATAACACTGTTTGCCTCTGGGATATCAAAACAGGGAGGCGTCTTCGGTATTTCCAACACTCCACGGGTGTACTTGCGGCGGCAATCTCCCCAGACGGGGAACTCATCCTGGCTGAGGACAATCGTGGTGATATCCGCTTATGGGACATGAAAACTGGACAGCTGATTCTCCCAAAGGTCAGCGGTAACACATTATTGTTTGTATAAACCATCAGCTGATCTTGCCTGTATACCGTTCATATAGCGCCTCCTAAGTGACAAAGACGGCACAAAAGACGACTCGCCCGATTCAGAAGTGTGTATTAGCCATTTCCTTTACCCTATCAGTGCATGAGATTAGTGACCTCAGAATCGTACTAACCACGCGGGAAAAAATCGACAGAGAGATGGACCAGGGAGAGGGTAAGTGCGCGTGTGTTGCCCTTATTTACTTGCACTGCTTATGCAACTTAGTCGTGACGATGGGAGCTAGCGGGAACAAGCAACCAGAAGCCCGTCATCACCGCCATGAATCCCACGAGTCTGTCAAATTGAAATGATAAGCGCACGGTGCCGGCCAAGCAATTGTTCTTCAGCGCAGAGTTGAACAAACTAAGGCAACTTGAACTTACATGGGCTGTAGGGTCGCAATTCCGGCTTTAGAAGCAATGGCGCCCGTCATAAACGGGAGCAGAGCAGAGCCCGCTTGCCCGACGCTGGCGATCCAACCGATGGAGCCTCAGAACTTGTCAGTGACAATGTTGGCGGTGATACGAATTGAAGGAGGAAACAAGACTTACCTGTAAGAAGCCACCGAGGTAGCACCCTTCCAGCGTGATTCATTGCGATTGGATACATCGGACCTAGTAAGATCCCGATGGATGCGACGGCGACGGCGTCGCCTGCGAGTGAAGGAACCAGCCAGACGACGAACTCGAGACTGCGAGGTAGGAGAAACGTCAGGGGGAAACACGAGATGTTGTGAACGTGAACGTACGCAATAGCTAGAACAGCATAGGCGATGAGCGCACGACGTTCTCCGACTTTCTCATTGACCCAGTGCAAAGCCAAACGACCGACCATCATCCCTATTTGCCGTAAGCTCATGTTTGTTGTGACAGGATAGACCTCGTACCACCAAAGAAACCCATGGATATGTAACCCGCAGAAGAACCGCCCCCGCGAACGTTGATGATATACGAAATTGTCCACCCTATAATGTCTATGAGCACCGCATTGGCGTGAAGTATTCTGCTTGAATACGTACCTCCTAGAGTTACCTCGGTGCCGACGTAGAATAGGATGAACAAAGCCAGCAGATGCACTTCTTTCAGGGCAATGATCTGCCGGAACTCGCCGCGGTTGCTAGTACCCCTGTCTCCGGCCGGGACACCAATTTGCGCGAGACATTCTAAGTAAACAGAACATTAACAACCGGGCTTGATCGTAGGGTGTGACATACCGTCCTGCTTCTTGAAGCGGAACACAGCTGACAGAATGACAACGTTCGCCAATGATATCCCAAGCGATGTAAGAAAATGGAATGACCACCGTGGCACAGTCGAAAAGTGCGTTGCTACAAGTGGGGAGACAACCGCTCCCGGACCTAAAAAGAAATGTCATCTGCATGGCGTCTGGGTGCTGGAGAATACTTGTTTTCACCATAAACCTAGAAGCAAAAAATGTGAGACTCGATGTACGTTGACCACGGAAAGCGAAAGACTTGCCGCCATGAAGATGGCCATTTTCAACTCAGCCTTATCTTTCATCTTTGCTACATAGCTAACCGCTTGAGCTTCCTGGAAGTCGACTAAATCAGCATATTCCATGGACGCTGAACGGTGGCGCACTTGTAAAGCCAGGCCAATACCTGTGACGAAGTATCCGAATACAAAGGCAGGGAAAGGAGGCGCAGCAGCCTGAATCGAGTAGCCTACCGCCTGTAGGGCGGATCCTTGCAATCGTTTACAAATGTGAGAGGTGAGAGAATAGCCAAACTCAGGAATGCGCACCTAATACGATCAACTTTCCAAAGCCTACCCTCTCGGACAAGAACACATTGCCTATGGCTCCGGAGATAAAACCCTTGGTTATGGGGTTATTGCTGTCTTAAACCCGGGAAAAACAGACTCACGACGCACGAAAACACAAAAAGAAGAGACACAACAGCGTAGTTCAACTTTAGAGCAAGTTATGTTACTACGAGTAGAAATGGTTGGATGGGGGTGCTCACGTTGTACACTTTCTGTATTCTCGGCAAAAGGGGGCCGTTCGAGGCATCATTCCACCCAGAAACGAAGGCGAACATTGATAGGGCTGCAAGCTGTACGTATGACCGGATAGCCTCCGCTTTGGTTGGAGCCTGAGGTGACGATGCGAGTGCGATCGTGGTGACGATGGAGTTCCTCGCCTGAGTGATGGGCCGAAGCTCAATAGTGCTGGAATGACCGGCGGCTGTGATATCAGCACTTGTGTTGGTAGTTAGTTGCGCAGGATTAAGCCCTGAGAGAGCAGCAGCAGTGGATGCCCGCAGTTGGGCATCACCGACAGCCTTGCCATCGTCGAACAAGGGAACAGAAAGCGACATGATGGGAGATATGGCGGCCGAAGTGAGGGTGTGCTATGAGTTGTATCCCAAGTCCGAGTCAGAAAGCAGAGTAATCACGCAGCCGCGTGCAACGCAGCGCCCAAAACAGTGTCCACGTGTCGAACGATGAAACGTTGAAAGATTGCACGAAAGGAGACTGACGCGGCGGGAAGGTTAGGTGGAGATAGCCGGCTTTTGCCGAGTTTTCTTCATGGTGCGAAGTTGGACCTACACCTCGTGCTCCTGACCCGACACGCGTTTCTACCTCTACGCTATGCACCACCATCAACAGCTAGGGGTACCCACCTTCCTCCTTATCAGAACAGCCACACATGTCCCATGTGTCACGAAGCTCACCTCCGGATGACTCTCGACCATTCGAAGGACACACAGACTCCATCAATGCGATTGGCTACTCTCCCGACGGCCAGTATCTGGTGACTGGATCGAGCGATGGGACCGTATGCTTCTGGGATCCTCACACAGGTACTCAAAGGCATCAGTATATGGCAGCTTATCCAGTCCTCTCCCTTTCGTTCTCTCTATCCGGGCGCCAGCTAGCTGGCATTAGTGCTCAGGAGAACTTACGCGTAGCCCGCGTGTTTGTATTGGACCTGTCAAACGACACGGCTCACGGGATGAAGGCGGAGGTGGATATACTGTACGAGAGCGATAACACACAGGTAGAACGCTCGCATATGGTCACTTTCTCGGCTGATGAGCGACTCGTTGCTGTCATGCTGCCTACTCGCATTATACTCCAACACGCGAGGACAGGGGACGAGATCATGGACGTGGTTCGCATGGAGGGCAATAGTCGCCTTGAATCTCTTCTTGCGTTCATATCTGACGACAACCGACTTCTCTATGCGTATCGCGATGACCTGTCTGATCGCAATGCTCCCTTGAAAGTGCATGTCTTTGACCTGTACACCGAAACAGGAATGGAACTCCGCCTGTCACTAAACCCTTCTCTTTGCCTCATGCCACCTATAGTCTGCTTTCCACTAGCGAATACGATTGCTGGAACACTATCCCAGGGAGGGTTTCAGATCTGGGACATCGACAGAGGGGAGATCCTACACGATCCTTTGCTCGGGCATCTCGACTCGACAACCAGCATCTGCTTCTCACTAGATGGAAAGTGGATTATTGATGGTTCAGAAGCGAAGACTGTATGCGTATGGGATACATCAACAGGAAAGCGACTCTTAGGCCCGTTGAGGCACCCATCACAACATTCGCTCAAGGTGATTGCTTGCTCCCCGCTCAAGGACTATATCGCATGCGTAGACGTTCTCGATGGGGTGCATCTATGGAACATTGCTTCTGAAAAGCTTGTCTTGTCATCTGTATGTGTACTACCCCAACTTGGCACCGCATAATACAAGCAAACTGACGATGCTATCCAGGTGCCAAAAGCCAACGACAATCCGCCTCTAACTATGACAGGCATAACCGAGTCTCTCCATTGGCTTCCAGACGGCAGCCGATTCATCAGCAGTGGTCCGGGAGACGACCATATATGCACATGGGATGCATCGACAGGTAAACAAGTAGGAAAATTTCTGTTCCACGGAGGCTCTCGCATCGGACTCTCCCCCAACGGCGAACTGCTCGCAGTCGGATCTACTCGCATGCTCGGAACCGTCACACTTCTGGACGCGAGCACGGGCGAAGAACACTCTCCTTCACTGATGGAGCCTGGTTCTGCGACCCGAAAACTGGAGTTCTCACCCGACAGTTCTACCCTTGCGATCCTGCTTAGTAAAAGCGACACGCTTCGCATTATGCGTGACGTGTTAGGCAAGCGCAAGCTCGACACCGCGCGCAGTTCGTCGGAGATCGTCGACGTCGTGTTTTCTCCAGATGGCGATCAGTTTGCGTACGCGACCCTGAGCGAGGGCGGCGTCCATATTTGTGACTCGCACACACTACAAGTTACCTTCAGGGTAGCTGCCAAGGAAGCGTTGCATAACCGCTTCTTGTCATTCTCCCCTGATGGTGTCCGCCTTCTGGAATCCTGTAACGAGACGGGTGTGACGCTCTGGAATCTCACCACAAGAGAGAGGCTGTTAGGCATACCAGGCGGAAGGGGCTACAAGAGACAAGCGGCATTCTCTCCAGACGGGCGCTCAGTCGTGCGGAATTGGTCAGTCAACGCTCGGGACGCTGGGGTGGAGATGTTCGACGCAACCAACGGCAAACGGTCATGGAGAACCCAAGAGAAGCAGCTCGTCACAGCGCTTTCGATTGCTCCGGGAGGAGAGCGGATAGTTGTCGGATTCATTGGTGGCATGTTGAAGGTGTACGATGCAGGGACGGGCGAGGCATTGCTTCCTAAGAGCAATCAAGACTCTTCGGAAGAAGTCAGCAACGTGAGTGGTCTTGCTGTATCTGCGTACGCAACTGTTTATGTTCACTTTCCTCGTATCGCAGGAGCGGCAGGCGCGGCGGGTTGTTGGAGCTGACTTTGACGATGATTCCATCATGAACGTGAGTGAAAATATGATCAGATTCTTGGTGTGGAAATCTCATGAACCTTTAGATGCCTGCTACTCTAAGCCGTCCCTCACGCGGGCGCTCTGAATCGGACAGGCGTGGAATGCATCAGCAAGCGCTAAACAAAGGCAAAGGGAAGCAGAAAGTTGATAATGAAGAAGTGAAGTCCGGCATCGTAGCGCGTTTCACCTCACGTTTTAGTCGGGGTGCGTCCAAGCCTCGCGAACCCAATGAAGCACGCCGGCGTTGGCATCGGGCGATCGAGCTCGTAAGCGTTGGACGAGCTACCAACGTAAGTTCAAACTCACTAAGGGGGGTCCATTGCTAAAGCCATCTTCATAGCGTGTAGTTGCCGCGGGAGATCGAGATATCGCTCAGCGAAGAACACGCAGAGAACTTGACTCTGATGTTTCCTCCGGACCTTCGCCACCACCATCGGCGCATGCCTCCGCTCCACGTGCGGGAAGTAGCACGTCAAGAAGTAGCGACGATCTTATGGACACCGTGCGATTCTGCCTTTGTTTTCCGCGTTGTCGGTAAGACGGCATTCGTGATGTCCACCAATGAAGTATTTTGGATTATGATACGTCTCATAGCTACCGCATTATCAGATTGATTAATTAGGCAGTAGGATAGATCAGGGTATGTAGCCATGTAGCCAGCTCGCATGGTGAAAAATTACACACAACAACACAACGAAACCAGCCTTGAAAGTAAACGGAAAGCCCTATATAACCAAAAAATCCTCGAGGTCATCCCCGACGGTACCCATCAATAATGTTCTAAACCATGTCAACTCCTGTCGCAAGTTTGTCCCGCATCGCAGCGCAAGTGTGCGTGTGCTGTTCTCTTACAGTGGCATCCCTACATGAAATAATGGTAAGACAATATGTCGCCTTTGTCAACGCGAAGGAACGTACGGCGTATTGATGACACTGTCTGACCCAGTATAGATCAGCGCATCGTACACGACGCCACCGGCTATGCAGCCCACCATCGGTGCGATTACTGGACACCAAAGCCAGTACTGGTTCCTGAACGTGAATACTGCGCAAGCATCAAACCTCTTGTAAGCACTGAGAAGCTGACACCTGTGAGAAGCGTACCTTCTTTTCCGTATCCTACCATAGCGGTAAACAGCCGAGGACCAAGGTCGCGAGCAGGATTTACCGCATAGCCAGTGTTGAGTCCCATGGCGAGTCCGATACCGATGAAGATGAGGAACAAGGCTAGTGGCAGGAGACCAGGTGGAACAGCGTTGTTCCTTTTATCGATGAAGGCCAGGATGCCTATCATGAGGAGAGCAGACGGCAAGAACTAAGGCAGGGTTGTCAGAGCGTCATGCAAGAGACGTACAAATCAAAGTCTAAGGTACCTCTGAAAAGAAACACCCGACGTTCGACATGTAGTCTGCCTAGCATTACACGAAGGTAAGAGTTGACATCAAGTTAAGGATAGAAAGGATTTTCACTTACGGCATATGTGGCAAATAGACTTCCCGTCTTTGCCACCGTTCGAATAGCGGGTCCACCTTCGAAAGCATTAATTGCATCGCGATAGTTGGCGTACACTATCCCGGCGCCGCAGAAGGCACCCGCTAGCTGAGCAACGCAATAAATAGGCACCTTCTTCCACGGAAAGCGACGTAGAGTAGCCAAAGCAACAGTTACCTGAGATGAGGCGTTAGCTAGCCACGCAACCAAATAATAAGTCGACGTACAGCAGGGTTTATGTGTCCCCCAGAGATACCACCCGCAATCCAAACACCTACTGCAACACCTGCAACGAAAATTAGGACCGGGACACGAACCTCGAAGAGCCCTAGTACGCACCAATAGCTATACCAAAATTTATAGACAAGAAGTCCTGTAGAGGTGTCAGGATCCGCTGTTCCCCAGAAGTAGTAAAACCCTCACTCCTTTTGACGTATCTGACACACTGGCGCTCGACGACAGACCCACTTGACATATGCCACCCACACCGAAAAGAACGAGTGTCATGGTGCCCAAGAACTCCGCCGCTGGCTCGCGGATGCACATCCTAAACGATGGGCAATGAACAAATAGGATCGATATACTGGAAGAAGACATGGCTCATACCTGACCCGCGACCAACGGTTGGGAGCACCAGAGCAGCGTTCGCAGTCCACGATGTCGCTGCTGGATGCTGAGACAGAGACACCGCGCACCGAGCCTGAGTCCAAGGTCATGCCGTCTACAACGGCGACGGCCACGGGCATATCGGCTTTTAGGGAGAGAGACATGCTGGCAGCGCTGAACAGGGGGTGGGGGGACAAGGGAGTGAAGCCTCAGAGGGCACCGCGGCAGGATTTATACGAGGATTTTTTTGCCCTTGCAGGTCATTGGAATGCGAATGTTCTCATCGGCGCACTCGCTCCGATAAGAAGGAGGTAACATACCAGCGGAACTAGGAGAAGCGGTCTATGAAAGACACGTGTTGTTGAGAGCAGGGCGAGTGACGTACGCTTGTGTATCGCCGGTGTTGTTGATCACTGTCAAGAATGACATTAAGCGCACAGAAATGGCTTCCTTGTCGCCAACGCGTAACGTTTATCTCAGGAGATGACCCGGAGCTCACCTCAAGACAAACATTTTCCCGACCTTCGGTTGCCCCATTTCTCAAATGGAATAGCAATTGGTGAGCCATATTTCCAGAACGAAAAAGAAGGAAGCGCTGGTGAGTCAAAAACCAGAACAATGATGCGCGTAAGCGAAATATTAAGGGGCCGCTCGAAGATGCTCAAAGTTTATCACGTCTAGGCGCTGGCACGTTGTGCTGCTGTGTGAACGTGGACCCTTGATGTTGCTTTTGCCACCAATGGCAAACTACGCCAAGCGAGCGCCTAAAACGAAAATCACTTCAAGTAGGTCACGTACGCCTGAAATGACGGATCAACGTACCAATGAAGCTGAAAAGCGGCGAAGAGGCGCACCGCTGGTGGGAACCCTTCGTCAGCTCAAGAGGCTGGGAATATGACCGAAGGCGATAGCACCGACGAGGACGCCGAGGCAGACTTTGCTCTGCAGCGAATGGGTGACTTAAGCATCTCGTCAGAAACAAGTTAACAAGATCGTAACATAAGAACTCTATCGATATGATGATGACCCGGTCCGTCTCGGCACCTACAGTATCAAGCAGTAGTAGCAGTCGCCTAACCAACGCACTGTTAGCACAACCCTCATCTAGACCCCGCCCATTTTATCCAAGCTGATGATCCTTAGTATGATCGCTCACACCTGCATGCTCCGAACCCATAACAGAAAGTCTACTGCGCCTTCTTCTCAGCGGCCGCGTTCTCCTCCTCCATCTGCTTCCGCTCCTTCTCCTCTACCTCGATCTTTCTCCGCGCCTCGCGCCGCTCCCGGCCCCGCGTGACCAGCGGCTTCGGCTCGAGCTCCGCAAACAGGAACTTGCACACCTTCTCGATCACCCAGCAGCCGACAAAGTCGATGACCATCGCGGCCGTCAAGCGCACCTTGAACTGTATCCCGCATCGTTCACGTCAGCAAACAAAATAAGAGCGGGAGGGAATAAAGGAAACGTACAGGATCCGCCATCTCCACAATCTGCAGCCACCTATTGAGCTCAGGCATAAAGTCCGTCGCACCCGAGAACGCGACAGCGCTCGCGCCGACGAGACCGTAATACAGACTCGAGTTCTCCCGAATACCCTCACGGAACGGCCGACCCTGGAAGTTGATCGCAAACGTGGAGACCTGCTGCGAGAGGCCAAGGAGGTAGATGGCCGTGTTCAAAAGCGAGGGCTCGAATTTGGCGTCGAGGTCGATTTCGCCGGGCCTAAAATTGATCGCAGGTTGGTTCAAACAACACACAATGAGCGGGAGAAAGAGAGACATACGGGTCGTAAGAGTGCGACAGGTTCGTGATGTACACGAGCGACACGATGTGCAACGCAAACTGGAACAAGACCGAAAGCAGCACGTAAAAGTTGAAGATATTTCCTAGTGGCCGTTCCCTCGAGAGCTTCTCCACGGGCTAAAGCACAACGCAAACCGAATGAGAACCACACTCGGAAAATCCACAAATAAAGCCGACTCACCTTGGCACGCGAGATACACAAGAAACACACCGACATAAGCATCCCGCTAACCGTAATCTGGTAATCACCAAACTTGATCCCATCGAGATACTGCACACTCAAGCTGTACGCAGTGATCAAACAATTAAGCGCCAGAATCTTGTACATCTGGATCGTCGCCACGAGCGTGCACCGGCCCTGCCTGATAATATGCGCGATCGCCGAAACATGCGACAGCTTCGACGTGAACGGCGCCGCACAGCTCGCGTCCCCGAGCTTGATCTGCGGCACCTCCTCGTCGCCCTCCATGTTCGACAGCGCGTCCGTGATCCCGTTCATATCAAACTTCTCCATCGGATTCTTCCTGCGCGCCTCCGCCAGATTCTCCGCCGCCTTCTTCTGCGCCTCCACCACGTCGGGGTACAGATGCGCGAGCGCCGGCGGCACAGGCGGCGGCACCTGCCCGAACCGTGCCGAGATCTTCAGCTGGCTCTCGTATACCTTCTTGATGCGCTCCAGCCGCTGGTGCTCCGCGATTTTCTGCAGATCCTCCGGCGAGCCGTCCAACAAGGCGACGCCGACGTGCGCCTGCTTCAAGGCGCCGACGTCGTTGGTCCCGTCGCCGGCCATGAGCGTGACATAGCCGAGCGTCTTGAGCGTCGTGAGGATGAACTCCTTCTGTGCTGGCGACACGCGCGCGTACACCCATGTATTCTGCACAAGCGCATTCCACTGTGCCGCGCGCGCCTCGAACTGCTTCATCGCAGCGCCGGTGATACAGATATCGTACTGGTCAAAGAGCGAGGTATCAATCTGGTCTTCGGGGTTCACGGGGATGACCTTGGTTTCGTCCACAGTGCGCCAGACGAGGTCTAGGAACAAAGTAAGTGAGAGGAGGTCATGCACGCTCAGGCGAAGGAAGCTCACCGGCATCATGAGCCGCATTCTCAGCCAAATCCAAAATCAGCGCCTCGCGATCGACAATCTCGACGTCCCTGGCGACGTGCACGGCCGTGAGCGGGTTGTCGCCCGTGATCATAACACACTGCAAACCAAACCGCGCCCTGCTTAGCCCAGGAGACATACCAAAGACAACTAAAAGTCCACATACCCGATGAGACGAATCCGCAAGCATTTTCAGCGCCTCGACCGCATCTGCCTTGAGCGGACAATGGAACACCAAGAACCCCGCAAAATTGAGCCGGCCCTCGACCTCCTCTCTCTGCAGCTTATTGATCTGTGCCATCCATCCCAAATCCCATCAGCTTCACGTTCACACTCCCTCAACGCCTCCAGCCAGAAAGAACGCACCTTGTCCACAGTCAGCCCCTCGACCTCCTTCGTACCCAGCGCAAGCACCCTGCTGCCCCGGCGCGTGTACCACTTGTACGTCTCGTCGTACCACGCCGGCACCTCCGCCAAGAACCCCTTGATCGTCTCGGGCGCGCCCTTGACGGACACCAGGCAGCGGCCGGACGGGAGCGAGGACACGGTAGCCATGCGCTTGAGCGCGGACGAGAACTGGAAGCGCCGGCGGATGATCAGCTTCACATTGTTGTTGGCTGCGCCTGTGCTGGCGGGCGCGACCTGGTCGCCTGTGCGTAACAAAAAAGTGTCAGCGGGGTGCTGATAAGCGAGTGAACGAGAAGAAGCGTACCAGACGACACCTTCCAATCGAGCGCCTCAAGCGTCGTCTTCTCCATCGGATCACCGACAACGGTGCCATCGTCGAGCCTGACCAGCGCATGCGCAGCCGCAAGACAGAGGATCGTCGCCCTGCCCGTCTCCTTCACGTCCACGAGCCTGTGCGGGTCCTTCTCACTGCCAACCACCACGTCAGTTAGTCCCAGCTCGAAGCGCCCGCGGACGCAAGGAATAGCACAACGCACTCGATCCCAACGACGCCCTCCAACACGAGATTCTCCGCCGTAATAGTGCCCGTCTTGTCGAAGCAGCACACGTCGACGCGCCCCGCGTACGGGATGCGGAACGGCTCCGTGCAGAAAATCGCGTACTTGCTCAGCGCGACGAGCGACGCGTTCACGGCCAGCGAGAGCTCCATGGGTAGCTCGGGCGGGACGACGGAGGTGATGATGAGCACGCAATCAAGGAGCAGCTTCGATTTCTTGAGGTCACGCTCGATGCCTATTCAGCCGAGTTAACACGTCAGTCGCCTGCGCGAGGGGAGGGAGAGAGGGAACGAAAGAAGACGCACCCTTGGTCCAGACATACCAACTCGCGGCGATAGCGAAGATGAGGAGGAACCCGATGAACAAGAACGACTCGGCGTTGTTCGCGCTCACGCGCTCCGTCGAGAAAATCATCGTCCTAACCAGCTGGCCCTGCGCCGTGCCGAACCCAGTGCGGAGCACCACACCGAGGCACCCGCCGTCCGGTGTACCCGCCGCCGTCTGACCTTGTCCTTTAAATACGGCGTCAGCCTCGCACCATTTATTTATCAGCATCAAAACAGAAAGGGGACGCACCAGCAGGCGACGCCTGCAACACCTTTGTCCCGCTGAACAGCACCGCGTTCTTATGCGTCGCGTCCACATCGAGCCGTTCGTTGGGGTCCAGCAGCTGAATGCTCTCCTTCAGGAGCGGCGTCGACTCGCCCGAGAGCATCGCCTCGTTCACGATGCACGTGCCCTGGACGAGCAGAATGTCCGCGGGGACGGTCGTCTCGACCTGCAGGCGCGCGACGGAGACGACGTCGCCGGGGAGGAGCTCGTCCGTCTGGAGGGTGACCCATTTGGAGTCGCGGAAGCATTGGATCGGGTACGGCGCTACGGACATGGTGCGGAATTCGGTGAGCGTTTTGAGACGCTGAAGAGATCCTCGCTCGTTAGCATGTGGTGCTCAAGGGAGCGGTGGTGGAGGGAACGCACCTGCCAGACGACGGTGCACTCAAACATGATCAACATAAACAGCGTGAACAAGCTATAATACCAGTACTCGTCCAGGCACCACAGCGCAACACAGAACACCTGGAAGACAAAGAACGGCGCGGTCGCATGCTCGGCAAATAGCTCGGTGAACGAGGGCACGGGGATGTTGAACTCGTTCCCGCCGTACAGCGTCTTGAGCGCCTCAGTGTCCCCAGTCGTCTTGCCCGCCTTGCTGTCCTTGGTAGTCGTGAGCCCCGCGGGCGCGCCGAATGTCGAGAGCGTGGGCATGGCGGTGCACGGGTACGGGAGGCGGGTGAACGAGAGCTCGGGCTGGAGCGAGGCGACGACGTAGGTGTCGCGCTGGTAGTTGAACGTATACGACATGGGGTCCGATGAGCTGCTCTTTTCAAGGGGCACGATTTCGCCCTGGCCGCGGTGGGTGTGTGGGACGAGGCGGACGCAGTCGGCTTCTTGCAGCGAGCGAGCCTGTCGAACGACATCACTTGTTGAGCGGGAAAGGATGGAAGAGTGGATGGATAAGAGCGCACCTTGCGAGTCGTAACCCACGCCTTGGCACCCGCGCTCCATCTCGTGGTCAAAAAGCTGAGGGCATGACCAGCACCGAGCGACACGCAGGCGAGAAAGGTCCACTCCTCGCTCTGGAGCCAGTCGTCGTACTTGATGTAGTATGCATAGGCGAGAAGAGGATAGAGGGAGAGAAAGGGGAGGGTGTAGAGGTGGGTGTACCAGGGTAGTGCGACGTGGAGACTCGCCCGCGCAATCTCGGGCGAGTGCACCGTGATAGACGTCCTTTGTCCTTCGTTAGAAAACTTGCCACCATTCTCAGAGAAAACTGTAGGACATACATTTGTTGGAAAGCTGCTTTGTACTCAGACCAGCAGCAGACCCAGACCCGTTGTTAAGAAAATGAGAAAAAAAAGCAGCGACGTTTGTGAGCGTCGCGGACAATGTCAGAGTCTTCGCAACTGGACGCGTGGAACTCGCCCTCCCCGAAATTTCGGCTTCTCCCTTTTCCGGCCCTGCCTCCCGTCCCGCCTAAAGCAGCCGCGTGACGTGTTCATCCAATCCTTCGAGAACCTTCAACTTTGTTTGATTGGTGTGTACATTAATATCGTACAAAAATGTCGTACAATTGCGTTATAAAGATGGGATTGAAGATAACATCCAAAAAAATCCCTCGAGAGTCCCAGCAGTAACTGACCCCTTTTGAAGCGTACCAAACCAAACCTACGAGTCCAGCGCTCCGTTTCCGTTACAGTAATCCACATTACCTTGCGCAGGGTTGCCCGCCCACTGTATTACATCCGTCAGTTTCACGTCCAAGCACATACAAAGACAAATACGCACAGCAGGGAACGGCACGCCCTTGCCCGACGCCCCAAACACCGCAAACGACAATATAAAGATCATCACCTGCGCGCCACCATCGAGCGCGCCGCCCAGGATATAGTTGTACTTCCTGAACCAGCCCGGGTGGTACCGCCGCAGCCACACCTGCGACACCACGCCGACAATGATGCTCGACAGTATATACGACGACACGCCGGACGTCATCCACGCCGAGTACTGTGGTGGCGTTCAATCGACAGCGAAAACGACGACAAAAACACGGAGGAAGTACGCACCATATAGATGATCGGCAAAATAACCTTATCCACCCTCACAGGCCCGATGTACTTGAATTTCTACCCCAGCCAAACACCCGTCAGCACGCCCCTCCATCGCCCCAGTCTCACTTCAACGGGTGCACTCACAAGACTGATAAGCCACTGAACAGTCGTCGCGGCCAGGCCGATCACCAGACTGAGCGGGATGATATAGTATGGCCCGCCGGGCCCATACAACTCCTTGGCGAGCGACCACGTCACGGCAGCGCTGTTCAAGCTCTGGACGACCTGTCCGCTCCACACGTTCGTGCCCTGTGGCTCGAGCAAGATCTCGCGCTGCGCGTCGACGATCGAGACCATCACCACTACCAGCATAAACAACGCGTAAGCTTACACGAGAGCCGGCGAAGAGAAGATGATGACTGACCGTAGTTAATGATACACCCCAGAATCGTCCCATAGATCTGCGTGAGGAACATCACCCGCGGCGGCACCTTGAGGTACTGCCCGATCTTGAGGTCTCCCGCAAGGTTAATGGATGTCGACACCACATCATGACTCCACATCGAGAACTATCTCCCCTCCTTATCAACACCAGCACTAACACCCAAAGCCAAATCAAGCAAAACGCACATAAAGATTCGCAACCGGCCTCCCGGGGTTCAACGCCCCCGCAACCATCTTCATCAGCTGATTCGTCGCGATCCCATTCCCCATACGCGCGTACAACAGCGTCGAGAACGGCGTGATAAAGCTCCCCAGCAGCAGCGCGACGATATACGACCACCACGGCAGCGTCGTCTGCCCCTTGAGCACCACGATCAGCCCCGCGAAGAACGACAGCGCGAGGAGCGCGAGGTACCAGTACCACGGCGCCTCGTCGTACTTGCGCATCGCGACCCAGTGCGGGTCCTCCTGCGTCCCGTTGTACGCCTGGATGAACGAGTCCTTCACGTACGGACCCCAGAAGAAGATGCAGTGCGCGATGAGCCCGCCGATCTGTGCGTTCGCCCCCCGCCCGCGTCAGCGCCCTCTGTCCGTCTTTTTCGTAGTAGCGGAGGGATGATACGTACAGCGAGGTTGTTCGTCAGGTTCAGCCACGCGTTCGAGCCCGTCAGCGCGGGCAGGCCGACCTGGTCGAGCGCGGTCTGGTTCAGCAGCGAGTCGGACCCGAACACCGCTAGCTGGTCGTAGATCGAGCCGTTGGACGAGAAGAGCGACGTCGAGAGGATCGGGAAGTCCAGGCTCTGTGTTGTTCAATTTTGTGAATATGAACACCCCGTTGATACAGAAGAGAAAGAGAGGGCGCACGTTCCACGTGTTGGTATAGTAAATGACCATGATGATAATGTAGCAGAAGAAGTATCCGATCCACGAGTTCGCTACGGACGCCCCGTCAGCCTCATACGAGTTCAAGGGATGAAGACGACATACCTTGCTGAACCAACGGCAAACTCATGAACACCCTATCCAACGGTTATTAGCCCCTGTATACACCACACCAACCAATAGAAAAACAAACTCACGAAGTAATATACTGCCAATCCAAACTGATGCTCAGCAGCCCCAGGCCCTCGTTCGCATCGCCGCCTCCGAAGAGGTTCGTGAATATATCCTGCGTGCGCGGACTGGCGCGCTGCGAGGCGAGGCAGAAGATGTTGAACCCGTTGAGCAGCGGGAAGATATACGAGGGGAAGGGCTCCCAGAGGAAGAGGATCGTGAATGCTGTCCAGAAGAGCTTGAGGCGCTTGTAGTTCGTCGCAGAGTCAAAGTGCATCGCTGTTAAGAGAAAGAGGATGATGACGTTAGAATGGTGCCAGTCTAGAGCGGATGTGGAGGGCAGACGGACCTTGGAAGATGCTGATCGTCGGGAGGTTCTGTATACGAGACATGAGCAAAACGCAAAGGCCAGGGAAGAGAGCGAGATACGCACAGCCCAGTACACCATCTCACTCGGGTAGACCGTGAGTGGGCGCAACAACCCAACCAAGCCCATCCTGCAGATTCAGAACCAAATTTGAAATTAGCCCTCGGTGACTCTCGCAAAGGCGTTTCAACAGGAACAGAAACGCACCCAAAGCAAGCAGTCGAGAACGTGGCAAGCACGGCCGTCGTCGCCGACGGGTTCGTATCATAATACAGCTAACCCACACATTAGGTTAATCCCAGCCACAAGAAAGGAAAGATCGACACGCACCCGCTGCACCGCAAAGTTCTGCACCGCGCTGCTCCCGTACGACGCCGTGGCTGCGATGAGCGCGCTGACGACGTGCTCCTTGATCTTAAACTCGCCCGGGTTGACGAAGTCGACGGCGCCCGCGAAGCGCTCGAAGCGCGTGCCTTCGACCGAACTGCGGGTGGGCAGGAAGCGCGCCCACGCGACGCCGACGGTGTAGATGAGCAGGAGGAGGAAGACTGTCGACACCACTACTTGGAACGGCTTGAAGACGTAGATCTGCACACGTCGTCAGTTCCATTTCTCGATCCATGCTGAGAGATAAGGGTGAGGGGGACGGAGCGTACCATACACAACGCAGCTCCCAATCCCGCAAACACCGTGCCCAGCAAAAGCGACCGAAACGTCAACGCGGGGTCCCCGTCGTCTCTCACGTCCACGAGGAAGCGCGACACGTCTAGGCCAGTCTCGATGACGGGCTCGCCATTGACGAGCAGCACGTCTGTGTCGTCCGCAGCGAGCTGGCCCTTGATCGAGTCTGCGATGGACACGCCGTCGGCGGCGTGCCCGACCTCCTTATCACCCGCGGCGTGGTGTTTAGCATCTACCTTTTCATCGACGTAGGCGTCGTCCGATGTGGAGTTGGCGTACGGCGCCATTTCCTCCCTCTCCTTCTCGAGGGGCGTGTCGAGGGGCGCGGGGCTTGCCATTGCGCTGTGTCCTGGTCGGGCCTACTACGTGCGCTTACTGAGGCGCTGGTGGACGATGGGGAACCGAGGAGCAAGAGAGTTCACCCGACCCTTCCCTGTCGCATATTATACTCTTCGAAACCCCTCGCATTGGGTCGTGGCGCAATTACTGCATCGAAACTAGGAAGGGAAGAATCACGGGTTGTTGGCTTGGATGGCGGTCTGGTCCCTCGCTCGCGCGATAACGACATAGCGTGCCCGTAGAGCGCAATCGCAAAATCCCATTCGGCGGGCGGGGGAATGCATTAGGTGACAAGGGGCCTATAGACGTCTTCCGTCTTGCCCGCTTTGTTGAGCGTGTCCATGTGGTGTGTTGCCTCATCAGCGAAGAAGAACGAGCAAGAAGGGAAAAGATCGCATAGCCTGGTTATCCTCGGCGAAGAGGTGGAGTTGGGCCGAGACGACGAGACTTTGTCTCCACCTAGAAACTGTCCAAGTTGTTTTCAAATGTTGGAAATATGCTGCTGCTCGCTCGTGATAAGAGGCAGCTGCAAAGTGGAAACATCTTGCAATTGGTTGTGTTGCCAGCAAAAGAAGAAGAGTCGCGCGACATGTCAAGACCCGATCCGACTCTATATTTAGCCATCAGCCCCTGTCTTCATGTTCTTCATGCTAGATTCTCATCAGCGAGCACGCTATATAACGCCAGACGGAATATGAAACTCTTTGGGGCCAGGGTGCAAAGTTGCACATGGTGCGTCAAACCGCCACTTGTACAGAGGCTGATGAGGGTCTCACTTTGGCAGTGGGAGGCATACTGTAGATAAGCCGTCTCCAAGCAGCCCGGCCAAGGACACATATGGCGGTAAAGTACTCCGTGAAAAACCATGTACCAGCGAGATCGGGCGAACGTCCATAACGACTGAATGGGAAGAGGCTTGGTGATATATCTATCATGGACTTGGGTTGATTCTATAAACGTAGACCTAGCTCTCAATAACTTCTCACCACTGCATCTTCGACCTTGCTTCGACCTTCCACCATATGCATGGCGCACGCGGAGAGACAGGCAGAATACGACATCATTCTTGCTACATAGCGGCACAAGCTCGCCGAAAAGCCGCGCGCATGGCTCCAGGAACACAGCCAGACCGCCGAATATTTTTTCCCCCGCCATCAACTACTGCTTATTGGTACGGCCCGCCATGGTACGTCCAGGTACGACCGGCAATTTCCACGGTCAGCGCTGCACGCACGGATCTAATGAAACCTTCAGGCGCGTCCAAGACGCCGGTAACGTTCGCTCATGAACCATAAAAATCAATCAAACGATTTTGAGGCGCTAGGTAACGCGCCCCCTCTGGGAGCCAAGGCACAGTGAATGAGGTACAGAAATCGCGATAGAGAGAATTTAGAAGATGTGCTAGGCACCAAATTTTAGCTAGGCTTCAAGATCGCAACATCGTAGCATCAACCACGGAGACCTTGTAGAAATGTACTGCTCGCTACCTAATATTTAGAGCACGAAAGGAAAAATAAACGGAGAGGGAAAGACCAGTCAGAGTCTGTCAGACGCCAGCTCACAGCATGCAGGCATAATATACGGAACATATATTCACGCAGTTTCACAGTGAGACATTAAAATATGGGGCACTAGTAGATATAGGCACGCGCTCTAAAGCGGCCCCAGCTTGAAGCTTAAATTCAAGGTGGGGAAGCCGACGAGCATCGCTCAGCAATCGCTCAGTGCCCTCGACTGTATAATCTATGTACTGATCTGGTCAAAACTCGAGTCTCTCGTAGCGTATCTCGTTTAATAAGTTATAAATCACCCGATCCAAAAGACTGACAAGATAAAGCCTAAGTATAAACCGACACGCATCGCTGGTGGCTCCCAAACAAATGCATTTGACATACCGCCGGCAACTGCCGAGCCCTTTTCTGCGGCGAGAAACTGGACCCACACATGTTCGAGTTTAGCCAACGCATGCTCTTCATCCGCGTCATGCACCACCTTCGAGGACATTCAAGGCTATCGCAGAATCTCTTCACACTCTTCGCGGTAGAAGTAGCCTCTTTCTATGGCTAGCAAGCCCAAAACCCCTTCGGAGGCCCAACCATTCAGCGGATACAAAGGCAACGTCAGCTGCATCGAGTACTCCCCTGACGGCCAAATCATCGCAACAGGCTGCTCAGATGGCATTATACAACTATGGAATGCTCGCACAGGATCCTTATCTTGGGAGTTCAAGCCTTCTGAACCCGTATACTCCCTTGCGTTCGCTCATTCAGGACGACGGCTTGCCGCCATCTGCGCAATGCCGCGTGCTGGAGTTGCCCATGTTTTCATGTGGAGCTTAGGCGATGAAGCTGAAGGCAATTCGAGCTGCAGGGATCTGAAGACTTCGTACGACACCGACGGAAGAGCTGCATCAGGGGCGCATATAGTTACGTTCTCGTCGGACGACAAGCACGTCGCCGTCCTCATGCCTACTCTCGTGGCCTTGCAGGACGCACTGACTGGGAGCATGACCCACGAGCTGTTCCGAGCGAACAAGAGTTGTCGCCTCGAGTCTCTGTTGGCCTTTACTGCTGCAAATCGCAAGGTTCTCTTTGCGCACCGCGAACGCTCCCGTTCTGGTCTTTTGCACGTCCGGAGCTTCGACCTAGTTTCAAAAGAACAGGAGAATCTGGAGCTCTCCTTACCTCCTTCTTCGCTTCTTCGACCTCCGCTTGCCAGCTCTTATGATGGAACCGTGGTTGCGGGAGCCTTGTCTCACGACGGTATCCTGGTTTGGGACACCGAAACAGGCAGCCTACTGCATGGGCCTCTCCGTGGACAAACTGACACAACAACTTGCATTTGCTTTTTGCTAAACGGGAAGTGGATTGTCGGCAGGTCTTCCGACAAATACATATGTGTATGGGATTCCTCAACGGACGAACCAGCTTTCGGTCCCTTGAAGCACCGCTCGCAGCGCTCAGTAACGGCAGTGGCTTGCTCACCCGTCGGGGATCACGTCGTGTGCGTCGATGATGACAATAGCATACACGTATGGGACATCCCCGAGGAAAAGTCGATTTTGTCATCCGTTCGTGTATTTTATTGTTCTCTGACTCTGCAACATCGCTGATGAGCTTTTGACAACGCAGGTGCCAGATAATGGAGACCATAGGTCTCCGCTCCTGCACTCCACTTACGCCAGAGTCAAGTCCATTCTCTGGTTCCCCGACGGCAGCCATTTCATTAGCAGCAGCGAAGATGATTACATCGTCACTTGGGATGCATATACGGGCAAACAAGTCCGCGAGTTCTTGTTCCCAGGAGGCTCTCATATAGCCTTGTCCACAGACGGCGCCTTCTTGGCGGTTGGTTCCCTCCGCAAGCCCGGAAAGGTCGTCCTTCTGGACGTCAAGACCGGCGAAGAACAAGCTTCTCTGCTAGAAATTCAAAGCAAAACGCGCAGGATAGAATTCTCCCCGGATAACTCGACACTAGCGATCCTTATGGAGGAAAGTAACTCACTCGAACTGATTTGTAATGTTTTTGACCAGCACCATCGCAAGGTCGAGAAAATCCAAAGCGCGGAGCCAGTCATAGACGTCGCTTTCTCTCCAGATGGGGAGCGCTTCGCCTACGCGACTCTGGGCAACGGCGGCATCTTCGTCTGCGCTCTCGGCACGAGAGTCGTTACCATGCACTTCCCAACACACCTCTCTTCTCCCGCCCAATCCCTGGTATTCTCCCCAGATGGCCGTCTGCTTCTCGGTTGTTTGGATTTAAATACAGTTACCCTTTGGGACCTTGCGACGACCCAGCCTATTCTCCACGTCCCGCGGAAACCTACGCGGAACACTATGGCCGCGTTCTCACCTGATGGCATCGCGATCCTACTCGACTGGAGAGACAACGAGCACCGCTCGGGTGTTGAGATGTTTTCAGTAGCCAGCGGCGAGCGCCTGTGGCGCATGGCTCAGGCGTCGGACGTCAGCGCGTTTGCGTTCTCGCCTGGAGGAGACAAGATCGTTGTTGGATTTAAGCCTGGTTCGCTGAGCGTCTACGATGCTCAAACAGGCCGGGCGATCCTTCCAAAAGTGAGTAGCTGCTGATGTATTTTATGGGTGGGACATGACTGATTGCTTGCAGAAACGCGTCAGAGCAGCAGAAGCCACGAAGAATGTGGGTAAAGAAGGTCGCGAAAACAGAGTGGTGCGAGTTATTATCGATATACCTCTGCTCGTCTTTGCTGATGGAAATTCGTGCTTGTTGCTGTAGAAATCGCGACGGTCACGTCCTGATCAGCAAAGGAGAGCCGCTGGCCTGGATGACTTGGATGAAGACTCAATCCTGAATGTAAATTTCTCCAGCTTTTTGCCTTATTGGAGGGTTAATCACTCTTCAGCTTCCTGCAGCGTCAAACCTTGCTGGCTCAGGACGCTCTCCATCAAATGGGAGGCAAAACCTATCGGATGGCAACCCACGGGGATTTAATAAAGCGTTTCACTTCCCGCCTTTCGCAAACCATATCACCCTTCCATTCTGGCCAGCATACTCGCCGCTGGCCGCAGGCTATCAGACTCATCGGCGTTGCTCGGTCCCGTAATGTAATCATTTTCATGGCCTGCCAACGTACGGGGATTGAGCTGACATATTTTGTAGCGCGTGGCCGCCGCAGGTACGCGAGGAAATAAACCTGAACGAGAAGACGAAAGCTCGTCAGCCTCATCTAGCCCGTCACCTGCGGAATCCACTCGCACATCCTCCCCGCGCAATGTTGCTGGTGCTGTAGACTTTAGCATCCCGGATGCTCATGGGGAACAGAGTAGCACGTCCAGCGACAGCGGCTGTTTCGACGCGATATTCTATTGTTTGTGCTTGCCGCGTTGCCGGTGAGGCAGACTCAGTGGATATGTGCTATCGTACACGTATGTATGCATGTTATGCATAATCCGTGTTTGCATGTGCGCCGAGGGAAACTCCTTGCCTACTGGTGGAATTAAAGTCCGCCTGCTCATCCGCAGACATCTACATGAGGAGAAGGTTCATGCGTTGATGGCAGTGGAGAATGGGTTCGTTATCATGGAATAACAAATCACATTTTTAGCTTTACCAAGGTAATAAAACCAGGCCACATGCTGTTCACGCATCGAGCAGAAGTGGTAATATGCTCCCGACATCCACGGAAACGAGACTTCAAGGTACCACATACCTGCTTTGACGCCCTCAATAAAATACATCTGGGAAGCGCCAAGCGCTTGACCATCGGCACGCCAAAGTTGCATGCAAGAGACCACAATGAGATTGTTCCGTTATATAGTACAGATGACCACGAAAGCAAAAAATGACAAGACAACAAGCCGAAACAAAACACAAATGCGTGAAAGCAAAACGGACGAACACAGGCGCCAGCGCAGAAACCTTGCATCCCCTTCCCACGCACCTCCGCACCCCTCCCCACGCACCTACACTATCGCATGCTCAGCGCCCCGCAGAGCCAACCCATCTCATTGTGGGCACTGACGTCACCACCCCTCCGCATCATCACCCCGTGACCACCTCGCGTCCCGCGCCTCGCGCGAAGATCGGTCCCGGTGGCGCCTCCCCGGACTCAGATCGCAGTCTTCCCGCAGCCGCTTGCGCCCTCGCGTGTCGAACGGGCTGCGTCCAAGAACCGGGGTGTCTGCTGGGAGTGGGACCGTGTTGGTCTCGACGAACAGCCCTGGTGCGGCACCACCACCACCACCACCACCAGTGGAAGGCGAGAAAGGAAGTGGCGGGATGTATGGGGTTCCGGGGGACGGTGGTCGCAGAGATGGATCGTCGAGGATGTGTAGTGGAAGTAGCGGTATGTACGAATCGAGCGGCTCGTCTGAAGTTGGCGGTATGTATGGCGCATCCTCTGATAGGAGTGGCGGGATATACGGGTCCCCCTCGGATGGCAACGGTGGGATGAACGGCGTACCTGTCGTTTGCAAAGGCGGTGGGATATACGGGAACTCGGGCATCGACGTTGGCAACGTTGAGGAATCCAAAGGCGGCGGAGGGAGCGTGGTTGTGTTCTCTGGGACGGTGGATCGCCAACGCTCGATGTCTTGCCAGACGCTGCTGCTGGCGGGCGGGAGAATTTTGTCGTTGTCCGTAGGTTGCGTCGGAGGCAGGTATTCGTATGTGTCGTTCGACAAAGGACCCGGTTCCGGGATGAATGGCGTGCCAGGCACCGGCAGCTTGCTGATGAGCGCTGTCATCTCCTCTAGCACAGAGATCGGATACAGGTACGAGCGAGGTTGATGTGGCCGGCGAGCGTGTAGTTGCCCGGATTGGCGATGATTTTGTGAGCGTTGTGGGGGGTAAGAATGTGCGAGGGAACCCTCCCATTCGACGGGGTAGAATATAAAGCGCGCGGGGGCAACACCCGCCCCAGTGGGACCCAAACTTGAAACTGGGGCATCGCGCCCAAAATAGCGTCTAGAGCAAAGAGAAATGAACAATGGCGTAGGTACGCGTGAGTCTAGGCGTGCTAAGCGACATTATGACGAAGGTGGTACGCACCCATCAACCTTCTTGGTCTGTGGAGCAACCGCAGCAAGACCGGGGGTGGGGAGCGTGTCGGTGGTCGCCGCCGAGCCAGATCCTTCGCCTTCTGGCGCGCACGCATCTCTGGGGTGCCTTCCTCCCGTCCCCGCTCCGGCGCCGGTAGATGAGGGCAGGTAAACTGGATCATTTGGGAAGAAACTCTCGGGTCTAACGGGCCGGATCAGCCGGTGCCGAATGCCGGTGAACAGAAGACAGGAGCTTTGAGTCAGAACCAATCAGACGTGCCAGTAGCGAGGGGTAAACTCACGAAAGGGGAGGTGGACTGGTCGATAGCCCGCGCAGAGGAACGTCGTCGAGTGCATCGAGCACTGGACAGTCGTAGAAGCCGGGGTCTACTGGGTCGTCGACAAAGAACATGGGGCGTTGATCGCCAGGTACACGAGGCACGGAGGCTGCCGAACACAGGACGCGTGTGCGCGTACTGGTATACGATCAGAAATCAGGGAGCGTCGCGCTTGTTGGGCGGGACAGAAAGACGAAAGCCAACAGAGATGAGAGGAAAGCGGTGGGTGGTTGAGTCGTATCGTCCCTCCACCGCCGCGTTATATAGGGGACAATCGTGCAGAAAGACGATCCCAGCTCGCAACCGCGTTTGACACCCAACAAAGTCGTGAGAAGAGGCGCGGAGGCTCTAGCCACTGCGTATAGATGACCTTCCGATTCAGGTCGTGATCCTCCGCAAAAAAGAGGGGGCGCCTTGGCCACCGCGCTACGGAACAGGCAGGAGGTCAAACCATGCCGACTGTGCCGCTTCCTGTTGGAACGCCGTAAGCGCCCGCTGAGTGTGCTGTATAGATCCGGAGCCTCATGTTGGCGTTCATCTTCAGAAGATACGATCGCATGTAAGAAAACGCGGACCGATAAGGAAGTTCATCCAGAGAGCATCCAGCGCTAGAGCATCGGAGATGCAGGCTAACGGCGACTAGTTGCTGTTAATAGACAGCGAATGAACGCGGCGTTTAGGTCTGGATTGTAATAATAGAGCTGAGGCAGAGTCTTTGTGGGTGCTCAAGATCATATTGAGCGCCTGTTCTGACAGATTGGTAGTATTGCGACACAAAGCAAGGCGAGATGCCATACGATGGGCGGCTTCCATACTATTAAGACAATGCGGAGTATTTCGTTGGATATGAAAGCCAGACAGACGCCTAGTCGAAGACATTCGCCGAATAGGTTGGTAGACGCGCATGTTCGTCGCGTGCTTGTATGCTGTGCCAAGCAACGTGAATCTGACCTTGATGAGCTCAAACCATACTCGTCAAAAGACCCAGAAATACACAATAAACAGGTCTACCTGTTTCTACGAACCTGCATAGAGCTCCGGCAGACGCGTCGCATTTGCTCACCATCGACGGGGCGCCGATGGCGAATTGTAGCGACGGTGGCGTTGCGCCAGGGAGCCTGCTCAATCTCGGGGTGCAAGTTTGCAACGAGGCAAAAAAGAGAAGGCTACGCCGAAGAAGTCGCCCTTGAGCCCGCTAAAGCACTGTATCAGGAACCTTCCAGAAGACGCGCGTCAAAACCTGCGCTAGGGGGTGAGAAGTCGCAGACAGCGCCAACGAGCAGCCTCGAGTAGAGCATAGCATCACAAATTGACAGGGAAATGTGATCAGAGAACACCAGAACTCGCTGAGTAAGATGCAAAACTTAGGCGTCAAAATGGTGGTTCCTGGTTTGCAGCTGGTTCCGTGGCTGGTTTGTTCCTGGAGGTACCCCAAAGACGGGCGTAACCTAGGCGTGGCGTCTCTCGAGAAAACCAGGGTGTATAGTCTAAGGACACGTCAAGCCCACGTTGCCAGAGTAGTGCACAGGAGGCTACAGGAGGGGGTGACGGAGGCGTTAGGTGAAGTTCAACACGATGACGCTTGCGCAATTAGCAAACGTCCTCGCTTGGGACTTGTTGACAGTTGTTTGTTCTGCCTCCCCGCCGGATTTTGCGAACACGTCGTCGCGCACAGCCAGGACGCATACAATTACTCCCTCCCCCGACGCCCTCGTTTTCGTCTCTTCTTTCTCTATTTTTCTATTTCCTGGATAGTGTCAGGGACACTCGCGTGCATACACAAGGACCAACTTCTCTTGAACGATGAACTTTGAAGACGTCGAGGATCGGGATGGTCAGTCTCATGTCAACTGATAGCAGCACGCTGCCCCATTCTGACCTTGCTTGTTCTTGTGATCAGGCGTTAGGTTGTCGTGGAATGTCTGGCCGTCATCTCGCATAGAGGCGACGCGTACCGTCGTGCCTATCTCGGCGCTCTACACTCCTCTCAAGCAACGCGAAGATCTGCCCCCAGTCATGTACGAGCCCGTGACGTGCAAGCCCCCTTGCCGTGCCATCCTCAACCCCTACTGGTGCGTCTTCCATTCCCGTTGATTTTGGAAACCATGCTCTAACTGTAGGTTTATGTCCACAACCGCGCATACAGCCAAATCGACGTCCGGGGCAAGCTGTGGATATGTCCCTTCTGTCTCTCGCGCAATGCCTTCCCGCCGCACTACAAGGACATCTCCAACACGAACCTTCCCGCGGAGCTCCTCCCCAAATACACAACCATCGAGTACACGCTCTCGCGCCCTGCCCCGGTCCCGCCCATCTTCCTCTTCGTCGTGGACACGTGCCTCGACGAAGACGACCTCAAGGCGCTCCGCGATGCTCTTGTTGTGTCCCTCAGCCTTCTCCCTCCGTATGCCCTCGTCGGTCTCATCACCTTTGGTACCATGGTACGCTTTGCCGCCCCCTCCCTCTCACTCAGCCCACCTTCTCTAACACGGTGTCGTTCCGCAGACCCAGGTACATGAGCTCGGCTACGAGCACTGCTCCAAGTCCTACGTCTTCCGTGGCGGCAAAGAGTACTCTTCCAAGCAGATCCAGGACATGCTCGGTCTCAGCACCGCTGCCCGTGCTGCCCCACGCCCTGGCCAGCCGATGCCCCAACAAGCGTTTGGCGCCGCGCGCTTCCTCCTCCCCGTACAGCAGTGCGAGTTCCAGCTGACGGGCATCCTCGAAGCGCTCGCGCGTGACCCGTGGCCTGTTGCGAACGACAAGCGTGCGCTGCGTTGCACGGGCGGAGCCTTGAGCGTTGCTGTGGGCTTGTTGGAGGTGAGCAGTGTCTATCGCGTATTACGCTATTTAAGGTGCTGATGCATGGTAATCAGACGACATTCCCCAACACCGGTGCCCGGATTATGCTGTTTGCTGGTGGACCCGCTACCGAAGGCCCGGGTCAGGTCGTGTCCAACGAGCTCAAGGAGCCTATCCGGTCTCATCACGATATCGAGCGTGACAGCGTGAAGCACTACAAGCGTGCCATCAAGGTCAGCTCCCTTTTCCATTGATCCTTTCCCTTTTCTAATACCCTTATAGTTCTACGAAGGTCTTGCCAAACGTGCCTCTGGTAACGGCCACACTATCGATCTGTTTGCCGGCTGTCTCGACCAGGTCGGTCTGCTCGAGATGAAGTCGCTGCCCAACTCGACAAATGGCGCGATGGTACTTTCTGACTCGTTCGCGACGTCCATCTTCAAGCAAAGTTTCCTACGCCTGTTCAACAAGGACGAGCAGGACTTCCTTCAGATGGGCTTCAACGCCACATTCGATGTTCAGGTGCGTTCTCGCATATGTTTCTTCTATTGATCACGATGCTGATTCCTTGTAGACGACGAAGGAACTGCGCGTCTCAGGTCTCATCGGCCACGCCATCTCCGCTGGAAAGAAGTCTGCTTGCGTCGGCGAGACCGAGATTGGTATCGGCCAAACGTCTGCTTGGAAGATTAACAACATCACCCCACGCACGTCCGCCGCCGTCTACTTCGAAGTCGTCACCCCTGCAGGGCAAGCCCTCCCGCCAGGCTCGCGCGGGCTCATCCAGTTCGTGACGCACTACCAGCATGCGTCCGGACAGCAGCGCCTGCGTGTGACGACGATCGCGCGCAACTTCGCGGAAGCGGGCTCGCCCTCGATCGCGGCGTCGTTCGACCAGGAGGCGTCGGCGGTGCTCATGGCGCGCATCGCGGTGTTCAAGGCGGAGATCGATGACTCGCCCGACGTGCTGCGCTGGCTGGACCGCATGCTGATCCGGCTGTGCCAGAAGTTCGCGGACTACAGGAAGGAGGACCCGGCGAGCTTCAGGCTGAGCGACAATTTCAGCATTTATCCGCAGTTTATGTTCCATCTCCGCCGGAGTCAGTTCTTGCAGGTGTTTAACAATTCGCCAGACGAGACTGCGTTCTATAGGTGCGTTATCTTGTTTGACCTGATATGGGGCCCATGCTGATGTCGCGACCGATAGACATATCCTGAACGAGGAAGACGTGAACAACTCGCTGATTGCCATCCAGCCGACGCTCATGTCGTACACGTTCGACGTCCCGCCGCAGCCCGTCCTGCTCGACTCCGTCTCCATCAAACCCGACGTTATCCTGCTGCTCGACACGTTCTTCCACATCCTCATCTTCCACGGCGAGACCGTCGCGCAGTGGCGCAAGGCGGGCTACCAGGAGCAGGAAGGGTACGAGAACTTCAAGGAGCTGCTCGAGGCGCCCGTCGCGGACGCGCAGGACCTGCTCGGGGACCGGTTCCCGATCCCGCGCTACATCGTGTGCGACCAGGGCGGCTCGCAGGCGCGGTTCCTGCTCAGCAAGCTGAACCCGAGCACGACGCACATGAGCACGGGCATGTACGGGAGCGCGGCGGGGCAGGGCGCGGGGCAGGCGATTTTCACGGACGATGTGAGCTTGCAGGTGTTTATGGAGCATTTGAAGAGGCTGGCGGTGGGTGCGCAGACGAATTAGAGGTGGGGATGTGGGGTAATGGGCTCGTGGTTGGTGATGACGATTTGGGACGATAAAATGATGAGGGTGTTCGTGCGTGCACGACGTGGGCCGCTATGTTTTGATTGGAGATGTCTTTTTCCTAGCTTATTATTCTTGTTCATTCATCGTATTTTGGTGTTCGCTTATCACTGCCGTGATTTCCGGGGTGAGCACCGGCCTTTGCTGATCTGTTTTATGCACAAAGCTGGCGACAACTCTATGCAACATCTTCGCGACATACCGCCTCAACTTCGCTCCAAAACAGCATCTCTTGCCATATTGTCATTTTCATGTCCAAACCTTGGATGCATGTTCTATCCAAATGATTGGTACGAGTCCCTTGTTTCATAATGCATGACGTGGTCTGTCGTCCGTCATGGTGTGGTACAGGCCTGTAGCGGCTGTACGCATCTCAAATCATAGAGCTATCTGAGGTCGTCGCACCGTCTCCGAGACCTACTCCCCGCCAGAACTCGCAAAGCCCATACACCTCCTATTCAGGCTCGACATACTCTACCATGGACGGTACGACCTTCGAACCATTCAAGGGCCACACCGATGTCATCTGGACATTTGTATACTCGCCCGACGGTACACGCATAGCGACAGGTTCATGGGACTCGACAATACGGATATGGAAGGCAAGTACAGGTTGTCAAGTAGGGGAGCCGTTGGAGGGGCACAGGAGTTGGATTCGTGCCATCGCTTTCTCCCCTGATGGGCGCCGTCTGGTAAGCGGCAGCAAGGACAAGACCCTTCGAGTATGGGACACAAGTACCCATCAAACGGTCCTGGGACCACTCATGGCCCACATTAGCGGGGTCGACGTGGTGCAGTACTCTCCAGATGGCGCACTCGTTGCGAGTGCTGGCTTCGACCGCACCTTCAAGCTTTGGAGGGCTCATGTGGGAGACTGCATCGCGACAATCGCCCATCCAAGGGACGTAAACTCTATCTCGTTTTCGCCCGCTGGCAAGCATAGTATTGCGACCGCTTGTGATGACGGGCTCGTTCGCATCTACGACGTGGAAGAACATGAGCTTGTTCGCGAGCTGGCTGGCCACCGAAGCTTGGTTCGATGCGTTCAATACTCTCCAGACGGCTCGCTCATTGCTAGCTCCTCGAATGATTATACTATTCGGCTTTGGAATGCGTCAACAGGGGACCCAGTCAAAGGACCGCTTCGTGGGCATAAACACGCGGTTCTCAAAGTGACATTTGCCTGCAATGGTCAACGGCTGATTTCCTGTTCCTCCGATGAAAGCATTCGGGTCTGGGACATCAACTTGGGGCATTGTGTCGTGGGACCTCTTTACGGCCACGGGGAGCGTGTCCGCACACTATCCTGCTCCGTAGATGGAGAACACTTTGCTTCCTGTAGCGACAACGGCTTGCGTATTTGGAACATACACAATGGTGCTCAAGTGCTTCCACATGTGAGTATGATGATCCCTGTAATTTGATGTTTTACCATTCATACACATTCTGTTTAGCAATCGGCGGAGAGTAACGTTAACGTCACTGACAAATATGCGTATGTTCTATACTATGAATTCCGTGAGTTGTCCATGAGTGCCGAGTTCTGAATCCTCGTTCCTACAGAATGAGGGCATATGACGAGATCAAGGTAGCAGCGTGGTTCTCAGATGGAGAACGCTTTGCAAGTACAGGAAGCGATCGTGCTGTCAGGATTTGGGATTCTTCAACAGGCCAGGAATCTGCAGATCCTCTTGTGTGGCACGACAGGGAGGTAAATGCGTTAGCCATCTCAGTCAATGAAGAGCTTCTAGCCAGCGCAGCGGATGACGCTCTAGTTTGCGTCTGGGACCTCAAAACTCAGGATCTTGCCTTGGCTCCCCTTTCTGGCCACGATGGCATTGTATGGGCTGTCAAGTTCACTCCTGACGACACGCGCCTTGTCAGCGGCGGAAAAGACAGAACCATCCGTATATGGGACGTGCGCTCCGGTGTATCGCTGTGTGTCATTGAAGCCCACAGTGATTCCGTGCGAACACTGAGCATTTCCTTCGACGGATCTCAAATAGCAAGCGGAAGTGAGGATATGACTGTCAGGGTTTGGGACCTCCGCACACATGAAACCTTGGGCGAGCCTCTCGAACACAGCAGCAAGATATCATCTGTCTCCTTCTCGCCGGACGGCTTGAAATTGCTTAGCGGATGCCTAGATGGCACACTACGCGTGTGGGAAATCTTGCGACGTGAACAAATCAATGTTATGGATCACGAAGGCTCAGTCACCTGCGTTCAGTTCTCGATGGACGGGTGTATACTCACCTCATTTAGCAATAGAAATGTTTGTCTTTGGGATGCTATCACGGGAAAGCGTATTTGGTGTTTCCAGCATACAACGGCTGTAAAGGTGGCGACACTCTCCCCCAACGGCGAATTAGTCCTGACTGGAGACCGTAATGGCGATATGCGCTTATGGGACGTGGGCACTGGCCGGCTTATTCTTCCAAAGGTCAAAACTCACACGTTGTACTTCGTAAACGCCATGCACTGGCGCTGATTTTTCTTGTACAGCGCTTCCTCGACGATAAGGACAGCAACTCACTCGCTTCCAAAGTGCGTGTAAGCCGCCACATTAACTCTTCCAGCCCCTGAGTTTCGTATTTTCAGAACTGTGTTGACCACAGGGGCCATACTCAGCGTCAAGATGCTCCAAGGGCGACAGTAAGTGCGATTCGGCCCCTCCCTACTTTCTCTTATGCATAATCAGGGAGCCGGTAGAGATGACAACTCCATCATGAACGTGAGTAGAAACTCACTCTCCAACTTCTTCTGAGTGCCCATGGTAGCTGCCTAGATGCCTGCGACCCTAAGGGCACCCTCGCGCATGCGTCTTAACGCCGACAACCGCGATACTCGTGATCGAGTGCATCGAAAAGGCAAGGAGAAGCAAAAGGCCGAAGAAATAAGACAACGGCACGGAATGTTCGCAAATTTCGCCTCATACACTGGCCGCAACAGGAACAAGTCCGGCTGTAAGCCCGGCACCGAACTCCACAATCGTAAGGGACATGCAGTAAAGATGGTGAATGTCGCAACCGTGACATCCAAAAAGGTGTGTTTGACATTGCGTTGCCACGGGTCCGTTCCTAACACTGTCTTCCCAGTTTATTGCCGCAGGAGGCGATCAAAATGTCGCTTCGAATTCACAAAGGTTAACTCATGAGTCGGAGTCGAGTGAATCGAGTGGGCCTTCCCCGTCACCTTCGGCGCATGCGCCTTCTCCCCATGCGGTAGAAGGTGGCGGAGGTGAAGAGAGCCCGTCAAGCGACCATGGGTTTATTGATACATTGCGATATTGTTTGTGTATTCCGTCCTGCAAATAAAATGGGAGCTCGTAAAGGTCTCATGGATGCACACCAACAAATATTATGCCATCAAGAGGATTCGATACCACGAGTCGTGGCCTAATCAGCACTTGATATGGGGTGCTATGCTGCTATGTATTGCAGTTGCTCATAGAATTAACTACCGTTGACAACATCGAGGAAACGGGTTTCTTAGGACATATTTTCAGTGTATCTCGTACTCGGGAGAACAACTATCTTCATCGCATAAGACAAGTCCCTACTCTGATGTTCTACATTCTCACTACTCATGTTCAAACTCCACAAGCAAAAGCATCGTGTATGAACGAAGCCATCAGGCTTCAAGTATGGCGGGTATATATCAACATGAAAATAAATAAATAGCATCAACAACAACAGTAGTGTAATTTTGATGGAACGGAGCGCCACGTTGAACGTCCTTTGGCACCCCTCACGTCGTCTGCCCAATGCCCGCTCACAGCGACGCGTGTCCCTGGGGCTCGAACGGCAACAGCAGCGCGATGAATCCTGCCACGATGAAGATCGCGCCGGACACCCAGATAGGGACCGCCGTCTGGAGGTTCGCGTACAGCGCGATGATCGGCGACTACAGACGTAAGGGCAAACATTAGCACTTCAAGGGTGACATAGACATTTTAAAATTTAAATGCTTACCATAACACCGAACACGCGGTTCGCAGTAGCGACAATGGCATTACCCGTCCCGCGGTCCTTGGTCGGGAACAGCTCGGGCGAGAGGGCGTAGAGGACACCGTACATAACGTTGCTCGTGAAGCTGTAGCCGCAGTTCCAGCCCAGCAGCGCGTTGGACGTGCGTGCGGTCGTCGAGGCGAGGATGAATGCGCCAGTCAGGACTACAATCATCAACGTTAGCGTGAGGCAGGGATGGAGGGAGAAAAATAACGCACTGGTGAAGATGGAGAGCGTGCCGCGACGACCGAGACGCGGGATCTCGACGAGCCAGCCGGCAATGAGGGCACCAGGGATGCCGATGACGCTCAGGATGACTTGCTATTATTCCGGGAAACCTCGTAAGTTAGAAGGATGAAACCCCAAAATAGTGATTTAAACGTACGTTGCGGTAGGTGATGTAGACAGAGCTGTCGCCGAAGTCTGCGCCGCGAGTGGCGAGGCTGTAGTGATAAGAATTAAGATAAGGCCAGATAAAAGGAAATGGAGGGTGTACTCACAAGTACGTGACGAAGCTGTTATACAGAGGGAATGCAAGACCGATGAACGCTAAGTAAATGACAATCAGCACCTGGCCTTGAGAATCAAACGAGAGCACTCACCCCAAAGGACGATCAAAATGCTCGTCGACCACGCCAATTTCTTTGTCGCAAACAGCGCACTAACATGGTCCCCACTAAACTTGGCCATCTGCCTCCGAACCGCGGCCAGCGCCGACGTATCCATCTTCGCCTCCTCGCTCTCCTCTTCGTGGGCCGACACAGCGAGCTTGCCCGCCTTCTCGAGCGCCTCGAGCGTCAGCCGGCTCTCAATCCCGTTGTACTTCGCGACCTTGTGCACAACCTCGACGGCGTCCGCGTCGCGCCCGCGGCCCATGAGGTACTTGGGCGACTCGTACATCGAGAAGAGGCCGAAGCGGATGAGGAAGAGGAAGAGCATGAGCCCGCCCATGGCGTACAGGAAGTAGCGCCAGCCCATGTTGTCCGCGCGCGCGCAGGGCGTCGGCGGGACGGTCGTCGGGCAGGAGTAATCGGCGATAAGGGGCCAGGCGACCTGTGGACGGACGATAGCGACGTCATGGGGGCAGAATGTATGAGTGCCGCTGCGATCACGAAGAAGGAATGAAGAAAAACTACGCACGAGACTTCCAAGGAGCTGGCCGAAGGCCCACCATATGGAGAGAACGGTCAGGAGGTACTGGTGGGAAGCCGGGATGAACTCTGCAGTGCGTTTGCGATTCGCATGAGAATCGAGCACACACGGTTATAGAGGAAGGGGAAATAGGGGTATTAAAATGGGCAACCGGTGATGCTTACCGAGGAAGACGGCGGAGTCGACTGGCAGGTTGCCGCCCACGCCCACGGACCAAACCGCCGCGAGAGAACAGAGCGCGATGTAGTTGGGCGAGCCACCAGCCGCGACGGCAAAAACGCCGGTGATGAAAAGAGTGATGTTGAATGCCCATCTGTTCGCGGAGGGCGATCAACAGGATCAGAATGACGAAGAACAATCTAGAGAGCAAGGGAATAAGCGTACCTCCGTCCCCACACGTCTGACGTGATACCCCAGAAGGCCGCTCCCACGAGAAGACCGATGTTCTGGGCGAGCTTGAGCCACTCGCTCTCGACGTTGAACTCGTTGACCACGGGTGTAAGGATGAGACCGGTGACAATCTGCGCCTATCAGCAACACCTATGTTAAGAGAGGTCAATTATAGCTTACCGGCCAGAGGTTATCGCTGAACAGCAGTGTCAAGGATTACGCTGTCACGCTCAACGAGGACAGGACTTACGATAGCCAACCGAAACCTGCGACGACAAAGAGGAACCACTGCCAAAGAGATCAGCGTCAAATTGCCACATGTTAAGAAGACCATCGGCACTCACCTGGTACTTGCCCATCCCAATTTCCTGCAGAGCGTCGTTCAATATCTTTGCCTTTGCCTGGTACACAGGGTCGATGGAGCCATCATCGTCCTGGTAGACATCGTGCGTCTCAGCCTGGATATCATAGTCGCCCTTCTTGTCCGTCTTCTCGTCCGAGTGGACCCTATCGAGTGAGGAGTGCGAGGCCGACATGGTGGTGGTAAAACGACCAACACCAGTCTAGAAGCGCTCACTGAAGAAGACCACGACCACGGGCTCGGGCCACAGGGAGTTGTTTTGTGCAAAAAGGGGCATTGGGGCGGCTTCTCGTGAATATATATGGGATCGTTAGAGGCCGGTCGCCGTCCGTATGACTGTGAGCGACTCGCTAGGGAGCCTGCTTAGTGGCGAAGCGCCTTGCTCGTAAGCGCATCAAATGGCGTGCTCCCTCAGGGGGTTCCATCCGCTCCAACGGATTCGCTCGTATTTGCACAATGCGTAGTTCGATCTCCCGTTTGGCAAGTTTGGCAAGACGAGTAGATCTGCGAAATATTTGGTTAGAGTTCACCAACTTCAAGGTGGAACATCCGCACCACCGGTGGCCAGTAAATTTAGACTGGACCACGGACCTGGATATCATCCGAGGGGTCGACATGACCGGAGATTGCAACATCGTTGCAGCGGACGTCCTAATGGACTTGCAAAGGCAAATAATTTTCTCGCCCGCCACATTGCAAGACAGGCTTACCGAGACCCGCGGCCAGGTCGCTGCTCGCTGCAGAACGACGCGCGGCGTGTCGCGTTGGTGTCTGTTGGCGGTTGTTGGCGTTGCGCTCCCCGATATCAGTTGCATCAGATCGACCATTTCAAGTCGCCACTGAGCACCTCGACCTAACCCAATGTAGCCTCGTCCCCACCCGTCGCCATTGCACGATGAAATGACGCATGAATTCATTTCATCCACCCGTCTGATTCTACGTGCTCCCGCCGCGTCACTACTTAGCAGCGCGGAAAACACAAACAATATCGCATGGTGTCCAGTAATACATCGCTACTCGACATACTACTTCCACTTCCTCCTCCACCCCTGTGAGGAGAATGTGCCTGCGTCGACGGCAGTGGCGAGGGTACGCTCGATCCATCCGATTCCTCCTCGCGGTGTGGTCTCGAGCGATTATCGTTCGTGTCACCTGCCGCTACCACACGCTAAACAGGCATCGTCAATAACGGGCCAGCTCCGACGTAGCGACAAACTCACATTTTTGGATCGCGCGACGCTCACGAGCTCTACTGCATGTGCCCACCGATTGCGTGTTTCACTAGGCTCAAGGCCGGGCTTGGATTTGCTCCGGGGAAGGCGCGAGGCGAGGCGTGCCATGAATCCAAATCGCGATTCTGTTTCCTCTGCCTTCTTCCCTTCGCTTTCGTGCGAGGCTTGCCTCGGTGTACAATGTTCGTCCGCGGCAAGGCGTCTACGTGCCGCCGCACTCAAAGTTGCAGGCATCTACGCATCTGTGAGCTCGAGCAGAGATAGAAGGAGGCTTTCCGCTCACGTTCATAATGGGATCGTCATCGATATCAGCTTCCATCTCCCGCCGAGACAGGCTCCTCTGTATGAGAGAAGGAAGTGAGTGTTTGGTGAGGTGCACGCGTAGCTAGCGAATCCACTTACATCAGCGGCATCAGCAGACGACCTCTCCCCGCGTTTGAATCGCAACGCCTCACCGGTTTGTGCATCGTACACCCTCAACAAGCCTTTGGCAAAGCCGACGGCTATCAGATCTCCTCCTGGAGAGAATGCAAAAGCCTCGACACGCTGCGTCTCCGTTATGCTCCACATTGGGTTTCCAGTAGCCATGTCAAGCATCTCCAGCCCCAAGTCTTCCATTTCCAAGTTCCGTATGTACGTGCGGCCGTCAGGAGAGAACGCTGCGTGCGTGTGCTGCTCCGAAGAGGGTCTTTGAAGCAATTTCCGTTTCGTGGTGAAGTTCCAGAGAGTCACGCCTTCCACAGGGCAATACTCAAGGAGACATTTGCCATCCGGCGAGTAAGATAGCGAACGACATACGGCCGTTCTCGCAGCGGCTAGGATCAATGTGGTCTCCATCGTATGTGTATCGCAGACGTGGATACCACCTCCAGCCAAGGTTGCGTAGACAAAGTGATCTCCGGCTGGCGAAAATACGACGTTGACAATCTTCGCTGCACTTCGGATGGTGTCGACTCTGCGCTCGCCCAGCACGTCACGCATGATGTGAAGAGTGCGACTTTCGTGGAGTAGAATGGCAAGAGTAGAGCTGTCGGGTGCGAACTCTAGCTTGTGAGTGGGGGAGCCAGGCCCCATCAATGGAGGAGAGTGTTCTTCGCCCGTCTTTGCATCCAGGAGCACAACTGTCCCAAGCACCCGGATGGATCCAGCTGCAAGTAGCTCGCCGTTGGGCGATAGAACAATGCAGGAGCCTGCGTAGAACAAAAACTTGTTGGTCTGTTCCCCCGTGCGTACATCCCAAATGCGAATATAGTCATCTGGGACACCGCTGCTGATGAACCGACGGCCGTCTGGGAACCAGTGCAGCGAGTAGACTGCGCCTCGCATACGCATCATCGGACTGTCGTCAGTCAAACGTCGCGCCTGAAACACATTGTTAGCTTAGCTATACTGCATGGTAGTGAGCCCCGAAGTCGCGCATACCGATGTTACAGTGACCCTTTGAGTGGCCATATCCCACACATGGACGCGACTTCGAACGTCCACGCATGTGATGTACTCCTTGAACGGAGAACAAGCTATAGACACTATAGGCAGCTGCGATGGGTGCCTTAACGGACCAAAAAGCTGCTCTCCCGTTGAGGTGTCCCATACACATACAGTATTCGAGTCTGAGCCATCGACGATCCACTTCCCATCCGGTGAAAAGCAGATGGCGGTCGTCACATCAAGATGTCCACGCAAGGGGCCATGAAGAATATCGCCTTTGTCAATGTCCCAAATCTGAAATCCTCCTTTAGACAGTGCTCCAGCGAGCATGTCTCCGTGAGGAGAGCAGACAATAGGAGACATGAGACGCAGCTTCGGAGCAAGCGACAAGGTAAGGTCCATCTCTAGGCGCGTGTCCAAGTCGAAGATACACATTTTGAGTGGAGAGCGGCGATCGGAAGCATCCTTGTGATACGCATATATAAACCTTCGATCGTTACATACGAACGCGAGGAGGGATTCGAAGCGGGCCTTTCCTTTCAATTTGACAACGTCTATGACCTCTTTTCCCGTTCTCGCATCTTGCAATACCACTCGGGTAGGCAGCATGATAGCGATGAACCGCTCGTCGGCGGAGAACCTGATCCCGGGTGAGAACTCGTCAGCGTTGCTACCGCTCTTATAGACAGTCTCCGTTTTCGTGTCCATCTCTTCGTCCAAATCACCTGACAAGTCCAATACGAACGCGCGAGCTGCCTTCAGGTGCGCCTCCCCACTAATGCCTGCGAGCTGTCGACCAGAGGGGGAAAATGAGAGTGACAGGACCGGACCGGTAGCTGTGAACTTATGCTTCTGTACTCCTGTACTGGGTTCCCAGAAACGTACAGTCTTGTCATGGGAGCCCGTCACCACGAATTGGCCATCAGGTGAATAGTCGATGGCAAGAATGGCTCCCTTGTGTCCTTTGAAAGGCTGCCTCGGAGGGTCATCATCGTGATCCGGGGATGCGTGGGACATGGCAGGTCGTTTCAACGAGAATGAGAGACCGGAAAGCATAAGCCTAGTTTCTGGTGAAGATGGTGCATGGCGAAGACGAGACAAGCGCGTGTGGCCTTCAGCGCATGAGGTGTAGGTCCAACTTCGCACTGTGAAGAAAATTCGGCAAATGCCATCCAGCCTGTCAGGTTCGTGTCAAGTTCATTCCCACGATTTGACTCCTACGCTTCAACCACCTGCGGACCATTCCCTGACCACATACTGGGTAACTGTTGCCTTCACATAGTGATTCGTTAGATTGGAGGGTCATAATGCGATCGTTATAACCGGAGAAACGACATGCATGAACTGACGTTGCGGACGCCAAACTTCGGTGACAGCCCGAGCCCACCTCGGGCCGGGACTCGGTGTTCCCCAGTCTACCCCACACTCATGCACTGCGTTTATTGGTGAGATTCGGTTTAATCAAGCTTACATTATATATCTTGACAGCGAAGGCTTGCAGTATATAACGCCCACACTCTACCGTGAATCTCGCCCTTGTGATCGTCCTCTTCTCTTCGTTCCCCACAGCTACCCATGGCGCCAGTGACCAACGGCAAGATCATCTTCAACGAAGTCCCTATAGGTGTGGAAGCTACACAGTCAATTCGGATCTGATCATTTATATCCAACGAACAAACCTGCTTTCATTGGGCACAATAGGCTTCCCCAAGCCCGGAAAGACGCTCGTCTATAAGGAAGAGAAGGTAGACATCGACTCAGTTCCACTCGCGCCCGGAGATTGGCTTGTGAAGGTGCTCGTTTTGTCTGTAGACCCATACATGCGAGAGCGGATGGCCGAAGGAAGTGCTGAAGACTCTGAACCAGGCAACTTTGTAAGTACTCCACCGAATCGTGATAACAGGAGAGAGTAATGCAGAATTGGCTTGATAGGGCGCTTTCCCTCTTGGAGAACCGTACGTTTCATATCTATGAGAGAAATCACTCTTACACGACCGCTATATTCGTTCTTACTTTAAAATATTTCAGGTTAGAGAACTTCGGTGTCGGCCTCGTCGTACGCTCTGATAATCCATCGTTTAAACCAGGAGACTATGTTCACGGTGTTATGGGTATGTCCTTTCTCAACCTTTGGTCGGTTGTATGTTGTTGATATCGACTAACTCGATTCCCAATATACGTAGACTTCGCGCACTACGCGGTGTGCCGCAAACGCGTTCCTGACACGTTCAGTGTTATCGACAGCTCGCACAAGCTCAGCTGGTCCACATACGTCGGTGCACTGGGATTGCCAGGCGCCTCAGCTTACTACGGCTGGAAGGAGCATGCACACGCTAAGCAGGCAAGTTTGCGGCTGTACCAGAGACCCGACGTTCACTAGCTCATGTTTACATTCAATCCTATAGGGTGAAGTTGCGTTCGTCAGCTCAGGGGCAGGTGAGGCTGATCAATCAGATCTCGGACTCTGCAGCAGCAAAGTGAGTTGACCTACGTTATCTTCAGGCGCCGTCGGGTCGGTCGTGGTCCAACTTGCAAAGCGCGATGGCTTGAAGGTCACCGCCTCGGCTGGATCGGACGACAAAGTGAAGTACCTGCAAGAAATTGGCGCTGACGTCGCATTCAACTACAAGAAGACTGATACCCTCGAAGTCCTAAAGAAGGAGGGACCTATTGACGTGTGAGATTGCACCAAAAAAACAAAGTGTAACTGCTGATGGCAGACTTGCCTTTCCACAGATATTGGGATAACGTAGGTGGTCCGACGCTTGACGCCGCGCTGCAAACCGCGGCAACTCACGGCCGTATCATTGTAGGTCTTAGTCTATCACTTGTCACTTCTTGCTCAGGCACTTACGTGTACACCAAAGGTATGCGGCATGATATCTCACTACAGCGAAGACGAGCCACACTCCTTTAAGGTCAGTGTGTTTTCCCTGGACAAGAAACTTGTGGAAACTCACACCCGCCGCTAGGATTTGTCGATGATCATGACGAAGACCCTTAGCATCAACAGCTTCTTCTTTCCGGACTTACACCCCAAGTATGCGGTTGAGTTTAGCACCACAATGCCGAAGCTTCTTGCAAACGGTGAAATCAGCTTCAAAGAGGATGCGACTCGTGGCCTCCAGAACTCGGCCGAAGCGATTCTGTCGGTGTACAAGGGTACAAACTTCGGTAAGAAGGTGATTGTTGTTGCAGACGAGTAAATGGGTTGTTTCTTTCCGCAATGTAAATTAAGGCTCGTGGTTGTTAGCCAAAGAGATGATAATTTTATCTGAGATTCGGGAAATGTTAACGGTGAAATCGGAACGCGTTCACGGCTGTTGCTATATTAGCCATGCAAAAGCAAAGCTCACAAAAGGTCTCTCAACTGCTTGAGTATCACGAACACCTATATCATACGTATAATCTAGATCATGAACAAAGCTGAAGAGAAATAAGCATTGCTTCTAGTGCTTCTATGTTCTCATCCATCTCATCCATCTTTACTTCAGGAAGTGTTTCCTCGCTTAGTAAAGATGCCTCCCCTTCTGTGCTCCTGTTGTCGTCATTGTCTTCGTCCTCGTCGTCATTTTCCTCGTCCTCTTCTTGCCCTTCCCCTCCTTCATCTCTGCCTGTTTCTCCTTTAGCACCTCCCCATTTCCGTATGAACTCCTGACGGCCCATGTCATCCTGCATACGCATACACTCCATATCCAGCCGGCAGACCTCGCGTTTCTTTACGCATACCGCAACCCCAGGGTATAACAGCATGCCTTGTGAATCCGCCTCGGCGGGGTCCATATAAAGATGCGGCGGTATGATAAGCGGCAACTCCATTCCCACAGTAGGGAATAGGGCGTAGTCAAGGATGCGCATGCGTCGCAAGCGCGGCAGGGTCTTAAATCTATCCCGCAGGTTATCGAGAAACAATGCGGTACGGTCCCATACATGGGCCAGCTTATCGATCCAAACAATTTTTCGGTGATTGAGGCTCGCTAAGCTCACCCCGGAGGGCACAACAAGGTGCTCAAGGTTTGGGCAAAATCGCATGAGCTCACAAAGAAGCAGGGAAGGAGGTGATACCTCATACATAGCGAGATAGCGGAGTTGGCTTCCGTATTTCCTGAGAAATGACTTGCAGCAGGCATGCGAAGGATTGGTTAGCACCCGCCCCAAGGGAAGCGAGAGTTTGCGTAGCGCCGGTAGCGTAAGGCCCCAAGCCATCGAGCGATAACTGTTGCAGCTGATGGTGCCGCCTTCTGAACGCCTTATGCCAGTGAGGCGGAGGTCCTCGAGCTGGGGGAGTATATATGGCTCGCCATCGGCGGTAGGTGGTAGATTGTCGACCTCGCAAGAGAGAAGTGTGAGATTGGGGAACTGCATGAGCTCGAGGATGGCATGCGAAAGTGAAGCAGAGGTACCAAGTTCGATGTGTGTGATCATATATCGGCGAGCCTTAGGCACGGACTGCAGCTCTGTGAGCGCAGATCTAGTCATACTAGGCAACGAGGACTGGAGCTCATCCAGTACGGGGCTGAGCACAAGGTGCATCAAGCGGGTACACATCAACAAGACTGCACTGAGGGATAGATCCAGCACACGATGCTGGCTAGGCAAGACAAAGCACAAGAGTCGAAGCTTTTTCACCATCGGAGCCAGCATCGAGGTTGAATCATTGGAGAGCACGTGTGCGAGGAGCGGAAGTTGGTTAGGGCGCCGAATAGCGATATCACGGTATAGTAGCTCTCTTCCTGCCCAGGACCAGGCTCTGCACACAACCGTGAGGCCTTTCTGGAATCGCAGGTTCTGGGCCCATGGTGACATGGGTCCACTTCCTAGGTATGGGTCGAGAAGCGACGGAGGAGCGCACGCAGAATCAAAGATGTCGGTGATGAGCTCAACGGGGAGAGTCATAGCCGGAGGTACATTTGGATTGGGATAGCCTGGTCTGAATGAGATCTCCGCTGTGTAAAGGCGCGGCGCCGAATGAGACGACGATCAGCGAGTCTGAGGCTCGCGACGCACCATCCTCAGCCATCTAGAGTGTTCCTATATCACGTCGCCCTGGATGATTGCTGGATGAGCCATGTTCGAGAGAATCGATATCAGCACTCGACATACTACAAGCTTAGAGCTTGAGGCAAACACCGTGACGCTCATCTGAAAAAGTGCAAAAGGATTACGGGCTGTACAACCGTGATAATCTGGGAGTAATATAACAACGGTTTACCAAGCAAAAAGAGTAGTTTTAACTCATAGTCACATTGATGCCCTACTCGTAAGGGTTCGTAAGGCGTCGTCATGAGTTATCATTTTGGGACAAAATTACCACGGTTTGCAAAAATAGCCGCAATTTATCAATGCATGACAAACTATTATTAGGCTTGACAGGTGCTGCAAAAGGCCGATTTTGAGAAGCAGTGAATGTTGGTTTCAAACGGGTATATGTAAGTACTACATTAAGCGGTATTATCTGGCTTCTTGGTGTAATGGGTAAGTCTCTTAGCGTACACTAAGAGTATAGCTCAAGGGTGTGGGTTCGATTCCCGCATGTTGCGCTTAGACAATTAATCCGTCTTACTTGTCTACTGTGATGAGATGTGTGAAGTCTAATAAGTGAAGTTGAAAGTGCTCTTTTTCAGTCAAGTTTGAAAGCATATTTTCGACACGGTCGTATTGGCTGATCATGCTCGTAAACTCTGGTAACATGTTGCAATATGACAATATTCCACTGATTTGACAAATGTCGTGCATCCATTATCATGCTAACGACATTGGTTTATCTAAACGAGCCTAACGACCGTTATCACGGATTGTAAGCTGTTATAACCCCTGTTAACACGGGTGCACTTTTTCAGATGCTGTCCGAGTGACACCATGATGAACATTTTCGAAACCCACTACGTAAAACAAAGCCAAACAGACGCGTCGCGTCCGTTGCATACGCTTGGGTACACACCATCATCTTCTAGTTCTTGCTTACCGAAAGGAGAACGGAATATCGCAATTGTAAAGTGAGAAAAGGGGTATATTTCCCTGAGATATAGAGAGCATTGATGTCATTTAGGGTTTTGAGCGTGCATGATTTTGTTGTTCTGAACACAATCTGAACATGCAAAAAACCTGACCAAATAGTACTAGACGCGTCGCGTTTGCTGTTCGTCCGGTTCGTCGTGTTTGATCCCACAGACAGGGCTTATATTCCAGACCGTGCGTGAAGAACATTGAAGATTCCCTCTAGAATTCCCATATCCTCCTCCACCTCGGAGTCTTCCGCTTCAGAACGTGTTTCATTCTCGCTCGTTGGTCTCATCTTCTCCATCGCCTCCTTCCCCGTCTTCACCTTCCTCTTCTTCATCAGACCGTTTGATACCCATACCACCCCACAACTGATGGTCCATGTCATATTGCGTCCGCATGTGCTCCATGTCGAGTCAGTAGATCAGGTCCTTCGCCACATATATCGCGAGCCCAGGGCAACGTGGCGTGCGCGTCACAGTCGACGACATCTGTACTAAGCCGCGGCGGGAGGTTAAGCGGGAAAATCCGGCGGTTCTGCGGTCTTGAAGAGTGTGGAGTCAAGGAAGTGTATATCTCGCAAGCGCGGCAGGTGCCTGCACATATCCCGCGGGTCCTTGAGGCCCGGCCTCCTGCATTCGCGCCATATGACAGTCCACACATCGAGCCATAAGACCTTTGGACGTGCAAGTGCTCTCAGGTGAATGTCGGAGACGACAAGGTGCTCAAAATTTAGGCAGTGTTGGATAAGATCCTCGACAGGTGGAATACACTGGCAGTGATTGTCCCCGTATATTGCGAGATATCACAGGTGGCTGCCGTGTCTCTTGGGGGAGGCCACGTAGCAAGGGTGCAAATGCTCAACATGCGCTCGCCCAGCTATGCGCGAGAGTCTGCGTAGTGTCGGAAGCCTCAGCCTGCACGTCACCGAGCAGAAGTTGTTGTTGATAGTGATACCACCCCACGAGGCAACCGTGAGTCGTAGATCTTCAAGCTGGGAAAGCACATATGGCTCGCCATTAGCTGCGGGAGAGAGATGGCTCAGTTCGCAGGAGAGAAAAGTAAGGTTGAGAAATCGGGTCAGCTCGGGATTGCATGCAAAAACGGGACGGGGTTGGCCGGGTTCGACGTGCGTGATCACATCTCGACGGGCCTCAGTCAGTCTGCAACGCTGCAAACGTTAATGTGGGCGAGAACTTGGACAGCGGGCGCCATTTAGATATATCCAGGGCGGGGTCACGCAAGAAGTATCTGGGAAGGGTGGAAATGACTGAAGAAGACCGATTTCAGTGATATGTCCAGCACACGGCACTGGCTCGGCGGGACGTAGCACAGAATCCGTAGCTTCCTCACCAATGGAGCCAACGGCATGGTGGGGTGGTTGAAGAGCGCGTGTGCAAGAAGAGGTAATTGGTGAAGGCGCCGGATGGCGATGTCACGATACAAGAGCTCTTTCTTGCTCCAGACCAGGCTTTGCAGACCAGCGTGAGCCCTTTTGGAAGTGCACGTTGTGTGCCCACGGCGACATGGATCCGCACCCTAGGTGTGGATCGAGAAGAAACGGATGTGCGCATGCAAGGTGAAAAATGTCGATGATGAGTTCAGTGGGGAAGGCCATAGCTATATAGCCGGAGCACAATTGGATTGAGGATGCTCGGTCTGGAGATGGCATCCGCCGTTTGACCGTGTAGCTCAATGAGACAAGGATGAGTAAGTTTAGGACTCGTGACGCACCATTGTCAGACATCTAGAAATCTCCCGGTCCTCTCATTGGAGGAACTCCTGTATAACGGTCGATTTGGTGGATTGCTTGATGAAGCCAGGTTCAAGGAAATCGACCAGCGGTGCGGCGAGAGACAGCACGTCAAGGCTATCGCAGCATTTCGATCCCGGGATGTCTGAATATTGCTGGTGAAGTCAGAAATCAATCCAACCTGCCAATGTTTTCACGCCGTCTGCGAAAGCCAGTTAGCCTACTTCGAGCTCCCGCTGTCTCGCTGCTGCGTGCAGTTTTGCGGGAAGTCAGAGATTACGTAAGTTGTATCACACATTCTCGGAGGTGAAAGCTCCGAGGCGCCGAATCAATTTCGGAGCCTTCCTCGGGATGGAGACAGGGGCTCCGCGTCGCCTGGCTTGGTCGGCATCCACCAACTCCAACCAACGCGTCCCCCTACTGCGCGTCCGCCGAAACCACAGCGCAACGCGCAGCTTTGGCGCAGCTCTTGAATGCAGTGTGCGAGGTTTGATGCAGTACAAACTTCATCTCGTCAAATGTCTCACATAATCACATCTCTTTCGTTCAAGCACTCTTGCCGTCCTCACTCGTCATCACCATGCAGCGACCAGCATCGCTTCACGTTTTAACTGCCGAGCATCCCATATAAGAGCCATGTCCAGCTCGACTAGTATACGGTATTGGCTTCATCTTCCGCATCAGTAAGGTTATCAGATAACACAACGACCTTACCATGGCTTCCTCGTCCTCGACTATACCCGTCCTCATCGTAAGCTGCCCTTCCTCTTCGTCCATTCTTTGCTGATAACCTACTTGTAAAGTCCGGTGCCGGTCCCACTGGCCTTGCCGCTGCCCTCGTCCTCCTCCGTAATGGCATCGCTGTCCGTGTCATCGACAAGCTGCCCGCCTTCAACCCAGGAACCCGCGGGCCTGGCCTGCAACCGCGCACGCTCGAGCTCTTCCATCAGGCAGGGGCGCGCGAGATCATCGAGACCGGCCAGTCCATGATCCCGATACGCACGTACAAGCCCGGGACGCTGGAGCCCGAAAAGGACAGGCTCGTGCATAAGCCACGCGCGCCGAGCCCGCACTTTCCCTATGTGAGCCTTAAGCTCGTTTGGTTTACCTATGTTGTTCTGACGTGGAATGACGCATACAGGGAAACATAATCCTTCTGGGCCAAAACATGACCGAACACCATCTCCGCGCACAGATCGCAAAGTACGAGGTGTACGTCGAGCTCGGCACCGAGCTTCGCTCGTTTGAGCAGGACGCGAATGGCGTCACCGTCCATCTTATCAAGAAGCAGCAAGGCAGTGAACAAGAAGTCGACGAGACCGTACGTGCGCAGTACCTTGTGGGCACGGACGGCGCGCGCAGTGCAGTGCGCAAACTGCTCGGGTGCACGTTCCTAGGCGAGACGCGCGACGACACACGACTGATCACTGGGGACGTACGTATCGTGGGCGAAGGTCTTGGGCGGGATTATTGGCATCAGTTCGGGGATGGAATTGTGAAGAAAGGGTGAGCCTGGTTTCCTGATGCTTTCACGAATGACTCACGTACTGACTATCGCATGTCGCTGTCGCGCTATCCAGCCTGTTCCTCCGCCCATGCAACAGCATCGCCGGCGCCGAAAACGACGGCTTCCAGCTCATGCTCGGCGGCTCAGAGATTGATATCTCAGCGACGGTGGCCGGCGGGCGCGAGGCGATTTACGCGCTCATTCAAGAGCTTGTGCCGACGAAGCTCGAGTTCAGGGAGCTCATCTGGTTCGGCGAATTCAGGCCCAACATTCGCATGGCAGACAAGTTCGGCGAGGGGCGGGTGTTCATTGCTGGTGATGCTGCACAGTACGTACTTGCTCTCTTCCTTCGCCTGCGCCATAGATTCTGACGCAGCGCGTCCAGCTGCCACAGTCCTGCCGGCGGTCAGGGTCTCAACTCCAGCGTCCAGGACGCCGTGAGTCTCACTCACATTCCCCGCTCCGTCTTCCACCTCTCGCTGACCCACCCTTCCCCGTTCATCACAGTTCAACCTCGCATGGAAACTCTCCCTCGTCCTCAAAGACCTCTCCCCTCCCTCCCTCCTCAGCACTTACACAACCGAGCGTCTCCCCGTGATAGCCGAGATGCTCAACCTCACCACCTCGCTCTTCAACCAGACCACCGCAGGCGACGACCGCGCCTTCGAGCGCTCCGACCGCCTCCTCATGCTCGGCGTGAACTACCGCACGTCCCCGATCGTACACGACGAGCTCTCCCCGCCTGGCAAGCGCGAGCCCGTGCCCGCGTATGGCGAGGCGAACGAGGCGCTCGAGGATGCGCTCGTGGCTGGGGACAGGGCACCAGATGCGCCGGGATTGGTGGACGGGGAGGGGAGGGCGTATAGGGTGTTTGATATTCTGAAGGTGGTGCGGCACACGGTGTTAGTGTTTGTGCCTTCGTTCCAGCAGGCGAAGGGAGTTGTGCAAGCGATCAAGGGCAGGGAAAGCTGGGGGGACGTCGTGCGTCCTGTTGTTGTGCTCCCTGCTGGTGCCTCGATCGACGATGCATCGCTGGAGGCGGATGGCGTGCTGGTGCTGCGGGATGCGGAGCAATTCGCGTATGCGGGGTTCCGCGCGAAGGAGGGCGAGAGCAGGGTGGTGATTGTGCGTCCGGATGGGTATGTCGGCGCGGTGGTGAGAGGCGTCGAGGGGATGGAGAGGTACTTTAGTGGAATTTTTGTTTGAGCGGGCGGTTTTTGAAGGCGTATAACTCATTACCCGGGACAATCATATGCATTAAATTCAGGATATAATTATGTACACAGAATTTGTGATTTTATATAACTCAGTTCGCTGCCCGAACATGGAGGCAACATGGACGGAACGTTTTCTTCGGTGCCGCAGCGGATGAGTCTTATTTCCCGGAGATTTGCCTTTATAAGCCCCATTCAAGCAAGCGCAAACAATTGATAAGCCGGAAAGATTACATTTTCTCGTCCGCGCGATCGCCGAGCTCACTTGCTCACACTTTCCCCATCTCTCTCCCTCCCCCCTCAACAAAACTACGACACGATGGAGTTCGTCCCTGCTCCAGCGGTCCACCGTGTTCTCTGCGCTGACTGTGGTGAGATCTTGCCTGCTCTTGCTGATGCAATGAACGCGATTCGATGCTTACCGGTGCGCAGGAACACCGATTGTGCCCAACTCTGCCAATCTCTGCGTCGCTTGTCTTCGGAATACGTGAGCCCTCGTGTCTACTCCCCCGCCGAATCTCGCTGAAGGATACACAGGGTCGATATCACAGAAGGGATCCCAAAACAATGTGCGTCCTTTCTCTGTCACCCTCTCGCTCCTTTCCCTAAACGCGCCTCTCGTACAATCCATCCTCCATCCTCCGATCGGCATCGGCATTCGACACGTTGCTCCCTCTCTCCCTTCATCCCTCTCTAGCATCCGTCTCGTTCTGCAGAAACTGCGAGCGCTTCCTCTCCCCGCCGCAGGCATGGACGCTCGTGCAGCCCGAGTCGCAGGAGCTACTCGCGATCTGCCTCAAGAAGCTCAAGGGGCTCAACAAGGTCCGGCTCACGGACGCGCACTTCATCTGGACGGAGCCGCACTCGAAACGGCTTAGGGTGTCGCTCACTATTCAGAAGGAGGTGCGTCTCTGTTTCTTTCTCGATTCCATCCCTTTCCTTACGTCTACGTCGATGCATACATCGAGGTAGACAACAGTGTGAGGCTGGGCGATGGTGACACTGACGCTGACACTGCCTGTCTCTACCCGCAGGTGCTCACGAACACGGTCCTGGAGCAGGTCTTCGAGGTCGAATACCTCGTGCAGCACGGGCAGTGTCCCGACTGCGCGCGGCTCGCAGCGAAGAACACGTGGAAGGCGCTCGTGCAGGTCCGGCAAAAAGTCTCGCACAAGCGGACGTTCCTGTTCCTCGAGCAGCTCATCCTCAAGCATAGCGCGCAGAAGGAAACGATCTCGGTGAAGGAGGTGCGGGATGGGCTGGATTTCTTCTACAGCCAGCGGAGCCATGCGATTAAGATGGTGGAGTTTCTAGCGGGCGGCGTTCCCACACGGTGCGTTGTCGTCCAGCGTAGATTGTGAGAGAACGTTGGCTAAAGGACGTACTGGTAATCGTAGGTCAAAGGGCTCAGAGCAGCTCCTCTCGACGGACACGCACTCGGGCACGGCCAACTACAAGTTCACTTACTCGGTCGAGATCGCGCCGATATGCAAGGACGACCTCGTCTGCATCCCGCCCAAGCAAGCAAAACAGCTCAGCAACATCTCCCCGCTCACGATCTGCACGCGCGTCGGCAACTCGCTCCAGCTCACGGATCCGGCCACGTTGCAGAGTGTCGAGGTCACCGCGGCGGTGTACTGGCGCGCGCCGTTCGCGTCGCTCGCGAACGTGACGGACCTCGTCGAGTTCACCGTGCTCGACATCGAGCCATCGGGCCCCACGCGCGGCAAATGGGTCCTCGCCGACGCGCAGGTCGCCATGTCTGGCGCGTTCCGGTCCTCGAAGACGCACGGCGGGGACGATGAAGACATGTTGATGGACTACGAGGGCTCGGCGTACGCGAATCAGATCTTCCACACGCGCACGCACCTCGGCGCGATTCTCCAGCCTGGCGACGCGGTCATGGGATACCACCTCACGAACGCGAATTACAACTCGGACGACTTCGCGGCTGTGTCGGCCGATCGCGTGCCGGATATTGTACTCGTGAAGAAGGCGTATCCGAACAGGCGGAAGAAGAACCGGACGAGAGAGTGGAAGCTGCGGAGTATGGCCAAAGAAGAGGGCGAGGAGGGCGAGACGGGGGCGGGGCGGGGTGTCGTTGGGAGGATGGGAGGACGGGACCAGAAGAAGGTCGAGGAGGACTACGAGCTGTTCTTGCGCGAGTTGGAGGAGGACCCGGAGCTGCGTGGGGCTGTCAACCTGTACAAGGCGAAGGATGTGCGGATGCGGGATGCTGCTGCTGCTGCCGCACAGGATGGCGCACGTGCAGGGAAGAAGAAGGGAGGGCAGTACGGTATGGAAGTGGACGATTCGGCGCAACGGAGCCAGGCAGAAGGGCATGCAGAGGAAACGGAGGGAGAAGAAGACGAGGGGGATTTCCCAGATGTCAAGCTAAACGAGCTGCTAGAGGATTTCGACGAGATGACGCTTGGGGACGATGCGGAGCAGCAGCAGTCATAGTATTCAGTTTCAGTTGGTCTTAGCAGTGCTTATCTCATGTCCCAGGGCCTTTGTTTGAGATTGTCAAGGGCGACATTAGATCGTTTGAGCTTTGCAGGTTTCTGGATTTTTCGATACATTTTTCGGTCGACTTTTTGTCGAGACCGGCAAAAGTTACCGAAGACTCAGCTGGCTGCTCGCTGTAAACAACAGTCTATTCGTGTAAAGTAGCTTGTCAGGGAAACGATTTCGTCAAAATAACATGGATACCATTGATCAATCGGTCAAGTGTCGCTTCAAAAAAAGTGAAAGAATAGCTTTTATAATAGTGATAATATTATTGCAATGTGACTACACAACGACATCACACACGATCAATCCAAAGTTCGATACACACTACAACGAAGTCAGGTAAGACAGGTCCCAGTCAACCGATACCTTAACTAGACAACAACAATGCAGAATGTAAAGAATAGAAGGCAGTGAAAAGGATACGAAGTAGCACCTCCCAATGTCTGTCTGCGAAGCACCGAGCACCATGCAATCATGGTCTGCGGAAACCAAACAGAGAGAAAAGAGGAGGCGAAGGGAAGAAAGAAGATCCCCCGACGACACAAGCCGATACTGCAATAGCAAGGTCATCGTGCCCTTCGAGTTGCAAGCAGAGCTCGAAAGGCGAGGGCGGCAAAAATTTGATAACCAGATTAGATCGCAATGCGATCGTAATAGTGGTTAAACTATTAAGAACAGATACTACACTTGATCTAAGCCAAAAGGCCAGAGTGGTAAGGATTCACCGTGTCCGACGCTGCCTTATATACCGTTTGCGACCCGCGCACAGACCACCCGCGACAGGGGTCTATGACCTTCCCCCTTTGGCGAGTTAGTGTATCGCCACCGCCTTTCGGCAATTCGCGCCGTGCTCAAGTCAACCCCATGTACTCCCCGAGTCCTTTGAATGCGATCGATGGGACTCCAAAACATGGCCGTCTTTCTACGTTTCTACGACAAAGCGTACTTTCGAGAGTACCTTTGAATTGGCGCGACGTGCATACCATTTTCGTCTTTTGATACACTCAGACATGTTTCATGATACTCGACACGCGCCAGAGTACATATTCTATCCCCGTAGCGCCGGCAGGAGCAGCTAGCCAAGCAAGGGAAGGCCCGAGTGTGAATTGAGCACTATGAAAACGAGACAGATATAATACAGAGCAATGATATCAAGAGCGCTATGGATACATGGTGTTTGCATGCGCAGGCTATGCCAGGCCGATCCAGTGATACAGCACCGTTCCCTGAAATGATGTGTTAGTGGGTATGCGACGAGGGGTGGTGAGAGTAGGTGGCTGATTATCTCACTGTACTGTTGTCCTTGCGCACGATTTTGCGATTCACGAGCGCAATGAGGCATTTGTTCACGCGGGCTTGGTTCAGATCAGGAGGCGTGATGAGCTCGAGGACTAGTGGATGTCCGACGTCAGATCGACTGGTGTTTAGAAGGAGACTGTTGAGTAGACGCACGTTTGACCCCAGCACCAGCCCGGTCCATCATCTTCTCTATCACCGTCTCCATGTTCCGCCGCAGGTTCTACCCGGGTTCATCTACCTTTAGCAACGAAAGCAAAGGGCGTATAGGATGACGTACAGGATCGTTCCCGCGGAATTCCAATGGGAGATTCGAGATGGTCTTCTCGATAGCAAGCTGAATTTGTATAAAAATGAGTGCCCTCGGCACACGACATAGCGGAAAGAGTGAAGACACACTGATCGCTCTTTCTTTTCCTTCGCGCTCATCTTCGGTTTACCCTTTTTCTTCGCCGGCGCCGTGCCAAACTTGGACGCTGACGTCGAGGTGATGCCTGTTGCCGTCGTAGCATACGACATGTCTCCGTCCGGTGCATCCGTATACGTCGTACGGTCATCATCGGTGTCGTGCGTGGGATCAGGCTGAGATGGCTCGGGCTCAGGTGCAGTCGTCTGAGCGCGCGCTTCCTCCTCTGCAAGCAGAATCGACCCAATGAGTCCAGCGACCAACAACACAACTCCAGAGCGTGCATATCACGCACCTGCTCTCCGCTGAGAGAGCATATACGACAGCTCATTAGGCGCCTACGATACGATCATCAGCCTAGCCGCCCTCAACACGTCCACGTCCGATGACAGAGACAAGAACAAGAACAAGAACAACGCACCTGCGGCCAATCCACCGTAAGCGCGTTCATATCCATCACATACAACCAGCTCGCGAACCCATCATTGAACGTCCGCAGCGCGTTGCTCAGATCGCTGAGGCGCGCCGCGTTCGCGTGCAGCGCCTCCGTCTCATCGAGTAGCTCCGACAGTGCGGGTTCCATGAAGCCGAGCCCGTGCGGCGCGTCGCCCTCCGCGCGGGTTTGTGAGCGCGAGAGCGCACGCAACGAGCCTTGGGAGATGCGGCGGAGGGGCGTGCGGTGTGGTGTGGCCATTGGTTTTGCGATCGCTAGTGCTAGTGATGATGAAGGAGGAGATAGGAGGCTCGCGATGCTTGGTTGAACGCGTCGTGCAGGAGATTCCGATCGTCTCGGAGTTGGCGCAATCTCATTTTTTGTTAGTTTACGCATGGCTCCAGTTTACGCATGGCTCAAAAGCCTCATCATGTCATTGGGCAACATTGCGAATGTTTAACTATGATCGCTTCAGAGGTAAATTGGTATATGTTACAGAGAATCCGTGTGCTACATTATAAGTCCCAGTCCTGTATCAATCCGACACTTTGGGCGTCTAGGAAGAGCGTCTCTGTAAGACGGAAGCTGTGGGTGTATACGCTGATAATGATAGTAATCCAGGTATTGTGCTTGCAGCATGGAATCTCGATGTGCTACAGCCGAGGCCACGAGGACCACCCCAGAAGCTTCGTCCATTCATGTAGAGGACACGGAAGCCAAAGTGAGCGCCAGCATACCCTTTTATCGGTACTCATAGGGCACGGGCTGGGGTATTTGATAGATGGATAACACTCCCGGAAGAAGAACTCAGATGCCATGATACTGAGGAAGGACAAAAATCTAGTGGCGAGACAAACGCCTGGGAGAGATCTCCATTACGAGGGACGTACTGTACATTTTGTGAATCGACCACTGCTACCGGGTTAGGCAAACGCAACAGCCATCCCACTACCCAAACTACCCACTTGAGGCCCTCTAACTTTCTATGACAGCAGGGGTATGGTCGTGCGCGAGAATTGCTCTGATTTGGGGACAATGATTGCTGTAGTTCCGGGGCACGACGACAAGTTGAGACCACGAGGCGAGCGAGGCCATGAATCGGTGTACAAGTGATAGCGTACGTTTTGAGATAGCGTTCAGAAGCCCTTGTCCTTGGAGCGCTCCATCGCTATCACCGGCGTCAGCTCGAACGCGGATGGACGAGGGTGTAGAGAACGCACGATTATAATGCAGCAACTTCTCAATCAAGTCTACGTGCGTCAAGACCATCCGACGGCAGCAGTACCGCTTGAGCTGTAGGTTATCGAGGGCGTCACTGAACACAGCAAAAAACAAGAACGGTGCAAGTTATCAGTAAAGCCGAACAGGATGTGTCCGTAAGCGATGAGGCCGACGTACCCTTCGCTCATGTCGTTAGCAAGGAGCTCCAAGTAGGCGGTCCACTTATCTCCAATGACCTTTCCACATGAGAAACACCGCACCGGGATAATCTGAAGAAAGCTTGACAATAAGAAAGGACTGAACAAACGGACGATGGGACGGACTGACCATGGCCGTGAAGATGAAGGAGCGTGGGAACGTTACGGATTCAGCCCACGTGAATTACGCGTCTCTTGGGCGCTAAACAAGACGCTAAACTTTAAGTCACTCTCACCCTCACCCAATCCCTCATTGTCGTGCTCATGGGCATGTACACTTACATGCAAGCCAGCTCGAAGACATTGTGTAGACTCGCCACAAGGGCATAAACAACATCACAGCTCGATAGATGTTTCTCAGTCGATGCTAGGGACTAGGAGGCTTGGGCGCTAGATTCCAGGCTAAAATTGGCGCTACCTTCAACGTTCCTTGAATACCTTGAACACCTGTACACATACAGCTATGTGCAGCTTATCATCAGGGATATTACTGCTGATGGCTACTCAGTGCCCTTGCATTTGCTCAACATCAAGGTATTTGCGGACCTTTACGCATCTTGGATCGGCTGTCAACGTTTACAATAGACTTGGACTCTGGAGAGTTGATGTCTGTGGATGGGAGCTATGCGTTCAAACCCAGAGTAAAATCTTTCGAAGAGGTACATCACTCTGATGTGCTAACCATGGACACATGTATGTGAGCTCCCCTACTATCAAACTCGTGTCTACTAGTTCCTCGGTTTAGAACGAACGTGCTGTTGATAGGATCGTCCTCGTGTTTAGGCCCCGGCTTGTATATCTCCTTTGCCTTTTAAGCTGATAAATTCGGTCTCACAACATCTCACCTCCAGACCTTCGGCCATGTCAATCGACAGCGTAGCGCAAGTTCAAGTCCTTAGTAATTATGCTCAAGGTCAGTCACAGCCAATACTATTCATTGTCTTGTAAACTGCTTAACCGTTACCCCTGATACCTAACCAGTCGCTATTTTCGCACTAATGGTGCATGACTATGGTGGGTGGAGTGTTTCACCTCTCACTGTCGTGTTCTAACCGCTTCTACTTAATCATTAGTCCTGAATCTCGGTCGTGAAGTAGGTCCCTAACCTTACGCAAAAAATTAAGGAGCTTAGCTAGCGTTCAGGTAGATCTAGTATGGGTGGGTCAATCTATTGTTGAATACGCAGAAGAGGTTCTCAACTTGAGTAGAAAAGGAGATGGTCTACAGTGACAGGCGTATATTTTGTGGTAATAAGTCACGCACCTTTTTGCGGGGACATGCATCTGACAATCAAGTTGATAGCTGCGGTACCTTGGTCCTGCCTGGGCATTGTAAGTTTAATCTGTCATACCCATTAACATGTCTGATCTCTGTTATACTGTCTCCAGTCTCGGGCAATGTAGGTCATGATTCTAACTGAGAAAGAAGACTAAGTGAAGATTATCGATTAGTCCAAGACTCGCCCGTGGCCGGACCAGTGAGTGCGAGAGCTCGAGTTGATAGCGAGATTTTCTTACCGATGTCATCGAAGGCGTAAGTATCAGTCACAATACTTCCACTTCAATAACTTACACTGGCTACTTGCGTTCGTTTGTCTCTATCCAGGTGTAAGGGGACTTCAGTAAACTGAATATAATGCAAGGTGGACTAACCGTAGCATCATAGGTCTCTCACTTGACATAGCCAGTCAAGTACTTGCTTTTGTCATTATGTTCGCAATACAAGGCAAGTATTCATGTATAGCTGCTCTGCGATCAATAGTCACGGCGTACGCTGTAGGGATGTTGGTTCTTCGAATCTGCGCGCTCTACGGAAATTCCAAGGCCACGGCTTTGTTCCTGGGCATAACCTTTACCATCGTCCAAGTGATTAATTTAATCGCACTTTGCATTCTCAGCACAAAGATGCCATTCCTCTCACGTGAGTCGAAAGCTCACCATACTCCCCACTTTTTTGATCCTCCGAAGCCACAGGCAGTGCGTGGGGTTCCAGCTTTTGCAGAGTGACAGTCATCACACCGATGCAACAATGGCCTTTCCCACTCCAGAACTTGACACGATTGGCATTCGAGGTCATGATCTGCGCATTTGGTCTCTGCTGGGCCGTCAAACGCTGGGATTATATTAAACCACTCCCGGCGGGAACAGTGGCGTCGGTCTTAGTTTCGGACAATGCAATTTATTTTGTAATGTATGCGTTGTTTGCCACAAAATCTGCTGAGACTCACAACATTGTACAGCGCATTCTTGGATTTACTTATGGGCGCTCTTCTCATCCTTATCCCTTCGTTACAGTCGGTGAGGCTTGTTGATGTCTTCGTAAATGCCGACGAGGCTATTAACAAAGGGACAAGTCCTCATCTTATCTTGTTTTTGACTGCATCCTGCAAACGGTGCTATATACAATGGTTGGGCCATGGCTGCTACTAAGTTTGCGGAGAGAATGCGAAAAAGGATATGGAAACCAGTCGAACACCACTAAACTGACCCTTAGCCGAGATGAAGTAGCCACTATGCGATATGCTAGCTGTCCGAGAATATCAGGTGCAGAAGCGCTAGCTTAACATTTCGACTCTGATGCAGTACTGTACTAGCTATGTCGTTTACATCGCACGGTTCGTGTTTGCCACGCACAATTATGTATCATTTCCTGAATCTTTGACTTGATATGTGTACATCACATAATACACGGCCCTTAAGGCTATGATAAGGAAAGAAATAGTGATAGGTAGGATATATGATTAGTTACAACCGACGCAGCGTGCATCATTATGCATTTGGGCTTGCCTCACCAGGCTTGAAGCTTGAAGCGTGCTAGCAGCACTCCGTCCAACGACCAGGGCAACGCTTCCGAGCGCTCTACTACGTATCAAACAAACCTCTCCGTGTTTTCAACTCTTGAAACCCGGAACTTGCACCATCTGTCGTAGCATTAATTAATCAACGCTGCCGTAAGTAGCAAACCATACGAATATTTGCCTCTGAGTCTGAACATTATCAGGCCACTGTGTGAAGCGCGGAATTTGGTATACATACCAAATTGGCCACTATAGCACTCGATAAACAACTCATAATATCGTTAGATGAACAGATGGGCCTCGTCTTGTCAACATTGTCGAAGACAACGACGAGATGGGTTTGGCGCCGTGGGAAACGCTGCCATGAAAGTGTCGGCAAATCGGATCGATTTCCGACTCGGGTGGTGTCTCATTCGCAAGTTCACGCTCACGATCTTCCCCCCATCCTAACCGCCTGAGGCAGACACGCTCAGCCTTCGAGGCCACCCCTTCAATCGTGCGCAAGCTTACAGGAGTGAACAATTTGTGCAAACACAAAAACACGCGCATTGCGAATTCGAATGCATATGCTATTGAACGGACTTGGAGACATTGAATTCGCTATCATCTAGACATCCTGTCACGCAACCAAAGTCGGAGTACTGCAGCGTCTTCAATGCACTTGTCTCTCCTCGCATTGCTTTGATTCCCAAAACCCGACTTTATCCAGCCCTCTTCCATACCGGCAGTGTATAGGTGTTACGTCCAAGACAAGGGCTTTCTAGATGGCTGAGGATGGTATGTCACTGGCCTTTAGCCCCAGGAAGATCGCCGATCATCTCATTCAGCCATATCTTGGAACAGCAGAACACACGTCCAAACCAGGCTCCCCCATCCCACCGGCGGCGTCAGCTATGGTTCTACCTATAGAACTTATCATCGACATCTTTGGCATGGCGTGTGCCCCTCCGTCGTTCTTCGACCCACACCTGGGATGCGGATCGACGTCACCGTGGGGTTTGAACCTGCGCTTTCAAAAAGGCCTTACCCTGGTATGCAGAGCCTGGTCTGGAGCAGGGAAAGAGTTCTTATATCATGACATCGCTATTCGTCGCGTCGATCAGCTTCCACTCCTCGCACACCTACTCTCCAGTGACTCCACCTCAACACTGGCTCTGATGGTAAAAAGGCTTCGGGTTCTGTGCTTCGTCTCCCCGAGCCAGCACCACGAGCTGGATATCTTCCTCAAGTTGCTCTTTTCGATGTGCACTAAACTCAGACACTTCGTGTTTGACCCCGTGATCGGCGGGTCCCATCGCTCGTTGTCTGTTGGACCCGCGTTAATGGCGCTGCAGACCGTTCCCGAGACGCATCGAGACATGATCACGCACGTCAAGCTGGGATTTCTCGTACCGCTTTCGGATGCGGTCCCCGAGCTATCCCGGTTCCCCAATCTCACATTTCTCTCGTGCGAAGTGAGCCATCTGCCACCTGCCTTCAACGGCGAGCCATACGAACTCTCCCGGCTTGAGGATCTGCACCTCACATTTTCATTCGCGTTCAGTCAGGTCGCCAGCGACAACTACCGCTCGGTGACATCGAATCTCAGACTTCCAGCACTTCGAAAACTCTCACTGGTTGCTGAACGGGCGCTGGGCGAGCATTTGTACCCTTTCTACATGTCATTCCTCGAAAAGCATGGGAAACAGCTGCGATATCTCGTCATCTACGGGGACTTGTTCCTTGTTCCAACCATCGAGGGGCTCATCCGTCATTGCCCATGCATCGAACACCTTGTCGTGCCCCACGTAGAGAGCCTGACAACGCTCACTCACCCAAAGATCGTGTGGCTTGACGCGTGGGGGTGGCATGTGCTCTCGCCGCCCAAGGATCCACCGGATGCGTACAAGAACATGCCGCGCTTACGGGGCGTGCGCGTTCTTGATTGTGCCCTCTTCCATATTACAGGCCCGGCTTTGCCTCTCGTCATCCCACCATACCTCAACATTGGTCTTGCAAATTCCGACTCGCGAGAAACGTCAATCGCATACCCTGGACTCACGATATGCGTGATGAAGGGCCTGGTATATCAAACATGCGCGCAAGAAAAGGGTGGAGAAGCAGGGGAAATAGACTACGGGGGCGTAGATTCAGCAGAAGACGATGGAGAAGAAGGGCCGGGGTGCCCTCGAGCGAGCAGGACGTAAGTGTTGACTATAAGGGCTGGGATGAAGACACAACGGAATTGTAGGGAGTAACACATGCACTCCTTTAAAGAAATGACATGATTTGAACTCGGTGTCTGTGGCTGGGCGAGTACCCAATTAATGCGGGCGAAAGCACAGGACGCGACGCGTTTGTTTGGCTCTGTTTCGCGCGGTAGAAAACGCGTCATGTTTGTCTCAGCATCTACTACGTGACGCTTGTCTCTCCTTCAAGCTTCAAGCATCAAGCATCACCGTCGATTTCTTTGAATTGGAATTATCCAAGAATTCCCCTTTAGCTTGCCGTAGTATAATAGCCACTTCCCGGAGAAGCTCGTTCCCTTCCACCAGGAGCAAAGGTGGTTTCTTAAATGGCTGAAGATAGCAGTGCGTAATCAGCCTCAAACACATTCATCGTCTTCTCATTCAGGCGGCCTGTCAATCTTCACAGTAGATCACCTGCTCAGGCAGAGCAGCTCAATCCACCCTCCAGCTATGGCTCTCCCGTTTGAGCTGGTCATCGACATCATTGACCGTGCATGCGCCCCTCCGTCGCTTCTCGACCCATACCTGGGATGCGGACCTATGTCGCCGTGGGCACAGAATCTCCGATTCCAGAAAGGCCTCACGCTGGTGTGCAAATCATGGTCTGAAGCAGGAAAAGAGCTCTTGTATCGCGACGTTGTTATACGACGCATTAGCCAACTTCCACTCCTCGCACATGCGCTCTTCAAGGACTCGACCTCGACGCTGGCTCCGATGGTGAAGAAGCTACGACTCCTGTGCTACGTCTCGTCCAGCCAGCATCGTGTGCTGGAGATCTCCCTCAAGTCAGTCTTCTTGATGTGCACCAGGATCAGACACCTCGTGTTTGACCCAGTGCTGGATGCATCCTGGAGCTCGTCGGCTCAGATCGCACCCGAGTCCACGTTCATGGCGCTGCAAAATGTTCCTGAAGTCCGACGCGAACTAATCACACACGTCGAGCTCGGTATTCCCGTCTCGCTTTCACATGCAATCCCTGAGCTGGTTCAGTTTCCCAACCTCACCGTTCTCTCCTGCGAGCTGAGTCATCTGGCTCCCGCCGCTGATGGTGTGCCGTACACGTTTTTGCAGCTTGATGATCTACGCATCACGCTTTCTTACTCGAACCCTTCCTATGTAGACGCTGCCTTTGGCAACAACTACCAGTCACTGATATCCAGTCTCAGGCTTCCGGCACTGCGTAAAGTCTCATTCATCGCCTGGGCAGATTATATGCTCCCCCACTACGTTTCCTTCTTGAAGAACTTCGGCAACCAACTGCTATGTCTCGTGGTATACGGGCACTTTCACCGTGTTTCGCAATTTGAGGAGCTCATACAACACTGCCCGAACGTTGAGCACCTTGTTGTGCCCCACGTGAAGGACCTGACAACGCTGGAGCATCCAAAGGTCGTGTGGCTTGACGCATTGGGTGGGCCACCATCATTGTGCAAAAACCATGATTTGATGGACGCCTACAAGAACCTGCCCTGCCTACGGGGTGTACGCCATCTTTGTACCTCCCTCTTCCAGGTCGCAGTTCTGCCTTCTATCTTCCCTCCTCACCTCGCCACTCGCCTACCAGGTTCTAACTCGCAAGCATCATTGCTCACATACCCTGGTTTCGCCATATGCATAAGGAAGGGTTTGGTCTACCGGCTAGACCTGGAATGTTTGGACATGCATTGCGGCTTAGACGATGGTGGTTTTAGGCATATGTGGAATTTTCCAGAAGACGAGCTAGTAAAGGCTCGCGGTTCTAAGGTGGAAGAAGGTGGAGCAGGGGAAAGAGGAGACGGAGAGGGGGCAGAAGAACAGGGATCAAAAGGAGAGAAAGGAGAGGAAGGAGAGGAAGGAGAGAGTGGAGATGATGCGGCCTCAAGCTCAAGTGAGGCAACATCTTCTGAATATGAGGATTGCGAAGTGGATGGAATAGATGAAGACATGACGGCGCTGGAAGACATGTTAGACAGTCTTCAAATACTGTCTAAATTTTAAGCAGCATATACCCGTATCTATGATAGTGCTCGTGCCCATACTCGAGATTTGTTTTACGCACGTATCTGGGAAAGTTCGACTGTGGTGTCTTTCGTAACATGTTTCTGTCTGCGACTCTTGCGCGTTCTGAAACGGAGGATTCCGAGGTGGATGAAGATGTAGCAGCGTTAGAAGGCATATTAGACGGACTTCGCGTCCGATCTTGATTGGAAGTGTCAGCCTTCAAATAATCTATGGCAGCATCTGTGTCCAGGCGCGAGGAAGGGGAGCTTCCGCAACGCGTCTGGTTTCTTGATTCCTGGTGTGTTTGCCTTTGAAATAAAGATATTCATGCGCTTCGGTGTTATCATCAACAAGATGCAATCCTATACATATGACTGCTGTCATAGGGAAACTGGGGATACAAAGAGGTGTTTTATACGAGACTTCGAGCCATCGTGGAGACCTCACTAGACGAAGTTCAGCCTTACATGATTCATAGTGATATATTGGTACTACATGCCAATCTCATTCAGGCGTAAGTAAATCGTCAGAAATTTACCCAGCACAGAGTAGGAAACCTTTCATTGGGAAATAACCTTTCACATAAAACTTGTGTTTTTGATCTATGCCATACGAGAGACATCAGGTACTTTGTTGCACGCCACTTGGCATGTGTTCATATGCTTGTCCTTCGTAATAGCATCCCTATAGTACAATACCATCAATTTTGCAGTCCTCAAGTCAAGAGAATGCCGGTGACTCACGGAGCATTGATGATACTTTCTGGTCCAGTGAATATTAGCGTATCATAGAGGATACCGCCAGCCAAGCATCCCGCAATAGGCCCTAGCACCGGGCACCAAAGCCAGTACTGGTTCCTGAACGTGAATACTGTAGACGAGATATCAGTGCTGTCACTGGTGGGACAGTAATGCGTGCGATGAACAGACCTCCTTTTCCGTAACCGACCATAGCGGTCATGATGCGAGGCCCAAGGTCTCGGGCGGGGTTGATTGCATAGCCCGTGTTCATGCCCATGGCGATACCAATCCCGACCATGACTAAAAACAACGCCAAGGCCATGAGACCAGGTGGCGGAGGACTGTTCCGCTTGTCAGTGAAGGCGAGGATGCCTATCATAAGGAGTGCAGAAGGTAAGAGCTACGGTAATAAAACTCATCAGAAGAAGAAAATGAATTACGAGCGCCTGGACACAAACCTCGGAGAAGAAACATCCGATGTTAGATTCATAACCGGACTATGGTTCCAGGAGAAATGCATAAGTCAGCTCATAGCAGCCAAAGTGACCGTGATTCTCTTACTGCGTATGTAGCAAAGAGGCCAGCAGTCTTGCTAACCGTTCGAATACCCGATCCACCTTCGAAAGCGTTGATTGCATGGTAGTAATTTGCATAGACTATTCCGCCACCGCACAAAGCTCCCATGAGCTGAGCAAAGCAATAAACGGGTACCTTCTTCCACGGAAAGCCGCGAAGAGCAGCCATTGCGACGGTTACCTGAAAAGACTGAGTAAACGCCGGACTCAAATTGAAGAACGGTGGTTGGACGGCAGCTTACGGCCGGGTTGATGTGTCCTCCAGAGATGCCGCCAGAGACCCAAACACCGGTTGCGACGCCTACAACGGACGTTAGTAAAACGAGACAGATAACAGATAGATGAACAGACCAATAGCCATGCCAAACGTGATGGATAAAAAGTCCTGTTTCAACCACATCAGCCGTGAACGCTTAAGGGAGTTAAATAACTCTGACTCCTTTTGGCGTAGACGACACGTTAGTGCTCGAAGACAGGCCGACTTGACAGAGTGTTCCGACGCCAAAAAGAACGAGGATCATGGTGCCCAAGAACTCTGCTGCTGGCTCGCGGATGTACGCCCTGCATACCAAATACGAATAGTAAGCGGGCGCAGACGAGTGTCGCTGAAGAACGAAAGCTCTACCTGACTCGAGACCAGCGGTTTGGGGAGCGAACGCAACCATCACAGTCCATGAAAGCTACATGCTGCTCAGAGACAGAGCTCATGCTATCGATAACTGGTATGACGACTGGCACGTCGGCCGTCTTGGAAATAGACATGTTCTTGGAGTGACGGGGGAAGAACTGAAGGAACTGGCGGGGGCTCATGATAGCGAGCATTTATATGTAGCAACACTTCTTTATCTAGAAACGCTTCCCCAACGATTCTGTCCTGTAAATGTGGAAAGGCACATCCCAGTATCAATGGCAGTTTAATGCGTCATGAGTACCAGTGGCACATATCCTGAGGTTTCCAGTGATACGTACCTTAGCCAGGAGTACTCATGATCGCTGCCGTTTGACTCGCCCTTGAATCACGAACCTTGTGATACTGGGGTGCGGCACAGCAAGGCATCGTTGATGCAAGTTATAGGGGATCTCACGGAACGAGGTTGAAAGAGACCTGTTAAAGAAAGATACTTCAGTAAGCCGCCTTTTCGTGAACCGAGGGTGGGCTGCAGTAAGCAATGATGAGGAAAGTGCATGACGTTGTTCGGGTTGCCAAGCCAGATTACCCTACTTTCCTCGACGATTCTATTGCTCAAATCACGACCTTTGGGGGAAAGAGTCGCAGAGCCAGGCGACTCAGTTGAATTGCAAAAAGCGGGATTCACTTTACCTGACGGCGCTACCGGACCGTGTATGTCGGACGTTGCTATAATCTAACTATGTTGCCCGAGTTTTACCTGAGACGGTGGAACATTGCCTTCGTTCCCCGCCAGTATTATTTGGCTGTTCAGAATAGTTACGTTCTGAATAATAACGCCCGCTGAAATTCAAGACATTGTTTAGCATGTTGACAATAAGTGGAGCACCGTTCTTTGGATGAAGAAAGGGATAAAACTCACCATGACGTACTTCGCAGAGGCATGACATCAGTATAACACTTCTGGAACTTGGAGAGCAACTTGAGGATATCTCGCAGATGCGCAAGTTTCGGCGGGTCATGGACCTTTCCCCCGGTTCAATTGAGAATCAGACCATGACTGGTGTGGTGAATTCACTTCTGTATCCGATCGGAAGCCCACTATACCGGGCCTTCCAAGTTGAAGTGCTCGGTGATAGTCGCTGACTGTGGTGGACGCAATGGGCTCAAGTACTTGCAGGTACTCAATGATGCTCCACGTAGGTAGGTTCGAGGGTGGATTGCTAATTTGGGTGGCGTAAGTACTCACTATCATATTGGATCAGTAGAATTCCATCAAAATCTCATTGAAACAAACTTACACGTCATATACATGCCTATTATTTGGTACAGTGGGGCTCTAACATGTTGGCTGCAAATACGACAAGGTCAGATCAATCACTAAATATGAATGCTGCTAGATTATTCTGAGGTGGAGCCATCAGCCTGGACGGTCACGCCATCAGACATGGATTGATGCAGTCAAGTCACGGTAATTGGAAAAGAACGCAACCTTAGTGGACTTTCCCTCTTGAAGCTGAGGATGTACTAGATGATGGGCTGTGATGGGTGCCGCATGGTGCGCGCATGGACACAAGCGTGCACTATGCGGGGTTTAGCTGTCAGATTCAAGGGATCTGGATTGACGCGGCCAAAAAAAGTCTACGTGTCTGCTTCCCTGCTACGAGTTTTCAACCCTCAACTTACCCCTCTGTACCTTGGAACGTGGTGACCCCCGGCGACTCGCCCGTTAACCCTTTTCCTCGCTTCACGACGGCGGTACCTCATTTTCATTGCAGGAAGGGACAAACTTCTTACGCATCTGCGACAATGATCACCTTCTTCCCAGTGTTTGTACCCTTTTGCACTGACAGGATCGCCTCCGCCGAGTTCTCAAGACCACGAGTGAGATCCTCCCTGAAGCTGATCTCGTCACTTGCGAGGAGCTTCGGCATTGTCGCGCGGAACTCGTCCATGTATTTGGCCTCCAGGTCAGTCACGAGAAAGCCGTTGATACTGAGCGTCTTCGACATGATCACCGTTAGGTCCTGTTGGAGCCTGTAAGTTTAAAGCCGCAGCACAAGAAAGGAGACCAGCCTTAAAGACATGTGGTGTCTCTCCATTGTAGCTAGATATCATGCCGCATACCTTTAATGTGCATGTAAGTGACTAGTCGAGCGACGACTAACGACGATGGGATAAAACCTACAATGATACGTCCGCGATTCGCCGCAGTCTCCAAAGCAGCCTCAAGAGTCGGTCCACCTACATTATCCCAGTATCTGTAGGACGCGATGTTGATAGATCCGTCCAACTTCGCCAAAGAATGCGGTCTTACACGTCAACTGGCCCCTCTTTCTTCAGCACTTCGAGGGTGTTCGTCGTCTTGTAGTTGAATGCAACGTCAACTCCTATCTCTCGTAGGTACTTGACCTTGTCATCTGACCCGGCTGAGGCTATGACCTTCATGCCATCCCGCTTTGCAAGCTGGACTACGAGCGAGCCAACAGCACCTGGTTAACCACATCGGCCAACGTCAGTTGTCTAAGGTTGAAAGCTCCTAAGCTCTCTCACCCGCTCCAGTGCTCACGAACGCAATCTCGCCCTATCAATTGGCGTACGCATCAGTAAGCGCCTGTCGTGGCCTATCATGCTCATCATACACTTGCCTCCTTGGATCGTGCATATTCCTTCCAACCATAGTATGCCGTTTCGCCCGGCATACCAGCCGCGCCTACGTACGTAGACCAACTTAGTTTGTGGGTGTTGTCGATTACGTGACCCTTGGCCAAAACAGAATCGCGGCACACGGCATAGTGCGCAAAGTCTATGTTAGAAGTATTTAGCTGGTGATCGTAAATTCACCAGAGGAAACGAGGCGGCGTGCGTACCCATGATGCCGTAAACGTGATCACCGGGCTTGAAGGCTGGGTTCTCAGATCTCAGAACAAGGCCGACGCCGAAGTTCTCTATTCTGTCTCAAAGTCGGTTTATTGGGAGCATGAGTTGGGTAGCCTGTAAGTTGGACGTCTCATGCGATCTTTCATGGACAGACGTACGGTGCACCAAGAGGAAAAGCATCCTATCAAGCAATCCGTGGCATCAAATTCTACTGCAACGTCTCAAACCGTATTATCGGCGATGCGCTTACAAAGTATGTCTCGGACGGTGCAGCCATCCGCTCGCGCAGATATGGATCTACAGAGAGAACGAGCACCTTAACGAGCCACTCGCCTGGCGCGAGGGTTATCGTATTGGGGTCGATCGTCTCTTCTTGGTATATGAGTGTCTTTCCAGGTTCGGGGTAGCCTGTTTCCGCGTTTCGAACGCGAATGAGGGTGATCAGCCCGTGGTACGCCTACATACAATCAACAATGTAACGTGCATACCTGTAGGCACTTCATTGAAGATGACCTTGCCATTGATAACTGGAGCCATGAGTGACAGCCGAGGTAACTATCAGGAACGGAAACTACACGTTGATTTGAAGGGGTGGATTCACCTTGGGATGCAACGTCAGGGGTTTATATACTTACCTCAAGCTGTCGCTGACAAAACCGCGAAGTTGGCCGGGACTGGTGGAGGTTGCTGAGTCATTCAGCGGCACTTCGGGTTCTGATTCAAAGGGCGATAAAAAGCGACGAAGTCAAACATATTCGTCATCTAGTGTAGCGCGTCGTGAGCTCGATTGCAATATCGGAGATGTCGGCTTTAGGAGAGAGAAAGGCCGACATGGCTTGACTCGAGCTCGGTTTCGCAACGCCCAGTCACATTCACTGCTAGAGTAATAATGATAGAACGCCACATGGTTTCAAAGCATTGAATTAAGGGGGCAGCATGTAAAGAGAGTGGAAGGCGGTCAAGTGTCCGACAAAGTGACCCTGGGTACGTGGAAAGGGCCCACCAGCTCGAGAGATCGATGAGTTCGCGCTGCGAGGCGCGAGCCACGAATGTACCATAGCAGACGGCTTCGTATGTGCTCGTAGAGGCATCCTGCTTCCTCGGTACGCGAGGGTCCCGAACAAAAACATGGGTACTCAGCTGTGCGTAGATGTGCAGAAAGCACCATGCGGTGTGCCCCTATAACACAGTGCACTGCCGAACCCCGAGTTTTCGCCCTAGTATGGCTATCACGTATCGGTCAAAAGACAGGTGCCAAAGCTTCGGGGTACGCTGTTCGACGTGCCAAAGGCAACCGCAAGTGTCACCACGACAAATCGCAGCCCCGAATAATGGTAGGCGTCTGCCTCTTAACCTAGACGTGATCATTCTATGATGGGAGGGACCCGGTTTCGCAGGAGATGGCCACCCGCATGTGACCAATTTCCCCTGAGCGCTGCGAAGCAGCACTTTGCGAGATAGAAACGTAGATGCGTGCGAGCACTAGGTGTCGGCCGTGTCGCGTTCTCGAGATGCTTGACTATGTCAGCATCGTTGGCCCGTTACAGACTAGCTCGTGAGAGCTATTCGAGAAGGGATGTGACATGATGGTGAACGTTCAAAGGATAGAAGCGGAGCTTCCTGTGTGGATGAACGTCGTGGCCTTCGAGCTGGCGGAGATCCATAACTATATAATACAGTGAGGTCAGGACGATCCCTATCAAGGAACGGCGCCGTTGAACGGCTTACCTTCGCCCGTTACTAATTATCTCCAAAGAGGATGGTGAAAATATTGATTTATTGATGAATACGTCATCCAACCTACATTTCGAGTATATCAGCTGAAGAAAGCCTGTATACGACACACAGGAACCTAAATCCTTCGGGAAGAAGGAAACAGAGAGCAAAAAATTGGTGCACTAGGTGCGTTAGACCAGCTCGAGAGTAGTCTGAATTGAGTTTCGCGCTCCCAAAGAGCCACGAGCCACGAATCGCACTCAAGGGCGAAAAGAGGCGCACGCGACATCATCGAGGTCTCCCCATGCACACCAGAGCCGAGGCTCTGCGTCATGCGGCCCGTAGCTTTGGATATGCTGTTGAAAACGACATACCAACACCGTCACGCCACTTCGACGTGACGGGCGGATGCTCACCTCCCCAGCGTGGGCGCTAGCACACCCCCGCACGAAAGAGGCAGCGAGGCCATTGAAGCCCCTGACACCAGCAGAGCGTGAAGCACTCTGTTGGCTTCCCGATCGGCCGACGGTACGATTACACGGATGAATGCAGCCATGGAACGCCAGACTACTCCATGATCGACCTGTGTGCGGTAGAGACGACGTCGCATGACATACCATCTAAGCGCCCGATTCTCCGCGATGCGTTTCAAAGGCGCGAGCCCTCTACCCTCTCCCGCATTGCTGGAGCTATTACAGCTTCTGCAGCAAGAGGGGTCATGGGGATATGTCGAGCTTGCCCCGCCTGCATTTCTGGTACATCGCTCCGCCGTTACAGCGGGGCTCAGCTAGAGCCTATCGAGGGAGAAGAGTATACTCAGACCTTAGCCCGCTCGAGAGTAAGGATGCGATGTGCATCCTGTGCGTATCGAGCTTCGTGGCTTTCGAGCTGGTGGTGGTATGAAAGAAAGGGGCGTGTCTACTGCCGCGCGGCGTTAAGCGTGCTGGACGCGTGGCTCAGCACATTCAAGACTCCTTTTTTTTTTTTTTTTTTGCCCCAACGCCGCCTAAGGCGGGAATGAATTAAACCGAAACCAAAACACTAAAAAACACTAGATCTAGAACGCCCTAAGGACGTTCAAGACTCCACTTGAAAACTGTTTAGATCATCGCGCCGCAGCTCCTTACAAGTAATCCGCACACAAGGGTTCGATGACTCGATAGTTATATTAATAATGTACCACGACAATCACATCGCAGAGCATCAAACAGAGAAAACAGATAACGTGGAACAGAGGACAGGAAAGAGAAAAGATAAAAGAGGATTCAAGTTGCGAGAGCTCAAAGGAAAAAAGAAAAAACCGAGAAAGCTGATTGAAATGAGAAAAACCAAGTCCGTCCGTGCACATGCGATCGAGGAACAGTGTTAAAGATCCGAGACGAGGAGTAGGCGAGGAGAGCAGCATGCATGCAAACGAAGTATCAAGAAAATGTCTACGCAGGATGGGAACGGGGATGGGGATGGGGGAGATGGTACATCTTGTGGGGGTGTCAGCTTCTACCAGACCAAAGACCAGAGACCGAAGGCCAAAAAAAAAACGAGTGTGGTCGCGCGCCCGACTAAATATTCAGGCCGCCAACGAACAAAAACTGTCAAAAATCGAACGAGAACACGCGGCGCCGCGCCCGGCCAGCGAGACGAAGCGACGAATTCGCGGAACAGCAGAGTCGCAAAAACGGAAGAAATGAAACCGGCCAGCGGAGCGCGACGCGCAGGACAAAGAGGTTAAAAGGGAGTGTGGGCGCCATGGAGCGTATAGCGTAACCGAAAAAAAGGGTCGAACTGGCAGGAAGAGCGGATGACGATGGCGTAGCAGACTTATACGTAACAAAAAAGAGCGTGAGGGACGGCGAACGTACGATCGACCAGTCGATAGATAAACGAGCCTGAAAAACGAAAAATGAAGAACGAAGAACGAAAAGTTGAAAAATACGAAATAGAAGCAAGGGACGGGAAGGGAAAAAAAGGAAATTAATAACGATGCTGATGTATGCGCGAACACCATGTAATGCGATATGCACGGGACCGGAGCAGGAAGCAGGAAGCACGAAACGGAGAACAGAGAACGATCCGAAAATAAAAGAAAAAGAAAAGATGCTACGGACTTGGACGAACGGGGGATGGGCGACTGCGGGGGATATAAAAGCGATGATTGTAAGATTGCTTGTGGATTTATAAAAAAAGAATGAATGAGGATATACGTAGTTGGGGGTGTTACATTTGTGCCCTGAGTATGCCATGCCATCGTCCGTGTGTGAATAATGGATAGAACGATCCAGAGGAAGAGATGTGATAGGACGTGGGAGATGGTAGCATCGTGGGAGGACAACGGAGGATGAGACGGGGACGAGGGAGAATGAAAAGAGAGAGCGAGGAAGAGGGACCAAACCAAACCGGAACAGCACAGCCGCTACATACAACCAACCCAACCGAGAGACCCAGTGAACCAAAGCTGAACACGCGCGTGTAAATTTGCTTGTCATTTGTAATCTTCGTAGCGTCGTCATGTTCGTCTTAATTACCGGTCTTCATTCACTGGGGTGTGGGTTCAACTTCGGGTTGTGTATGTACTTGGGACTGCAACTCGGTTTCCGGCTTGTAGTCGGGCTTGAAACGCTCGCCGCCTCCACCTCCGCGCATGATGGCCTTCATGAACGAAAAGAATCGGTCGCCGTACTCGCTCGGCGGCACAGGACTGATCTTATGCTATAGAAAGAGAGCAGCGTAAACATCTATCCCAGAAGAAAAAAGTGAAAGGAAAGAGACGTACTCGGTCAGCACTAAGCCCCTTCCAGAAATGCTCCAAGCTCTTCTTCGTATGATACGGCGTCAAAATGTCGATCACGCCGAGATAATAAATCATGTCGAGCGCATCACTGTTCTCCTCGTCCGTCGCGCGCAGCCCACCCTCGTCTTGGTAGAAGATGAACTGCGACCCCGTGCCCTTATCGACGAGCGCGTCCTCAGTCAGCCGCTTCGGATCCGACGAGCCCATCGCAAGCCGCATCGCCAGCGCCTCGGGCGAGCGCCCGCCCTTGTGGTACATCGTCGTCTTGCGGCGCATCATGGGGACTGCCGGCTGGAGCATCAAAGCGCTCATCAGCACCGAACCCGCGACATATAACACAAAGGAACACGCACATCAAACACCTTCAACGTCTTCGTCCTCACATTCTCCCGATTACCCCTCTTCATATAATGTATCCCAACCAACAACGAATAATCCATCACCTTCACCGCCTTGAGCATCTCCGCGTCCCGCTCCAGCTGCGCCGTCAGCAACGCCCGCTTCTCCGGCCCAAGCTCGAGCTGCTTCTGCCTATTGATCCAATTCAAATCCTTCATCACCGCACGCGGATTCGCCTCCATCTTCGCCTCGGGGTACTCCCGCCCGACCGTGCTCCCCTTCAGATCAAACGTCTCGTGGATGTCCTTGTGCGGCGGGAACAGATTGTTCATGATCACAAAGTGGATCTTGCGCCCGCGCGGGAGCTTCACGCGATGCAGGCCGTAGAACCGCGAGACAAGCGTATGGGGGTTGTTCTTGATGTGCGCGTGGTACTGCGGCAGGATCGAGAGCAGGAACTTGTGCTCCGAGTGGTGGATCGTCTTGATGATGAACCGGTAGTCCCGCGAGAAGTAGAAGAACGAGCCGGATTTACCGGGCGAGCCGAGCTCGGAGAGGATGTACTTGGCGGTGAGGGAGAGGAGGTAGTCGGCGGGGTCGAGCCCGAAGTAATCTTCACGAAGTTCGCGGAACACCCATGGGGCGTAGTCCTTGAACTTGAAGTCGTACTTCGCCGACGGCGTCAGTTCATTACCAACACTGTGGAGTAGGTCATGAGCAGAACACGAGGGGAAAAATAATTATCGGCGTACATATCGAAAGAGTACTTGTGTTTTGCGGTAAAGTCTTCAGTCGATAGTGGCCGTTTTATCTTGGCTTGACACCGAGAGACCTAAAATATAATCATCAACACAATGCCGAAATTTCACAAAAGACCAAAAACTCACAGCGATCCGAATCCCCGTCAACATGTTATACATCATCACATAGTTCACGTGGTCCTCTCCAATTAGATTCCCAACGAGCACCCCCTCCGTCTTCTCTCCCCTCGACACCCTCGCCTCTCTATTACGCTGCACGGGCAGTCCATCAGGGCCCATCGCGCCAGCACTCGCGCCTTGGGCAGCGACGCGCTGCTCGCCCTCGGACATGCGTCTCGTGAGCGCGGCCTCGGCTTCGGCAGCCGCCTTAGCACGCGCACGTTCCTTGCGAATCTGAGCCGCCTGGTGCTCGATATCGTCCTCGATGTCGCCGCTGCTTATCTCGCCGTCCTGATGCTGCCGCCCAAGCTGATGGGCCGAGCCGGTGGTATTGCGCCGCTGCGCCCGACCAGGCTGGGAGGACGGGGGATGGAGGAACCCGTCGACGGACGCGTGCGCCTTTGAGACGGGTGCAGATGACGAAGAGGGATCGGTGAATGGGGTATCGGTGGAGTGCGCACGCATGTCATCGTCTGAAGGCGCGAGAGTCGAGACTCTCGTGTCCGTCGACGCACGGTGTAGCGAGCCCGCATCGCCCATGTTGCGGCTGTAAGCCGAGGGCGGCTTGCGCTTCCCACTACTCGAGCGCTGTTCTTCCCGGTTTTCGGGGGACTTGCTCCAGTCTTGCGCGCCCATGTTGTCCGCAAAGGCGAGTTGCCGCGATGCAGCCGGCGACTGCGACGGTTCCGACTTGGACAACATCATTGGCGGGGCAGATATACACTTTGGTGGATCCAGCTGCTGCGGTTGAGGCGACGAGCGGAACTCCTCTTGGTCGTCTTCGAGATTATCAAACCGTTCAATGCTCGCGGGAGGGGACGGAGGGGGAGGGCCGACAGTAACGTTGTATTGCTCATGCATATCATCAGGAACCCGCTCTACGTGCGGTTGATTCTGCTGATATTGCTGTTGATGGTGAGGCGGCGAAGCGGCTCGAGAGAACTGTCCATCGATAATATAACCAGCATCAGAGAATTCCAAAGACTATTCGGACGCGGAGACGAAAAGGCGATGCGACGCTTACCTTGCCAAAGAAGCCCTTCTCTGCGACTGGCGGCGGCGTCTGCCTGGCAGCAGCAGCAGCAGCCGCGGCGGCCGAGGCATTCTCGAGGTGGACGCGGTCGCCGGTGACCTTGACGAAGGCGAGCTCATGGCGTTGATTGTGGGCGGGATGCCGGATGTTCTGTTGCTGGAGCTGGCGCGTCGTGAGGGGGTATTGGCCGTGCTCGTACGCATAGTCGCGTTCCTTTGATGCCACACTGCCATCACGCGTTTGATGCGAGAAGGCAGGGGCAAACCCATCCATTTGCGCGTTTGTTCCCCGGGAACTTGTGGAGCTGTAGTGCATCTGGACGTCGAGCTGGTGCTGCTGTTGTTGCTGTAGCTGCTGGTGATACTGCCCGTTCTGGAACTGCGGCGACTGGGGCGAACGCGACCGGCTGCTACCCGTGGGCCACGGGGAAGGGTCTTCAAACTCTTCCTGGAGCGGCTGGGTGGATGGCGGTCTTGAGATGCCAATGGGGCTGAGCGGTGCGGTCATATAGCTGCCGGACGAAGAGACAGTGGAGTCCCTGGCGATGGGCCTGCCGCCCTCTGTGTCGGAGGGTTCAAAGTCGGCATAGTTGGCGGGGGAAGGGGAGCGAACGAGGGTGGGGGAGAGGAGCGTGCTGGTCATACAGACGGTGATGGCTGGCTTTTCTATGTTGCCGTCGGCGCCTTGTATGGATGTATGCGGGAGAGAACGTGTCGCGATGAACGTTCCCTTGCACGAGGACACTGCAGAGGTCAGGACGTCCAGCCTGGCCTGAGAAGGGTGGAGTTGGTGGTGGTTGGAGGAAGGGGAGCGCGGGAAGATTCTAGTTTGGACGAGGTGGTGAGGCCTGCGATAGTCTGTCTGTCTAGGATAGGCGATGAGTGGACTGGGGGAGTGCGCCGCCGGGACGATGAGGGAGGGAGCGAGGAGGTAGATATCGCTGGCTGGGAGAGTCAAAGAGTGGCCTGGTCTCGTTGGCCCCGGTTCGTCCGTCGGCGCGTAACAACGGCACCTACTCCCAGCGCATGTGGCAGTGCTCGGCTCCTGTCGCTATATCGGCTCGTCACATCCACCGTCCATCCCTGAGATGCCCCTTCATATTCCTCTCATCCTCGAGGCACTCTTCTCATAAACCAAGACTTGTCCCATCGTCTATTCACATCTCGAGGAAATCTCAAGCCTCAGATTGTACAAAACTAGGCACAAATACGACAACCCAAGCCCGCTACGATGACGAGGCAGTGATAAGCAGTACTAAACTACATCACTAAATGGGCGGACCGAATATAAGTACATGAGCAGTAGTAGAATCAGTTATAACTACAACCATACCTTAGTGATATTTCGAATCTCCAGCATGAGTGGAGCGTAAAGTCCGTTTTTAACATATGGGAAATCCGACCAAAATTAGATGGTGAAATGGTCAGATCACGGATGATATTATAATATTGATGGCTGTCTTACCGCTGATGGTGCCTGCATGATAATTACATGATAAGATCGGCTGGTGTTTTATGCCGTATGATAAAAGCTCACACCATATGATGAGGACTCGCAATCTCGCCCATGATTCCAATGACAAGACATTCATTGTGAATATTATATAGTACATCATGTAGCATTATTCGAGGTTAAAACGATGAACGAGGTAAATACACGAGAGCAGCAGCAATTCACGAGAGCAGTAGACGAGCGCAGGAAGTACAAAGGACGAATTAAAGTGTATAGACTGTGAACTGA